AACGTTACTACGACCTAACCCTAACCCTAACCCTAACCCTAACCCTAACCCTAACCCTAACCCTAACCCTAACCCTAACCCTAACCCTAACCCTAACCCTAACCCTAACCCTAACCCTAACCCTAACCCTAACCCTAACCCTAACCCTAACCCTAAGGTCTTCGTCGGTTTCCGTCACCCAACCTTTTTGCCGGTGCTACCATGGGGCCTCTTGCTACCATGGGGCCTTCCCAGACCCGGCGATCCCTACCGCTTATGGTCTAGTCTTGCTCAAAACAGAGCTTTTATGCCATAAACCCTCCATGTACTAGTAATAGGCCCGTAATTGTTCAAGCTGCACGATCTGCTTGTCCAGCCCTCCTTGACGGGATGTATGTCTGTATGTATTGCAGCCGAATACTGCCCTAAGGCAGTCCGGCATTGGCCTATACATACCTGTAGCTGCCTGGGTGTGTAGGTACTTATATGTACCTAAGTACTACTTCAGCTGGTAAGTGGCTAAGTACCTTATGTTCCTATCAACTCGTGGCAAAATAAGCTACTTAATGGCAGGTCACCCATGTGTGTCCATCACGTAACCCTAACAGGGGCGACGAATCAATATGTAGAAGTACGATAGGCCAAGGGGCAGGACGACCAGAGACCCCGCCCATTAGAGGATACAACGACTATGGGAGATAACTGCGAAGTGCTAGTCGAGGAAATCGGTCAAGAACGTACAAAAGGCCAAGCAGATGAGAAATCACTAAACAAGAACAGTAGAATTAATTGGTTCCCTTTCAAGTGCCTCATATGTTACATGCTCTTCGTAGACGGAATTCCCACGCTGACCCGCAGTGCAACCCACTGGAACTCGTATACCGTTGCCTGCCTCTCAAACTATACCATCTTCCCTAGACTTCGTTCCTCACCCTCACCCACCAATTCACACAACCAGCATGTCCCATAACACCTTCATATTCCCTCCATTCTCCTCCCGACCCCGCGCCCCTTCCATCGCCTTCGATCCCCGCCAATATCTCCCTCTTGCCCAGACCACACACCGCACACACCTCCACCACCGCCGCAGGTCGGTTCTTCCCCTTAACGTTCAAGTCTCCAACGATATTCTCTGCTTGGATGTCGGGCAGCACGAGTCCCATCCCACCAATCACAGCCCGCAACCGAGGCCTCATCCGATCCCACTCCGCCTTCACCCTCCTTGCCTCCAAATCCGCCAAATCCCTCTCCTCCCGCCTATCCCTCTCCCTCTCCCTACCCCGACTACTCCCTCCTACAGTCTCGTTTGAGGAATGTGTATGATACCAATACCGATACCTCCCTGCCACGATCCGTGCAGCAATCCGTGCGCCCTCGACAAGTGCCGAGAAATACCGTTTCGTCCGTGGATCGGCGAGGACGCGACGGCGGAGGGGGTACGGCAGTTTTGCTAGGGAGGCGAAAAAGGAGGATGGGAGGAACAGGATGGTGCGGAAGAGGAGGGGGAGTAAGATGTGGGCGGGTGGGATTTGGGTTGGGGCCGGAGCGTGCGGCGATGAAGAGGAAGGGAGGGGAGGGGCTGTGGGGGTGGTTGGGGTGGAGATAAAGTCGCCGAAATCATCGTTGTCGTCATCCACGACGGTAGTGGTTTGAGGCACGGCGATGGCGAGATCCGGTGCTTGCTTTGTGACTGCCGACGCTGATGCCGATGCCTTCGCGGGGCCGGTGAAGGTGGAGACTGGGGACGTGCCGAGAAGGTCGAATGAAGACGGCTGTGTCTCATGTAGCTGAGACAGCCTGTCGAGGGCTGTATGACGCGATGATTGTAGTGGGGATTGGAATGGCTGCGTAGGATTCGTCGGAGGAAGAAACTGACGTGGAGGGAATGTTGCACCCGCCAGCACCACGGGAGACGTAAAGGTCGATCCTTGCGATATCACTGGACTATCCACGAACTCTCCAAATTCGTCATCATCATCCTCGGCCTGACTCACTGCACTCTCCGCGTTCGCCGACAAAGTGGGTGCGTGTGTCGGCGTCAACTCCCTCCTGATCTCGATTGGCGGTATAGCCCGCACCGCGTCCGGCGCATCAAACAGACCAAGCAAATCATCGATACTCGACCTATCTCTACAGTCAGCGTCTATCCCCACTCCCACGCACGGCAACTCACTTCACCGGCCCCGGCCCCGTCCCCCTCAGCTCATGGACCCTCCCCACCTTCCGCTTGACCTCACTCGGCGTCTTCCCAACATTCAGGCTGGTTGCTCTGTTCAGACCTTTCCCTTTATCCCAAAGACTGAAATTGAAAGGGTCCGTCATTGTCGGTGGTTACTTCACGTGATCTCGTCTGGCCGGGAACCTGCGTTCTGAGATGCGCACCGAGAAGCGTGTTGTTGTGCGAGACGTGCGGAACGAGTGAACGCGAAATTTCCAAGTTCTGTCGTCGATATGGGAGCAATTGAAAAGGCAGAGAGGAAGGAGACCTCGTCGCTCCTCCTCCTATCCATCTGCGTCCTTGGGATCTATGGATCATTCCTTACCTGTGCGCATCCTCCCTCCTCGTCCATACGCGTTTCCCGAGGCTGATCCGATCAAACAGGGGGCGTTCTCCAAGAACGGATCTCCACGACTCCATACCCACCAGACTCCGCAATCTTCCGCTCCTCCCTCATCCTCAACACCGCTCAATCCGCCTGCGCAGCTTTCTTCGCCTACCTCTACCTCCTCCTCCGACCACCACCCACCTCCACCTGGCGCGTCTTCGCAAGCAAGAAGTTGACATGGAACTACGCCCTCGTCGCGCTCTGTTCCTCTCTCGCGAGTCCATTCGGTTACGCGAGTTTGAAGCATATCGACTACCCCACCCTCATCCTCGGTAAATCCTGTAAGTTGTTGCCCGTTATGGCGCTGCATCTCACCCTCTACCGCCGCCGCTTCCCACTTCACAAATACCTCGTCGTGGCACTCGTCACCTCCGGTGTCCTCGCCTTCACCCACTTCTCCCCTACGCGCTCCGCCGGCAAGGGTGCGTCATCGTCCTCTACATATGGTCTCGGTCTATTGGCCGTCAACTTACTCTTGGACGGCCTCACCAATTCTACTCAAGACCATATCTTCCGCGAAAACAGGGGCTTAACAGGCGCGCAAATGATGTGCGGCATGAACACCTTCTCAACCCTCCTGACCCTCACCTACCTCACCCTCACGCACCTCACACACCCATACCTCCCTCTCCTCACCTCCCACTTCCCCATCCTCACTCCCTACCTCTCCTCATCTCCCGGATCCCCTTCCCCACTGGAAATCGGCGTGGACTTCATCCGTAGCCACCCAACAATCATCAAAGACCTCGCCCTCTTCTCCCTCTGTGGCGCAATCGGCCAACTCTTCATCTTCTACACCCTCTCCACCTTCGGCTCCCTCGTCCTCGTCACCGTCACCCTAACCCGCAAGATGCTCACCATGTTGCTCTCCGTAGTCTACTTCGGACATTCGTTGAGTACGGGACAATGGGGTGGTGTCGCGCTCGTGTTTGGGGGTGTCGGACTCGAGGCTTTCGTCAAGAAAATCGAAGGGCGCAAGTCACTATCGAACACTCCCGGTGCGAAGGTTGAGAAGCCGAAAACTGTGTTTGACGATGCAACCCCCAATGGCAGCGGAGTCAGCACCCCGACTAACACTACAAGCTCCGGAAGTACGAGCAGCGGTGACGAGAATGAGGGACAAGTCAAGAAGAGGTCCTTGCGGAGTCGTGCTTCGTTGGCACCGCCGGAGACGCCGGGTCGGACGTTGAGGAGTGGCAGGACTGTGCCTATTGTTGAAGGAAGTCAGAGTCCGCGGAAGAGGAGTTTGAGGAGTGCGAGTCCGCTGAATTAGGAGAATGGACGCGTTTGAAGGACAAGGGATCGGGGTTGCCGTAGCTTAGTTTGGTGAGGACAAAATGATCTTGGTGTCAAAATTGCAATGTTGACTTTGAAGAATGATACCAGAACAATCACAATCGCAATGTGCAAAACAATCTCTTTTTATCCTCATCTAACATACCAAACCCCCCAACATATCCCTCCCTATCCCTGTACTACATCTACAAGAAAACTTCCAAATTCAACTCCAACCCACTACACGCAAACGGAATCTCAAACTTCTCCAACACCTCCGGATGCAACACCCCAAACACACCCACAACAACCGCCTCCTCCATCTCTTCACCCAAATACCACACATTCGCCGCACGACCCGGGAAGAAAGTCCCGTCATCCGTCTCCTCGATCCAGTATCCAGTTTGTTTCGAGGATTTGTCGGTGGGGTTCACGGAGAGCATACGCATGATTCTGTCGAGTAATCCGTGCACGACCTCGAACCCAGCCGTCTTGGAGGCCCAAACCGCGCAGAATCTGCGCTCGTTCCGGGCGCGACGTTCCTCACGCTCATCCTTAAACACAACATCACTCGCCTCAAAAACCTTAATCGGGAGTGCCTCCTTCCTATTCTCCCTAACCGTCTTCAACACCCCCGGCAACAAACTCGTCCTAACAACCTGATACTCCGCAGTCTTCGGGTTCGCCAGCTTGACAGCCTGGGTCCCGTCGTCTTTCCGATTCAACCAGCTGAAATTCTCGTCGTGGGAACAGAGGATAAGGGGCATTACTTCTGTCCAGCCTGCTTGGGCTGCTTCGCGGCGGATGATGTCGGAGAGCTTGTTGATGGGGAAGGGTTGGCCGACGGTAGCGGAGTTGGCGGGGAAGGTGTGGGGGAGGTTGTTGTACCCGTAGGCGATCGCGGCGTCTTCCATGATATCGCACTGGTGCAAGATATCGGCACGGGTGATGGGGATGGAGACGTCGAGGATATCGTTCTGAGAAGAGGGAGTGGCGGCGAGAGACATGCGCTTCAACAGAGTGCAGATTTCCTCGTTGGACAGCTTGAGACCACAGACAGAGTTGATGTAGGATGCCTCGGCTGTGGTTTTGCGGGGGGTAACGTTGGGAGATTGACGCGTGCACCCATTGTGTTCCGAAACGATGTTGACGGGTTCGATGGTGAAGGGTTCGGCGCAGTAAACAGAGAACATCGCAACCATGGTGTTAATAACGACCTCGAGCTTGGTCTTGTCGGTCGCGGTACACTCAATCAAGACATTAGTGGTGTCGAGCGAAATCTTAGAGTGCTCCGAATTGATGATGGGAGGAAGCGAACACACCCGACGCTCGGCATCGTAAATGACGGGATAAACGGGGGAGTCCTTAATGATAGGCACATAACGCCCAAGATGAGACTTCTCCTGCTCGTAGTGCTCCATCAAATCCTTCGCATTCCACTCCTTCGTCTGTGACAATGGCACGAATTTGATCTCCTCCGGCTTCAAAGCCTCATACGTGAACGGACCCTTGACGGTATCCAAATCGTGCGTACCGATAGCCACGAGAGAACGGTTACGGCAAAGGTTGTTATGAAGCTTATCCTGTAACGCAATGAACGAACTGTACCGTCTCGGGTTGAACTTGACACCCCTCAACACAGCCACAGCAACATACGGCCGGATCTGCTCCGTCTCCGGTTTGACAGTCAACGTGATTGGCTCCTTGGCCTCGACGAGACGGAAGTTCGGGGGTTCCTGTTTGCCGCGGAAGACGTTGAGGGAGGTAGCGATTCCCTCGATACACAACAAATCGTATCTGTTTGCCGGGATGTCGATCTTCAACAGGGGACGCTCGGGGACGCCGTTGACGATGACGGGGTCGAGGGAGGTGTCTTCGTCGAGTTCGATACCGAAGTCGAAGCAGAGTTCGTCGAATTCTTCGGTTGTGTACTCCCTTCCGAGGAGCTCGAAGAGATCGGCCTTGTCGACGTTGACGGTGGGCATTTTGTCTGTTTCCTTGACCTTAACGTTTACACCTTCCTTGACCTCGGGACTTTGGTGTTGCGCTCGAGGGGTTTGCTGCGAACTCACGTGAGATCGAGTCTTCGTTACATCCGCTTCCCGGAATATCCCAATTGCAATAAACATGTCCACAGACGATATCGCAGCAACAGACCTCCCGGCATCCAAGCTCGGCACCCAGGATTACTGGGACAACATCTACCAACGCGAACAAACCGCCTTCAACGACATCGGTGACGAAGGTGAGGTATGGTCCGTATCCCTCCTCCAGCTTATCTATCCCTAGACTAATACTTTGAGTTTGCCAGGTTCGGTGAAGAATCCGAAGCCAAAATCCTAGAATGGCTCGAAGACAACCTCCCCCCGTCACCCCATCTGCACATCCTCGACCTCGGCACCGGAAACGGCCACCTCCTCTTCGAACTCGAAGAGGCCGGTTACGAACCCCAAACCCTCCACGGAATCGATTACTCACCCTCATCTATCTCGCTCGCCAAATCCATCGCGGCGGAACGCGGAATCGAGGGAATCACGTTCGAGGAGCGGGATATAACGGCAGCGTTGCCGGAGGGGGAGGTAGGGAAGTACAATTTCGTCGTTGATAAAGGGACTTTCGACGCAATTTCGCTTAACCCTGAAGGTGCGGAAGTCCGCGAAGTCTACGCTGACCGCGTGCACGCACTCGTCAAACCCGGCGGGTACTTCCTCATCGTATCGTGTAACTGGACCGAAGCCGAATTGGAGCAGAAGTTGGGAAGGGAGGGATTCGTGAGGGATAGTGTGATTAAGTTCAAGAGTTTTGAGTTTGGGGGGGTAAAGGGGAGTGAGTATTCGAGCATTGCGTTTAGGAAGGCGGAGGCATAGACAAGCACGGACTCGTACGACAAGTAGCACGGGAAAAGAAGGGAACGGTCTAAACCACTGGTATACCCAGAAACACAAACGCCCGTTAGAAATACCACAACTCCACCCCTCACCCCGCTCTCGCAAACTCCCCCAACTTCCCCTCCCCCCACCCCATCTCCGCAACAACAACCCACCTCTTCCTCTCCACCAAATCCTCCTCCCACTCCCCCCTAACCCCCCTCCAGTCCCTCTCTATGCCCTCTTCTGTGACCATCCGTTCCCGTATCCCTCTATCCCGCTCAACAAACCCGGCTTGTGATAGAAGATCGAAGAACCCCGCAACATTTGCGCGACCGGTGTGGAAACCTGCGATGAGGAGGAGGCGGGCGTGGGGGGTGTGGGATAGGGTATGCGTGATTGTTGAGATTAGGTTTGTGTGTTGGGAGGGGATCCAGAGGGTGTCGCATGCCACGACCCAATCATACCTTCTCCCGTCCCCTTCCTCCTCGGGGATGAGAGGAAACGGCTCCTCACCCCAGGTATGCGGCTGCACACACACCCTATCCCTCTCACTCTCCCGAACCTGCGTTCCAACATTCCACCTCAAAGCCTCCATGATTTGGTCAGAAGGGTAGTCTGAGACGGTAACCCACCGCGCACCCCCCCGTACCGCACAGATCCCGACCAACCCCGTTCCCGCACCGAGTTCGAGGACGGATTGGTTGTGGAAGGAGTATGTTGTTGAGGCGAGGAGGTGGGTGAGGAGGAGGGAGGAGGACCAGAGGAAGTGGGCGAAGAGGGGGATGTGGTCCCAGCTTGGCGAACTCAGTCGTAACTTGATATCACTATGTGTGAGAAGACTTAGCTTCGTGGGTGTGGAGTAGCCAGAGTGACGGACCCGTATTGGGGATGGTGGTAGATGAAGTCCTTCCCGGGCTCGCCATGGGATAGTTGTACGTCATTGAAGATCGTGGTAAGGGCGTCTTCGAAGATCGATTCGGGTTCGGGACTTGGCGTTCGAGCTGGAGCCTTGGATGCCTCCCATGACATGTTGGATCCGTGGAGGTTGGTTGGGGATGGGTTCTTGGTTGACAGCTGCCGCGGGTGATGCCTGCTGATATGAACAGTCGCATTCTCGAAGGTTACTCATATTCTCAAAAACGAAGACTCGATCAAAAATATAAGGGGTAATAACCGCAAATAATACGCCCCAGCAGAAGCGATCCCGTAAAAATGCACGACGCTCACAAAAGCACACCCTTCACACACATCCAATGGCCATATCCCAGGAAAAAACGAAAAAAAGAAGCCCAACCTGCAATCCAAAAAGATACCAGCCTCCAAACCCCAACAACCCTCAGTTAAAGGTGTACGAGCCCCAATCTCCCCTCCTCCCCTCAACACCCGGCACCAACTCCAAACACTGATACGGCACTGTACTCGGATCGAAATAGTACCCCTCAATCAACCCCGTACTCCTATGCAGTACGAGATAATAGAACCCATCGATGGTCAAACACGCTTCCTGTGGCGGATTCGACGGTGAGGTGACGGAAGACCCGGATGATGAGCAAGGAATAGCGGGTGCGGTGGGTGAGGGGATGAAGTTCGTTTCCTTCCAGCGCATGAGGACGTACTCCTCCCTCACCCTCTTCCAAAACCTCTCATCAACCACGCTCGATGTTCCTCCACTTTGTTCAGTTGCTTTTTCCGCATCCACGTCCGCCTCGGCCACTGTTTCCGCCTGTTGACCCCCCCCACAAAACGGCGCCAACTTGCCCCAATACTCCCGATCAACACCAACAGCCGCACCCCACTTCCCCGTCGCCAAGCCATACACATTCCAATCAACGACCTCCCCAACCCACCTCGTCCGAATCCTCGTTCCCGCCGGCGCATGCGGGACGTCTCTGGCCTCCATACTCCCTTCGACCCTCCCCTCCTTCAAATCACACGCGTCAATCGCGACACTAACCGTCCAACTCTCCGGTCGTGCAGATTTGTGTTGTTGGGAAAGGTCGGGGTGGTGATCGTGGTGCATAGGCGTAGCGGGCGTCGTGAAGCGCTGCGAACCAGTGAATTCCGTCCCGGGCCTTAACCAAGACGTATCCTCCACTTTCCACCCCACCGGGGGTTCAGGCGGCTCAACCGACCCAACGCCCATCAACGCATCCAAGATAGGACACATCTCCAATGCCCTAACCTCCACTTCCCTCTCCCTCATCACCCTCTCCTCACGTCGGCGCTGCCGTGCCATATCCTGTTCTCTCTGTGCCAACCTCCTAGCAAAAGCGACTTCGCGCGCCAAGGCGTCTGAATCTTCGGCGTTGTTTGCGCGGGCTTGAGCGGCGGCGGCTGAGGCGCGTTGGGCGGCGATGAGGGCGATGTTGGGGTTGGCTGAGGACGAGGAGGATGAGAGGACGGCTTCGCGACGGGCGGCGAGAGATGCACGCATATTCGCTGCACGCTGTGAGAGGAGGTCCCATGCTGGTCGATCTCTGGTACGTGCGTCAACATCCCTTTCCCTATCCTCTCCCGTACTTGCATTGCCTTCCGTCGAACCCGACGGCGGCGCCGGCGGCCATTGTGAAGTAGATGGATGATTAATCCGTGCCCTCTGCAATAAAATCTGCCTAATATCCGACGGCGCAGACGAAATAGCCGCTTGTAACATCTCCTCCCTCTGCCTCAGACTAATCTCCGTTCGTCTCCTATCCCTCAGACTGAGGCTTTCCCGGTCACGATCGCGGCCGTCTCTGTGTAACTCCCTTTCACTTGCTGTTGCACCGGCGGCGGCGGCGGCAGAGAGGCGATGGGAGCGGAGCATCTGCATTTGGTGGTTTTGCATACTCGTCCTCGAACTCGATATCGTGCCGTCGGCGCGGTGGATGGTGAGGTGTACGGGTTGTATGGAGCCCGTCCCATCCTCACTCGTATCCATTTCATCCGAGCCCAACCCCGGTGCAGCCGCAGCAACGGAGATAGATGGCGGGGGATACGTCGTTGCCAACGCCTCACGGATATCCATCAATCGCTCATTCGTCTGATTCTGCCGATAGCGCTGGATGGGAAGCGCAGTACTCGTCGTCGACGGGCCTGACCGCGTCCGTTGCGAATGTGACATCGTCGGCGGTGCAACCGGAGCAGCCGTAGCAGCTGGTGGAGTCGGCGGTGAGGTATATAGGCGTTGCGGCATTCTCGAGTGCCCTCGCTATGAATGAGTGTCGTTGCCGGGGAGTAGTGCTAGTGAAACGACTGATGCATCAATTGCTGAAGATGGAGTAAAATTGGATGAAGATGGATGATTCCCAGCGGATCAGACGACCTGGTGAAGGGTGCTTGGTTGTATGGGGCTTCCTATGTCCGCCTTGTATATGGTGGAGCGATTTGCAGGGTCTGCCGTTTATCGCCCACAAGCGTGCCGGGGAGGGGCGTGGCGAATAGTTAATTGTTAAATAAGATGGGCCAAGTTAATGGTTGAGAGGGACGTCGAAAGAGGACGTAACTCTAAATAAATATCTTCTGATAATGTGGACCGGCTTGAACACGCTTTTCCAGAACTCTGGCGGCTGTTACGCTGGCCATGGGCGTGTACACCGTGCCCTTATCCTACGGAGTCCACGAGAAGCAGACGAACTGAGTTGCCATCCAAAGAAAAGCTGTCTAATGACCATCAAAGACTCTTCCCAGTCAACGCTGCCCATCGGTCTCGTTGGAGTACATCGGCTATATATACCTCTGCCGCTGCACCCCAGACTCACCTCGACCAATCTCCATACCAACACCAATATAGAATGACTTCTCCATTAGAGTAAGAATGCTTGGTAAAAGTTCTATCTATCAGATAGTTAACAAACCTTCTTACAGTTTTCCTCGCACCATCAATGACCTCCGCCAGGCAGCTCTCAACAACACTCCAACCTCCGTCCCCCGATCCCTCCGCTGGAAACTCTTCCTTAGAGTTTTACCTTCGTATCATCCATCATCATGGTCAGACGCAATATCAAGAGAAAGAGCCAGATACGCAGAGTTGAAGGCGCGGTACACGGCGCCAGGTGTGGTCGAGAGTGGTGATCCACTCAGCCAAGACGAAAGCAGTCCATGGAAAGAACGCTACGCCGATGAAGAACTCAAGGAAACAATCATCCAGGTAAGCTGAACGGAAAGAACGACCTTTCCAATTAGGGGGTTGTGCTGATTTATGTCACAGGACACCCAAAGGACCTTCCCAGATATCCCATTCTTCCGATTACCGCGTACACAGCAAATCCTCCTCGACGTCCTCTTCACGTACTCGAAGCTAAACCCGGATACTTCCTACCGACAAGGTATGCACGAACTCCTCGCACCAATCCTCTTTGCTGTACAAGGGGATGCACTACCTCCTCCGTCCTCCACTCCCGACCAAGACGTCCTGCATCACACATGTTCCGAAACACACGTAGAAGCAGACACTTACATCCTCTTCTCCAAACTCATGGAACACACAAAATCCTTTTACCTCACCACTTCCACCCCCGAGAACCCCGCCCCAATCATCGCAACAACAAACAACATCCAAAACAAGCTTCTCCCTATTCTGGACCCAGATTTGCATCACCACCTCACCTCTCTCCAAATTGAGCCACAAATATGGGGTATCCGGTATCTTCGCCTCCTGTTTGGTCGTGAGTTTGGGTTTAGCGGCTTGTTTGGGCTATGGGACGCTTTGTTTGCCGACATGTCGGAAACCGGAAACTTGATGGTCGTGGAGTGGGTTTGTGTCGCGATGTTGATGAGGATACGGTCAAAACGTACGTTGGTCGTACCGCCTCTCTCCTACTCTGGAGACGCGCTGACGGAGATGTACAGTTATCGGAGCGTCATATACGGAGACGATATCATTACTGTTGAAGTATCCTGTCGAATCAGAGAGCGAACCAGCATCATACGTCCGTGAGGCGATCTTCCTACGAGAGAACTTCAGCACGACAGGTGGGCTACGCCTTGTTGCTAAGTACACCCCAGTTCCTGTACCTTCACCCACCACCTCTACTACCCCTACCTCATCCAGAACAGCAATAGCTTCGGGGAGGCTGTTCGATACCTTAGTCTCAGACGTCTCCCGTCGCGCGGAAAAGCTCGGCCTGAATAACACCATTCGATCCGCCGTCCAGGAAGTCAGGAAAGGCGTACAAACGATACAAAAGGAATACGATAACAACGAACACGCCCTCCTGGAAAGATTCTCGCCTGCGCTGGCGTTGGCGAGACCGGGGAATGCGAGGGGGGAGAGTAGTGAGAACTTAAAAGGCCGAGACTTGGCCAACGTTTTGGGAGAAAGTTTGAAGGTTTTGGAAGGGAGAGTGGAGAGGGATGTAGAGGTGGAAAGGGCGCTGGAGGGGATCAGGAGGGTACGAGATACGTTGAGTGCGGCACGTTCGCCGAATGCTTCCGCGGTGGCGACGCCGACGGGCTCTGCACCGACACCTGCTGCTGCTGCTGCAGTACCGGCATCGACGACTTTGCCCTCAACGGTGACGGCTTCCCTGTCAGCCCCAGCGCCTGTTCCAGTACCCGCAAGTAAGCCCTCCGCTTATCCAGCAAGACGCTTACCCACACACCCGAGGCGACATCAATCTCGGGCCTCTCTCGCTTCATCGGACTTTGCTTTCCTATTAAGCGGCAAAGGTGATGAGGACGATAAAAACTCGAAGCCGAAAACGGCAGCGGCGGGGAGTACGGGTAAGAAGGGTGTGTGGGGCAGTGGAGGGGATGGCGAGTTTGATTTGGGGAATTTGGGAAAGAGGTGATGATGGGTATCATGGTTCAAATGAGAAATGATATGGGGTCAAGGGTGGGAATTACCTCGGTTTTCGGTCGATGCTCAAGAATGAGTACGTCACGAGTTTATTGGTCGGAATGAAAAGCTTGGAGTTTGGAAGATGTCTCTCCGACCGATAACAGAGCTTTGGACAAACGGAACTACCATAGAGAACACAAGATTGGTGTTTGAAGAGACATCTGCTCTCCGTGCCTGGAACGAGCCGGTGAGATTTGTAAATCGTAGCTCGAGCGGGACAGCCAGCCTTTCCAAAGACGCACATCCGGATAATCGTAACGGATTATTGTACTGAACCCACCGCTTGCCTCTTGACACGACTCAGCGGTCGTATAGGGCAAGCACGGATGTCATCTCACTGTTAAACATCCATGGCTCGGGGCGCCTTCAGCCTCTGTAACCTCGCCACGAAATCCAAGATCATAAGACTTCCAAAATCCGCGATGGGCACAGTGCCCTACTCATCAACTTCTTCATCATCCCCCTCCTCAAAACCACTCAGTAAAGGGTCGTTTTCGAGCGCCTGCTCCGTCAAGAGGTCCATCATCTGCCAAATCTCATCGTCCTTCGCCGGGACCTTCTTCCCACACCTATTCTCCCTGACATGCCTCGCCAACTCATCTGGCATCTCAATCTCCTGCCGACATACAAAACAACACTTCCCTGCAGTCGATCGTCGTATATAGTTAATCAATCGAATCGTCGCATATGTGTCCAGGCCATGTTCATGCCGCAACCGCGTCAAATCAAACTCATGCTCCCCCCTCATATGTTCCAAACAAACCAACGGATCCCTCAATACCTCCGTACAGAAAAGACACAGCGTATCCAACGCCTCTTGATCAGGCGGGTAATCATCCCAATCATCGTCATCTTCTTCCTCTCCGCCTCCTCCGCCCGTTGCCTTTTCCGCGTAATTGATGACGTAGAACTTATCGTACACTGAGTTTTTGGTGTCGATCCGGGCGTGATTGCGGGAGAGGAGGTGCTCGCCCAGCTCGTTTCGTGTGCGGAAGGGTTGTTCGCAGCAGATGCAGATATTCCCTTGGATCTTCTGTCGGAGCATGGTAAGGAGTTCATCGATGTAGACGAGGTTATCTGGTAGGCCGATATTGAAGTAGTGCTCGTCGAAGGTATGTGAGAAGAACACTGCGCGGTCGGATAGAGTCCTCGGACAGAAAATGCAGGGATGAGGGAGTTTGGAGATGGTTGTGCGTTCGTGCTGTTGGTACTTCAAGACTTCATCCTGTACGATAAGAGTCAGGCACACATACTCTTCAGCTCTGACTTTTGTCGTACCAGCTTTCTTCGTCGTCCGTCTTGGCGAGCACGGTTGTCATCCCCTCCGTTTACGACCAGCTCTTCGACGTATTCCTGGAAGAAGAGCCATCCATCCCCAGTGTTGTCCACACGCAGGTTATGAGAACTTCCCAGGTGCTTACTGAATCCCTTAAGAGTATCGAAAGGTCTCAATGCAGCGTCTTCAACGTAGGGACACCGGTATGTTGCTGGTACTTCATCGAACGGCTTGAACTTCGCGTAGAAGGCTCCACTGGGCTGTCATTCGTCAGCATCCTATGTGCATTTGTATGGGCCGTTCCACACCTTTCTCAACGCATTCTGGGGCCCGTTTTGAGTAGATGGTCGCCGAGGAGGCATGTTGTATATCGTAGAACTCTCCTCTGCAAGTCGAAGCGCAAGGACATCACCGCAAACAGACACCAAACATCCATATCAATATGCCTTCAGCAACCTCATCCCCCGTTCCAAACAGCGTCGTGACCGTCCTTACAGACAGGGAATCATCTCCAGTCCTCCCACTTCCAGCATTGTTGGTGAATGCGGAGGGCACGACCTCGAGGTTGACGCAGACGTTTATCCATGCACAGGACACGACGACACGCATGGGATTGGGAAAGGCTTTGAAGATCAAGGCTGGGTATGACTATGATGGAGGGTCTACATCCGAACTTGTACAAGCGGAATACCAGGCGCCGAATGGGAGTGGGCCGTTGATTGGGACGGTGGTGAGTAAGGATGCTACGGAGGCTGGGTATATTGCGGAGGAGTTGAGGAAGTGGGTCGATAATGTGCACGGAAGATGATGGTGATGACGATGAGTTTGAACTTTCAGGGTGTCATGGCGTTTTTGTTTTGGATACCCAATACCTACACGAATAAATAAACCTCGAACTCAGTACACGCCAGCCATGATGACCCAGCGTATCCTCCCTCGTTCACCAAACCTCTCAATCATCCATTCTCTCGAACTCGTCGCGCTGACGCTTAGATTGACGGCGACCCACACCAGCGCACACCATAGGGTGAGATTGCTCCCCGAATTGGCGAGGACCATTGCGGCATAGATGCCGATTTCGGCGGTGTAGTGAGGAGCGACAGTTCTCAAAAACGCTGGGTGTGTAGGAAGTTTGTACTCGGGCTTGGAGGCGGCAGAGGTGGGGGGTCGAAGTGAGGCCAGGTGGGCGTGAAGGGTGCATTGTCGCACGCTCGCACCGATGAACAGCGCAACCGCCAACATGGTCTTCGGCGTGACAAGCTGCGATATCTGGAAAGAAGAGTTGGGATCGAGGACGTTGCTAGCGCCTTCAATCCATACGGCGAGGGACATCGCTGAGTAAAACCCAAGTCCAACGACGTAATGTCCAATCCACATCCGTGCTTGGGTAGGTCTCTCGACGAAAAAGCACTCACACAACCTGCGCACGCCTTGTATCAACATCATAGCCCAAGTCAACGCGACCTCTAATGAGGACTGTGTACGCCATGTGCTTAGCCAAGGGGAAATTGGGGCATCCCTCCATCGACGTTCGATGATGACCCATGCCCACCCGATGGATACGAAGGTGGAGAGGACGTAGAAATGCTTGAAGAACTTTTTCGGTACGGTCCATGAGGCTGCCCAGTCTAATAACGAATCCTTCTTCTGCTCCCTGGCCTGACTCCCAGTTCCACTCTTGTTCTTTGCCGATGAAGTGAGGGTCTTGCCGTAGGGTATGAACGAAGCACGAAGTGATGGCGTTACGTACGCCAACAGTACGGAGCAGGAAGTGAGGAGAAAGTACGCTCGTAGAAGAAACGGGAGGGGAAGAAGCATGGTGTATGCTGAATGCTACGGACCGGACAAATGAGCATGAAAAGCACAGAGAAAGGCGGATACGATGACGGACCAATGATTCAATATCAATAGCGAAGCATTCACAACGGTCCGACGGGGCATTAACAGCTGCTTGAACTCCTTCAATTGCAAAACGATGGTCGTTGGTTCCCCTCGCTCGTCTCAGCAAGACCCAGTCACGTGCATGCACCCAGCTGCACGCCAGCCATACCTTATTGCGAACCCAACCCCTCCAAAACACTACACCAAGAACAAAGACAACAATTGACCCAGCATACAGGCCAGGATGTCTCTCTTGAATCAATGAGTATGAATATGTCAGAACAGCCACAACCGTCTTCTCCGGCTCCGCCATTGCCGGAACCCCCGCCGGCGTACACAATCGCGCAGGATATGGGCGATGACGAGGGTGACTCAGAGGCTGAGACGGTGATTGCGCCGCAGGAGGATGAGCCGGAACTTCCGGCGACTGGGTCTGGAGATGATAGTTCGGATTTGAGCTCTGTTGACGACAATTATGTCGCTGCGATATCCTCGCCCGTACGGAGTCTAGCGAGTTCTCCGCTGAAGCGCAAGAGATCGCAGCATACCATCCCCGAAGATCCGTCATCCCCACCACATGCGCCAAGCTCACCAATATCTGTCGCGAAACGAGCAATCGGAAATTCGCGTTCGACCTCGCCGTCATCCGCGACTTCCGGAGCAGTGTCCTGGACAGTACGCCCTTTGAAGGATTCGGATCTGCGCAACCCGAATCGCCAGGACCGATATGGACAAACGCTTCTTTTCCGTTACGTGTATGCCGGGGACCATGGTTCGGCCCAGACACTTTTAGAGAATGACGCCGATCCCAACATCCCCGACGGCACCGGTAATGGGCCATTAAACAGTGCATGTTTGCATGGAGACTTGGAGATGGTCCGGTTGTTGCTCAACCACGGAGCACGTATCAATCATCATGGTGACAAAGGTGATACACCCTTACACGATGCCGTCGCGAATGAGCATGAAGACGTTGTGCGGATACTGCTGGCAAGCGGCGCGAATCCGATGATCAAGAACAAAGGCGGAGAGACATCCATCGACGTTTGCGACAGCCGGCGTATCCGCGCCCTTCTCGACGCTCGGAAAGAACAGATGCAGCGCGTGCGAGGAAAAGACAAGGCTGGGAAGACCAATCTGCACCGTGCGTGTAACGGGGATAGGTTGGAGGAAGTCAAGGAGTTACTGGGCTTAGGAGCGGATGTGAATGTGCAGGATAATGCGGGATGGACACCATTACACGAGGCTTCGCTGAAGGGACATCTGGAGATTGTGAAGGAATTGCTGGGAAGAGGAGCGAAGGTCGATGTCAGAGGTCTGAACGATGATACGCCCGTTCACGATGCTGCAGCGAATGGACACGCCGAGGTTGTACGGCTCCTCCTCGAAGCAGGCGCAGATCCAAGGGCTGTCAATGCTAACGGAGAAACACCGATGGACGTCGTCGAGGACGAAGAAATCAAGGACATGCTCAAAGAAGCCATCGCGAAACAACGCGGCAAGAAGCGAAAATCCGACGCAGCTGACGCACCTCACCCCGACAGAAACCGCCGCGGAAGCCTCAATATCGAGAAAGATCTTGGATCACGACGACGTGGTGGGAGACAAGCGACGAGAACGGATATCCTCTGGTTGGACCCGAGTCGGAAGGATGCGCATGGACGGACGCAGTTGCATCAATGGGCGTCGCAGGGTGATGTGGAAATGGTTGGACATTTGCTCGAGGGAGGTGCGGTACCCAATACGTCTGATTCAGATGGACGGACTCCACTCCATCTCGCGGCGCGGTATGGGCATCTTGCGGTTGCGGAGTTGTTGCTTGCGTATGGAGCTGATGTCGAGGCGGTGGGGAGGGCGGGTGAGACGCCGTTGATGGAGTGTGCGGGACGTGGACATTTGGGGCTGTTGAAGGTGCTGCTGTTGAATGGAGCGCAGGCAGGCAGACCAGATAACAGTGGGCAGACTGCAGTGGAGATTGCGACGGACCTCGTTGGGAGTGAAGATGAGGAAGTGGAGGTGCTCAGGGAGGCCATGGCCAAGCAGAATCAGGCGAGGATTGACAAGAAGAACAGACGAGAGAGTGGTGAGAGAGACCGGGATGGTGAAAAATTTGCGAAGAAGAGACGGGAGGGCGACCTTCTCAAGGAACTCGAGAGCGGCCATATCGACACTTCCCCACCCAGGAAGAAGAAGGCGAAGCAACCTGAGAAGCGTCAACAAATACGCGAAACGGAATCACCCGATCTCGGTGCCACGTCAGACTCGACCAATACCTCCAGTGCGAGTGCGAAGCAGAAGAAGAGAAGACTCATTAGTGGAAACGACCTCCGGGTACCAGCTGAGGGACGGAGTCGCGAGATCAGTCCGTTGGTGCAGGAGATTGGCGTAAGTAGCGAGGATGTGGAGCTGACGGATGCCCCGGCCGAGAAGAAGAAGGTGGAAAAGGATAGGATGCCTGTTGTGAAGAAGGAAAAGGAGGAGCCAGCACCACCTACGAAGGCAAAGGCGAAACCTGTGGAAGAGCCGCTGGTTGCGAAGAAGGCCCCGAATGCACCGGTCGAAGAACCACGGAGAAAAAGCGTGAGCGGCTCGACAAAGACTCTGATGCACGGACGACAACCGCCTACTTTGGAGGATGCGATGAAGTATCTACCGCTGTACACCGTATCTCTCCCCGGTGAAGGTGGAGCACGGTCGCTATGGCTCGTACACGCGCAGTTTGCATCTCTCCTTGGCCTGGAACAAGCAGAGGAGCTGTTCAAGATCTACCCCTCCTTACAACGGAAGCGCGTCTCCGAATCCGAGAAGGAGCGACTTTGGAGTCCCCTCACCTCCGTCTTCTGCGGCAAGTTCATGAAACTTGATCCGCATGAAGCAGCTCAAGCCCTCGTTCGAGCAGCACCTGAAACGAAGGAGGAAGTCAAAGAAATGAAACCACCGGCAATCGTCGCAAAACTCCGCGAAGTTGAAAAACGGAAGTTCTTGGGTATGGCACTTGATTTCATTAAACTTGATGAAGTTGTTGCGATTATTGAGAAGGATTTCACCTTTTTGAGTGGGAGTTTGATGACGATTGCGGTTGATATTACGTATTCGCCTCCTGTGCAGCGGGTTCAGCCGGTTGCGGAAAGTACTGGGAAAGAACTTGAGAAGAAGGAGAAGCGCTGGCCGACGAAGGAGTATAAGCACTTGCCAATGTGGTTGAGCAGGAAGATGGCGTTGAGGAAGTGAGGTGTTGTTTATACGACTTCGATTATAGTAGGGTTATTACGGTTGACAGTACTGGATGGAGCGGAGCGGTCCCTTGCAGCCGTCCAAACGGCGGGACGAACCAGCAACCAGCAACCATCGAAAAGTCGACGAGATGATCCGGAGATGACATCTCTGCAATCCTTGTTTAAAAATGAAGAAGATAAATCCCACCTGATTGCAGCTCTTTCAAGTCATGGCGTCGTAACAGGTATGAGCCAGCCCTAGCAGCTGGCTGCTACGGAGAACCATACTCACGCCGCGGCCGTCGCAGACCGATGCTTACTTCTTGCTGACTTGACTACATTGTCAAAGAAGTCCGGTATCATCAAAGAGGTATCATGGTTTTGGAATTTCTGCTTGCGCTGGCTGAACCATCGTGATGCAGCACCTTGAATCTTTCCTCGAAATCGTCGTACACCGGACACACGCTCTCCCGATCCGTGGTGACAGGGATGCAGTCGAGGAAAGTTCTCGTGCAAAGCATTGGCGGATATCGAGTGGTTTGAGCGTGTATGTGCCCGACATTCCAGATGACTTCCTATGGGTTTCGCTGATATGTGGGAGATAGTCTCGACGCTGCACTCTCCGGTGGACTCCAGCCGGGTTTAATCGCCGAAATCACAGGAGGGGCACAAAGTGGAAAGTCCACGGTATGCAACAAACCCCACCATACCTCACCTCCTTCGCTGACAAACCTTGCTTTGTTACGCAGATCGCCTACCACCTCCTCGCCACCCACGTCCTCACCCACCCCACCTCCTCCGTCGCCTACATCGACACCCAAGGAACCCTCGACCCCGCCCGCCTCGCAAGTATCATCCAACACCGCCTTCACGCTCACCAGCTCCAATACCACCACCCCATCCCAGACCTCACGATGGATGGGCTGTTGGATAGGGTAAAGATCATGCGCGTATTTGACATTTTGGGGATTTTGTCGGCTATCGAGGAAATCCGCTCCTCAAACTCGGACCCGAATGCCCAAGGAGAGGGGAAGATTGAGTTTCTGATCATCGACACCATCTCCACCCCACTCTCCCTCGCATTAACGAAATCCCAGGCAGCGGGACACGCACACATGCTCACCCTCTCCCGTGCCCTCCGTAGTCTCTGCACCACCCAACAAGTCGTAGCTCTGTTATTAAATAGTACCGTGAGGAATATGGATGGAGGAGGGAGGGTTAGTGTGTTTGGGGTGGCGATGAAGCCGGCGCTGGGGGGTACGTGGAGATATTGTGTTGATGAGTCTTGGATGTTGTCGACGCCGATGATGAGAGAGGTGGAGCGGGAGGATGGAAGGGAGTGGAGTGTGGTTGAGTGTTTGAGGTCGAAGAGGGGTGGGGAGGTGAGGTGGGGTGCGATACGGTTTGAGGGTACGGACATTATTGGAATGGACAGACAGAACGCATGACTTGCGAGTTTATGTTTGGAATTGCTAGATCTAGAAGGGGTTTAATTTACTGTCCCCTAATATACCCGATAACACCAGCAGTATACCCAACCAACTCCCCCAACCTCCTCCCCTCCCTCTCCTGCTCTCCCCTCCACGCCTCCAACGCCTGCCTCAATTCTGGCACATCATCCCGATTCGCAACCAATACGTCACCATGGATTTTCAAGAATGTCGCCATCCACGCTTGAACGAGTTCGTAGTCGCGTTTGGAGCGGAGACGGGAAGTGAGGGCGCGGATGAAGAGGGTGAGGAGCGTGAGCGGGGGACGGATTTGCATGGAGCGAATTTCGAGGTCGGTTGTTGAGGGGGGGAGGGACTTGAGGTATTCGATGAATGCGGAAAAGTCGCCGGACTCGTTTCCCTCGCGCAACAACCTCGCGAACGGGCCTTCGGCGTCAAAATCAGCTCCGACGCCAGCGAGGGCTTTACGTCCCTTCTTGCCGTCAGCGGTGTTTGCAGCCTCGGTCTTCTTCGCGTCCTCGACGAACGCGCCACTCGACAACTCCTTCGTGGTCGGCAAGAAGAACGGGGCTTTTTCAGGGACTTTGGGCGCTTCCTTTGGTTTGTTGCGCATTTTGATCGTTTCGAGGTTGAGGAGAGTTTGCCACCTCGACCTAGGAACGAGCGAGAGCGTCAACATCTTCTCGCTCAATTGCTCCGCGGACTCGAAGTCGCCTTCGGTACTTTCCTCCTCCGCCTCTTCAAACGCGGCGTCGAGAAGACCTGCACCGCCTTCACCGCCGACGGAGGGCATTGAGATTGCGGTGATCTCGGATTCGGTCATATGACGTGCAGAAACGGGGACGAATTGACTTCGATTCGTCCAGAGGTTGATCCCGATTCCGTCGACGTGTACCGTAGCCAAGAAATCACTCGTAGGACTAAACGCCAAACTGGTACAGATACTCCCGACTCTAACTCCATCAATCAAATGTCCCGTCGGTAGATCCCAAGTTCTGATGGTGGAGTCGAGGGATGCGGAGATCAGCCAGCGGCCGTCGGGGGTAAATGCGATGTCGGTGATGCGGTTGGTGTGGCCCCAAAGTTCACGCACGACTTTACGGGTTTCGATATCGATGATACGGAGCGAAAGGTCGTCGCAGGCTAGGGCGAGGAGGTCGGATGAACGGTGGAGCTCCGTGCTGGTTACCGCGCTGCCCATATCCAACTCCGTCACCAAAACTCCAGAATTGAAATTGTAGAACCTAACTTTTCCGTCCAAAGAGGTCGTGATGACATGCTTGTTCAAGCCGTCGCTGACGACGCCTGTAACGGCTTTCGACGCTCCCTCGAACTTTCGCCTCCAGATTCCTGATTGGAGGTTGTACATGTCGACGACACCGCCCGAAGACCCGACCATGCCAAAATTACCACAAACACTGACAGCGACGGATTTGATAGCGGTTTTGTCGCTCGTGGGGAGGGTGAATGCCCCCAACCTCCTACTCTGCCAGTTCCAAGTACGAGCAGCATTGTCGTCCTTGTGCGCCGTCAAGACATTATCCCAATCCTTTTCTCTGGCCGTGGCGGCGGCGACAGCGACAATCTCGGACAACTTGACCTCATCGACCGTGACTCCACGAGATGCGGCCAACTTTGCCGTTCCGGGACCTTGAGAGAGTTCGGTCGTCTGCGAATCATTCCACAATGAAAATCCACGCAAGGACTTATCCCTCGAACCGGACAACAGCCAGTGAGAGGCAGGTCCGTAGAACCTGATCTTGGTCGATGGCGCGGAGTGACCGGAACGCTGGCGGAGGACACGGGGGACGGCGGACTCGAGGGAATCAAAGATCCATTCCTTGAGGGAGTTGTCGGGGGAGGCTGATACCATCACCGGTTGCCCGTTCAAGAACTGCACGGAGGTGACGGCGGCGGAGTGTGCATTTCGCACGACGTGGAGAATCTTGGATTTGTTGAGATCCCAAATGCAGATATCACCATTCGAGGTCGCGGTCGCGAGATGTTGGGGACCGTCGGTGCGGAACGAGAGAGCGGTGATGCGGTGTTGAGCCTTGAAGGTGAGATAGGTCTCGTCCGCCTTGACGTTGTGAACCAGAACAGTACCATCGGCACATCCGATACTCAAAACATCGATGACGGGGGAGTGCGAGACACAGGTGATCGCAGCAGGGAACGCAGCGGGCGAAGTGTAGACCTGACGACCGGTACGAATGTTCCAAACCGCGTATTTGCCATTACTGAACCCTACGAAGATCTTGTTGAGGTAGGTCGGGGGATGGGCGAGAGCCGTGATACGGATAGACTTGGAGGGAAGGGTGATGTGGGTCCAGAGTTCGGCGGCATCGGCGGTTGGGGTGAGACGGTAGGTGGTGATGTGGTTTACGTCCGTGGCGGCAATAACGTAGTCTCCGAAAACCTCGAGGTGGGTGATGGTACCGACATTCGCAGTAGGAGGCTCGATGGTGAAGATAAGCTTACCACGCTTGTATGCGAGGACCTGGTTCCCAGATGCCGCAAACATGATGTTTCCGTGCGACTTCAGCGCCGCGATCGGGGCCTTGGCCTGCAAACCGACGAACAACAAGTTCAATTTCGCAGCATCGTAGGTCTGGAAGGCGCGGCCGACGGAGGTGGTGACGAGGTACTGAGCACCGCGGACTTGAATGTCCAAGGGAATGTGGTTCGAGACGTGGCCAAGCGAGCGGAAGGGGGAGAAGATGCGGGAAGGACGCTGAGCTTCGGCCTTGACGAGGGAGGACGTCGGGTGAGCAATGGCAGAAGGGGCATGGCGTCTACGCTTCTGACGGGTCTGTTCGACGGACATTGTCTATTGATCCGGTGAATTGTAGATCGAGGAGTCCTTTGCTGCCGGGCCTCGAGACGGTGCGGTACGCTGGGGAATAAACCGTATCGCACGTGAACCCTCCCTATACACGAAACTCATCGAGACGGTACAGAAGGTAATTCATTCACTTCAAAAACTCATTTAATTCCAGTCACGCCCTTCAAATCGACACCCGCCTCCCCGGTGCCCCAGACGTCAACGCCCTGCTCAAGTGTGTGTGCTTCCTGTCAGCGCGATCACCGCCAACTCGAGGACCAGCAGACAAGGAAACGCATACAGACCCCAACAAAAACGACCCGCAACGAGCAATCCTAACCTCAATTACCGTCTGAACTATTAGCATTACCTTCTAATCATATCGCATCGCCTCTATCACCGGCAATGTCTGCACCAAATTCAAGCGACGAGCTCTACCCTATCGCCGTGCTCATTGACGAGTTGAAGGTGCCGTCACCGATCAAGGGATAACACCGGATGAATGCTCACGAGTGTATCGCAGCACGATGATGTTACATTGCGACTTAATGCTATTCGGCGTTTGTCGACCATCGCCCAAGCCCTCGGCGAACAACGAACAAGAGACGAACTAATCCCTTTCATTGATGGTGTGTTCCACTGAGTTGTGACAAGCTATTGACACTGACATACGAACACAGAATCCGTCGACGACGAAGACGAAGTCCTCACCGTCCTCGCCGAAGAACTCGGGAACTTCACCCCCTACGTCGGCGGCCCCGAACACGCCCACATCCTCCTCTCCCCCCTCGACAACCTCGCCGCAGTCGAAGAACCCCTCGTGCGCGATCGCGCCGTCGAATCCCTCAACAAAATCGCCGAAGTTCTCTCACCCCAACAAATCGAGGAATACTACCTTCCGCTGATCGCACGTTTGAGCAGTGGTGAATGGTTTACGTCAAGAACGTCCGCGACGGGGTTGTATGCCACTGTTTATCCCCGCGCACCAGAGGGTACTCGTGAGGGATTGCGCGCAGCTTACGGGAAGTTGTGCCGAGATGAGACGCCCATGGTCCGTCGTGCCTCGTCCACCAACCTCGCAAAACTCATCACAGCCGCCGGCGAATCCATCACCAACGACCTCTTGATCCAGGAAGTCGTTCCCTTGTATATGCACCTTGCCTCCGACGAACAAGATTCCGTGCGTCTCTTGACTGTCGACCCCCTGATCGCACTCAGCGAGAAACTCGGCCCGGAGGCTGCAGAGAGGGAGTTGGGAAGTGAGATGAAGGCAATGATTGAGGATAAGTCTTGGAGGGTGCGATACATGATTGCCGATAGGTTCGTTACGCTTGCGGCTTCGGTTTCTGCTTCTGTCGTCAAGTCTGTCCTTATCGAGGCGTTTATTCGTCTTCTTTCGGATACGGAGGCTGAAGTTCGTACCGCCATTGCTGGACAGATTCCTGGATTCGCAAAGTTGGTGGATGACTCGGCTCTTTTTGTCGAGCGCATCATTCCTAAGATCCAGGAGCTCGTGAACGATGGTTCTCAGCACGTCCGCGCGGCGCTCGCTTCCCAGCTTGGTGGTCTCGCGCCTCTTTTCGGTACGGAGGCGACTGTTGAGCACCTCCTCCCCATGTTGCAGCGGATGTTGGAGGACGACTTCCCCGATGTGAGATTGAACATCATCGCAAAGCTCGACATGGTCAACGGCGTCATCGGCATCGACAGACTCTCCCAATCCCTCCTCCCCGCAATCGTCAAACTCGCCGAAGACAAACAATGGCGCGTCCGTCTTGCAATCATCGAGTACATCCCCATTCTCGCCCAGCATTTCGGTGTACAGTTCTTCGATGCGAAACTCGGTACGCTGTGCATGTCCTGGCTCGGCGACCACGTGTTTTCGATCCGTGAGGCTGCTACTGTTAACTTGAGAAGGTTGACAGAGGTTTTCGGAATCGAGTGGGCGACTCGTACGATTATCCCGCAAGTCCTCGCAATGGCTGCACACCCCAACTACCTCTACCGCATGACCACCATCTTCGCCATCTCCACCCTCGCCCCCGCCGTCGACGTCTCCGTCGTCGACCAATACATTCTTCCCACCATCACCCAGCTCGTCGAGGACCCGATCCCCAATATCCGGTTCAATGTCGCAAAGTCGTATGAAGTCTTGATTGGTGTGTTGAAGGCTACGGAAGAGGGACGGGGAGTTATTGGGGAAAAGGTTAAGCCGATGTTGGAGAAGTTGGAGGGGGATAAGGATGCTGATGTTAGATATTTCGCGGGTAGGGCTGTTGCCGCTACTGCCTGATGTGCCATCCAACCTGATAGGGTGGAGATGAAGATTTGGAGGAGGAAGGCTCTGAGTATATACAAGTGCAATTCGCCGTTGCAAAGGAAAATGATGCGAGTTGGGTACGAATTGTGATTGTGATTGTGATTGAAGGGCATATGTTATGACGTTTTTGTGTGGGTTTTGCGTATACGGGATATTTCTATGTTGTTGCTTTTGCGCTTTTTGTGTGAAGGCTCTTTTCTTCTAGTTTGTTTGATTCGTTCAATGATACACTTCTACATCAACATATTGTGGTTATTTAAGTACTGTATCGTGGGATCAACCTCACCTCACAGAACAACTGTCGACTACAAATCGTGAGGATATCGAGGATTGGTCAATCTCAAGGCCGTGGATCAGAACAGAGGCAACTGTTGTCCCTTCCTTCGGAGTTGCTCTTGGAGGTGATGCAAAGCCTTGACTTTGACGAACAAGATCCTGTCTGATCTTGCCACCTCAGTCTTGTTATCTGACCAAACTATGGGTGTTGGCGTGTCAAGAATGTGCACTACGTCGAGATTCGCGAACTACAAGCATGGGCAACTGCCAAGGTTTGGTTTCCTCTGTCTTGCATGCTAAGGGGATCGCTTGCCTACTATCTGTATTTAGGAGTTCAGAGAGATCGCGAAAGGTTTTAGTCTTCGCTTTCCTCGTTTAGAATCGCTCCGCATTCGCTTGTTCGATAAAGTTGGTGAATTTTGGTGATTACTTCAGGAAATTCAAGACGGGCGGGAAAGACGGTTGGTGAAAATTCACCAGGGACTATACCGGCTCTTTGATCGAGGTCGCAATATGGGGTGGGGAGGAACTGTGAATTGTAATGGCCTCTCCATTTGCCAAATAGCTGAATTTTGGTGGTGTACAACCAAGTCCTGTCCAAACATATGTTCATTTCGAGACACAGAGGCATCACCGAGCTTACGTTGGACATAATCCACACTTCCCTTGTTTGGAGCAGCTCTGCATCAACGACTGATTATATATCATGTTAGCTATGCCGATCACCTAAAACACCCGTGCTCCTGAAGCAACAACACTTTTGCTTGCAAACCCACTGGACTCTCCCACGCTCCGTTATGCATACGGCGGCTTCACCACCCCAGCATTGGTCCCAACAACACCTCCCTTGTCTCCAATATCAAGATCATCCAACAACCTGTCAACATCATAGCTTGTCAACCTCGTCATAGAAGGCTTCTCCTCAAGCCCAAGCCCATTCGCTGTCGCCGGACGCGGAATTTCGCTTTCCCTCCCCCTCTTCTCCTCGTCCAAACCCAAGAAATTCTGGCTCACAACTCTCCGGTTCTGCTTAGCGTTCTCAACGGGTTTCGTCAACAACAACCGTCGCAAATCGTCCACCTTCAAGCTCGTACTATTCCTGTCACCCCCTGCGCCATTGACCCTCCTCGCCTCATTGACACTTCTGCTCGGACTTCCTTGCTCACTGCGACCGGTGGTAGGTGGCTGCGCACTTACGCTTGGCGTAACGCTCCCCGCCCGACTCCTGCTCAACGAACGAATCGACCCACTCTCACTAATCGAGAATGAGTCCTCATAGGTCTTCGGAGCCCATGGCACGTTCATCGCGTCCCGTAACCACTCCGGCAAGTACGCTACCACAGTGTCCCGCTGATACGGTACCGGCTTCGCTACCGCCAACGTCGCAGACTGACTCATCGGTGTCCCTGACAACGCAGCAGGCGGAACCGGTGTGGAGGTAATGAGACCACACCACTCTCCTCTTCCTTCCCTCTCCCTAATCTCCGTGTGCAACCACCCCATCAACCCCTCCAGCCCGAGTTTAGCCGCAGCGTACTCCAAATACCCCCCAATCAAACTGTGCACAGGCGCAGTCACGGTTCGTTCCTCCTGCAACGCAAGCACCATATTAATCCCATCCTTCGCAGCCGCATCCCCGAAGCGCTCCAAAAGCTTCGTCATGAGCGCATACACAGCCGCCACATCCCTCTCATCCACGCCTAGCTCTCGGGTTAACAGGGCATAGGCCGCGCTATGTACCGCACCCACAAACTCCGCAACCCCAGCCGCTGCCCCCGGGCCCACAACGATACCCGTCGAAGAGTGAGAAGGGGAATACTCAACCTCCAGCCACGTCCACAACGCATCCACATACCCAACCCTCACTTCCCCCTTCTCATCTCCAATCAACCCCAAACTCCGCTTCCAAGCGCCCAACCCTACCCGCCTCCTCTCAACAGCAACCCCGATCTTCGCCTTATTCGCCGCAACCAGAATCTCCTTCAGGCATTTTAGCCCAACATATTTCATCGTTTGTAATCCCGGTAACTGGATATTCGACTGCTCCAGATGCGCCTCAGGGATATCACTACCCGTCGCCAAAGGACTATCCACCACGATCTCCGGGATGGTGGGTTGTAGTCGCAGAAGGATTGCACCACACATATCCACGATCTGTTCCGAGTAATAAATATGTCTCGCCAATCCACCAATACAACTGACATACCCCGCCAATACCGGATCCTTTCCCTTCGTGTCTTGCGGGTGTGAACGGACGTGTGCGATGATCTCCTCCAGCAGGGTGGTGAGCACATCCAAGACAGCCAACCCAACCAAGTTAACCTCACTCCCCAACAGAGCCGCCATGAGCTTCACAACCCGTTCCTTATGCGCCATCTCCCTCTTCTGCACAAGAATCTCCAACAACTCACTCAAAATCAAGAACCGAATCTCGACGGGTGTCCACCGCGCACACATATCCAACAACTCCTCCGTGCCCTGCCCATTTCGATCTGTTTGATAAAGGAGACCGTATGTAGGGGTTTGAAGGAGTGCGTCAGTTGCGAGACGGACTTGAGGTGCGGAGGCGCGGTCGAAAATGGTGTGTAAAGCCTGTAACGCCAATGTCGCAGTCGGCTCATTCGGGTCCTCTAACGTCATCGATCTGCGTTGGGAGTACGAACTCGAATGTCGCGCCAGTGGTTGTCCTCCCGGGGTCACGGGAGCTGCCGAAGCGAGTGTAGGCGGGGCAATCGTAGAGGGACTCCGTGGGTTGTTGACCCGCTCATTCAACTTTCTGAGATATGTGGGTTCGCCCTCCTCGTCGTCTTCCGCAGTAGCGGGCAGGTTGGCTAGGATGCCCGGCACGACCTGCGCCAACAGAAACTGTGTGCGGACAGCGAAGAGCGTAGAAGACTCGCACACGCCCTTGATGGCTGTCAATCCAATCTCCCTCCACTGCGCAGCCTGCGCCGCACTCGAAATATTCCCACTCCCACTCGTCCCCGGCCTCCCACTGCCCACCCTCGTGGGTCCCTCCCCCCTAACCGCACACGCCGTATACAACTTCACGACCTCATCCGCCTTCCTCGCAAACTCTGGATCCATAGCAACGATACTGGCATCCAGATGCGTCACGAACGTGGTGAAGCATGGGAGTGAATGCGCGATGAGGCCTGGGTCGCCGGAGGTGATGACAGGGTGGAGGATTGAGAGGATGTAGGATGCGAAGAGGTTCAGGTCGTTTGTGCACTTGAGGATTAGGGCGCGGCAGATGTCGAGGGAGACGATTACATCTCTATCACACGTTTGGTTAGAATGCGCGGTGGGTGGGGAGAAGGGGAGAAAGCGCACCCCGTCCGTCTGTAGTACACGTCCTTCGCGACCTTCTTCTCCAGATATTTCCCGACCTTCTGCAGCTTCGACGGTCTTGTTGACGCGTAATAGCATAAATATGACAGCTCGCTGCTATTAGGGTGCTTCTCTGGAGCTTTGCCCTTGGGGTAGCAGTTGCGGATGAGCCGCTGGTGTTTTGGGACGCAGATGTTGGGCATGATGGAGTACGTCGCTGATCTGCGTCAGGACTGAATAGCCAAAGTGTTCCCGGATGCTGCTATACTGGTAGACAATGCGTGTATGCGATGAGCAGAGGGCTGTATGCTTCAAGATATTGGTGGAGGTTTGCTCAGTTGCTCCAAATAAAGTGCAGCCTTATGATGCTGGTGGGCTCGGCGCCGCATGCCTTCGCGTTTCGGCCCCGTACGGCAGACAGCCAGCCAGCCAGTGTAAACGGGTTGAGAGGACACGGAAACTTCAAAGTTCATGGAATGAATTCATTCTACAAAATGATAGCCTTTGTTCTCACTTCAACCACGGCAAAAGGTCGTTCCCGATGCAGGTGCACGTGCACTGATATACGAAGGCACGGTCTGAACGTTATTCACCACCAGATCAGAGGGCCTCCCTAAACCACAAGGAAGACTGAGCCCAAGGGAATGGTATCCTCCATCGTCCGCGCCTCTGTCTGTTTGCACTGTCGGATAGCGACGTCCCCATCCCTCCGATCAGCCACACTCGTTGGACGGCGAACATATGCTCGATGTTTCTCATCATCGTCGCTGTCACAGGAAGGAACTCCTGATCCTCTGGCGCGGTTTAAGGATCTTATCTCGGGTAAGGAAGAATCTAAGGATTCAAATGATGCAGAGAAGGACAGTGATTCTTTAGCATCGGCATCGAATCCTTGGGCTGCTGCTCTTGGGAAATCGGTGGAGGAGAACAGTGCTGCGATGGAGCCTCCAGTGGTATTATCACCAGAACAGACCTCTGATCAGCCATTCTATTTCTCCAAAGACCTACACCAATCATCCGGTCTCCGGCCCTCCGGGTCAGAGTTCATGGATACCGTCGAATCCTCCGCCCCCATGCCCAGGAAAAATCGGCCCCTCATGGTCCCCCTCCGCGATGTGATGCCAAACCACAACAAAAGACCTAACATCGGACTCTTAAAACTTAAGGAATCCGTGAAATCCGTGAAGCCTTTGGAAGCAATGACCTTGGACCTTCTCTCCAGCGAACTTCTCGCCCCCGTGGAGGCAGTGGACCCAACACCCGCTGAAATTGAACGGCACCGGCCTGCTAAAACTATGGTTTCTCCCGAGCGTTACGAACAACTCGTTTCTGAATTAAGATCTACGTTCGGGAAGAAGCAGCTCTACAACTACGCGAAAATGAAGAACATGCGTTCATGCTCGTCGCTAACAAAGAGCGGATTGATCAAGCGCATCATCGCCGAACTCTGGTCCGTCACGGTCGGTCGTGAAATCACCGATGACGTCGTAATCACCCGAGAGTTTGCATCCTCCGCCCGCGACCTTTTCTTCGTCCTCTCGAAGGATGCCGAAGTCCTCCGATCCTGGGCAAGAAAATGCGACGCCCGTATCCAAGTCGACGTCGATTCCTACAAACTTATCGTATCCGCCACCCCCTTCGACCTAAAACGCTTCGAAGGGAACCTCGAAACCTTCCTCAGCGATACCGAAACCGATGTGTTTGACTTATCCGCCTTCAAGAATGGTGCCGCGACGATCACGGATAAGGATATCTCTAGAATTGCGCAGCTGAGTAGGACGTTTATTGAAAGAGTAGGGGATAATTCGCTGAGCATTACGAGTTTGGGGACGAAGAGGACGCAGAGGGATAATGCGAGACGGTTGTTGTTGACTGCGCTGCACCTACCCTCAACCCTACACACGGTACTCTTACAACATGCACCGGAGTCAACGGAGAAGACAGAACAAAACAAGAGACCGACGTTGGGTGCGTATCGTGTGATGGAAGACGATGCCCTACCATGGTGGTCCCGTACCCTTCCTTGGGCTCGTCTCGCGAACCTAAAGGAAAAACCCAAGCTTGATGTTCACGAATCATCCCTCCCAAAAGACCTCGGACTCGTCTTGGGTGACAGGGTCGTTGCTGACCTCGCTGCGGAGGAGTTGCAAAACACCCCATCTGGCCAAGCTATTTCGGGCAGGACTGGGTTGGAGGTCGTGCTTGTTGATGAGAAGACGTCTGCGCCGGAGGCGAAGAGGATTGGGCCGATGAAGGAGGTGCTGAAGGAGGTTTTGACTACTACTGGTCCAAGCACGGAGAAGGAGGGCTTGAAGGTGTATGAGCATTATGATGCGGTGATTGGACATGTGCTTCATGCGACTGAAGAAAACACCACCCTCAAACGCGTCAACAGCGTGGCGGAATTAGCGAAAACTCCCGTCCGCGAACACGGCAAACCCGCACGTTTATTCAGTCACAATATCCCCTTCAGGAGCGACATTTTCACCAATTGTTCCCCTATGGACACAACGATCAGTAGCGTGATCAACTCCCACGACGAACATCTCTACTCATTCTGTATCCGCCTCATGCCATCCCCGTGGGCACACCCAGATACTTACGCCACCCTCCCGTCCCTGGAGGTGTTCCTCCAACTCGACTCTCAAGGGAACCACGTCGAACCTCATATTCAGGCGGTACACAAACAGGTGTTGGCGGAGGTTTTGCTGCCGGAGGCGCATGCGGATATTGCGGTTAGGAGGAAGGTGTACAGTATTGTTGATGAGACGCAGGAGAGTGTGGTTGAGTTCTTGGCATGTTCGAAGTTGAACCCGTGGAGTGGGACGAGACTTCACGTCCCTGCTGACCTGAAACTCCGTGTTGATCCCTCTTCCGAGGAAGAAGTCAGTTACGTCTTCACGCAGATGGAATACCGTCGTGAATTCGATTACAATCAAAACGGACTCAGACTCCGTTCTGCTGTGATTGATGGTGGGTTCTCCGGTGGAAGGAGAACGGAGACGAGGTTGATTTGTGGGATGCCGAAGGTTGTGGGAGACGAGGGGGTTGAGGAGAAGGCTTGGGAAAGGTTCGTAGAGGATCTTGCTGGGATGGTGAAGATGTTGAGGACGCCAAGTGGGATCTTTGGGAAGACGACGGTGTTGTTCTAAGGTATTACACCTCCCACGGTTCTAAGGTATTACCGTAGGAGGGGCTTGGGAAAGGCTGGGAATTGCTCGGCATCTTGCATAGAACTACAGAAAGCAAGCAGACAGTATGGAGCAAAGTTTCATCTCGCAAGAACAAAATACATAGATGTGTCACTCCTTCCCAGGCGTTTTCCGTGGAACTTCTGGCTCATTTGTCTCCCCTAGCTTCATTGACCCCGCAACTACGCCGCCGGCCCGCCGCCGCAAGCTACAGAAAACGTCGAAACGATCATCCTCGACTCTGTCGCCGACAATTTAGCCGACCAAGGTCGTGGCGAGATGAGCAGCTGGATCACCTGATGATCAGTTGCTACGGACTGATCAGCTCCGAGGAAGCTTTTGCCATGGCATGCGATCACTTGCCGGGGATGACCTTCGCAACCCCGCAGCTGTCCGGTGATCTTCTCCGCCTCTCGCATATACAGATCACTGCAGATTTGATATAAAATGCTGTTGGATCGGTGCTTCAGCTAATGTTCAATCCCTACCTGATCGCCTAACATGCTCCTCCAACCTCTCCGCACCCTCCTCCTCGGGATCTCAACATCCGCAGTTTTCACCACCGCTGCGGCGGCACCCTGCAACTCCAGCTCGGTTGCATCCTCTGGACCTACAGTAACCCTCGCAAACGGTACCTACGTCGGCCTTTCGATCCCCTCTTACGACCAAGACGCCTTCCTCGGGATCCCATATGCCCAACCACCCCTCGGTCCTCTTCGATTTCGCACTCCGCAATCACTTAACCAATCCTTCGATGAACCGAGGTATGCGACGAACTACTCTGATATCTGTTTGAACTTTGGAACGGATGGCAATGGGTATGCGCAGTCTGAGGACTGCCTGACGATTAATGTCCTTCGGCCCTCGAACGTCAATATCGAGGAGGACGGCGAAGGTGGATTGCCTGTCATGGTCTGGATCCACGGCGGCGGCCTCTGGCAAGGCGGCAGCGCAGACCACCGCTACAATCTCTCATTCATCCTCCACCAATCCGTCCTAATCAACAAACCCATCATCGCAGTCTCCTTCAACTACCGCCTCGGCGGCTTCGGATTCCTCGCTTCCGACGAAGTCCTCGGCGCCGGACAAACGAACCTTGGGTGGAGAGATCAGCGGTTGGCGTTAGAGTGGATTCAGGAGAATATTGGGGTGTTTGGAGGGGATAAGGGGAAGGTTACTATCTGGGGGGAGTCGGCTGGGGGGTGGTCGGTTGGGAGTCAGTTGTTTGCGTACGGAGGGAGGGATGATGGGTTGTTTCGGGCTGCTATCATGGAGAGTGGGGCGCCGATGGGGTTATCGTGTGTGTTCTTCGCTCTCGTCTCTCGATGTTGGAGTGGTTGCTGATGGACATACAGACTACGGCACGGACAGCTACCAACCCAAATACGACGCTCTCCTCGAACGAGTCAACTGCTCCACTGCAGTCGACACACTCGACTGTCTCCGCCATGTCCCCTCAGTCGAGCTCTACGATGCTTTTAACACCACCGACTGGATGGAAAGCAACTGGCTTCCCATCGTGGACGGAGACTACATCCCAGCAGTCCCATCCCGCCTCATGTCATCCGGCCGCTTTGTCAAAGTTCCCACCATCGTAGGAGCGAACACTGATGAAGGGACTGCCTTCGGACCTGGAAATACTGGGTATAAGCTGAACACATCGCAACAGTTGGAGGAGTATATTCTCAGTGATGAAGTTGTCCACGCACTCCAGCCCCTCAACTCATCCTACCGTTTGACTCCGGAGACTGTAGAGCACCTCCTCTCACTCTACCCCGACAGCCAAGGCCCTCCATATACCTACTCTAACGAGACAGCCATTATCTCGACATTCGGCTACGACGGCCTTCAAGGCAACGCAATCTTCGGCGATGAACTCATGGTCGGTCCGCGTCGTTGGTTGGCAGAGGATATGTCCGCAGCCGGTGTCACAGATACCTACTCATACCGCTTCGACACACTGCCCTACACGGGTCCCACGCCTTACGGCGTCACGCATTTCCAGGAAGTCGCATTCGTATTCTCCAACTTCCAGAACAACACAAACTACATTGGTCCCAACCAGACGTACCACGAGTTCGCGAATCTGATGTCAAGGATGTGGGTTAGCTTCGCCAATGATCTCACTCCCAACAACCATGGAGTTTTAGGAGTCGCGGAATGGCCGGAGTATAGTGTCAATGGTAGTACGCCGATGAACATTGTGTTGAATGCGACGAATGGAGCGTATGCGGAGGAGGACACGTTCAGGGAGGAGGGGATTGCGTATCTACGGGAGACGGCTTTGCAGTGGCTCAAGTGAGCTGTTCTGACAGCGGTTGCTTATGAAGGTTTTTTCTAAGGTGAACGATACTCATACCAGTTGCTTTGAACCTGTTCCGGATTCATCTTCAGTGAACCCTTAAATGTCGAGATGGTTTACCTCATCCCGCATTCCCCACACCCTCATGGGCTCAGCTTACAAAGCGCGCGTGAACAACCAGCTGAACAACTTCATCCACGGGCCGTTCTTCCTTTTGATGCTCCCCCGTCTCTCCTCTATCGCTCGACACATCAGACCCTTCTCAACAACTAAAATGTCTTCCCAAACCCCGAACATCCTCCTCCTCACCACAGGCACTCCAAACGGCCAGAAAGTCTCCATTACCCTCGAGGAGCTCGGTCTCCCCTATGAGACCAAATCAATCTCGCTCCAGAAGAACGAACAAAAGGAAGACTGGTTCCTCAAGGTCTGTCCCAACGGCCGCATCCCCGCTCTCGTGGACCGTACCGCCGGCGAGGGTAAAGAACTCAACTTCATGGAATCCGGCGCAATCATGCAATACCTCACCGCAACCTACGACAAAGACTACAAAATCTCATACCCCTACGGTACTCCCGAATACTGGGAAACGCAGCAATGGATGTTTTGGATGAACGCCGGACTCGGTCCTATGCAAGGACAGGCGAACCACTTTTACCGTTATGCGCCGGAGAAGATCGAGTATGGTATCAACCGCTACATCAACGAGACTAAACGCCTCTACTCCGTCCTCGAGGATCGGCTCGCTAAGAACCCCTCTGGATGGCTGGTCGGTGACCGCATGACCATTGCTGATATCGCATGTTTCTCATGGGTTAACTGGGCATTCTGGGCCGGCGTTGACTCGACCGAATTCAAGAAGTTGACGGAATGGGAAAAGAGGATTAACGAGCGCGAGGCGGTAAAGAGGGGATTGGACGTTCCGGAGCCGTTCACGATGAAGGCGAAGATGCAGAGTAAGGAGGAGGCGGATAAGTATGCGGAGGAGAGTAGGAAGTGGATCATGCAGGGAAACGACAAGGAGAAGAAGTAGGTGTCGGACGATATGATTAAGGGTAGTGTATGCTATGGTTATGGTTTTATGTTATTGCAATTTTTGATTTGAACATGACCACTTGTCAGGGGCCAAAGTTCCATGCTACACCCCCGTCAAGTGGGGGGACGATTGCCGACCAAACCTCCAACACCTCAGAAGTGGATGCCAAGTCCAACTGAGGACATTGAATGTGATATCTTACTCCTTCAGCAGTAACGATGACCTGGACCCCTCCGCCCATCAGCACGGCCTCCTTTCCCGACCTTGTCCGCCCCTGCCCACCCCACACCTACTCATGGCCACCAGCCAATTTCAGCAGGCCTTCTGGTTATAATGCTGCACACCACAGACCACCACGACGACGACCACAGCTTCACCTCCGAGTTGTCTCCTTTTCAACGATCGGCAGTGAGTTGACATCACCGCCTCCTTCCTACGAAAGGTTATCAATCAATCCACCACGGTACTGCCACAATACCAGACGAGCCACTACGGATGGCGTGTCTGTAGACAGTGAAAGGCGAGAGTCAGAGCCGTTCAATCCATCGAAGATTCTACTGCGGAAAGTACGGAGGGTGGGCGTGAGAGTGGTACATTGATTGCAATCTTTTTCAAGTACTGAGCTAACAACCCTGTGTACAGGTTCAACATTGTGTTACTTCGATTCCACCTGGATTGCAGGAGTTTCATAAGATGGGACAGCGGTGATGGGAGGATGGGTTAATGGAGGGGTGAAGGAGCATGGATCTTTGGAGTTTTGGCGTTTATATCGGAGTTACGAATTCACGCACATACCACATAAATTCCCATACTCTTATGCCTCTAAGATGCCCTTGTAGGTATATATGTCTAGTTTTGGGTATACTTCTTCCCCTCCTCCGTCACAATCCCCACAATCATCTCCACAAGCGGACTCCCAACCGCATTCAACTCCGGCTGCTCAACAATCCTCCCAAGTAACTCCTGCAACGCACTCTTCGCACCCTCGACCAATGCCGCCAAGGAGTGTTTACATTTGAACCGGATCCAACCGTCTTCCATGTTGAGCATGATTTGTCTCTCGTCAAATTTAAGGGAACCACCGAAAAAAGCCATAGCGTACGGCAGGATTGCGGTGGAGTCTCGGGCGAATACGCGGGTCGTTTTGATTTTCTCGAGGTAGATTAAGAAAGGAGCACCAAATCGGCTTTCTTTTGCATTGATGGAGGATGGATGAAGAGCAATGTCGTCGCCACCTTTCGAGGTGAAGGACGGTCCGTCACGGCCCATTGGGCCGATCTTGAGGACGTTGGGGTAGAGAGCTGAGGTTAGGCATGCTTTGATGAGGTGGAGATTCTCGTCGTGGGCGCCGCCGCCGGTTATTCTGATTGCGTTTGCAACACCGTCTCCATTTCGTCCATTGCGGCCCACGCGTTCCATCTGGCGAGAACGAACGTTACCCTTTAGAAAACCGATGTCACACAGCAGCTCCGCCAGTTGACGCTTAATATCTGAGATCTGGGATAGTGTCCGCCCAGACAAGAAGTTGTCGAAAAGGAAAGCCCGTTCAGCCTGGAAACCCTCTGCACGAACCGCCAGCCATCGATTGTATGCCGCCAGTACCGTGAGATGATCCGACATCCCAGTAGCGAACGCACGCTTCTTCATATCAGCTTCAGCACGCTTGTCAATAGGCGCAACAAACGGGGACTTGATCGACATCGCCGCAGCAATCGTCAAACACGGATCTAAACATCCAAAGATACACGCCATAACAATCAATTTGCCGATCCTGACATCGACCGGCAACCTTCCAAGATGGAATCCAAGCGGCGTCAAATCCTCCTCTCTCGACAATGCTTGCAATGTCCTCAATGTCAAAATCGCATTCTTCACCGCCTCATCCGAAGGCGGCTCGATGACCTTGCTAAGTACATCATCGATCCTCCCCTTCAGGAACGGAAGAATCTTGATGCGCAGACAAAGCTGCTCCAGCGGTGTCCGCTGCATCTCAGGAATCTGTTGCGGTAGTAGCTCTTTCTCATATTTGTGGGAGGTGAAGAGGTGGATACACGTTCCTTCTGCGACACGACCCGCACGACCACGACGTTGACGAGCGTTTGCTTGAGAGACCCAACATTCTTCCAAACTCGCCATTCCCTTTTCTGGATCGAAGCGAGTCTCTTTCATGCGGCCGCTATCGATGACGAAGACAACGTCGTCCACTGTGATGGAGGTCTCGGCAACGTTTGTCGCGATGACGATCTTGACCTTATTGGCGGAAGGGCGATCGAAAACGCGAAGCTGGTCTTCGGATGAGAGAGAGCCATGGAGTGGCAAGCAGAACCTTCCGTTATCGGTCGCATCCCTGATCCTCTGATTTCTCAGCAGCGCAGTATGCAATGTAGAAATCTCCATCATACCGGGCATAAACACAAGAATACCCCTATTCGCCTTAACCTCCTGCTGCTGCTGCTGTTGGTGATATCCACCTCTCCTGGGTCCAGCACCAGGAACAACACGTTCATTCGACCCAGCAAGTAGCTGATTCGTCATCCACACAACCAACTCCTCAATGAGCGGATACTGAATCTTCTCCTGATCAATCATCTGCAAACTCTTCCACGCTTCCATCCCAAGCCCGGGATACCTCTTCGCCATCCCCTGCGCATCAAGCATCTCATCCGGCTTCTCTTCCTCCGTCAAAAATGCTCCGCTCTTCCCCTTCATCTGAGGCGCCGGTCCACGTCTCGCCCGCACGTACTCCGTTCCGTTAGGGATATACCTCATCCTCGCAACCGCATCCTCCAAAAACATGGTCTTAACCGGGAACGTACGACCCGGGATGAACATCCTCGGCGTCTCACCCCCAAAATACTCCTGAAACAACCCCGCATTCAATGTCGCCGACATTAAGATTAGTTTCAACCCGGGCCGAATCTTGAGTAAGTCTCGCATAACCATCAACAAGAAATCCGAGTCCAAGCTGCGTTCGTGGACTTCGTCGATGACGATATGCGTAAACCCATCGATCCCCTCTTCTTCTTCGCCTTCATCCCGCGATCCCTCCAACCTCTTTAACATAATACCCGTCGTGGCGAACAAGATTCGAGTCTGCTCGCTCATCCTACTCTCCATCCGAATCTGCCACCCAACCATCCCTCCCACGCGCTCCCCCCTTTCAGCAGCAACCCTCTCCGCAACACCCATAGCACTAATCCTCCTCGGCTGCGTCACCAAAATCTTACACTCGCCTCCCTTCCTCTTCATCAAATAATCATCCAAGATAAACTGTGGTACCTGCGTACTCTTTCCACACCCGGTATCACCTTCGATAACGACGACTTGGTGCTGCTCGATTGCGCGGAGGATATCGCCTTTGCAGGCGTGTGCGGGCAAGAGCTGGCGGGAGGTTTGCATTTTGCGATAGGCTGGGTTTTGTTGTTGGAGATTGAATTGGTCGTAGAGAATGTTACTGATAGAGGGGTCGACGACGCGGGCGGGTTTTGGCTTTGGCATGTGGGATACGGGGGTCGCGCTTCCGCCGAAAGAGATGGAGGGTGTTTGGCGGGGTTTGGTGGGGGCTGTGTCGAGGTTGAGCTTCGCAAGACCGGCTTCGAAGCTATCCAATTGACTCGGTCCCTTCTTCACGTTGAGGTTCGTGCTCACTTGCGGTGTCGCAGATCGCGTCGAAGGTGTACGGACCTTTGCCCCCACCGGCTGAGCCGACACCGCGCTCACAGCCTTCGCGTTATCCTTTGGAACGGTCTTCTTGGGCGCTGGCTTCTTCTCCTCCTCCTGTACTATCGCCTGCACCCTCCCAACCCTCCCATCCCTCAACCTAACCTTAATACCCCTATGATGCTCCCCTCTCGTCAACAGCTCTCCTACGACACCCCTCGTCAGCCGTCCCGTGGGTTGATCCATCTTTAGTACGATATCAACCATAACCGCGGGTCGGACGGAGCGTATTGTAGGGACGGGGAGGTTGATGTCTTTGTAGCCGGGCGTGGAAGAGGAGGGAGGTGGGTGTAGGGCTTGGAAGGTTTCCTGGCGGGCGGAGTCGAAAGCCGCACCACCACCTACAATCCTCAGAGTCTGAGGCTTTCCTGGCCCCTGGCCACTGCCTGGGGTAGGTGCGGGCGCCATTTGAGATTTGCGGGCAGCCAACCACGACAATGAATCCAATACCCCAAACCCTCCCACACTCTCCCCCGCTTGCTGCATCATCCCCGACGCGAGCTCAATTCTCTCTACAAGCGACAAATTGGAGGATATGATCGCAATGAGTGGGGGTTCGAGTGGGTAGACGGTGTATGAGGGGTGGTAGACCTCAACACGCATCCCCTCCGTGCCATCACCCAAGCTCATCGTCCACACCTCCTCCTCACCCATACTCTCGACACTGAAATCCTCCCCCAACATTTCCCTGATCCTTTCCGCCTCCCTCCGGCGCATCGACCGTGCCTCTGCCAACGTCTCCGAGTCAGCGGGAAAGGGCTCGAAAGGTGACGAGGAGGGGTCGTTGTTGTAGAGCGCGCGGAGCGCGATGAATGCGTCCTGGTGGGATTGGGTTGCGGAGACGGACTGGGAGAGGGTAAAACCGAGGCGGGTTAGGAATTGGCGGGGGGGAAGGGAGAGGATGGAAGGCGGGGGTGCTGGGGGTTCGGTGTCGTCCTCGTCGTATTCTTCCTCGATGCTCCCACTAGCATCCTCGTCATTGTCGTAATCTTCCTCGTCATCTTCCTCATCATCATCATCATCATCCTCCTCCGCCTCTTCCGCCCTCAAAATCTCCTGCGCCTGATGGTACTCCGCCAACACAACCCTCAACTCCTTCATCCCCTCCTTACTCATAAACAACATGGGCACATCGGCCTCTTTCTGAGCTTTGACTTGCTTACTACTCTTCTCCGCCGGCTTGTTCTTCTTCAGGGGCGCTCGTGTTGTATGCGCCGGCGGTGCTCGGTCGCGGTCATTGGCGGCTCGCTGTTTTTCCCGTTGCTGTTTGGGTGTCAGGTGTCCATTTTTCTTTTCGCCTGTCTTCCGTTGGCGATTGCGACCGGGCATGTTTGTAATGGTAAGGTGTACGGGTCACTCGAGCAGTTGGGTGTATGCTCGATTGATCTGGTGTGGTGCCTCCGAGGCCTCGCTGCCGAATTTGGACGTCGGTGCTGCAACGTAGACATGCTTGGGGCTGCATGGGGCGTGTGAGATGATAACTCTAATCGTGTTCTCAACCACCTGACCCCTGTTGAATTCTATTCTGAACCTTAAAGCGTGTGGATTCCTCCTCTTCTGCTGAGGTTGTTGCTTGCTCCTCCTACGAATACTGCTTTGTTGCTTTCGCTCCCTATACCTGGACATTTCGATATCATGCCTGGCCCTGTGCCGTTCAAGACGTCTGAGCTGAATATTCATAAGCCTGAGGATAGGAAGATCTTTAACGCGAAGAATGGTGCGTAAACTCCTTCCTTACGGGTGCATATAACCCCAACAACAGACCATTCCCCACCCTGCTTCAATGGCACAGGTGAATGCTAACAATGATTTGCCAAATGCAGAATTTATCGCCACCTCCGGCGAATTCGTCGGCACGTTCATGTTCCTCATGCTAGCCTTCGGCGGAACCTCCTTCGCAAACCTCCTCTCCCCCACGGACTCCGCCAGCGGCGAACCAAACCTCACCCGCTGCTTCTACATCGCCGCCTCCTTCGGCCTATCCCTCGCCGTGAACGTCTGGGCATTCTTCCGCGTCACCGGTGGCTTGTTTAATCCGGTTGTGTGTTTAGCGTTGGCGTTGGTTGGGGGGATGCCGTGGTTGAGAGCGGTGTTGTTGAGTGCGAGTCAGGTTTTGGCGGCGATGTGTGCGGCTGCTGTTGTGGATGTGTTGACGCCGGGGAAGTTGACGGTGAGAACGACGTTGGCACCCGGGACGTCTATTTCGCGGTATGCGTGCATGACTGGCAAACGGACCTGTCGAGTGCTAATCATGTTATACAGGGGCTTGTTCCTCGAGATGTTTATGACGGCTCAGCTCGTGTTTGTGATTTTGATGCTGGCTGCTGAGAAACATAAAGGTGAGCGATTGCGCTAGTGGAATTGAAAGTTCTGCTAACCAATCTGCTTACAGCGACTTTCATGGCTCCCGTACGCTTGCTCATGCTTGCAGTTTGGATGTCTTGACTAACCTTATTCGCAGATTGGCATCGGTTTGGCTCTTTTCGTCATTGAACTATGGGGTTAGTGGTGTGTGGTTTGCCCGGATTGGGTGGTGCTAACACTCGATACCAGGTGTATACTATACAGGAGGGTATAGTTTGCTTCCTCGTTAGTACTGCTCTTGTTGACACAAAGTCACAGCTCCGTCAACCCAGCTCGCTCCTTCGGTCCATGCGTAACCACTAAAACATTCGAAGGCTACCACTGGATCTACTGTCCGCCCCCCACCCTCCTCCCCCCTTCTCTACGACTAACCCCCTTTTCACACAGGGCTTGGACCCGTCTTAGGCTCCCTCATCGCAACAGGCTTCTACAAATTCATTAAATACCTCGAATACGAAACCGTTGTCCCAGGCCAAGACGCCGCGACAGAAACCGAAGCCGAGAAGAAGGAGAAAGAGATCGAGAGAGCGTTGAGTCGTAGTGAGCAGGGTGATAGTCAGACGACTGCGTATGATGCTCATGAAGGAGGGGTTGAGAGGAGGGCTGAGGGAGCAGGGATGTCGGAGGGACATAATTTGGTGTGAGCTGATGCGAGTTGAGAAGTGGGGTGTTACGAGTATTACCACCGATACCATGAATACAGGCTTTTATTGTGCCCGTCCCTAGTTTTCCCAGGCTGCGCCCAACCGCAGCCAGCGACGTCACCAGAGAACAAAACACCAAAAGTCCAATTAACACCAGCCGCACCCGCACAAGGCGTTTCACTGCGCTTTTGCGCCGCATTTCATATTGAAATGAGCGGTGCCGTTTCAAATCTCCCGTTAAGGCTATGACACACTGTAAGGTAAAAATAGAAGTGACTGGGATAGGGTGAATTACTGAACAAGTTGTCATAACCTACCCGATAATGTCTCTATTCAACACTAGCTCTAGAGTCTACTTCTTCATCTCCTTCATTTGTAGATGCCTCCCACTATGAAGACCTATTCCCACGCGTGCCACTCCCCTGCTCTCCACACCTGATTCAGTTATTGTCACCACACACTTCCGCTTTTTGGAAGATGAGAGCACTCCACTACTCTTCGGTTGTTGCAGTTGACATTCCTTAAGGTCTGGGAGGTCCTGCTGAGACTGCTCGTTCCATGGTATCTCCTCCAAACTCCTCCACATTGCCTGTACTCTTAACCTCCTCTCTGGGCTTGAGGTTAGTCCCATCGAAGTACAATACAAGCAACAGTATGACTCTACTAGTTTCTGGTGTGGCTTCTCACTTAACTTCTTCTTTCCGACCTTGCTGTCGGCCAGTACACAGTCATGATGTGCCCAAGCTTTGCAGTTTGTACACTGCACAATGTCGTTAACATCTTCTGTTTTTAAGTAATTGTCATAGTCACATCTTGTGCATTGTAGATGCCAGGGTTCAAAGGAGGGACGCTCTTCGTGGAGATCTGGTTATAGTTGAAACTTCGACTCCATTGCCTCACTTTCTGGGACATCCTGCAATGTTGGCAAAACCTTACCATCTGAGTCTGCTTTGAGAATAAATCCATCCCCGCGCAGTATCTTGGACATAGACTCATAGTATCAGTTGTGTGCGACATCCGCATCAAACAATCTATAAACAACTGTTTTTGATTGCCGCTGGTAGGCCCCCAGATTGAATTTGCATGTCTGTTCACCTTTGCCTTTCAGGATCGATGCACCCTTACCATCACAGGCAAGACGTAGACTGGTTTTCTCCTGAGTTTGCAGGCTATCATACTGATATACTAAAGACAGATTCCCAAGCCCAGCACTCCCACGGACGTATGACAAGAAATGCGTACCCGCCATGTCCTTCCCCAGGATTCTGCCAACGAGCTCGTACTGAACATTTTTGTCCTCGTTGCCCAGGGGAAACAGAGTGAAAAGAAACGACCATCTCAGTTGTTGCTGCTGGTTGTTACTTGCTGCTTCAAACTCGCAAATGAGAATCCTTGCCAGATGAACGATTGCTGCTTTTCGAATCGATAGCTCAGGACACCCAGATTGACGACATGCCCGATCCTTCTGTTTTGCCTTGGCGTAGTTGATTGTCTTATACTCAAAGTATGTCTGAGCATCAGCGTCTGTTCCATCATGAGCTTGACTGAGCAGTTCTTCTGAGTCAGGCTTTGTTGGCACCACATCAAGAGGAGTACTGCTTGGCAGAACAATTGTCTGTGTCTGCATTGGCCTCACAATCCGGCGACAGTGACCTGATTGACAGACTTTAAAAGTGATCCTTCCTATGGACAAAGAAAAACGGCCAAGACCTTTGTTCCAAGGCTCATCAAGGAGGTTTACACCTGAAACCAAGTTGCACCACCATTGGATGGGATTGTCAAATTGTCCTTGGGGACTGAGTGCCAAATGCTGGATTCGTACTCATTTCAAGACTGCATCTTGCTCAGAGAACAATCACTCCTAGAGGTCAGGCAGTACCTCACTCTGGTGGTACTGCTGTGCGATCTGCAAAATGCCATGTTAGAAGAGCCAGAACGTTCTCATCAGGCTGATCCAAGGGCTGTGTGTGGTTTTTTTAGCTCTCTTCCGACACCCTAAACCTCAAACAACCAGAACAGAACTTCCAGTCATGCATCGAACCAACACATGTTCTCACCCATTGGATAGGAAGGTTTTCCTGGCTAAGGATGGTCCAACCAGTGAGTTCTTGGGATTTCCGGAATTTCACAAATGCCTGGATATAACCAAGTCTCTGTGCCTCATCTCACTGAAATCCACAACGTGGGCAAACCAGGTATCAGGTGCATTGGGTGTGATTTCCAAGATCGAGAGAAAAGAGCAGTGAAGTGAGCAGCATAATGTCCCACAGTTTCTCCTCCTGCCCACGAGAATAAGAACTGGCACCCAGCGCTGCATATCAACACGATAGGTTGAGGTTATGAGAAGCTGTCCGATCTTAAAGAACTTGTGTGCACCATCAGTGATCAAGTGATTATCGCTGCCGTCCGCAGTTGAAAACATCTTCCCCAAACATTCCTGCATGAATTTAGTCTAGCAAATGATGATGTTAATGTCTTCATTGATCTTAATCTTTCGCAGCCAGTCAGGACAGTGTTTACGAAGGCTTTGCAAGGATTTGAAGAATGAATCGCAGCCTTTGCCATCATTGATTCCAAGACGTTCCTTCGACTTCTGCACTTCATAGCCCAACTTCCCAAGGTTCATCAATCCTTTGTTGATTGTTCAAGCAGGATCATGGGTGTGTGAACCATTACGAAGTGCTATTGGTGCTGCCCGGGGATTCGCTCTGACAAGCTCATCTAGCTGTTTTCCTCAGAGGTCCTCAACTTGGCCACAGGTGGTCAAGCATGATCATGAAATCCGTCATGTTCATCGATGAAGCCCTCGTCATCGGGTTTAGTAATTGTAACAGACTTAGCCTCACAGGGAATGTGCATAGTCTTAGCATTGCAGCTGGGGAGACCACAACGAACATGATCCAGTTTAGCTGTAGCAGTAGCACTCCGCTTTGATACGGGTCGCATCGTCCAATTGCATGACTCGGTATTCGTGCAGCAGCAAACACCTACACAGTAACGGGTATACTTCTTGTATATACCAGGACGATCAAACGTTGAGGGGCCTGTCTCCCACACCCAGTGAGTTTTATCCCAATTCTCGTCTCCATCAGCTACAGAAGCTGGATGCCTGCAGGCGACCGCATCCAGCGACGTCACGGGAGAACAAAACACCAAAAGTCCAATTGACCGTCAATACAGCCCCCCGACAACAACCATGGCAGGCTCAAGCCCATCACCGACGTTTCAAAGTCTATTCTCCTTCTATCTAATCACCGCAATCCTTTCCTTCATCTGGCCTGATGCCTTCACCAGCGCACGAACGACAGCTTTACACATTCTCATGCTCACATGCTACGTCTTCGCCGCTAACCGACAGACGGAGAGCTCGCCCTACGACGCGATGAAAATGGGCGCGACGATGGCCGAGTTGATATATACTGCGGGAGGTGTTGTGTGTTTACCGTGGCGGAAGACATCTTTGGCGTTGTGGTTGGCGCATGGGTTTTTTGCTGGGAGTTTGGTGGGGGAGGTTGGGTGGAAGAAGTTGAGGGTGTTTGCATTAGGCGGGAAGGAGTAACAAACCGTTTGCATGCTGTTTCTCTTTTCATTGTGCGGTTATTTACCATCTATAAGCCGTTACCCGGAACCTTATGCATTTATCTATGCTATACGACGATCTGCGTCTTCTCTTCTCCTCCCTTCAACAGCTCCATGCCAATTGCGAGCCACGTCTCCTGCTCCTCCGCAATGATCTTGCCCGGGTTTCTCCAAAACCTAACTAGCACCTTCTCCATCTGCGTCCTCAAAATCCTCAAAGCAACAAGGGCCCTAGGGTTCTCCACCGCGAACTTGACTCGATTATGATCAATGAACAACAGTCCCGATAAAGACTTGAACTCGGCCTCACCGCAGAGCAGCGCAACTGCTGAGGCGTCCACAGCTCCTGTCTCGAACGCATTGACATTCTTCGATTTCATGAGGGTGTAGTACGCCATGAATTTTGCCTGGAGGTTTCGGCGATCTTGGTAGTTGACGGAGGAGGGGTGAATGAGCGCCGGCTGGTTCTTCAGCAAAGTCTTCATCGTCTTGGTGTTTAGATCAACCGTTAAGAGACGAGGGTAAAGAGCCATAGCAACGCAGGACGAAATGATAGGGTGATCATTGATGTGGGTGTTCACCTGTGGCGGCACAGCGAAGAACCCATCACGCACATTCACGAATCGGGACCGACTCATCTTTTGCTTCTCCGCTGCTGCCAGCGAGACAAACCCAGCGTCCACGACGAGTCTCATATACTGACCCCTTAACTCCTCGATGGATCGAAGGTTCTTCCCGCTCAAGAAAGATCTTCTACAGAAATCACCTTCTCGATGAGGGTTGTTGTTGCACGTTTTTCTCCAGATATCGTAAGCAGTCCAGACCGTCAAGAAATCGGATTCGCCAGTCTTGAAGACCTGCTTAGCAGCATCGGCCTGCTTCTCCATTCCCAAGGGCGTGACGAAAGGTGACTTGGAGGACAAGACAGCAGCGATTGTGAGTGCGGCATCAAGACACTTGAAGTGAATACCAAGCAAGATCAGCTTTCCGAGGTAGACATCAACAGGCAACATAGCCAGATGTCTACCCAAGGGCGTCAAATCCTCCGTGGTCGTTAACGCATCAACCTCCTGCAAAGCCAAGATCGCCCTTCTCACATTATCCGGCGAAGGTGAATCCAGCGCCTGTCCAAGCACCGACTCAATCGATCCCTCCAACTTACAGATCTTCACTCTCAACGCAAGATCCTGAAGACTAAGCCTCATGATCTCCGGAATCTGGCTATCGAGCATCTTCGCATGCCGCTCCTTCGTGAACAAATGGAAACAGATACCAGGTTGGACACGACCAGCGCGTCCCTGTCTCTGCTTTGCATTTGCCTTTGCCACGAAACATTCGATAAGGCGGCTCATCTGTCGTCTCTCATCGTATCTCATCTCCTTATGCTTACCACAATCGATGACGGCGGTGATATCGGGAATGGTGACACCAGTTTCCGCGATATCCGTACTCAGGACGATCTTGCGACAGCCCGGTGGTGGAATCTCGAAGGCTTCAGCTTGTTTCTCGCTGGGAATACTAGAATGCAAAGCGTGCAATACCCAGAGATGTTCCCTGCCAAACACCTGATGTGCCGAAAGTACATCCAGCAATCGTCGAATCTCTGCCAAACCAGGCAAGAAGACAAGAATAGCCTGAGAGAACCCGGCAAATTGCTCGTCTGGATCCAGCGCGATCTTCTCCAACAATCTTACAATCAAGTCATAGTTGATCTTGTACTCGTCCATGATATCGAGCGTCCTCCTGGTGATGGCAGAGTATCCAGTAGCAGAACTCGTAACAGCATCAGTCTCCTCAAGATCCTCTACCTCATCATCGACTTCCTCCCAGTTCGTCACAGCACCGCCACGATTCATCCTCGCCTCCTTCTTGGCATACCAAGACGTCTCGTCGAGCGCGTATCCCGTAACCTCCAACGCGTCTTCCAAGAAGTACTGCTGGACGGGGAATGTGCGGCCAGGTACATTGACGATCTTGCACCCTCCAAGATACTCGGAGAATCTCTCCGCGTTGACCGTGGCAGACATAAGGATGACCTTCAAATCCTTGCGCCTTTGAAGAAGTTGCTTGAGGATAATGAGCAAGAAATCGGAATCAATACTCCGCTCGTGCACCTCATCAACAACCAAGTGCGTTACCTCCTCCAGCCCATTCTCTCCCTCAAGCATCCTCAACACAATACCAGTAGTCGCAAAGACGAGTCGGGTATTCCTGGTGACCATACTCTCCAACCTGATCGCATAACCAACGACACTCTGGCCCCTCTCAATCGCTCCACGCTGTTCACCAAGCTCCTGGCTAACACGCTGAGCCAGCGAAAGCGCAGAGATACGTCTCGGTTCAGTGACATAGACTTTGCAAGGCCGTCCGCGGGACAAAGAGTGCTCTAACAAGAAGCTTGGTAGCTGTGTTGATTTACCACATCCGGTTTCACCGCAGACAATGAGCACTTGTTCTTCCTCGATCATGTTTAAGATTTGTGCCTTCCAGCCCCACATGGGCAGATCTCTCCTCTTCTGCTCCATGATTCTGTACGAATTACGGTTCGAGATGCGGTTCCATTCTTGCATGAAGGACTCGACACCCTCAACCTGACCATTTGTAACTTCCTCCTGCGGTGTGGCAGTCCCGGTATCCGTACCCTTCACCTTCGCCTTGATTGTCGTGGCTTCCTTCTGTTTGCCTTCTTCATCACCCAACAGCACCTTCAACTTCTTCAACTGCTCCACATCCTCAGCCAAGGTCTTCCTTCCCTTCTCTTTCTCAAGGTCCTCCCACAATGCCTTGAACGCTTTCGAAAATAGCAAGCCCACCTGACTCTTGTTGATCAGACTCAGTTCGAACAGGGCGATGGTAGCGATATACGCCCGTGCTGCCTCGGGCTTGTTGATCGCGATAGTTTCCGGCATCTCAAACTCGTCTTCCGCCATGCCCTTATCGCGACCCCAGCGGATCTTGACACTGGCACGAGCACAGTTACTGTACTTCTTAACGTCGTAGTAAACTGCCGCACCCGAATCCTTCTTCCTGACGGCATCCTGAAGCGTTCGCTCAGGCGCATATGGACCAGCAAACTCGAGGATAGTGAAGGTGATCATGGGCGTAGTAGGAATCTCAGGCGGAGGTTCGTTCGCGTAGGGATCTTCTAGCAAGAACGACATATCTCCAAGCCCGAGATCGACTTCCTCATCATCTGCCGCAGGTGCAGATTCAGCCGCATCCGCCATCTTCGGAGCCGCTTCACCTTCTTCGCCCACGACATCAACCGTGTCCGCAGCCGCCGCAGCCGCCGCATCAGCTGCCTCGACTGGATCATCAAGGCTTGCTGCCTCCATCTCCTTCGCCAACTCCTCCCTCTTCCGCTCCTCTTCCTCCTGCTCAGCTTTCTCCTCTTCCCTCCACATCGTCTGCAAATCCTGCCTCCCGGCTTTAAACAACGCCCCTGACCTCGGCTTCTCGAACAAATACTCTTCGGCGCACTCTTTGATCCACGCATCGACAGTCTTGATCTCCGCCTCAATATTCTTAACTTCGCGACGAGCGACTTCGACAGGGTCTTCGTCTTCGGCGCTGGCGTTTAGGCTGCTGGCGAAGGAATCTAGAGCTCGCTTTTTTGCGCGCCCGAGGTTGCGCTGCAGAGAGAGAAGGTGGAGGGAGAGGGATACCCAAACGGCTGTGGGGTCTTCTTCCAGTTCTTCGTCTGTTGGTGGTTTCACCATACCCTTTATCACTTCCTTCCGGGACCGCGGCTTCATTTCTTCTTCTTTCTTCTTCAACTCTCTCTTTTTCGATGGAGGCGAGGGCTCTCGGACAGGTGTCGCAGCAATCGGTGTTGGTACGGGCACATCTCCATATCGAACCGCGCCTTCAAGCTCCTCGGCCGGCTTGTTCACGTAGACCCACTCCAGTGCTTCCTCAACCCCCACGGCTCCCAACTTCCGTACGGCCTCCTCGATAACCTCATCCTTAACCCCCGCCTTCCTCAGCGTGCCCACAGTGATCCAAGCCTTTTCCACGGCCTTGTCATCCGTCTCGCCATTTGGAATGGTCGCAACCTCTCCACTAGCCTTCGTCAGCTCCAAGATCCGATCCACTAGTGGTTCTGGTATCCGTATGGTGTCGTACCCAGTCCGTTGTCGATTCTCGACTGTTGCAGCATCGATTTGTCGTGCGATGAACCTCTCTGCGGTCTTCCTAATCGAAGTAGCCAATTGCTCCTCTTTTTTCAACTCCTTCTTATCTTCCACTTCTTTGGCCTTATTGGCATTCTCCTCGGCGTTCTCCGCCAAAGTCGTAGGCGTAGCAGTACCGGGTGTCGACGTCGGAGTAGGCGTTTGCGACGGCGTCTTCTTCGGCTCCGGATCAACCTTCCTCGCAATTGACGTGGTAGCGAACCCTCTCGCCGGATTTGCAGCGGGCTTCTTTGACTTCTTCTTGGGGCCCATTGTATATGGTATCGAGGGTGCCTTCAATTAAGGTTTCCTCGGTTCCTCATCTCGAAGTCGCGGATTTCGGGTGACCTGCAGATTGAAGTCACGGCGCAGCGAAGACTGAACACCATGACAAGGAGAGGGAGGGATTGATGGAACCGCCTGGGACTCATCGACAAGACATGCTTGACTATCGCAGTGAACATCAACACAGACATCTACAGTTCTAGATGAACGTTGCAAGGACAAATCCAGAGAAGAGACACAAGGGGAACGAGACGAAAGATAAAGATAACCAGTATTCTTTGTTTGCTTGTCTAAAATGCGTAAAAAATCCAAAACCCGAGCTGAAAACGCCAACAAAAAGTTTACCCAATCGTAATAATCAAACACATCCTCTACTCATCCCCGTATTTGCGCAATGGAACACTTAGTTCTTGAGCTGGTTCTCACCAATGACCTTACCCTCAGAGTCAACGACAACCATCTCCTTGACAGCGGGGAGGTAACCGTTCTCCTCCTCGAAGCCACGACCGAAGTCGATGGTCTTGGTCATGATCTCACGGAAGTTAGGACCGGGAGCGATCTTACCAACGATGGTCGGGATGCGGTTCTCGACGCGCTGGGGGACGAGGAGAGGACGTCCGAGGACGGCCTCCATACCCTGGAAAGCGAAGGTGACGGACTCCTTGGCACCACCGGGGACCTTGGCCTCGTCGAGCATGCAAATGCGGGTGTTGGGGTAGTTCTCCTGGAGGAACTTGGTGATGTTGGGGTTGTAAGCACCACCACCACACATGTAGATGGTGTCGATCTCGAGACCCTCGGGAGCGTAACGCTTGTAGTGGTCAACGATGGCGGCAGCAGTGATACGGGTGATGGTAGCAACGGTGTCATCGGCGGACATACCCTTGGCCAAACACTTGTCGATCAACTCGTGGGCGATGGAGTCGCGGAAGACCTCACGACCGGTGGTCTTGGGGGGGTCGAACTTGAAGTACTTCATCTGCAAGAACTCGTCGACGATCTCCTGGTCGACCTTACCGCGGGCACCCATCTCACCGTCGCGGTCGTACTCGCGCTCACCGTTGGTGAAGTAACGGACAGCGGCGTCAATGAAGACGTTACCCGGTCCAGTGTCGAAGTCGTAGGTCTGCTCGACACCACCGTGGGAGTCGGGGAGGATGAAGCAGACGTTGGCGATACCACCGATGTTCTGGCAAGCCCTGAGCTTGGTGGGGTGGTGGAGGAGGAGGGCGTCGAAGAAGGCGATCATGGGGGCACCCTGACGGCCGATAGCCTGCTCAGAGATACGGAAGTCGGTGACGGCGGTACGCTTGAGGCGGTTCATGAGGATGGAACCCTCAGCCATGGTCAAAGCGGACTTGGTCTGACCCTCCTCGGGCATGGACAAGAGCCAGATGGTCTGACCGTGGGAGGCAACAACATCGATCATGTCGACGGGGAGGTCGGACTCCTTCATGAACTGCTCAACGGCGTCGGCGAAGACGTTACCGAGCTGGACGTTGATCTGGGAGAGCTCCTCGGGGGTGGTCTTGTTCTCGAGGATCATGCGCATGATGGGCTTCTTGATCCACTGAGGAAGGGGAACCTCTCCGTACTTGACGAGCTCGAACTTGAGGGGGGAGGTGGGGGAGTCCTGACGGAAACGGCAGAGAGCACAGTCAACACCGTCCATGGAGGTACCGGAGTTGAGACCGAGAACGGTGATGTCGAGGGGCTTGTTTTCGGCAGTCATCTTGTCTTGCTTTGAGGAAGTAAGCTGGGATGGGGATCAAGAGGTCGGAGGGAGGGGGGAGTCTGGGTTTTTTATACGCTCTCGGAACGGGTGGCAGAGTCGCGCGCGGGCCCACCCCAGGAAACTGTGGGACCCCGGATAATCCACTCCGGGGCGGAGACTTCAGAAAAAAAACGGGGCGCTAACAGGAGATGGATCCGGGGACGAGCCGGCCGCGGGCGACTGAGTGCTCGAAGCAAGGGCTGTAACTACGAAGGGGGCCGGGCTCAGAGAGGCAAAGTCAGCAGATCGAGGCTGAGCAGTTTCGCCTTCCTGTTCTTTCGCCGCCCGCCTATCCTGACTCAGTCTTCGCATGTTTTGACTGGGTGGTGCATGCGTGGCGATGGCGGAGGCCTTTCTCCGGGGGGGGGCGCCGGGGAACATCGCTTCTCCGTGGTGTCGCCGCTGTACATGGAACAGACTCAGCAACTAGAAATACATTTCAGACAAAAAGATACGCCTACTCTCCCCCTCGACGACCGATCACGTGTGCCCCGTTATAACTCCCCACATCGCGCTAGTCATACACCGCGCTAGTCATACACCGGGGGAGGCTGAGCATAAGCGAGATGAATTTTAGGGTCCTCGCCAGCTGCGGCCGTCCTCGATATTCTTTTTTCTATAAGTACCCCAGCTTCCCCGCGTCCCCCTCCTCCCCATCAAACCATCTTCTCTGCCACTTCCATCTCACTACAAATGGCTCCAGCTGGTGAAGCAACCAGCTCCATGCGCATCTGGGGTAACGCCCGCGGAGACGCACTCCGCATGATGATCTCCATCGCCGCTTCCTCCGCTTTCTTGCTTTTCGGATACGACCAGGGTGTCTTCGCTGGTCTCATCGGTGGTAACGCCTTCAAGGAGACTTTCCCCGCCTCGACCAAGACGCTCGGAACGATCGTTGCCATCTACGAAGTCGGATGTTTCTTCGGTGCTGTTCTTACCTTCTTCGTCGGTGAGAAGTTGGGAAGGAGGTGGTCTATTGTCGTTGGGTTGATTATCATGTTGGTTGGTACTGTGTTGCAGGCTACTGCGTACGGTATCCCGCACATGATCGTTGGACGTATCGTGACTGGTATCGGAAATGGAATGAACACCTCTACTGTTCCGATGTACCAGGCTGAGACCTCGAAGGCTCATTCCCGTGGACGTATGGTGTCGATCGAGGGATGGTTCATTACCGTCGGTATCGTCATTTCGTACTGGGTCACGTACGGTACCGCCGGTGTCCCCGATGGTGCCATTCAGTTCCGTCTTCCTATTGTCTTGCAGGCTCTCTTCGCTATTATCACGCTTATCCTCATTTTCGGATTGCCCGAATCTCCGCGTTGGTTGATGAACTGTGGTCGTGAGGTGGAGGCTCGTGAGGTTATTGCTTTGTTGGAGGGCGTTCCCATCGAGTCCGAGGAGTGCGAACGTCAGTTCAACGATATCAAGGTTTCCCTCTCTGCCGAGTCCCAGGGCGGCCCGATCCAGTTCAAGGAGTACTTCCGTGGTGGTGAGCAGCAGACTTTCCGTCGTCTCTTGTTGGCGTACGGTATTCAGATGATGCAGCAGCTTACCGGTATCAACGCTGTTATCTTCTACTCTGCTTACCTCCTCCAGAACACCCTCGGTTTGGACCGTGAGTTGTCTTTGATTGTTGGTGGATGTACTGGATTGTGTTTCTTCGTCTTTACCTTCATTCCTATCATCTTCATCGACAAGTGGGGTCGTCGCAAGCCTCTTATCTACGGAGCTGCTTTCCAGGCCGTCTGTATGTGCATGATCGGTGTCCTTATCGGTGTTGGTGGAAAGTCCGCTGGTACCGCCGCCATCATCTTCGTCTTCCTCTACATTGCCTCTTACTCTGGTTTCGGCTGGGTCGCCTGTCCCTGGCTCTACCCCACCGAAATCGTCGAGCTCCGTTTCCGTTCCAAGGGTACCGCTCTCGCCACCATGTCCAACTGGTCCTGGAACTTCATGGTCGTCGAGATCACCCCCATCGGTGCCGAGACTTTGGGCTACAAGTTCTTCTTCATCTTCATGGTTTTCAACGCGTGTTTCGTGCCGTTGATTTACTTCTTCTACCCCGAGACCGCGGGTAAGAGTTTGGAGGAGTTGGACTTGTTGTTTGTTACGGATCGTGAGGGAGCGTTTGCTGGAAGGTTCGGAAACCAGCAGGGGAGTGGAAGGTCGAGCGATGACTTTGACATGAAGAACATGGGTGTTGAGAGGATTGAGGCGGGTGAGAAGTCTTCTTCTGTTGTGTAAAGAGCGAGAGGGTTGTGCATAGCAGTGTGATTTTTCCAGAGAAGTGTACGATTAGATCTAGAGATTGTTTAAAGTAAAAGATTGTTCTTCCCTACCTTTCTTGCTTGCAGGGTTAACACCACTCACTGTTTTGTTGACTTGATGCGCGCATCGAACTCCTCCAAATTCCTAACATCACTGAGACACTCAATTTCTTCGAATTAAGGCCACCTTCATAAAAACCTCATACATGCTCCCCGAAGCAGCACAAGCAGCAATGGGCCAGCTCAACTACCAGGCCCTCACCGTCATCGGCCTCACAACCGGTCTCTCATTCACCCTCTCCAACCACTACTTTGCCAGCCACCGCTCCCAGAGCCAGCAAACACTCCTCGCACTCGAGGCGGCACAGGATGAGAGTTTGAAGAAGGTTGCGTTGTTGAGTGAGGAGAAGAAGGTACTTGAGGAAAGATTGAAGGATGCGGAAGGGCAGGTTGAGGAGGTTAAGGCTCAGGAAGCGGGGATTCAGAGGGGGTTGCAGGCACAGATTGATGCGGGGGGTGTAGAGATTGAGAGATTGAGTGCGGTGATTGGGAAGAATGAGGAAGAGTCAAAGAAAGCTGAGGAAATCAAATTGGAGATTCTGGGTCGGGCGGAGGAGTATAAACGCCAGATCGCGAAATTGGAGGGTGAAATTAGTGAGGTGAAGAAACTCGAGGAAGGATTGAGGCGGGATATCGAGGCATTGAGGGCGGATAATGCGAAAATCGCCAAAGATCTCGAGAGTGAGAAGAAGGATAAGTCTTCTATCAAATCTCAGCTCGAGACCTCGACCAAGCACGCTCAGGGTCTGGAGAAGGATTTATCAGCTACCAGGGATGAGTTATCTAAAGCCACCGCTACCGTCGCCGAAAAGCAATCCCGTATCGAGCAAATCACCCAATCCCTCGCCTCCACCTCCGACGACCTCGAAGCCAGCAAAGACCTTGTCGAGTCCCTCAACGCCTCGCTCGCACAAAAAAAGGCGGACGTCGAGAAAGAGCAGGCTGCGGTTCGTGACTTGGAGTCGAAGATCAAGAGTGTCGAGAGTGAGTTGGCGAGCGTCAAGGATGAGAAAGCAAAGGTCGCTTCTGAACTCGAGGAGGCGCAGTCTCAGGTCGCTGCCCTCACTTCCGATCTCGACTCTTCCAAGAACGACGCCAACTCCCTCCGTACACAATTGTCAGAGACTGAAGCCCGTGAATCCGCCCTCCAATCCGAACTCTCCACCACCAAGGCATCCCTCGACTCCGCCTCCCAACGCGCGACCGAGTCCGCCAAAAAGATCGAGTCCCTCACCACCGAGCTCAACTCCGCTCGCAAAGAAATCTCCTCCGCTTCCTCCCGTATCCAGGATCTCGAGAAGGAAAAGGAGGAGTTGGCGGCTGAGCTCGCTAAGGCCTCCACAGACCTCCAGACTCGTGATGAGGAAATTGATGGATTGCGGAAAGCGGCGAAGAAAGCAGAGGAAAAGGCCGAGGCGGAGGTGAAGGCGTTGCAAGGGGAGGTTAAGAGTGTGAAGGACGCTTCTGTGAAGGAGGTTGAGGGTGTTAAGATGCAGCTCAAGAAGTCTGAGGAGGAGAAGGGCATGCTCGAGAAGGAGGTCGCGGCTGCGAAGCAATCGGTGAAGACTGCGGAGGACAAGGCCAAGGAGCAGCTCAAGAAGGCTGAGGAGGAGAAGGGCAAGCTCGAGCAGGAATTGTCGGCGGCTACGGAGGCGACTAAGAGTGCGGAGGAGAAGGCTAGGGAATTGGGTACCAAGGTTACTGAGACGGAGAAGAAGGTCCAGGCCGCGCAGGAAGAGGCAAAGAAGGCACAGTCAGCCGCTGAGGAGCAAGCGCGTAAATTCGCTGAGGAAGTTTCCGCCGCGAAGAAGGAGGCTGTCGATGCCAAGAAGCAGATTGAGGAGAGCGAGGAACGGGCACAGGAGTTGAAGACCAAGGTCGCCGCTGCGGAGAAAAACGCCGAGAAGGAGAAGAAACGCGCAGAGATCTCCGTCAAGCTCATTGATGGCTTGAAGAAGGAGGTTGAGGCCGCGAAGGCTGGGTCTAAGAAAGCTACTGAGGAGGGTGAGGAGGTTACGAAGCAGCTTGCGGCTGTGCAGAAGGAGTTGGAGGCCGCGAAGGCCGAGGGAGAGAAGCAGGCGAAGGATGTGGTGGAGGAGTTGAAGAAGAAGGATGAGGAGGTTAAGGCTGCGAAGGCGGAGGCTGGGAAGGCGCAGAAGGTCGCGGAGGAGAAGTCTGCTGCTGAGATCAAGGCTGCAGCTGAGAAGGCCTTAACGCTCGAGAAGGATTTGGAGGCTGCGAAGAAGCAGGTGGAGGAGGAGAAGAAGAAGGCCGCTGCGGACGCTGATGCTGCTATCAAGGCCGCCAAGGAGGATGCCGACGCCGAGATCAAGAAAATCCGGGACGAGCTCGAGGCGGCACAGCAGAAAGCCGCCGAAGTCGCGGAACAAGTCTCGAAGGACTCTGACGCCCTCCGCACAGATGCCGAGAAGCAATCTACCCTCGTTACCGAACTCCAGACCGCTCGCGATGAACTCGAGAAAGAGCTTACTAGCTTGCGTCAACAAGCTGCGATTACGACTGAGAGTCAGGAGGAGAAGGATAAGTTGGAGGCGTTGCAGAAGGAGGTTGAGACGTTGCAGGTTGCGGCGAAGAAAGCTGTTATGAGGAGTGAGATTGAGAAGAAGGTTATTGATAGTTTGAAGGCGCAGGTGAAGGAGTTGGAGGGGAAGGCGAACGGTAACGGTAACGGTCATGCTTGAGTGGTGACTGTGACTGCATTGGGGAACCAAAAAGTTAAGATATGACGATGGTGGTGATGGATGGAGAGACACAAAAAGATGCATTTGCATGGTTGGCATGTACGGTTTTGCATTGGACTTTTGATGAAGTAGTTATTGACATTTCTTTCGATTCTGCGCACATGTCCATCTGCATCTCACCCGCCGAAACTCGCAGCGCCGTACATTCCACGTACTCCAGCCAAAGTCGACACAAAAATCCACCTCGGACCAATGTCGCCCGTAGCAATCCCCCAGGCCTCCCAAGAGGTCTCCACAATCGTCAAAGATGCCTCAAAGAAAATCGACGTCGATAACGTCGTAATCGACTACATCCAAGGCTACCTCGCTGACCTCGCCTCCGATGATCCCGTTGACGATGAGTCGTATGTTGCGGCGTTAGACTTTGCGCATGAGCTTTTGGTCGATGCTGGTGGTGATGATTTGCTCGTTGCGGCGCTTTGTGAGAAGTTGAGTGAGATTTTTGAGGAGAGGGAGAAAGCACGACCGGTTGGGACTGGTGAGAAAGGGTTACAGCGGTTGGACGAGGCTGTGCAGATTGGAGCACAATCCAAGTTCTCTGCGGCTGGAAACCTTCTCGCTGGCAGTGTCGATCTCGATGCTACTGCCTCGAGGAAGATCGAGTCGAGGGTCGATAAGAAGAAGTTGGAGAAGGCGGAGAAGAAACTCAAGGCGAAGCTGGAGAAACGACACGAAGGCTCCCTCGTGAAGATCAACTACGAATCCTCGAAATTGATTGAAGAGGATCAGCAGGCATACGAGGAGTTTTACATGCAAGTCAACCCCCTCCAAATGGGTGCCTCCAAGAACAAGAGCAAGGATATTAAGATTGACGGTATCGATCTCTTCTTCACCGGAAAGCGTATTCTATCAGATGCCTCGCTCACCCTCTCATACGGACGGCGATACGGTCTCACCGGTATCAACGGAGTCGGCAAATCCACTCTCCTACGTGCTCTGTCCCGTCGTGAGATCGCGGTGCCTACACACATCACGATCCTCCACGTCGAGCAAGAAATCGTCGGTGACGAAACCACCGCCATCCAATCTGTTTTGGACGCAGATGTCTGGCGCAAATACTTGCTCGCTGAGCAGGATCGTATCACGGCCAAGCTTGCTGAGATCGACGCCAAGGTCGCGGAGAGTAAGGAGGGTGTTACGCGAGCAATCGAGAAGGAGCGCGAGAGTTTGGATTCGGATCTCAGTGATATCCATGTTAAACTCGCAGAGATGGATGCGGATAAAGCAGAATCGAGAGCGGCTTCTATTTTGGCTGGTCTCGGTTTCTCGCCCGAGGGGCAGAAGCAGGCGACCAAGTCCTTCTCGGGTGGTTGGCGTATGCGTCTCGCCCTCGCTCGTGCACTATTCTGCAAACCTGATTTGTTGTTGCTTGATGAGCCGTCGAACATGTTGGATGTCCCTTCGATTGCGTTCTTGGCCAACTACCTTAGGGGATATCCTTCTACTGTCCTTGTCGTATCTCACGATCGTTCTTTCTTGAACGAAGTCGCGACGGATATTATTCATCAGCATTCTGAGCGGTTGGATTACTACAAGGGTAACTTCGATTCGTTCTATGCTACGAAGGAGGAGAGACACAAGAACCAGGTTAGGGAGTATGAGCGACAAATGGGGGAGAGGAAACATTTGCAGGCGTTCATCGACAAGTTCAGATACAACGCCGCGAAATCGAGTGAAGCACAATCGCGTATCAAAAAGTTGGAGAAGATGCCTGTTCTCGAATTACCGGAGGAAGAGGATAAGGTCACTTTCAAGTTCCCTGATGTGGAGGGTTTGAGTCCCCCGATTATTCAGATGGCGAATGTGACGTTCGGGTATAACACCGAAAAGACCATCCTCAAGAGCGTAGACATTGATGTTCAGATGGATTCGAGAATTGGTATTATTGGACCAAATGGAGCTGGTAAATCCACGATGCTCAAGCTCTTGATCGAGCAACTCACTCCCCTCAAGGGTATGGTTCAACGACACCCCCGTCTGAGACTTGGGTATTTTGCGCAGCATCATGTTGATGCACTCGATTTGAGCGCGAGTCCCGTGACGTTTATGCAGAAGAATTGGCCGGGGAAGCAGGATGAGGAATATCGTCGCCATCTCGGTAATTTCGGAATTGTGGGTATGACTGGGTTGCAACCTATCCGCACACTTTCCGGAGGTCAGAAATCTCGTGTAGCATTCGCTTGTCTCGGACTCCAGAACCCGCATATCCTCGTCCTTGACGAGCCGACTAACCATCTCGACTTGGGTGGTCTCGACGCTTTGACGGATGCGTTGAAGAACTTCAAGGGAGGTGTCATCTTGGTTTCGCATGATGTCACTTTCTTGAATAGTGTTTGTACGAGTTTGTGGGTTTGTCAGGCTGGGACGGTTAATAAGTTTAGTGGTACGATTAAGGAGTATCAGAAGAAGGTTATTGAGGATGCTGGAGAGTCTGGTGTTGTTGAGTTCCATTAGACATGGGCTTGGCTGTGGGTGTGAGAGGGGAGCGTGGAGGAGCAAACGACGAAGAGTCACGAACTGGGAGGTTTATCGCTGCGGCTGGAAGGAGAACAAGATCTACAACAAGAGGACATCCCAATCACAATATGATTTTTAAACTTTTTGCTATGACATTCATGCTGTGATGATAATATTTCCTTCAGCGCCAGCGCCGAAATTAGAAATCCGACTCATCTCCTCCCTCACCTCCACTCCCATTCGCGTGATCTTCCTCCCCACCATTCTTATTCCCCCTTCTTCTTCTTCTACGCTTGCCAGACTTGATCTCCCCCGCCTCTTGTGCCTCCGCACTCTCCTCCATCACGCCCTCACGTGTGTTATTCTGTGCGCCATTCGCATCTTTTGGTCCAGTACTGGTTTCCTTCTTCTTTTTCTTGACGGAGAGAGGGTTGGGTGCTTTTGGTCCTAGCTTCTTCAGCCGCTTCTTTTCCTTTTCTTCGCGTGTGCGTTCGATTTCGTCAAGGGCTTCGCCACCGACGACGTTATCCTCCTCACCTTCCCTCTTCCGTTTCTTTCCTGAAAGAAGTTCCTTCTCGTATGTTGACAAGCCCAACTTCTGGCGTTCCTCCCTGAGCTTGAACTGTGCCGTCGCATCCGACTCGGGCTCTAAGATCAAGACGGCACGGTTGATGAACATTAACGGCACACCCGCTATCCCCCTCAACTCCCCTCTCAAGTCATAAGATTGCGTAGCGACACAATAGCGATGTTTGTTCTCACCCTCAATGTTCACCAAACTCCTGATACACTCCCCGGACTCCTTTGTCTTATCCCCGAAATGCCCACACTTTCTCCTCTCGAATTCTTTCGCCACATCCACCACCGCCTGTCCCTCCCGTCCCAATTTGTAGAGAGCCGCCATACAACATTGTGTTATCATTGGTTTGACATCGTCTTGCATGGTTCGGCGGAGAGCGGCCGCAACATCGATCTTCGAGGCGTGGGCGGTTTGGAGGAAGTCAGCATCCACGAGGATTTGGTAGGGGGTGCGGAACCCAAAGTGTCGGGTGTAGGAGTGGAGGAGCTTGCGGTAAGCTTTGGCGCGCTGTAGACGGGTGGTTGTTAGCAGGACATCTTGCACAACGTCCTTCAGCTTTGGCTACCTTCTGTCTCATTTTATTATTTGAGTTTTCTGGTGTAGTACTTTTTTTCTGATCGCGACCGACCGCGACAAGGCACAAGCGCTGTGCGGCCGCGGCAGCCATGATTACGGCGTGCACCCTTAATCCAGTCCAGCGGCACCAGCTCCAGCACCAGCTCCAGCATACACCCCCGAACCCAGGGCCCTCTGTTAAGCTTCTCCCGGACTTGCTTCTTGGTTAGTCGAGACGAATACATCGCGGCTCAGCCTCACTTTCGTGGACGTCGGCTTTACGGAGGATCTGTTGTCACTCGAGTTTTGTCTGTCGTTGACAGAGTTTCGCCGCCCTTCACGATTATCTATCGTTTGCATAGGTGAAACTGACCGCTATGAGTAACGTCCCTGCTGGTGCGATGCCGGATGTCGCATACCAACTGTGGCATTCGCAAGTCCAGGTCGAAGAGCGAAGGAAGGTAGTGGCTTACGTGTACGTTTCTCTTCCTCCCTGGCATCTAACGCTCTCACTAACATCCCGATCCGCAACAGTGCCTCGGCCCTCTCAAAGATGTCCGCCAAGATGGGCGTCGGCTCCGACCAAGTCGTCACAATCGCAACATCCTTCGAACGAAACCTCATGGACAAATGCTCCAACAAGAATGAATATATCACACGTGCTAAGGATCGTGTGTCGCATATTATGCAGCAGGGGAATCAAGCAGGCAATCAACCTCAACAACAACAATACGTGCAAAACACCGCTGCTGCCGCACAGGCTATGGCGGCCCAAGCGCAAGCGGGTGCGTTACAAGTACAACAAGCTGGCGGTGTTCCCGGTAATGCGGGACAAGACTTTACGATGCAGAACGGCTTCGTACCGCAACCTATGTCGCAAGCACAAAAACAGCAAATGGCACTCCAGCAGACTGCGGATCCATATCGTATGCAACAAGCATTGTTAGCGAAGCAACAGCAGGCTTTCCAGCAAAAGCAGAGATTGGCCGCCCAGCAGCAGGCGCAACAGACGCAGCAGGCTCAGCAGGCACAGCAGGCACAGGGTTTGCGGGCGAGCCCAAACGCCGTCATCATTCAGAAGCAGGCTTCTGCTGGGGCTGGTGGGCAGACTTTGTCGAATTTGAATCAGCCGCTTCATCATGCGCAGCAAGGGCAGCCGCAACAGCAGCAGCAGCAACAGGCGCAACAGCTGGGTCAACAGCAGCCGGGACAAGGGTACCCACCGAATGTCCCCATCTCGAGAGACCAGTTGTTGGCATTCGTTCGTAAAGCTCAAGCATGGAATAAGGCGCACGGAAAGGGCGAGATCCCGAAGGAGCAGTGGACGAATTGGCAGAGGTTACAGGAGATTTTGCGTTGGCAACAACAAGAAGATCAGAAAGCCCAGATTATGCAGGCTCAACAAGCGAAGCAGCAGGCCCAGCAACATGCTGCGTTGGCACAGCTTCCGCAGCAAGCTGGGCTTCAGCCTCCGCAAGGAGCGACACCGCGTGGCCAGCCGATTTCTTCCCCGGCCATGGGCCAACACATCCAACCCCATGGTCAACCCCAAAATCAACAAACAAACCCCGCCGCCGCTGCCGCTGCCGCTGCCGCCGTCGCCCAACAACGCAACCGAAATATGGCCGCCCTCATGTCCGTAACCATCCCTCCCCAATTCCGCGCCCAACTCCCCGGCCTCCCCGCCTCCGTCCAAAAATGGCAGCACGTCATCGACATGATGAAAGCTGGCAAAATGACGCGGGAGCAGACGGCGCATGTGAAGAAGGTTTGGCAGGAGCACGCGGGGATGGTGGAGAAGCAGCAGGCGGCGATGAGTGCGTTGGCGAGGCAACAGCAGCAGGCAGGACAAGTACAGCAGGGGCATGTGGGGCAGCAGCAGGGTGTGCAAGGTGTGCAAGCGGGTGGTATGACGATGCAGCAGCAACAGTTGTTGCAGCAGATTGCGGCACAACGGCAACAGCAGGCCCAGCGTGTTCAAGCTGAACAGGCAGCCCAACGCGCCGCGCAGCAACAGGCTCAACAAGCACAACAGCATGCGCAACAACAAGCCCAGTTTCAGCAGCCTAGACCCAGTGCTGGTCCTGGTTCTGGTGGACAGGTGTTCGACTTGACGTCGAGTCCGGCAATGCCGCAGAGTACCCCCGTGATGCAGAACGCTGTACCCATGCCGGAACCGAAGACTACACCGAAGAGGAAACGTGCGCCGCCGAAGCCGAAGAAGGAGGATGAGGCGCAGGCTCAGGCTGGGCAGCAGACGCCGGGATCGCAGGAGAGGAGTCAGAAGAGGCAGAAACCGGATTTGCATTTACAGACGATGCCGTCTGCGACGTTGCCTGTTGCTGCTCCAGTACAGCCTGTTGTTCAGCAGCAACAACCGGTTTCGCAGGCTGTTCAGGCTCAGCAAGTGGCACCGGCTCCGGCTGTTCCGGGGCAGCCTGCTGGTCCACAACCAGGTGCGCCTAAGTCTACCTCTATCGACTTACAACAGGTGCACAAGATTATTGAGGGTCCCAACGCTGAGTCTAAGGCGAAGATGATTCGTGACCTCGAAGAAGAGCGTGCGAAGGTGTCCAGGATTGATTTCAGCAGGAACAGCTTCTCGTTAACCGAACCGGAGAAAAAGCTTATGAGGACATTAATGAGGGACGTGCCGCAGTTCGTCCAAAGGATCAACACGATCATCATACCATTAGCATACCGCTTGGGCGAAGCCGACAGCTGGAGCAAGATGATGAAGGTCTCGCATGCTCTTGCACAGCAGCACAGGGGAATGGCGGAGGACAAGTATATCGCGAGGCCGGAGCAATTGGATTCGGCGAAGGTGTCTGTTGGGAGATTGTCGAAAGAGCTTGCGCAGAAGGCGGTTACTGGGATTGCTGAGGGTAGATTTCCGTGGCTCGGTTCTGTTAACCAGAATGCGGCTGCTGTGCCTGGACAGGTTCAAAAGCCGCCTCAGCAGGCTGTTCATCATCAGCAAGTTACTGGGTCTGCTCTCGCTGCTGCAGCAGCCGCCGCGCAACAGCAGCCTGTACCTGCTACGGGTATTTCGCCTGTTCCCGGCCAATCCCAGGGCGCGTTCAAGCACGGTCTCAAGCCTGAAGACTTGAAGCTTCCTACTGCTAAACGTCGCAAGACCCCTGGTTCAATGAGTGTCAGTCCTGCTATCGGCAGCGCTACTCTCCCGGGACAGATCCCAACCTCTGCGCCCTACGTCGACAAAGCTCAGCTGGAGGCCGAAGCCGCTGCTCAAGCCGCAAAAATCCAGGCCGAAGACGAAGAGTTTAAGAAGAGGCAAGAAGAGGCGAAGAAGAACTCCGATGCGTACCTCTTCAAGAAATGATCGAGAGCGCCATCGGTATCAAGAACGGACAGATCAAGTCGGAGAAGTCGCCTACGATTGCGTTCAGGGAGCCGCCTATTATTGGGCTTGAGAGTACCTACCCGAGTCCACCGTGGAGTGGCACGATGGCGCCTAGGTTGATTCGTGATGCGTTTGCTGGGTGTACTGATGTTTGGCATGGGCCGGAGGATCGTTTGCAGGAGATGAAGACAAAGAAGGAACCTGCTGTACCCGTTTTCGAGCCGGTCGGTGAGGAGTCGGCCAATTGGGATCCTCTTGGGCTGTTTGATGTGGGTAACTTCACTTGGGAAGGCCCGGTTGGCAAGGAGGAAGTGGAGGTAGCTGTGACTGCTGCTTCTTGATCAGGCAACCTGATTGACGAGAAGTGTGTTGCTTGAGGCTTTGGTCGCGATGTTTGAATGATTTTAACGTTAACGCTTTTGGGATGTTTCTTCTTGGGAATGCGACTGGTTATGGTTATGGATGGAGCTCTGGGGCTTTTGTGTGATTTAGGCTCGGTCTCAAAGAAAGATGAGCAGAGATTTTTAAGTGTTTGCTGACGTAATATATACGCGTGTTGAATTTCACTGTATTGTTGAACATATCCAAGTCCGTTGGCTGCCACAGCCGGTCCATATCCAGTCGCGATCAGTACGAATAACATGACGTGCGCATCATAGGCCAGCCCGGTCATGCCCATGATTCTCCGTTGCTGAATTTAGATGCACCTAGCTGCTTCCCTTCTTGCCTTTCTACGAATTTCAGTTATTATGGAAGGTTCTCTCGGTTGCCAGATTTAAGCTTAAACGGCTCGTGCGTCACGCCGCGGCGCGCCGGCGGCAAATCAAACCGACGCTAGGGCCCAGGCGAGCTTGAACGTAGACGAACAGCAGCTGCGAATGAACACAATTGATCCAAGAGGAAATTACGAAGCAAACATGCCATCTACGAAGAGTCTCACCCTTGCGAGTACGTTGAAGCTCAACGACGGGAATGAGATCCCTTATATGGGTCTCGGTGTGTGGAAATCGAGCACCTGCGACACCGCCGTGACCGCGGCCTTGAAGAATAACTACAGGCACATCGGTACGTAGCCGATTGATCCTTCGTTACCATTGCTAACGAGTGTACAGATACCGCCCGTGCATACGGTAACGAGCGCGAAGTCGGCGAAGGGATCCGCGCCTCCGGCGTTCCCCGCTCCGAGATCTTCGTCACTTCAAAAATCAACGACGAAGACCACGGCTACGACTCTACCCTCCGCTGCGTCGACGAATCGCTCGAACTCCTAGGTCTCGACTACATCGACCTCTACCTTATCCACAACCCCCGCTCCGGAACCGAAAAGCGTCTGGAGACGTGGCGGGCGCTCGAGAAATGTGTAAAAGATGGGAAGGTAAGGAGTATTGGAGTTAGTAACTACGCTCCTCGCCATATCCAGGAAATCTTGGATTTGAGCCCGAAGATCAAGCCTGCGTTGAATCAGATTGAGTTACATCCGTACTCGCAGCAACGCGAGATCACGGATTACTGTAAGGAGAAGGGAATAGCGCTCGCTGCGTATGCGCCCTTGACCCGATGCAAGCATTTTGACAAACCAGAGGTCGTTAAGGTAGCTGAGAAACACGGTGTCACGACACCCCAGGTTCTTGTTCGGTGGAACCTGGAGAAGGGGTATGTCGTGTTGCCCAAGTCCGAGAAGGAGGAGCGTATCAAGAGTAATGCGGATGCGTACGGGTTCAGCTTGGATGAGGAGGATATGAAGTTGTTGGACACTTGTGATAAGGGTGACTGTTCTGGCATGGTGTGTTCGTGGAGACCCATGAGCATTCCTTAGACTTATAGCGATATTCAAGATACCCAATAACATAGTTGATAGAAGAAACTGCCCCTCTCTCTCCCCGTTCAGAACCATCGCAAACAAGGCTGATGATGTAACCCAACAGCTCACCTTCTCCAACCCCAATGACCACAGTCAATCCTCCTTTGACGCAAGACCTAACAAATGCAGATTGTAAATAAACTCCAGGCTGAATAAAATACCCATAAACTCCTGCTCAGAAATAAAACCATGTGTAAATCGTCTACTCGTACTCTCAGTATCTTTTCAAATGTCCTTGTCCTCTTATCGCATACTTTCCCCTGCTTCCTCTCGTACACGTTCACACTACTCCTCAATCACACCGTTAAACCACTCGTGTTCCAGAACTTCCGTCATCGTCGGGCGCTCGGAGATCGTTCGGTTGAGCATCCGCTGCACGAGATCCAGACTGGCTTCGCTCATAACGAAGGGGATGCGGAGGTCTCGGTCCATGATCTCGTCAATGTTGTAGAAGGGGTTCTCCTTGTAGATCATGGTGTACAGCAAGATACCCGCAGCCCAGACATCCTGCGGCGGTCCCTTGTAATTCTCACCGCGAAGCATCTCAGGACTACAATAGTCGATCGTTCCAACGAAGGTATCGAACGGGCCGTTGCGGATGTATGTCGCACTACCAAAGTCGATCAACTTGACCTTGATGTCAGAGACTGTAAACGGCTTTCCTCCCTTTAACTTCCTCGGCGGATCGACAACGATGTTTTCATCCTTGATGTCGCGGTGGACAATGCCGAGATCGTGCAAGTGCTTCAACGCCCTAGCGACTTGAACGTAGATAGACCGGCACTCGTCCTCACCCATGTTGAGGTTCAACTCGATGTAGTCAAACAAATCCATACCAGTGCACGGCTCCATCTCGATGTAGAAGTTGGCCTCGTCCTCAAAAAACGACTGCATTTTCACGATGTTCGTATGAGGCTGCTTGTTGACAAAGTCAAGGACATGGATCTCGAGCGGGATAGTTCCGTAACCACGGTGACGAGCCCAGTTGTCCACCAGAATCTTGTCCTTGTGAACATACTTAAGGACAGCCTTGCGACTGGGCTTCCGCTTGTACCTGGCGAGCTTGACTTCTCCGTAAGCACCTTTGCCAAGTTCCTCAACGATGGTGAAATCTTCGAGCTTCTTCGGCTTATCGGCAAGCTCCTCGACTTCACTCTGCTCGGCACTCGTGTCCTGAGGCGAGATGATGGAACTCTCCGGCTGAGCAAGGGTATCGATCTCCTCAAGCTTCTCGACAACAACACTTTCATCAATGACTTGCTCGTGCTTGCTACGATTGAAGTGAGCCTCATTCATCTCACGTCCGTACGTAACCCACAAAGCATACATCTTCTTCCTGTCCGTGTCATGCTCGTTGATGACAACGCGCATTTGCACGTCCACTTCGTATGTGCCTCCATCACGGTGCTTAGCCAACAAACCACGTGGCTCCAAGAGGAGCTTCGCTTGCAACTCATTGGGAGTAATGGTCGCATTCGACTTAGATCCATTGCTCACGAGCTTGGCTCGGCGGAATGACATCTCAGGGAAGACAGCGCCCTCCTCAAAGTCCGCGTCCTCGATATCGCGGAACCAAGTGAGAAGCTCATCAAACTCCGGCAAGAACTCCGAAATGTGGGTGTTCGTCGGGTTCGGCACACCAAATAAGGCGTTTGCGAAGACGGGGTTTGAGGAAGCAATGGTCATACCATCGGCGTAGAGAATGATCATACCAGCAATATCAGGTAACGTGTGCACCTTCAGGGTGATCTTGCGCTCAATCTGCTCAACAGCGTCACTCTGCTCCCTGCGAACCTCAATAGCGCAGGGGAACGCCATGCCAGCCTTAGTCCTACCAGAGAAGGTAAAGTCTCTGGCAACCTGAGAGAAGTGGATGTTACCATCTTCGGCCTGAGGAATGCTAGGCACGTAAAGCGCCAGGTCCTCCCCTTCAGACACCTCTCCGAAACTCTTCTGAACCTCGCCAGTAGCGCTGGCAATTTTCCCTGCGACATTGACCTCAATCTCAGAAACACGCTCCTGAATCTTCTCAAAGACCCAGACAAGGTATTTGCCCTTCTTCTCCTTGCACCAACAACTTGCGCTGGCGGTCGTTCCATCCTTCCTCTTGATGGGCAGAACGTTACCGCACAAGATGACATGACCAGTGTTATCGCCACTTTCATCCTCCAAAAGACTTGCCGCAACCTGTAGATCCTCCAAGCTAGTTCTCCTGCTGGGTCCGTGCGCTGTCGGGATAGCAAGAGAGTTTGCTCGCGATCCCGCCCGAGAGGCAGAAATAATGGACGAGATAAGCTTCTCTTCGAGCCACGATCGTCGCTCCTCTGAGACAACATCAATCAAACTCGTCTTCCTAACCTCCTCATGAGTGAGACCGAACACACGTAAAGCCACATCATTCGCACTCAAGATCTTCCAAGGGGCGGAGATGCCTGTCGTAACGATAGCCTGCTGGGAGTTAACGTATTTGGTGGGTGCGGTGTGAAGGATGGGCGAATAACCCGAGTGTGCTGAAGCTGAGGTGGGTGGATCTGCCAGGGAGTAAGGCTTGGAGATAACGTCAAGAAGCTTAGTCTGCAGCGTAAGGGGACCAGTGTCGGTGTATGTTCGTTTCAAGTTCGCACGGTCCTCTGGTCCTGGTCCTTCCACGTCGATGGCCGGTGTATGTATATGCGGCACGGTAATCGTAGTGCTGCCAGTCTTGTGGCTCGAACCTGTCGTAGACCGTGATCCCTTCTTCCTCCCTCCAATCCATATCGCTTCATCATCTGACTCCTCATCAATCTCATCATCATCCTCCTTCTCAGCACCATCCTCGATGGCACTCTCTTCCTGCGTGGACACGCCCTTCGCTCGCATATAGTCATCCAAGGTGTTGCGCTCAATCGGTGCACTGCCAACATCCATCTTCACTGTATCGTTGCTGTCATTCCTCGCACTTCTCGGAATCAAGTGTGCACTCTCCAACAACCCTACAAGTTGAGCTTCTTCAGTATTCGGCGCAAGCTTGGCCTCAGCCCTCGCTTGCGCGGACGTCACACTCGGCGCCTGTAATCGGTCGCGCATGTAGTCGACGCTTTTTCTGAGCAGTGACTGACGGTGGTTCTGGAGAAGGGTGTTCGGTTCATGTGGAGCAAAGGAGAATGAATGCAGAGATTCGGAAGGGAAGCGAATGAAGTCTTCCGCCAAAGTTGCTGATGAAAGAACTGGCGATGCCGGCGCGGTCTTTGCGCCGCCAGTGCCTATCATGGCAGGGATGTTGACCTGGGAACCGCGTATACGTCGAAGGCCGTTTGCGAATGACGCGTGATCTGCTTCCTTCAAACGGTGCTCGGTCGCTCTGAACGGTCAACAGTCAGTAAACCGGTGTTAGAGAGGATACGTCATGCAACAACATACCGTCTCCACTCCGCCAAGTCCATCTGATCCGGGTCAAACCTGACTTGTCTGCCTTGCTCCAGAAAGTATGCAATCCGCTCATCTATCAAGACTGCGGTCAGCTTCCCTTCCCATCACTCGCAACCACTCCGCCGGCAGCCGAGATGCCGATTCGCCTGCAGAGAGGCAAAGCCACTCACCCTTTGGACTACTCGCGAGACTGTACGACTTGAAGGCAGACGGCATCCTGTGGACACAGACAGACGAAAACTTCGATGAAGATGCTTCAAGATGCTGGTGATTTGCGGTCAGGGCTCTCACTATATTTTCTGCTTGTCGCGTGTGCGTTGAGTCGACTTTTGGCTGCGCGCCGCAGTCACTGCGCCAGATGCGGAATATCGGTGGGATGAGACCAAATATTAGGGGACGAGACATTTTGACACCTGAGTGGGACAGCAAGCATGCATGCCGACGAGATATTGATTAGGTGTTTATAGTTCGATGAATGTATGCTAGATTGTGTTGCTTCTCGAGACGATGTAGGTGACATTCACTCGTCGTCACCTTCATCCTCTTCACCTTCATCATCATTCCTTCTTCTCTTATTTCTCCTTCCATTTGCCTGCGACGCTGCTTGCCTCCTCTGCAAATCTTCCCTCGCAGCCTCCGCCCTCTGCTCATTGATGTCCTCACCCGCGGCACCATGTAGTTTCTCAATAAGATTCTCCGGCAACGGCCCCTCTCCGGCTTCGTAGACTTCCTTCACCAGTGCCACGACACCATCCATGCCAATCTCCTTTTTCGCACGCGGACCAAGGTGGTAGTCCTGCTTGTTCTCGTCACTGGTGGGGTCTCGCGCTTTTGTAAGGTAACCAGTTCGAACCATCTTTGCGAGTATGTCTGAGGTTTGTCCGCATATTGTTTCCTCGTTGATTTGGAGTCGAGTGAGATATCGGTACAGTCCATCTGTAATCTAGGTCAGCATTCATCCCTGAATAATGTCGAGAAGACCTACCTTCTGACAGTGTTCTCCCATTCAGCATCACTAATGAAACAACCAGGTTCACCAGTCCCATAAACTGCGCATCCACATAGTTGTCTGGCACGATAATTGCCTTGTACTCCTGTGGCAGAATCGTCACCAACATCCATGACTTCGACGTCGTAGCAGCGCTCGCACTTGCTCCTTGTTTCCGTTTTTGTGTTGCAGTCAGGTGTTTCTCCTTTGCTGGTAGTTCGATCATCTCCATCCCCAGTGTTGCCCGAAGACGCTCTTGGGTTTTATCAAAGACACGCTTGAACTCCCGGGAGTTGCCTTCGAGGACTGGGTAGACGATGTCAGCAATCCTGAGCAGCTGACAGGGATACGGCATGTACCTTTCTTTCCAATCTCATCTCGTCGTATTGGTGATCTCGTGTACTCGCAAGCTATCGCCAGTCTGACGAAGTTCTTGACTAGTCTTTGCAAGTCCTGTGAAATTGTTAGACGCTGTCAAGCTTGCGCTATCAAGTGGTACCTCCTGGTTGAGCCCTCTGGAAGATCCGGCCCCTCCTTCCTCGAAGTCACCTTCTTCTTCCTCCCCTCTCCTCCTTTGCGTCTGCGTCCGCGGAGTATCGGCCTCGTCGTCCGAGTCAGCGGTCTACAAACGCGTCAGTCCCCATAGCACGCAGCATTTAACAGGCGCAACACACCCTTCGTGCTCCTCTCGGCATGATTGAATGCTTTCTGTCTTTCGAGTCTGGCGGACGCGTCTTGGGTGTACGACGCGGCTAAAAGTGCCTGGATGCAGCTCAAGAGCACTTGAGGTGTTGCAGGAGCACCCATACCATAGCAGTTGGGGGAAAATTCAAGTTGGCATTGGAGCTTGGAAACCTTCGCTTGATCCGAAAATAACCTTCAACTGATACCTCTCATAAGCATAGCCATTCCTATATGGCACCCAACCGACATCCAAATCACCTGAGACGCCCGTGTAATCCTCATATATCATGACCGGTCCCTGTCAATCCTCTATTCCTCCTGCTCTGGCTCCTCCTCATCTTCCCCTCCTTCCACATTCTCGTCATTATCTACCTCTTCCTCTTCATCACTTGTGTGCCCACTCACGTCACTATCATACTCCTCCGCAATATCATCATCACTCGCATTGCCCTCAAAATCATCATCCTCCTCATCGTCATCATCCAAATCCATCTTCTCAAAGCTCGTCGCTACAGGTCTGTTTCCTGCGATGCCCTTTGTCACCTCATTCACTATCCGGTTCATCTCTTTGTCAGGAATCTCCCCGTTCACGAGCTCAGATTTGAGCTCCGTCTTGGCCTTGCGAGCTGCTGAGAGTGATGCGTCTGTCAAGTCGTGCTTCTTGATATACCGATCAACGCCAGGATAGTCCCCTTGATCCAACATAGAGAACTCCACATCTTCCTCGTCATCTCCTCCCTTAGCGACAGTGAACACCACATTAAACGTCCGCTGCAACACGCTCGTATACGTCACCCTCCTGATCCTATCCAACTCAAACAACACAACAGGCCTCTTAAACCCAAACACCACCCCCGTTTCCAAAAAGAACAGATACCCATCCTTTGAACCACGGTGTGCAGCGACGTGGTACGCTTTCTCCCCCTTCCGATGCGCTTGGGGGATAGCGGAGACAAACTCGCTCGCCAACGAGATCACGAGCTTCGTATCCTCATCCAGCGCATCTCTCAAAACAGCCGAGATCAAACTCTTGTAACCCTTCAAATCATCCTCCGCCAAGAACCCCACTACGCTCCCCGAGAACACACCCTGCTTCGGCGCACTATCCGGCACAGTAAAGACGATACTTTCCCGTACCTCTGCATCCCCTTTACCTTCCTCCCTTGCTGGAAAGATACAAAAACTCCATTGCCGTGCGGCTTTGTCTGGCACGGGGAGGCATGCGACACTTCCTACTTTATCTAGCTCGATCATGAATTCGGCGTCTCCGCCAGCGGGGTGGGCGACGAGGTGGGTTGGAGTGATGGTAAGGGTGAGTTTCTTGCGTTGAGGGGCGGTAAACGAGATGTCTTTGATTGTGAGGAGGGCGTCAGACGTGGTAACATTGGATGTAGCAGCAGGTGCTGGAGTGTCAAGTTTGCGCTTCTTTGACGATGATTCGGATCCGTCTGAGGCAGTGTTACTCGATGAATTTGCTGCCTTTAGCGATGCGATATATGATGAAAGACGAATGAAGATATCTGCGGTTGTCATATCCGAGACTGTACTTGCGGTCAGTTCGGCAATGACTGCGCAGCGGAATAGAAGATCTCACTGATGAGCTTCTCGACTGCCGGTCTCAAATCCTCAGGGAACTCATTCAGAAAAGCCAATGGTTCCGACATTTTTGCTTGGTTGCTTGTGCGTTTGGCTGCTCGAGCTCGAATGAGGCTGATCTACGCGACTCAATTTGGCTGCAGCACGGAAGCGTGGGGTACGTGAGCACGTGAAGCACAAAAACAGGACAATTGCGGGACTTTCTTGGACGGAATTGGTATGTTGTATTCTGCTCATGCGCTTGTATGACTGCGCAATGGTGGTTACTCGTCATCACTCGCACTTCCATACCCCCCTGCTCCTCCTTCGTCCTCTGACACCACATCCGCTCCATTGACGTTCGACATAGTGTATGACACTTCCGCCTTCTGCAGCAGCCATCTAACCTCTTCCAACTCGTCCGGTACATAATCCGCAGCCTTTTCATTATGCTTATTCTTGATTCTTGGGTCCGCGCCAGCATCCACCAAAAGCTCCATGCAACTTATAGCGTCTTGTCGCTCATCGGGTTTCGAGAGGTTCTTGGCAGCGAGATGTAGTGGTGTTTCGGCTTCAATTCGAGTTATAGGGTCGACCTCGAGGCCTTCTTGGTCGAGGAGGATGTCGAGGCATTCGACGGAGGAGTACGTGGCGGTTAGGTGAAGGGGAGTGTTGCCTAAAGGATCTCGGGTTTCGTTGAGGAAATCGGCGAGCGATATACTTGCTGGTAGATTGGAAAGGACTTCGTGTAGTAGAGAGGTATTGTTGGACCGGCAGGCGGCGATAAGGACTTCCTCTGTACGTTATCATGTCAGAATGGCCTTCCAACGGAAAGCCGGGATGGCTTCATACGAGGAGAAGCGCCTTCGTCAGACATTTCGTGGTTCTCAAGAGTGAGAGAGTTTACTTGACGGGTTACTTGATCAATTGAGGCCAGCTCTGAATGTTAGGCATCGGTAACGTAGCTTTCGTCACAGGCTGATACATCCAGGGGGGCTGAGGTACGGCCGGATACGGGCTGGATACGGGGAGGGGCCATTCCTGCTGACTTTTACATTGTCACAAAGGCAATATCGAACTCTATCTACCCTATTGACCGACTCTCTTGGGGCGGTAGCTGGTTAGGGTTCACCAAGCCCTGACTGCGCAGCGCAGTTGACTCCCCGCCACACCCGCCCGCGAAATTTACGGTTTGGATTGCTCCACCGAAAGAGTCCCGAGATCCTCGTCCACCACCCAGCCCAGCAATCATGTCCGAGTTCCAGCGCCAAGTTGTCATCGACGCCAAGTGAGTACTCTTCAATCGAGCATTATCGTCTCTTCCCCGTTCCCAGATCATAAGCTGACCGTTGTCTTTTTTTCTTGTGTTAAGGGGTCACCTCCTCGGTCGTCTCGCTTCGACCGTTGCCAAGGAGCTCCTTAACGGAAGCAAGATCGTCGTGGTCCGCTGCGAAGCGTGAGTGACCCTCTTCTATACCACTTTAACCCAAATCTCCGCTGTCTCCACGAGTTCTTCGTTGCGTTGGACATGAGAGGGTAGTGAGAGCCGCTTGGCTAATACAGGTACTTTTTTACAGCATCGAGATCTCCGGCGAGTTCTTCCGCAACAAGCTCAAGTTCCACGCCTACCTCCGCAAGGCTAACCGCTTCAACCCCACTCGTGGTCCCTTCCACTTCCGCGCTCCTTCCCGTGTCTTCTACAAGACCATCCGTGGTATGATTCCCCACAAGACCGCCCGCGGTATGGCTGCTCTCGAGCGCCTTAAGGTCTTCGAGGGTATCCCCACCCCCTACGACAAGGTCAAGCGCCAGGTCGTTCCCCAGGCCCTCCGTGTCCTCCGCTTGAAGCCTGGACGCAAGTACTGCACTGTCGGTCGTCTCTCCAAGGAGGTCGGATGGAAGTACGAGGGTGTCGTCGAGCGCCTCGAGGAGCGCAGAAAGGTTAAGTCCGCTGCCTACTACGCCAAGAAGAAGGCTGTCGACGCCAAGAAGGAGACCGCCACCAAGGCTCAGGCTGAGGTCAACGGCAAGTTGGCTGCTCTCGGTTACTAGATTTTTTCTTTAGTCTAGTGACGGATTGACTGACTGGGATGTTTTGGCTCTGGGTTGAATATATCCATTCAAAAATAATGAATAATGGGCGTACGCGTCTGATCCATACTTATGTCTTGAAACATCATCATTTCCAATGACTCAATGCCCAATTAGCATACCTCTGATAGACACAGCTTGTACGTGCTATGAATTCCCCCGGCTCCTGTGCGCTCAGATGCTTATCGGCTAGGATTACCGACGCGGCGGGGTTCACGTGCCGAACCGGAAAAATCTGGCCGCAACGACGATAACCTTATGTTCCTCGAGAGACCCGGAATAGCTATAGGGTGAGCACGACGATGGACAAAGAGTCAAGAGAAAGAGTGACTGCTACTATGGCGGACGGCACGCTCGCGTCCGACGTGTCACCACCAGCTGATGCGCTGGATCGCATCGAGACCTCCGCAACCGCCAAGACCCTCTCAGAACGACCAGCATTCCTCAATTCTACACTCCATGAAATCGCATTCGTCTCAACACTCACCTTTGCCGCGGTGCTCGTTGGCGCAAACAATGGATCCATGAACATCGCACTGCCCCACATCGGCTCCGACCTTGACATCTCCGGGCCAGCACTGAACTGGGTCGTGTCGGCATATCCCCTCGTCACATCCTGTGTCCTTCTCCTCTTCGGACGTCTCGCGGACTTGTTTGGGCGCAGACGGATGATGCTCGGTGGGACAAGTTGGATGTTTATCTGGAGTTTGGTTGCGGGATTCGCGCAGAACGACATTCTCCTCGATTTTTGCCGAGGGTTAATGGGGTTGGGTGGGGCTGCGATGTTACCGTCTGCGATTGGGCTTTTAGGACGTGCGTATCAGCCTGGACCCAGGCGGAATAAGGCGTTTGCGGCATTTGGAAGTGGTGCACCGCTTGGGTTTGTTATTGGGTTGATTGTTGGGGGTATTTGTGCCGAGTGGATCGGGTGGAGGTGGATCTTTCATATTGTTGCGATCTTGTGCTGTTGTCTTACGGCACTCACGTTCGTTGTCATCCCTCGCGACGCACCAAGACCCGAGGGTGCAAAGAAACCTGTGGTTGACTACCTTGGTGCTCTCCTTTCGACATCGGGACTCATCCTTCTGGTTTACTCTTTGACCGCCGCTCCAGATGCTTCACGCGGCTGGAAGACACCTTACATCATCGTCCTCCTTGTCATCTCCGTCCTCCTCCTCGCATCCTTCCTCTTCTGGCAACACAAAATGGGCATGAACGCGCTCATGCCACTCTCCATCTGGAAACTCCCCTCTTTCGCTGCTGTGAACGGCGTGGTTTTCCTAGGGTGGGCAGCATTCGGTATCAACTCGCTTTACGCCACGCTTGTCTTTCAAGATATCGAGGGTAATCGGCCGATTTTGACGACGGCAAAGTTCTTGCCCATGGCGATCGTGGGAACACTGGTCAATGTCATCGCGGCATTCATCGTTGGACGTATCAAGGGAAGGTATATCCTCCTCGTCGGACTCGCTGGATTTACGATTGCACCGATGCTCTTCGCGCTCTGGCCTCGTGGGTTAATCTACTGGGCCATGCACTTTCCCGCCCTCTGCCTCATCGTCGTCGGTGCGGATCTTTGTTTCAATGTCGCGAATTTGTTCATTCAGTCATCTGTCCCACCCGAGTCGCAAGCGCTCGCAGGCGGTATCTTCAACACTGTTACAAACTGCGCTACCTCCTTCGGACTCGGCCTTGCTGCTACTGTTTCTGGTTCAATCACCGGTGATTCTACGGATAAGGCGGCTTTGCTAAAGGGATACAGGGGCGCGTTCTGGTTAGGAACGGGATTGAGTGCAGTGGGGTTCATCTGTTGTTGCTTGTTCGTAAGGGTGGGAGTCGCGGCGAAGAGACGGGGAAAGGTTGAGCCGAAGCCGAAGACGGAGGAGGAGATGGTTGCGGAAAACTTGGCGGAGGAGAGTGGGGTGAAGACTGGGATGGGAAATACGGGGGAGCTTTAAGAAATGGGAAGTGCATGTGCATTCAACTGCGGGAAAGAAAACGGACCAGGATATCGGAGTACCTGATTTATTCAACATTATAGACCCGGATTATACCCAATTGGTTATTTGGCTTCACCTTGTGCCGCGAAAGTCAGGTTGAATCTTCTGCATCTTGACATCGACGGCGTGCGACATGTACATCCGCATTGACCGGTCCGGACCGGCCGGTAATCCAAACTCCAGAGCCAAGAAAAGGCCTTTTGGCACAGATATCCATGTGATCTGTCAAGTAACATAAAGAGGGTACTGTTGGGAAGCTGAGGCAAAACTGCCGAGAGATAAGCCCAAGGCACATTGATGTCACACGCTCTCTCAATTCACCAGCTGATCAATGTCATCCCCGTAATATAAAATGCTCCTCTGCTCAGACACTTTCCCTTCTCCCATACCCTATACCACTGAACCATACTGAATTAAATCTACCCATCATGGTCGACAGGGACCCGAATCAACCGCCCACTGCATCCCACCAACAACGCGTAACAGACGAACAAGGCATCATGCGTTGTAAGCACGGCGAGGAGACCTGCCCGCAGTGTCTGTGCGATTTTTCGGAAGATAACCGGATCGTGAGGGGTGAGAAGAAAGGGGATATGGAGGGTGTGAAGGCGGAGCAAGTCAAGAGCAGGGTAAGTCCATGGATGTTGAATATAGAAAGAATCGGTAATGCTGACTGTGGATGCGGTAGATGGCTGCAAATGCTAATGAGTTTAGGGGTAACGAGTGAGGATGTTCTTGCCCAGAAGTGGGGCGCCTTTCTGTGTGTACGATAGGATTATGGAAGTGATTTCTTGGGCCGACAACATATCTCATAACCACATCATCCGGCAATCGCCCTCTCCAACCCTTCCTCCACATCTTTTTGGGATACACTGTCTTTATGCTTCGATCCACCCGTCCGTAAAAAGAGCGTCTGATCTTGATTCACCCGTCTCTCCACCGTCTCCTCTTCTCGTCCCAATTCCTTCACCACATTATTCCACTCATCGGGCGTATTTGCGTTCCTCAACCATTTTTTGTGATTTGGTTGAATGTATCCAGGGATATCCGTCGGTCCCTGCCCCTTCTTCCGGCCGAGGAGGTGTCGTACGGTAAAAGCTGGACCTGTCTTCCCATCCGCGACGTTCGCTTTCAGTGTCTCCAGTGCATCCGGTGTCCATATCGCGAACAGCGGCTCCTCAAACCCTTCGTGGTTGTAGAAACATGTCACGGGCGTCTTTGTGTTTTTGTGCGCTTCCACCAATTGTTCCAGCGCTTCCTTCGCAACGAGCGGAAAGTCAACTGCAAGTACCAACCACGTTGCGTCCGGCACCTTCTGATGTGCAGATAGTAGACCTCCCGCTGGCCCTATATCACGCCATTCAGGTTTGTCGTAAACGTAATCAACACCATCGATATACTTCAGATCAAGGAATGGCGATTGTGTTGAGCGGAGGGACATGCAAGTTCGATCCCCTGTCAGATCTCGAAGCAAGCCGAGGTTATGTGCGTACAGAGGACAGTGAGTTGGAGGTATTTGCAATAAGAACTTGGGTGTCCTCATCCGTGTGGACAATCCACCCAAGAGGAGGAGGGAGTGGAGCGGTGGGTCGGTTGCGTCGGGCATTCTGTATCGAATGATCCCTCCAAGGACTGGTCAGAGAGAAATGGTTCAAGGATGAACGACAATTCACGTCAGAGGAACGGCGATGAGCGGATCCATTTGGGTTGGTTGAAAGTCGTCTTTGTACTTGCGCAGCCAATCGCACTGGGGTCGGCCGCTGATGCACTGTGACGCGTGAGACCACGATCGGTAGACCAGCAATTATAAGGGAGGCGACAAAACGGTTAAAGTGAATAAGGTAAAACTCAAAGAGTCTGATGTAGCAACGGTCTCTTATCACCAGTCAACCTCCTCGCTCGATCCGGTACCCTTGAGTCCCTTGGTGTAGCTCTCTTCGCCCTTGTAGTTGACCTGCAACCTACTCTTGACCCTGTTTGAAATCCATTCTCCACTCGTAGGGTAGTCCTCGGGGTTCTGGCTTGCGTCTTTCATCTCTTGAGTCACAAGTGGACTCGGAATCGGAGCCAAGCGGACGTCGTTGTCGGGTCGTGAGAAGTAAACGATGGACTGACGGATACATTGGGCTTGGGCAGCGGGAGGCGTGACAACGCGGTGCTGGTTGCTACGGAGGACTGAACCTGTCATCTTGACGAGGGCATCTCCGAGGTTGATGATGGCTGTCCCCGGGAGTGGCTTGACGAACAACCACTCCTTATTCCCTGGAGTCAGTACCTGTAAACCGCCGAGACGGTTGAACAGCACCGTGACACTGCCGTAGTCCGTGTGCGCCATGGTGTTGGGATCCATAGGGCTTACTCCCTCCGGCGGCGGATAAGCCCGTGTGAAACGCGCTTGATCACCGCCGAGACGATCGATGCGGTGGAGGTTACCGAGGAACTCGGGGTTCAGACCAAGATGAATGGAGAGCGTCCTCAAGACAGCCTCGACGACATTATGGCAGCCTGTCATGAATGATTTGAGGACCACTGGGTTCTCGGTGACCACACGAGGTTGAGGAGCCGGGTTAGGATCGACCCCCAGAACTTGATCTTTCGAAATCTACAAGGACTTGTCAACGACGAGAGCTGTATTGAAGATGTTAGTTACGTACGTTTAGGAACTCGGTGCGGTCAAGGGTGCCCTTCTTGTCGATCACGAACGCTCCGGACTTTTTGTACCCGAAGTAATCTGTGCGTTTCCGTCAGCATATTCCTTTCAAGATAATCGATGACACGCACTTCCAGTAGCACCCATATCGTACTTATCCTTCTCCTCCTGGCTATATCCAAAGAACTCATCCGCCAAATCCCACATGCTCTCACTGTTAACCGGCAAGTCCTTCAAGTAGAAGAACCCCAATTCATGACAAGCCTGGAACATACGCTTCTTCTCTTCATCTCCGGCAGGGTCGCCGATGGGACGAGTCAGGAGGTCGTAGGAGATGAGGAGGAGGGGGATGGTGGGGATGTCCGTGGGAAAGGGAGGGATGCTATCTTTGGTTGTAAGTATTCCGGGCATGTTCTTGTATGGATGAGTTTGGGCTAGAGCGGAACTGCATTGAGGTTCCTTTTATGATGAAGAACGGGCAAGGTCATGGGAACACCTGCCCCTCCTCCATCAGACAGTCGTAGACGCTTGTATGGATCCGGTTCGGATAGAACGGCAAGCGAACGTATGAAGATCGATTCTAACCAGACGGTCATTAAATTACGCGGGTGTCAGAGGAAACGCTGTGAATCTCGTTTACATTGCACGGGATGCTCATGTGCTCCAGTGCGAAAAGCGGGGTGCGCCATATCGATATCCGAAGCATCCGTTGCATCTCAACATAATCACTTGAATCAACTTTGAAGATATATTTCTATATTACTCCAAAATTTACTCGGACTGGTTCTTGAAGTAGGCCAACAAGAAAGAGAGAGCCTCAGACTCCTCTCCGAAGTCCTTAACGACGACGGCGGAGCAGCCAACGACCTTGCGGGGGTTACCCTCACGGTCGAGCTGGCAGAGACCAGCCCACTCACCGAGCTTCTTAGCGTCAGAGACCTTGATCAAGTTGATGTTGTGCTCAGCGCAGAGAGCCTCGACAAGGCGGATGTAAGCCTCCTCAGTGCAGGACTCGCAGAGAACGCAAAGGTGGGCCTGGCGACTATTACGCAAATATAGGTTAGCAACTGGGCGACAAGGCTTCATCTTCCCGGTAGAGGTAAGGGTACGTACCGGTCCAAAGCCTTGGCGGCCTCACGGAGACCACGGGCAAGACCATCGTGGATGAGAGCGCGCTTGAGGACCTCCTTGAGGGCGTCCTCAACGGTCATGGTAGCGGAGCCAGCGGTGGCAGCAACCTCAACCTCCTCAGCAGCGACCTGCTCCATGGGGACATCATCTAGCCAAAAAATGTCAGAATTGATCCGGGAAAAAAGCTGCCGATAGCTCGAACAAGCTGGAATCAATTGAACATACCTCCGTGCTCAGACATGTTGATTAGATTATTTGACGGTGAGACGAAGAATCTTCTGTACGGGGGAAAAAGTTCGCACAGCTCGAAGACGGCGATTTGCTTTTGTCGCGCTGGGCGCAGGCGAGGCGCAGTTTTGTAAATGCAGGGGTTGCATGAGGGTTTGTGCAATAGAAATGGATATATAAATTTACTATCCTAGGGGACAATTTTTGGATTTCTTTCGTTTGCTATACACTCCTTCTCTCGACTTACTGCGGAGGCGGCGGAGGAGGAGCAGGCTCGCTCGGTGGAGGAGGAGGGTATGCACCACCGGCAGGCGGGGGAGGTGGAGCACCGTAAGCATCACCCCCAGGTGGCGGAGGGGGAGCGGCAGCTGCTGCACCGTAGGCATCGTACCCAGGTACAGGAGGAGCGGTGCCGTACGCACCATAACCTTGAGCAGCCTGAGCCCAGGGAGCGGGAGCACCAGCACCCATACCCGGAGGCGCACCATATCCACCAGCAGCAGCTCCGTATGCATCAGGTGCACCATATCCAGGAGCCGGAGCGGCAGCCTGTTGCCAAGGCGGAGGCGCAGCACCACCTTGTCTGTCTTGCTGCTGCCAGGGAGGCAGGTTGTTCTGTTTGGCCTGTTGCCATGGAGGAGGCGCGCCGGCACCGCCAGCGTTCTGCTGAGCCCAAGGGGCCACAGAGCTGTCGCCACCAGCTGGACCCTCGATACGTCCTGCAATTTGTCCAGATCCACCGTGTCCAAGCTCCTGCATAAGGGACGCGTACTCTCTGTCCACCGCATCGCCCTGGTTCCGTGCGTAAGGATCATTACGCTGAGTACAATCACGAGCCATGTGTCCTGCGTTACCACAGATACGACAGATGATGTTGGCGGTGTAGTTGCGCTGTTCAGGACAGTCGTACTTCCTGTGACCCTTGTTTCCACAGTTCTGACAGATTTGGTTTTCGTCATCACGAAGTGTTCCGTTCAACATAGCGAGCTCACGCAACTGGTTACGCTTGAGGTCGTTTTGTCCTTCAGGAATGGACGCAGCGGTCTCAATGATTTTCTCGATCGCTGCAATGGCTTTCTTGATCTTGTCTTCCGAGTCAGCCATGACGAGACAGTGCAAATCCTCCTCCAAGTTGGAGTTAGCAGCTGCATCGCTCCTTCCCTTTCCTTCTTTCACGGATCCCTTTCCACGAATAGCAATCTTGGCGCCAGACTCGGTTTCCATCTTCTTCAACGTGTTACCACGAGGGCCGATAAGTAGACCGATAAAATTGATCTCGGGGTAGTCATTGACCGGAATGTAAATCTTCTCTTGCGTCTTGGTCGGACGGCGGTAATCAGCAGGAGGCTTGAAGTCCGGAATGGTGCGCATGGCCTTATCGACCAAGCGGTGTCGTTCGTCTTCGAGCTTTTTGCGGTAACGGACTTCACGGGTGTTTGTCCTGCGACCGAAACTGTCGTATTGAGGAGCCGGAGAAGGAGATCTCTCGTCATCCGGAGGAACGACATCGTTGATCTTTAATTTCTGGCCAATTTCCTCCAATCGCAAGTGCAACGCGTATGCTTCCAATTGCTCACTGGTCATGTTACTGGTAATGGCCGTGGGCAATCCAATGAGCCCAAGGGCTTTGTTGTCATCGGCGGCCCCCCATCTGTTCTTCTTGCGACGCCTGGGCTCGCGGTCATCCGAGCGGCCTCGCTTCTCGCCAGGAATGAGATCATCGGCGGGCTTGTGCGGCTCAGCAGGCGGCGGTGGAGCTCTGTGGACGGGCGACGGCGGGGGGGGAGGGTACGCGGTGTCCGGCGGCGGCGGCGGGGCAGAGGCGTCCTCGTCCGACTGGGCGCCGAAGCGACGGCGGTTTCCCAGGGGGATGTTGTTGGTGCCTGTGCTTCCTTGACTGCGCCAACTCATGTTGCTGTTGCTGTTGCTGTTGCTGTTGCTGCTGCTGCTGCTGTTGGCTGGCGATGGGTCGGGGCGTGCTCCGGCTGCGAGTGTGCCAGGCACTCAGGAACAGGACCACACGTCTACCCTGCGCCGCGGACGGCTCCCTGCAAAAACACACACACTCACACACACCTGCAATGGCTTCGGGTTATGGAATGAACGGCGGCCGCTCAAGATGCTTCCCCTTCTGGCAGGACTATCTGTGCGTGCCACGTCCCCCCCCCCTCTGCTCTCGCTGGCCGTTGCTGTCCGAGGGGGTCCACGACACGGACGATCGCTGACCGTGGTGGATAGTGCGTGCAATGCTCAGTCTGAGAAGGCCGGAGAGTGTGCTTTGCCGCTGCAGGATTACATGGAGTGCTTGCACCACACTAAGGAGGTATGCGATTTGTGTTACATGGGTGAATAAACTGAGACTATCACCTCCGCATTCACTCCAGGAACCTTCTTCGTGCATTACTGACCATTCTTGTCTTACAGAAAGCACGCGTTCGTATGATCTCGAGCGAGCTTGCTCGCCGGGAGGCTTTGGGTGACAAGATCGACGGTATCTCCATCGAGGACTTGGACAAGGCTACCACTACCAATGTACCAAGATTGAACATTTTGCAAGGAAAGAACGAGGCTACGGGCGCACCAGAAGAGGCGACTACGGGTGGTTCTGGACTAAGTAATTGAGCGGGAGGAGTAAAGGTGCAGCGATGTCCCAATGCATTCACGGGAAACATCATCTGATGAAAGAGGAAAGAAGAACAGTGTATGCTATATATATCAACGAGGATTCATTCACACATATGCACGTTTCTTTCCGTGATACTATTCATAGCAGTGGGGAACAAAGCACCGGGGCTACCCCTGAGCCTTACTCGCCCAAGGTGCACGCGGGTCCATGCTGTTACAGAGCTCAACCTGAACACCTTCACTGCGACAAACAACAAGGAGCCATAGACGGCTGTCTCTTTTGCTCGAGCTTAGTACGGCTGCGAAAGGTCTCGCGTGTGTGTATGTACCAGGCGATCTCGGTGTCTCTGTCCATTCCGACAGGTTACCCCACTTCCACCAGACAAAGTCGCAGCGCTGGACGCTACCTTTGATTGAGGCCAAAGCTGGACTTTTGACCTCGAGCGTTTTGCAAGATATCCGTTATATCGTTAGAAGAGTCGGTGTGTATGCTATCACCACCGACTGCGAGAAGCACGTACATGATGCTGCCTCGAACGTCACCTCCCCTCTCCTCGTTTTCGAGACAACCGCAGACAGATTTACAGACGTCAAATGATCCGACACACCGTTTGCCATCCCCAAATCCGAGCAACAAGTCGAAAAAGGGCCCGAGGAATATGAAGAACTTGTCTCTGAGTGTTGGTCCGTCGTCGCCTACCTCGGGAGTGATGTCTATGGAAAGTCCGACATTATCACCCCATGCGACAACCCCGGCCTTCTTCCCACCATCTGCACTGCCGAAACGACGACCATCAAACTTGGCGCTCAACACTGGAGTCATGAGGAGTCCCTCTACACCTGACCTAAAGAGTCCAGTCGGAACGCGGGGAGGGGTCCCGATGTCTTTGTTTCGATCAGCTTCTGCGACACGCTCCTCTGATGAGGGTCTGCCATATTTCAACGGACCGCGACTTATTGCGCCGAATGTCTGGCTATACTCTGAACCTACACGGCAAATATGCGAGGGCTTCGATGTAGTCATCAACGTTGCAAGAGAGGTTCTCGATCCCTTTGTTCCAACCGAACTTCCTATCCTCTCGACCTCAGGCTCCGAAAGTGGATCGTCCGATTTGGGATGCGCCTGGCGTGGTGAATACGTGCATATACCCTGGGAACACAACACGTCCACTTTGGTTTCGGAATTACCGTCATTGATCGATCTCATCAAGACCAGCGCCGAACAGGGAAAGAAGATGTTGGTACATTGTCAGTGTGGAGTGAGTCGGAGTGCCACCTTGGTTATTGCGTATATCATGCGGGAAAAGGACATGAGCTTGCACGATGCGTATGCGTATGTGAAGGAAAGGTCGCCTTGGATTGGCCCTAATATGGGGTTGATTTACCAGTTGAGTGAGTGGGGATTGATTTGTCGGCAACGTTCATTGCAACCACTGCCGGAGCCTATGTCGAGTACCGCGGACCAAGAGAAGAAGGCGTTTGATGTGAGCGTGCTCGAGGGATTGAAGAGCCCAACGTCGCTCGTTCCTCCGCCAACGCTCGGCTGGGGAAATCTGGAGGCTCCACCAGTGGCGCCCGCTCCATCCATGTCGCGAAGCGGCAATTTTACCCGGCCAACATTGCCCGCCCGAACCCGCAGTGCGGAAGCACCAGAACCCTTCGCACCGATGGTGGGGACGCCTATGACCGATATTTATACGCGTATGGAACGTGCCACGACGGTTGAGAATACTTCATGGCCAGTCGTTACAGCACCGATTGTTGAAACGCCCATGACAGATATTTTCACACGATTAGAACGCGGGGAGGCACAGACGCCTGTCACGACTGAGGGCGTAATTATGGATGAGCCGGAAGTTATAATAGCTGGGAGGGATTTGGGTGTCATTCAGGAGGTTGAGATTGACCCAAGAAGTCCCAGAGCTGGTGTGTTCAGTGGGCAAGACGTACCTGAAACACCGATGCAAGCAAACTTTATGAGTTTGATGGAACAGGAGCGATAGGGGAGGCTTGAACATTTTCGAGCTAGGACAGGGAATGGGTCAAGGTTTGTGATTGGTGATTTTTTGATTGTGGGTCCGGATTTTGTTTGGTGCTGATTGCTTGGAGTCGATTGGGCTTATACCTGTTATGGCTGCTTACATTGCGCATATTTGAATTGAGGATTGATAGTGAATGTCTAAGATGTTCTCGTTACATGACATGAGGTTGTGATGTACCGATATATTGCTGAGAATCAGGAGTTGCGTACTGGGAACTCCCCTGATGAAGACCGTCATATAAGGGGTACGTGCTCCGAAACCTCCAGCACGCGTACGATACCAACCTTAACGAACTGTAAAACAGGGATGGTTTCGCAGTGCAATATGCCGTTTCGTTCCGGACGATGGGATTAGAAGATGGGGCGAGGCCGTCATGGCCTGGGCCGCATAGATAACGTCAACCTTACCGCCCGGCAACGGTGCGGCATTCATCACGGAGCAGAGAGGCTTCGGGGAGGAGACAGGAGCACTTTACCCGAAAGGCAGAATTGAAATGGGCGAGTGGGGCAATGGACTGATAAAAAGGGGTGTGCCCCAACCCAAAACCTCGTCTACTCGGCTCGACTTTGCTCTCTTGACAAACATGGTCCAGTCAGACGTCGCTTCACACCGTTACGACGGACCCTCGGCTACTGCGACTTTCTTCAAAAGCGCCTTTAAGTTCAAGGGCCTTCGAAAGGCCAAGTCGTCTTACCTTGGCGATGAGAAGCTTGCCACGCGGTACCCTCCTCAGATGGCTCCAATGCCTGAGCTTCAACCGTCGCCAGCCGTGAGGCCCTTGCAGCACAAACCCTCTGCACGAGGTGATTTGTTCCAGAAGTTTGGTTCGAGTTTGAAGTCCTTCTTCAGGCCGAAGGTAGAGCACACGAGGCCTCTGGAGAAGAACTTTGTGCCCCATGCCGCGGCAGTTCGGGGGTCCGAGAGTAGGATGGCGATGCAAGACAAGAAGAAGGAGATGGTCGCGCCAGAGGACTGCGAAAACATGAATTGGGCATCTTACATCAAGGCCTACGCGAATGGTTTCATCAGTACTTCTTCGCCTCATCACCCCGCCACGGTGCCGAAGGGTTACGATGGTTATCTCAAAGGTACCGTTGTTGTGCCCGCCAATGACAAGGACCGTGTCGCGACTCTTCGTTCTTATGCAATTATCCCGCACGAAGGTGACCCCGCCGTCGCCGTTCAGCCCGATGATTCTGATAATTCAGGACCACCTTCGCCGACCTCCTCCAGGGGTTTGCAACCACCTCCTGGAGCGAAGTCTCCAACCACCAGCGTCTCTTCGGCTAAGAAGAAGCCCAAGCAGTCGCTCACCAAGTTTCAGCAAATCGTTACCGCCTGTCGGCGTGAATTTGCTGCGAAGACTGTCCTCATCAGTTTAGTCGACGAAAAGAAGCTCTTCTTCAAGTGCGAGCTTGGACTTGGAGTGCCTACCGCAGGGCGCGATGTAGCTTTCTGCGGCCACACGATTCTCTCTCACGAACCGATGGTTGTGCCGGACATGACCCAAGATTGGCGAATGTGTGGAAATCCCTTGGTTACGGGACCTGCTTCGTTCCGAGCGTATGCCGGAGCACCCATCATCACACCGGATGGATATGCTATTGGTACTGTTTGTGTGTTGGACACGAAGCCTCGTCATGATTATGGGCCCAAGGAGGTTGCAAGGTTGGTTGAGTACGCAGCCATGGCCATGGACGAAATCGAGCGGAGTAGAGCTGACCGGGAGGCTCAGCTTCAGAACGAGATGAAAGAGAATCTAGACGCGTTCCATGGAAGGTCGAGTCCTGTCGTTGGACGCCCTAACAGGCTTGGCGCGTTGAACGGTGCCAGTGTTGTTGCGAGGAGGGAGGAGGGGAGTGAGGAGGACATGCACTTGCCCTCGCCTATCCACTCTGATGACGGTAGCGGTCGAGCGTTACTGTCGCCTGGCCATAACGCAGCACCTGGTTCAGCTTCTGCTCCGGTTTCGCCCAAGGAGAGCAAGAAGCTCATGCAACCCCCTCAGCTCGCTTGCCATTTCATCGCCAAAACTCTTCGTCTTGACTTCGTTTATATTCTTCATCTCCTGACTGAGGTTCGTCCAGTTTCTTCGGGTCCAGAAGGCAAGAAGCAGCGTGTCAAGACTCATGTTCTTGCGTCCGTTGGTATGCCAACTCCTCCGCCCGTCTTTGACACGGGCCTTCATGTCCGTACACTTCGCTCGAATGGCGGATTGAACTATCAAAATGAGGACGAGGACAGTGAAACGAATGTCAACCCCTTCAAAGTCGGTTTCTTGATGCCCCTCTGGCAAGATGCCCCTGACAGCGGAGTTGTTCTTTGTGGATTTTCCCGAGGCCACCGTGCTACTGGATACGGGTTTACCAGTGATGAGATCAAGTATGTGAAGGAGTTCGGGCAGACATTGAAGAATATTCGTGACGGGTAGGTTCGTGCTTGATCCGTCTCTTTGAGGATGGGTGTATCTATGTTAGGGAGCTGGAAATTGGGGCGTTTGCATCTTGCTATTTTGGTCTATAAATACTACCAGGGTCGTGTCCTCAATCGTGAGAGTCAAATTGGACGAACTATTTTTGAAATACAGTAAGAAGCACTCCTGCACTGCCGCTATATGGCCTCCAGATTCTGAACGGTTTCCTCTCTTCCTCCCCGTCGATTTCTGAGTCTCCGGATGAATCGGGCAGGTGGAGCCTGACCTTCACCTCAGTCATCTCTTTGCTCCATGTGTCCCCTTTCTCAGTCTCGCTCATCTGCAGGCCATACGTTAGCATGTGGAATGCTATGCGTTCGTGGACTCGCCTTTTTTATGACGGGATAAATAAGAGCAATTGAAGTAGTATCCTTCTTGCTTATTGCGATTTCAAGCGCCTTCTGCAGATCTTTAGAAAGACTCTTGGAGTGTGTCGCCAGGTCCGATGTCCAGTCAGGATTGTGTCGACACAGCTGCGTGGAGCGAATGGTTAGTAACCTCAGAAACCAGTTCATTGACTCACTTACCCAGTGAAGCAGCTTCAGCATCGCCAACTTAGTGTCAACATATTTCTCAGCCCCACACGATTCACACGACCCTTGAAGGTATTGTCTGAGCAAACCGTGTGCTAGGGTCTGGAACCACCGATTCTTGAGCACGTGCACCACTACAGCTCTTGTCAGCAGATTCACTTCGGTTAAATGGAGAACCCTTACCTAAAGCTGTTGTCTCCTTCCCGTTCATCAGGGCTTGCAAGGTGTAATTGACAGCAGGGAGCATGGTGCACGCTACATGGGTCTCCAACTGTTTTAACTTCCGTTAACCTGGATCAACTAGCTCTGCCTGAATCTTCTGACCTCGCTTAGCAGGACCTCCCTTACCATATCCACAGCGTCGCAGAGCACGTCCACTTTCGCCCGGTTATCAGGCATCCACACTTCTCTGCTCGCATTTAAGAAGTGGCATATTGACCAAATTACAATTTTGTACTCCATATCTCCATCCATAATTGCCGAAAGGACGTTCACACAGTCATTTGTCTCGACCTTTCCTCCTTCGTCGACCAGAGCGGCAAGGAAACCGAGTGCAGCGGCGAAAGATGCGGAGTACAGCTGCATCATTGACGGTGAGTCAATATGACGAAGAACGTCGTCGCCACAAGGTAAAGTGATATGAGAGACGAGGGCCGGGAGCAGATAGGTTTGTGAGGCGAGGAATCTTGCTTTGTGGGATACCATGAGCACAGAAAATAAAATGCGGGACCCTGACATACATATCTCGGGACTTGACCCCACCATAACTGTCAGATACTGCGTGATGCCCATGACCGTCTCCACCGCCCGAACGAACTTATGGCTTTCGGTCATGTCCGGCCCAGACTTGTACAAAATGCCTAAGGTGGAGAGGTCTCGAAGAAGAACTTGTACCACTGAATAACAAAACCATCAGTCGGACTGCTACAATTCGTTCGGACTGGGTATCAGGTACATACATAAACCAATGTCACGTACAGACAATTCACTGCCAGATGCACAAGCTTGCAAAGTTTCCATCTCAGTGGCACATAGGGCCTCGACAGCTTGACTCCAACCTGCGCAGGCAATCAGACAAAGACCTGGAAGGTGACGAGTAACGTACCCCAACTCGGAACCCATTCTCTTTCACATTTCGAAAGCACATGCAATAATGAGCTCAGATAGGAACAACTTTGCTTCATAGCGGTGCTGGCGAGCTTAGGTATATCACAGAGGATGCAGAATAGCTTTCCCGGCTTAGATTCAATTGCACTTGACGGGCTAAGCCGGGTCGTCAGAAGGAGGAGAATACTCTGGGTTTTCCACATTAGCTCCTCTCGCCTGTTTTCAAGGCGTAGCTACTCGCCTCGGCAACTAACAGCCCCTGGGGGTTGCCATTCAGCAGTTGGCTGAGTTCATCTTGCCTACCCTCACCTCCTCTGCCGTAAGCGTCAAGCATCCATGCCATAGTCTAGATACAAGTCAACGTGTTGTACTCATGGGAAAGAGCCCACACATACCAGCTCCCGCACAACCTCATCGCTCGCTCCTGCATTCCACATCCATGGAACCACTACAGTAGCTTTTCTCAACAACAAACGTCTAACTATTTTGCTCTGATCACCAAATACTGCGTTTTTAAGTAAATGCAACAGTCGCTGAGCTGTATGCGGCCTATACTCCTGGTTTGCTGATTGATCCACCACAATGTAGACTGTGGCGAGGAGTGCGGTGGAGATGGGCGTGAGATCATCTGGGGACTCGGCACGGCGAATGTAGGATCCCAGACAACCAGCCAAGGATTCAAGAAACGGGCGCGGATAGCCTGTGCCGGAAAGTATGGTAAGGTAGGCTATGGAGAGATTGGCGGAGAATTGATCCGGGCTTGGTACCGGCGTGAGTAGGGTTTCCAGCGAATCTCACGAAGACGTGTCAGCCTTTCTCCTCTCGGCACTGTTTCTATCCCTTACCAGGTAAATCTATCTCCAGTGGAGGTATACGCGCCCATTTCAATAGGCTTCCGAGTATCTTGACAGCCTCGCACTGCTTTTGAGATTGCAAAAGTACTCCAAGGACCGCGTAAGAGCACAGATGCTCCATCAACGGGTTCAATACACCACGTTCCCCAAGTCCCAGCGTGACGATTTTGGAGATGAAAGGCAGAAGCTCACGAATATTACGTATGTTGAGTAGTATCACGTCAACGGCTTCGGCGACCAAGTCGGTTTGCCTGGGGTCAGATGGTGTTTGAATGATGAATGTGGCCTTCTCGAGCAAGGCGATAGCTAAATGCGGAGCTGTTAGCGTTGCCGAAAACCAATTTCAATCCAAACCAACCAAATTCTCTCTTTTTCTCTGAGAGTTTTGAAAGAGGGCTGTTGGCCTCGATGACTCGAAGGGATTCTCTGCTGCGTTGAATGGTGGTTTCCTTTGTGCCGGCATACAATTTCAAAGCGGCACAGGCAAGGTTCTGGAACCAAGAGGAACTTGTACTTTCGTCGAGATCTACAGCCTTGATATGTCAAAACAAGCACTGTCTGCAGGGTTTGTGTAGGTACCCAATAACCGCTGCAAAACCATCCGCCATTCGCCTTCTATCACGGCTGTTCTGTCCTTTGGCACGGTGGCCCCAACATCGTCGTCGGACTCAAGTGCCTGCAATTGACTTTAGCCGGTAGCTGAGAGAGGACTGTCATGAAGCTCATTACCTGTAGTATCCTGGCCAATCCCGCCTCATCGAACGGCACAGACGCATACACGCGGAGAGCTTGGAGGAGAAGTCTAGCAGGACTTTCTGAAAGGCCCATTGTCGCAGTTGTATCGGCTTCGAAGGTGCTGGCTGGCCAAGCTATTTGCACTCATTGACTGCATTGAAGAAGTTCAGGAGGTGTTGGTGTGGAGTACGCCGGGGCCGCTTTACTTGTCTGGGGAATTAAGGTTTGTGCCTCACATGAGCTCAAACTCTATTCCACCGAACAAGCGATGTCGTCTCGTGGTTTGTTTACATGACGCGTTTCTCGCGTTTACTCTTATTTACTTTCGTTCGCCATCTAAACGGTTTCCTTTATTCTTGCACACCTTGCAATTGACATCATTGCACGTGCCGTCGACCGTGACCGTACGGGAACCCAAATTCTTGTACAAGTAAACACAGCAACCTTTGGCAGCAAGATCAAGGGCATAGAGGTCTGCAATGTCAGATCAACAGTCAATACCAACATCAAGCGGATCGCTATCGCCCTCGCATGCTCTCCTCGCGGCGTCTACCTTCGCATCAACCGCGTCCTTGACCGGCTTGCGCTACCTACTCGCGACTTACCCAGACGCTTTCCCGTTACCAACAGTCCTCGATATACTCTTACGCTTCTTGCCCGAGACAACGCCAACTTCAGAATATGTCCAACTGGTTCACGACGCATGGAAACGACAATTGGGATCACCTGCAGTTTTGGAAGGAGAAGATGCGGAGGTTGTAACAAATGTGACTGCTCTGAGCGAAAAGCGGGCGAGGAAGAAGCTACAGACTTTACATCTCAATACTTCTCCGGCTGCCGTTACCGACGAAGTTGACGCCCTTACTGCATGGTTTCTCGCTCGCGCACGACACATCGACAGACGCACCGGCCTGATCGCACTCTCTCACCAATTGTGCACAACATCAGCAGCAGACCCTAGTTTCCCGCCCAGTGCAGTACGGCAATGGGTAGCAAGCGTCGTAGCGCCATGTGAAATGCTTATCTACATAGACGGTGCCGACCTTTCCCTCGAGGAGTTCGAGAATATGCCATCAGGACCCGCGGTTCGCCTTATACTTGCTTCCGCCGACGTGCACAACGTGGCATCGCGAGTACGTGGCTCAGTGGTTCCTTACCTTGCTAGTCGTCTATCGGAGGATCGAGCTGTGCTGTGGGAATGGATCGTCGAACGTGGCCAGAGGAATGAGTTGGCGATAGTGCGGGCGTTGTGCGAAGGATGGGAGGATGGGGAAAACTCGGTGATGGCATTCATGCGGGCATGTTATGCTTGTCCATCAGCTTCGCCTGCAACCATTGATAACATACATGCCATTGTCAAGCTTCTGTCAAGTCGGGTGCCTGAGACCAAGGGACCACAGGCAGGCGTCGCTGCGCCCGGGTCGCCTTTGTCAGATACGGCGGTTCTCACCGCGCCCAATGCGTGGGCTTTGCACTTGCTTGAGCTGCTGACGACGTCAGCTTCTCTTACTAAGCTTAGCCTCGCTCAGGTCCTTGCTATTCGGCAGGATGTGGAGAAACAATTACCGCTCCTCTTGAAGATCGTTAAGGCCGAGGGCTGGATGTCACGAGACGATACTGCATGGCGACGAACACGCGATCACATTCACTGGTTACAGAACAAGTCTTTGGTGCTGTCATCTCTGAGTGATGATGAGATCGAATCGACGATCTTGAGCGGCATGCTAAGCGCTGGACGCTTTGGGCTTGCGAAGGAGCTATATGTGCTGAGTGCTCACAGGACGTTAAGTCCATATCAGGTTGAAAAGTCTGTGCTGGCCGCTTTCTCGGAGTTTTACGACAACGCGACTAATGGGAACAGGACAAGAGGTGGCATGAAGCAGGCTGATACTGCACTTTCACTCATCGCCACGTCAAAAACGCCGGAAGCCTCACGGGCGAGGAAGCTGCTGGATGCTACACATTCATTGGCGGCATACAGTTTGGTCTTGCAACCTGGCGTCCCTGTGATGCCTGTGCAGATCCGACTGTACCCCGAACCGGTTGGCTTGATTGAAAAGGTCCTTGACTCAAACAGGGAAGCATACAAGAATGCCGATAAGCTTATGAGGGTTGTAAATGATCTCATTGAGGGAACGGGGCGCGAAATGGTAGATGCTACCGCCCTAGAGGCACAGGTGGTGCGCATGTGTATAGAAGCAGCTCTCACGTCCGATGACTTCGAGACCGCTTACGACCTCTGTTCCAACCGATTGTTACCAGCTGCACGTAAGTCCGCGAAGGAGGACATCAAGGACAACGCATGGCTGGCGTGTTATCAGGCTGGTCGTTACCAGGACGCAGATGTTTCCAGAAGGTTGAAAGTGCTATCTTTCGCCATCGAGATCTGCCCGGCCGCCAAACTGCATGAAGTGCTCACGGCATGGCGTGCCTGCGAAACCGAATGGAGCCGGATTCCAGTTGCTTCAATCACAACTACTCCTGAGTCTCGTGCACGAGCTTCAACCTCGGTTGACCTAGCGAAGCTAGCTGTGGAACCGCCGAAGACGCTTCTCGCAGCCGCAGCAGGGGCAACTCGTGCTGCCAAAACCTTGGGCCGCATTTTGGGTGACGATACGCCTCTACCACCGACGTCGTCGCTTCTCTCTGCCTCCCGTGCAGCACGCTCTCTCGGTCGTTCTTTTGCTTCTCTCCAGTCATCGGGTCGGGAACGTTCGTTGTCATCTGGATCCCATGGACCGCAGCTCGAAGGACAAGATCAAGGGCTAATGGTATTACTCTCTGGTTTTGGGCGTGACAGAGCTGGAGCGGTTGAGGAGCAAGCACCATCAGTGCCGGACATCAGAGGTCTCGCTGCGAATGCCCTTACAAGTGGCTTGGGATGGATGTTAGGGGCTGATGTCTCACGGCAGAGCAGGGAGCAAGAGAGATGAGCAATGGGTCTCGATCGTAATCTCGTTTAACATGGCGTTTGTCGAAGTTTTATCCTCATTGTTGGCATATCACACATCAAGACTATCACTTCCTCAAAAACTATCTGTATCACTTCAGTAACTCCTTCTCCTTCCTCTGCTCTCGTACGCGTACGGGCCGGGCTGTCAAGGCCGCAGCGCATGGCATACTTAGGGTTAGTACAGATACGGTAGCGTTGCAGTGCGATGTACACATGTCATCGCCAATCGAGAATTCCATACACCGACGAGGATACGAGTAAGGATCCAGCGAGACGGCAAACGACCGCTTTTATTCTCTTGCTGGGCTCAAGGGATCATAGGAGGACTGGGTACAACATCCGCAATCACGGTGTGCTTTCGACTTGGACATCTTCACGCCTTTCATCGCAAAAACACACACGAAATGGACAGCGGTTTCAGCATAATGCCCGGCGAATTTCCCAATCCTGAGGACGATGATCCTTTTCTGGTTTGCTGCTTCTCAACTTTGTTCTTTCTTCTGCTAATCCCATTGCGCGTAGAGTCTAGCGCAGACACCCGATGCCCAGGCAACTCCGCATTCTCGCAGCACTTCGTACTTCGGACTCTCAGATATCCTACAGCGTCGGCCGTCCTCTATGTCTCTACGGTCGCCCCTGAACTCCCCAGGTGCCGTGCTACCTGCGCTCAATCAAGAACGCAGCCCAAATGCCGGGAGTGAGGCGGGTTCCGACTTGAGCTTTCGGACCGCTGCCGTGACGGTGAATGGAGATGCACCATTAGCGGAAGGATGGAGGGAACTGACTCCTGAGCCCGCTCAAACAATGGATGCGGACGACGTTGCGAGGACGCCGCGGCCTCAGTATCTTAGGAGAGAATCAGATGCAACGGAGACTATGAGCATCGCCACGGCTACCGCCAACGCAAACCCGGCGGTCGAAAATGAGTTACGGGAGCTCAAGGCACGACTGGACAAACTGGAACATCGCGATACATACGACACCTACAGATCGCGGCCATCGACGGGTTCAACCTCTTTGGCAACTTCATCCAACTCAAACTCGCTTTCTTCTCCCAGAAGCACTAATCTTCATCTGGCTTCAGTGCGAAAGTTGAGGGGCGTGATCAGTCCAGAAGTCTTCAAGACAATAGAGGACGTGAGCAATGAAGTTACTGGGCTTTGTGAACAGGTTGCGGAGGATGGCAGCCCAGTCGTGCGGAGACGAGCGGATGGAGTAAGACGGGCATTGACAGATGTGTGTGTTGCACTGTTGGAAGATCATGTTCGCACAACGCAGCTTCTCAGCCCGCTACGACGGAGAGCAGATCCCGACGCTGGGAGTGCTGTGTATGAAGCTGACGATAACCGAAGCTACATCTCCGGTTCGTCATCACGCTTGGGATATCGAAATGAGTATTCAAAACCGGAAAACGGTTTGGGGCGGTCTCGCACGTCCACGTTTGATGGAAGCCGTCGTGCGGCAAGTGTCGCATCTCACGGGAGGGAGGCGCTGTCGTTGCGACATGATACGTTACTGGCACACGACAGGGTTCAGCCTTCATATAGTCCTCGTCAGCATGATGAAGATTCGAAATCGTACGTCTCTACGACTTCCTCTCGGTGGCGGCCCAGTCCAAGGTCAGAGGCTCTGCTACGTGAATCTCGTGCCGCTTTGCTTGGAAGATCGGCATCGCGCTCGAGCACATTCAGTTCTCACCGAAGGTCAGAAAGTGTGGCCAGTTTGCGTCGAGATGATGGATTAGAAGCACAGTATCACGGTCCTTACGTGCGTGATCCGCCCGTTCAGGTTGCAGGTCCTAGACGGAGCAGCACGATGCACTTTCCTCCCCCAGCACCAGCTCATGAATCGCCACCGATGAACGCGGCTGCGCAAAGGCGGATTATGAGCGAGAAAGCGCAACGGCGGCGGACTCTCCTCGAGGACGCCGGCAGCAGGGCAGGTGCCACGTCCGCGATCGGCGGCAGCGGTGGAATGCGGCGTATGGTGGCAAGCCAGAGTATGGGGAATATGTCACTGAGTGAATGGGATTCTCCGAGAAACGGATCTGGAAGTCCTAATGCCTACATGGCGGATGATGGAGATGTTCCGAGGAGGAGGCTGTAAAGGGGTAGGATTCGTCTAGAAAGGGATGGTATGGTACCGGTATACGGCACGGTATCTTATCGATTGATCAGGTTATATATTTCTACAACAGACAGCAACCCTCAGCTGATCGCGCAACTCTCCGGACGCAAGCGGGTCAGCTGGAACACCTGGAAAAAGCTTAGGTGGTTTAGCGTCCGTCTATTTGCGTGCGCGAGCGCGGGGGTCTGTGCGTTTATTTTTGCATGAGCGCCAGAAAACGCCAGGGTTCTTTCTGATGGAACATAGGCAAAAAGGCGCGACCACTCCAATGTTTCGGTGTCGTTTGGCGACCATTCCAACCAAATACGAGGTGACCGCCGGGGACAGTAATGCCGTGTAAGACGCCTCTAGCCCTTGTGTTTCCCCGGCCGCAAATGAGAGGTCGTCCGTTATGGGCTCAGGGCCTGTGGAATGAAAAATGATTGTCAAAGCTTGTCTCCTCCTATTTGAGCTGATCTTCCCGCTGTCTGATCGCGTGGTACGGTACTCAACGGCGACACGCACCTCGTAAGGAGTTGTTCTTGCTAGGCTATCCAAGATGATGCCATTCTATACGTTGCTGGGAGCGATCTTCGCTCTCCTCCGTCTCGTCCACGCCCTCTCGGACACTGACTACATCACAGAGTCCGGAAGCAATGCTCGTACCGGTTATTCGACAACTCACAACATGGACCCAGCAGTGGTCTCATCGACCTCCTTCGGCCTTCTTTGGTCAAGACCGACTTACGGCGCCTACAAGGGCTTCCCGGAACAGTTTTACGCACAACCTTTGGTGTACACACCTGCAGGTCACTCCCAGGTTGTGTTTGCCGTGTCTGCGACGAATTGGGCTTACGTACTGGATGCGGTTACCGGTGTAATCATCAAGTCCCGCAACTTGAGCCCACCCTTTATGGTGTCCGATCTCAACGGCTGCAACGACATCCTTTACACCGTCGGTGTCACTGGTACACCTTCGCTGGACCCTGAGACCGATACCGTCTACTTCTTCGCTAAGACGTACAAGGACGGGACTGCGGACGTCGGTGGTGTTGCCAATGCCATCTACAAGATGTACGCCCTCGACGTCTTAACTTTGGAGGACAGGGATAACTTCCCCGTTTCCTTAGAGGGATACAATGCCTGGAACAATCCCAAGAAGTACTTCGAAGGTGGCAAGGTTTTGCAACGCCCTGGAATTCTATTGTCCGACAATGACGTCGTGTATGCGGCATTCGGCGGTCATTGCGATATGTTCAACTACACCGGTTGGATCTCTGGCATTCACAAAACCTCTGGTGAGGTCGTGAATTTGTGGGCGTCTGAGGGAGGTGATGAGGCTACCGGATTCGGAGGAGGAATCTGGCAGTCTGGCACGGGTTTGACTCAAGATGTCAGTGGTCGAGTGTTCTTCGTATCTGGCAACGGTAACTCCGGTGTTCTTGGCAACAATCCCGTCAGTGGTCGGAGTCCGCCTCACGCTTTGGAGGAGACCGCAGTGAACTTGAAAATCGACCCGAACGGTACGGTCTACCCCGTCGACTTCTTCGCTCCCTACGACGCGGCAACGCTCAATGCAGCTGATCGTGATTTGGGGTCTATTGGTATGATTACCCTCGATCCGTCTTATTTCACTTCTGCGTCTGCCCGGCGTATGGGTGCCATCTGCGGTAAGAACGGTAAGGGTTACGTCCTCAACCTCGACAACTTGGGTGGTTACAAGACTGCAGCGGGAGGTGGTGATAACGTTATCCAAACCTTCCCTCTTACCAACTCTGTGTTCTCCGCTCCTGGTTCTTACCCTAACGAAGGTGGCTACCTTTATTTCACACCTGCGGGAAACCCTACCGTTGCATACAAGTTTTCCTTGGACGCCAACGGTAACCCCACCTTCACGTATGCCGGTCAATCTGAGGATGTTGCGGCTGGTCGTCCTGGTACTGGCCATCTGAGTGTTACCTCGCTTGACGGACAGCCAGGTACCGGAATCGTATGGTTGACTGACGTTGAAGGTGGTACCGTCCGTGCCTACAGCGCCGTTCCAGTCAACGGCAAACTCCAGCAGATCTTCTTTCAATCGCCTCCGCTTGTCAACAAGTTTCAACGTCCCGCTTTCGGTGACGGGCGTTTCTACGTGGGAATGCAGAACACTCAAATTCTCTGCTACGGTTCTCCTATCAATCTTCCGATGAATTGCACAAGTCCGATGGACTTTGGATCCGTGTACAAGGGCACGAAGGAAACGTTGAGGTTGAACTGCACAGCCAACATCCCGCTTTCCATCCAGGATGTTACACTTGCTAAGAACAACTACTTCTCTCTTCCCACGGCTCCAACACTTCCTTCCCGGCAATACGCTGCTGGAGATGTGTTCACAATGGACGTTACCTTTGCTCCGACCGGTCCGATCTCCGTTTCTGGCTCCATCAACATAAAGACGAACAACGGAATTATTGGATATACGGATATCTTCCCCATCTCACTCCGTGGAGTTGGATTGAGCGCAGCTCCATACCTTGCTGTCCAGCCTACCGTCATGTCCTTCGATGGTTTAGTCATTGGCTCCGGCTCTAGTGTTGGTGGGCTTCAGAACTCTGTTCTTGTTCAAAACTTAGGTCAAGGAAATCTTACCTTCAGCGACATTTGGCTTCAGGGCTGTTTTAGCGACGATGATGACGACAACATTGCTTCCGGTTGTGACCACAATGTCACTGCCACTGGAAATACCATCGGGCCTTTCACTGTTTTGAATATGCCCCGTGCAGGTGACACCATTCCGGGTGGTGGCAGTATTTCGTTCAACATCAAGTTTAACCCTGATAGCACTGGGCAGTTCCAAGCTTTCCTGCGATTCATGTCTGACGGCGGGAACTATTGGTTGCCCATCGCTGGTTCCGCAGCCGGTCCTCCTCGGGCTGTTCTTGAGGTTGAGGATGCCGAGGGGACCTATCAGAAAGGCACGTACCTCGATTTCGGACGCGTTTATGCTGGAAGCACTGAAATTCGAGATATTCGCGTCGTGAACGAGGGTGATAGTGCACTTATCCTTACCAAGTCAAAGCCACCTGTTTCTCCCATCATCGGAGCTCAGAGCCCTGAAGGGGACTTGCCAGAGACCTCCCAGATCGCACCGAACAGTTCTTCATATGCCACGTTGTACTGCGCTGTTCCAGCCAACCAAGTCAACATTCCTGATCAGAATTATACAGGCCAGTGGATCCTTAACACTAACGATGAATCCTGGGGTATTCACATTGTCGAGATGAGCTGTGCTGGGGTGACGCCCCAACTTGGCCCCTTGATGCCTGACGGCTACAACGCTCAGTATCAGTACCTCGGATGTTACAAAGACAGCACAGCCAAGCGTATTATGCCTACCATGGCATACTCTGACGGAAATAAGAACGAAAATGGCATGTGCACGGCAGAATGCAAGAAACTTGGCTTTGCCTTTGCCGCAAGCGAATACGCGCAAGAGTGTTGGTGCGGAAATACGCCTCCGTCCAATCCAGTTGATATGAGTAACTGCAATTACAATTGTGCTGGTGATGCTAATCAGACATGTGGTGGATTCGGTGGGTTTGCATCCATCTTTTACGATCAGCGGAAGTGGACACCAGCGAATGGATTCCTCGTCCAAGGAACGACGACTCCGGCAGCTCCGGCAGCTCCGGCCACAACAGCTGCCGGCCAAGGTGATATTGCCACGATCGTGGCGCCCGTAGCGACATCTTCTTCATCGCCTATCCCGTCAGTGCTTCCCGATAACGCTTGGGACTACCTTGGGTGTGCAACTGATTCCGTAGCCGCTCGTACTTTGCCGGTAGGATGGTCACCTGGAGGCATGACTTTGGAATTGTGCATGAACTACTGCGCCGCACAGAACTACACTATTTCAGGTGTCGAGTACGCCCAGGAGTGCTATTGTGGAAATGCTTTGCAGAATGGGGCTACATTGGGTGCGTCTTCATGCACAATGGCCTGTGGCGGTAACTCTACCGAAATCTGTGGTGGACCTGGTGGTTTGTCACTCTTCCATTTCAATGCCTCTGACGTCAAGCCAGTCAACGGTTATACCTTCTCCAGTTGCATCACTGAACCGAATGCTGGTCGTGCCCTCAATGGCGCTTCTACAACAGATCCAAAGATGACGCCCGACATGTGCACGAAGTTCTGCAAATCCAAGGGCTTCAAATATGCCGGAACTGAGTATGGATCCGAATGCTACTGTGATAACAGCCTTGCCAGTGGATCGCTTGCGATTACTAGCGGCTGTACTATGCAGTGTGGTGGTGATACCAATGAGATCTGTGGTGGACCCTCGAGGTTAAACTTGTATGTGTTGAGGAGTGCGTCGTCAGCTTCTTCGACGGTCAGTAAAGCAGCTTCGACGTCAACGAAAGCGGCCTCTACCTCCACGGTGAAAACCTCAGCTACCACCTCATCTGTGAAAGTTACGACAAGTTCATCGAAGACTACTTCCACAACGATCAAGACCTCCAGTAGCACTTCCAAGGCTACCACTACATCTACTACGCAATCCTCTTCATCGGTGAAGTCTTCGACGACGACGGCGAAGGCGACTTCGTCCACCAATGTCACGTCAAGCTTGAAAACCACTGCGGTTGTCACATCATCTGTCAAGACAACAAGTAAGACAACGACCACTTCCGCAAAGACGATATCGAAAGCTACGACGTCGGCTTTGAAGATCACGACGCCGTCCGTCAAGATCACAACGTCTTCTTCAAAGATCACGACATCCCCTGCGAAACCCACGACACCCTCTGTGAAGACTACAGTGAAGACTACAGTGAAGACTACAGTGAAGACTACAGTGAAGACTACTACTTCGTCTATCAAGACCACGACGCCCGTGAAGACTACGACGCCTGTCAAGACTACCACGTCTTCCGTGAAAACTACGGCGAATCCTTCTTCGAAGACATCCGCGACAACGAGTAAGAAAACAACGACCACGACCAAGCCAGTCAGTTCGACTAAGGTTACTTCTACCACCAAGAAGACGACTACCACTACTAGTTCGAAGAGGACAACAGTTCTGCCAACGACTGTGAGGTTGGCCATCAACACTTCTTCGTCCAAGACAACTTCTAAGACCACGTCAAAGACTACGTCGAAGACAACATCCAAGTCTACAACGAAGGCTTCCTCCACGACACGCGCGAGTACTACTGCCAAGTCGACTACCTCGGCGAAATGAGGTGTGAATGGCAAAGACAGATATATACAAGCTATGATAGAACCAAGGGCAATTATAGTGAAGAGAGTGCGCAGCATAGCTACAGTTACTTAATCAAACCATACAGACTATGTGTACTCATGTAATCCTCAAATGGCAATCATCCTCCCCGCCAAGCAGAAGGCATAAGCGATAGCTCCCCCGACAGCAATAAAGTTAATTCCCACACTGGCGGCATGCGCCAACCCCAACATCTTCTTCAACTTTGTCATCTTTGCCTCATCAATGTTCCCGCCGCTCTTCTCGAGCTTGTGCTTGTCAAACATGATTTTGGTGACCCACGGTCCGACTAGGGCACCGTTCGCAAATCCGCTCAGAAGAATGGACCAAAGTAGTTTGTTTTCTGTGGTCGCATAACCGAATAGGCTCCCGGCGGAGGCAGGTGCAGTGAGAAGGCAGATGCCAGACAGTGCGCCTTGAAGGGCGAAGAAGATAGGGAAAGTCTTAGACTGAAGGTTTCCAAACTGCTGACGAGGAAGAGTCTTGAATTGGACGGGACCGGCAATGAAACTGTGGAATAGAGTCATCCCGGTGAGTGTGCCCCAGCTAAGGACATGGTACGGAGCAGCGGAATAGACTGACGCTGTATGAGCGTATTGGCATCAGAATGTAAACTCGGTATGGAATGGTTTCCGAATCTTACCGAGTGGCATTGTGACCGATGGATGTCGGGTCAGCAGTTGATGGTGTATGCTTTGGTTGGTTGGTTGGGCAGTTGGTGTATGACGCGTGCATGCAATGAAGTGCAGTGCTTAATCTTGCAGTAGCACAAAGTCAAATTATGGCAAAGCTCGGATGTTTGGGATGCTATGGGCATCTTTTCTTTGGTTCAAAAATAAGAAGTCATGATCTGCAGACTTTGCAAGGCATAGGAGTACTTGAACACGTCCACGTCTGCATCTGCGTGTGAAGCGTCGATATTGACAACCATAATAATACCAAGTGAATACGTTCGAGTCAAAACTCCTCGGAGCGTCCGGAACGGAACATTCGACAAGTTCGGAAGAGGGTCCTTGTTTAGTGCTATTCGGCTGCTCATAGGATATGATGACTTACTTGCTGTTCCATAACTTAACCAGAGGCTGTATCTTCGAACTCCCCATTGACATAGTGCGGCTAGTCAATGAATTAACCAGATCCACCCGGTCAAAACTATCGAGCTCAAGATTTGTGGGCTTCTTCTTCACCGGAAGCTTTTCAAAGCACCAAAGGGTAACTTCTTCTTCCAGATCAAATTCCTCCACAAACCTCGATGTGCGGGCGGGAGTACTGCGTATAGATGAGCCGGTCTCCTCAGAAGCACGCAGCGACGAAGATGTCCCGTTGGAAGAATTGTCGGTCTGGAAAGACGGAGCTGTCTCGGAAAGGGTCGTGCTGACTCCGAGAGTGTAATGATCGTTCTCGTAGACGCTAGGGGAAGGAGGAGCGCGCGACGATTCGTTTGCGAGCGTGGGAGTCTCACGAGGCTCAACAGACGAAGGGTACGGGTAGCCAATCTTGTCTTTAGAGTATTTCGAGATCACCATTCTTGTAATTGATTTATCGGACGACGAAAGGATTGTAGGCTGCGGTTGGTATGGAAGGACTGTGAAGTTGCTTCAAAGAGCGACCGATGCACGTAACGGAGAAGGAGTGTTTGTATTTTGAGGGTAGCATTCTGAACAAGGCCAGCGATGTAACTTTATAAGTCCTCGACCAAGAAGTGGAATTTCCAGGCCCGTTGCTCGGCCCTACGAAAGCGAGGTTCGTAACCTTATTAAAGAGGGAATTAATATGCCAAATGCAGCACAGACTATTTTTAGAAGTCCGGACCGGCCCGACCCGGTCTGTGAGATTGTTAGGGATACATCATCACGGGTCCTCGCCAGCTGAGGACATAGTATGTACTTGGAATGGCCAACGCTGCCCTGCCAGGGTTTGAGCAGTTGAGCACGCAACCGCCGGCAATTCCGGCACCTCCACATTTCCCCCGCATGACCTGCAGCCGCGAGCACAATCCTGAAGACGTCAAGATCAATTGCAATTGTTCGGTTGTTTTCAGCTTTGGTCCGCTTCAATTGATGCTTAGAGCACGTCAAACGTCAAACAGGCTCACTCAAATCACGACCCAGATGCGAACAATGTCTTCATCCTCCCTTCCCAGCAAGATGCGCATTATCCAGATCGAGAAGACTGGCGGTCGCGATGTCCTCCAGTACGACGAAGTACCAGTGCCAAAGCCTGGTAGTGGTCAGGTTTTGATCAAGAATGAGTTCATCGGGTACGTTGTTGTTGTGCAATGGACGTGATAGCGCTGCTTATCCTGATCCGCAGTGTAAACTACATCGATACTTACTTCCGCACTGGATTGTACCCGTATGTTAGACCCACCCTGATCAATTACAGTTCTGATCTAACGCTACGTGTAGCCCTCCCAAGTTCCCTTACATCCTTGGCCGTGAAGGCTCCGGTCAGGTCGTCGCCATTGGTGAAGGCGTCAAGAAGTTCAGCGAGGGTGATCGCGTTGTTTACTTGGCCGAAGCTTCGTATGCCGAGTACACCCTGGCTGCGGAGAGCAAGACTTCCCAAATCCCTGAGGGCATCTCGAACCACGATGCGGCTGCTGTTCTTCTTCAGGGTCTCACGGCTTTGACCTTGATCCGCGAGGCACACGAGGTCAAGAAGGGTGACTGGGTGTTGGTGCACGCTGCCGCGGGCGGTGTCGGTCTCAACCTTTGCCAGCTCCTTCGTGGTGTAGGAGCCCATGTAATTGGCACTGTCTCGACTCCTGAGAAGGCTGAGCTGGCCAAGAAGCACGGCGCTGAGCATATCATCATGTATACCGAGGAGGACGTCGAGAAGAAGGTCAACGATCTCACCGGTGGCTTGGGCTGCCATGCTGTTTTCGATGGTGTCGGTAAGAGCACCTTTGACGTCTCGCTGAACTGCACACGCCGCAAGGGAACTTTGGCCTCTTATGGAAACGCGTCTGGCGCTGTCCCGCCTTTGACCATTGCTCGATTGAGCGCCAAGAATGTTAAGGTAAATCATCAATGTAAACCCACCTTCGCACACTCATGTTTTCCTAACGTTATCTCAGGTCTGTCGGCCAACCTTGTTCAACTACATTACTACGGAGGAAGAGTGGACTCAACACACTCGTGACCTGTTTGACTTTGTTTTGAAGGGCGACTTGGAAATTAAGGTTCATGAAGTCTATAAGCTGGCCGAGAGTGCCAGGGCTCATGAGGATCTGGAGGGAAGGAAGACGACCGGGAAGCTGCTTATGAAGCCATGAACGCTTACGTACGAAGGGTCCGCTTGCAATTGCTACGGCCATATCCAATAATTGGCCGCGTCGATATATATCTATAGTCAGACAAAATTTAAATGTGCTATTTAAATATGCATATGCAATACGGACAGGATCTGTTATCATTGGAATTATCTGGCTACATTTTCCTTTTCGAAATCATAATCCGCAACGGCACTCCAAAAGGTCTGAGGGAACATAAAGAGGACAATGAGAAATTCGGGATATCTTTGGGCAGGCGTTTTCTGCCGATTATCAATCATTTATCGCGAAGCTGACACCGATGGCCATCAGCAAAGCTCGGCAGCCGCTATGTCGGAACGAGTCATGGATCACCGGTGGATGTGATCCTTCGTTTTTTTTATTGTGGATTAATCCATGCTTTTTCGGGCAACCCTACGAGATGATGAATATGAGGACCGAAAACATCTGGCTGGTGGTATGGAATATCCTGCCCTGGAATGGGCCCTATGTCAAAACTCATCGTGGACGAAAAAAAGTGGGATTAGTCCATGATATTTTGCCATGGATTATGCTTGATTTTTTCCGGCTTTCGCGCACCCATTGCTTGATATAATAGGCATAACCCATGATTTTTTTGGGTTTGATCCATGATTCTATCATGTAAGGTTCTTGAAAAATCAGGAAGATTGTGACAAATTGAAAGTAAATGCGCAGCATTATGGGGGCAAAAATGCAAGAAAATGAAGTGTATTGTGAGTATCCTAATGGTCATGGTAGCACTATCATAGGTCCATAACTCAACATGTTAGCATAAGCTCACTCCATGAGAGTCATCAGCTATCATACCTGACTTTGATTTTGTTTGTGGTGACTTGGAAGATTTTTGGAAATTTCCCAAGTGGTTGTGGGGCTCCGGTTTACATGTTCGCATTCCTACACACAGCCACACACAAAACCAAATAGGAAAGCCGTCACGTCATTATAATGTCATGTATGCTAATCATGTCTATGTATAATGCCATAAACAGCGGAATTTCTTTCCAAGCCGTAATCCATGATAATGTCAAGGACTATGATCCGTGTTTCAGACGTGGTTTTTAGCGTGGATTGTCCACCACGCTAAGTTCCATAATCCACGCGTAATTCTTGTCTAATCCATGATTGTGACATGGATTACACATTTTGTTAGGACTGAATGGGTTTAATACTTAACAACTCGCATCATAGGGGTTGTTGTAATCCATGTGCATGTGTAACCGCAGTTGAATCCATCGTTCTGACGTGAATTACGCCCGTTCCTAGGACTAAAGGGCTTTATTTCATATGCATGACAAACCGCGTCATAGGGCGTACGCCAAAAACTACGCACATTGAGTTAGGGATTACGCCGAAATAGATCATGAATTAAGCCCACCATTTTCAAGCAACGGGTGCGAGACAGCCTGAAAAAGAAAACAGGGATCATGCCTGACAGAAATCTGGATCAAACCCGATAACAAAGCAAGGATCAAACCCAATATTTTTGTCCACCATTATAGTCTTGACATACAGATCAGAGCTGATGGGGCGGTGTGGAAGGGTCGCAAACTTACGTAGACCATTGACCGTGCTTCTTTCGGCTGGAACTGTGCTGCCAAGTTCATTCACAAGCTGCTGATGTCTTTCAGTACGGAGGGACGCAGCACAAGTCATGTTTGCCGTTGTCTCCATACCTAGAGTCCATAACCGTTTCCATGCCTCTCATTATTGGAACTCATTATGCTACAGAAAAAGAGGGATCATTGGATATAGTCTCAGCATGGTCTGAGAAAGTAAGAGTGTCTTGCTGGGACGCTGACCTGTGATGGCATAGCCTTCTTAGAAATATGATATCCTTAACGAGACATCTCTACTAGAAAATGTTTGCATACTGTCTTTTCGCATCCGGCCGAAAGGGAAAACGCCCTCCAAAAATGTTTCAGTAATACTCATCTCCTGAGCTCCCTCCCATCTCCGTCATGCATATCCTCATTAGCAGAAGTTGTCTCCCTCCCTGGTGGACTGCGTGGAGGTCGCACAAAAGATCTTAGGGTTAGGGTACCCGAAGCATGGAAATTTCATACCCCTCATATGCATGATCAATGCCGTAGGGAGACATAGACTAATTTCCCGACGGTCATCGTGGGTTACAATCCCTGACCTTCTCATGAAGTGAGGCTAATGGGGTTTGTCAAACCTCTGTAAAATTTACAGCGAATTAGATTGTAATCCAGAGCACAATACGTTGAGGTCTGACCAACCCTTACAAAACATAGATATATTATTTTTTTCGGCAGGCGGTTAGCTCCAGCTCACGTGAATATCCATGGTGGTGAGTTTGCGTCAAGGCAGGTTGAGCAACGAGACTACGCAGATCATGCGCGAACCCTGAGTGATATCTACATGAATTTCCTACTTGGGAGCATCCACTCGCCCTAGGCAATTATTTTTTAAGCGATCATTTTAGGACCCTGCTCGATCACCTCGTGTAAATAATCGATCGTTATGCATCTTTGCCATGGCAAACGCGCGGTTGAAAAGTAAGCGGTTTTTTTTTGCAGAGGTTTGACTACCCCCAACAACTATGTCATGAATTAGGACACCAGTAAAATCATGGATTACTGGCAAAATAAATAAATAAAGTAAATCAAAATTTGCAGCAAACACTTCTTAAACTGCCTAAATAACTCATATACGCCCTATGAATTCCCACCCTGGCAATACAGGATTAATTATCATAAGTACTCGAACCAGAAGCGCTTTCCATTACGGGTACTTAAACCTCGGTAGAGCTTAAGCAGGTTTAAATCAAAATCGAAACTATAGGTGACTCAGGTTTGACCACCACTACATCTACTTCACCCATTTCGATTATTTGTCACCGAAGTCTGACTACCCCCGTTGTGAGCTTTATTACTTCTGCTATAGGTATCAGAATACGTATGATGCAACTTTCTTACCGGCTAATGCCGCCTTTTCCGGTTTAATAATACTGGACATTTGGGGATTGATTTCCCGACATTTTTCATGTGTTTTTTTGGACGATAAAATGGTGACACCCGTTATCATCCTAAAGTTACCTAGCATCAAAAGTATAGCTTACACTGAGGAAATCATGAATGACGGCAAAAAAAAGAAATGGACAAATCCCACATTCAACAAGACAATAGCTGCGCGATAGCCCAAAAACAAATTGAAGTAAATAGCGATACGAATCGAGGATCAAAGCCGGACCTGGTAAGATCAATTCCGGTTTCCTTCGACATAGGAACAGTTCTCGCTTGCATGAACATCGATCTCGATCTCAGAAAACGTGTAACGAATAAGTCCTTTCACTTGATAACCTCGCTCCTTCAACCCAGTGATTATATGCATTTGCTCAATAGTTTTTGGTGTTTTGCGTGACAAACTCTTTGAGTAAACCTGATATCATCAAAGAATAAGCCCAATATTTGCGGGTCTTTGATAGTCTTGCGTTTCATGACAAGATCGATTCAAAGATTGAAGCAGTTTTTCAATTTGCGACTTTCGAGGTCACAGGGTGTCTGATTGTTGTTGCCAGCTGTAAGAAAGCCATGAGACCCTGACCACATCAAGGTAATAAGGCACCTACAGTTGCAGGCGGCTAGTTACTTACGTCTGTCGACTTGGGCTTTCGGGATGTAACTTTGGCTAAAATATTTGTGGGTACCTTAGGTGGACACAATCTACGATCACAGGAGTTGACCATAAGCGGGCTATATGCCGGTTATATTTCCCGCCGGCCATGTTCGATGCTTCATGACCGGAATCTATCCTAGAAGGCGATAGATCTTCGCTGGATTTGACATTAGTCCCCCAGCGGAATCGTGATGGCGCCCGGCTTCCTGCCTACTACGTGGAGCTATCTCTCCCGTTCGGCATGTTATGTCTCGTCACTTATCCATTTGCATTTCAGTGCAGAGATCCTCCTGTAATTGTAGGGTTTCCCAGTCTGTTCGATAAAGGTTGGCTTGTAGTACGAACATGATTTGACATTCGGATGAGTTACCTTCGTTTATGTCAAGTTATAAGCCACCATACCTATCGATGTCCATGGCTTCCCAGGATCTCCTACTATCAGAGAAGTTAGTATCCTTCAAGAAATCACATCATGGACGTGCCGGGCTTACCTCGTCTCAACACTAACCTAGCAACGGACCCGGTCCCGATAGATTGCCTCGTAAATGCGGTCGATGTTTGGCGGCTCCATCCATGAACACCAGCGGGACAAGGGACTGATGTACTTGATAATGTACTCATGACTCAGCGGACGGCCGTCACTATAGTCCACACGCTCAAGGGGTTCCTCACTGCGGGTGAGAAGACCTGCCACAGACTTCTGGAAAGCCCTTGCAGTGTTGCGACGCGCGAAATGATCCCACCTCGGGCATGAGGTAGGTTTCGGCATAGAACTTGCAGCAACCACGGGAGGTTTTTTCTTATGGCGCCTTGTGGTGGCCCTTGTGTGTTGCTGGATTTGGTGTGGTAGCTTCGTTTCCTCAACCCAGGAGACTCTGAGGCTTGAATGACTCCTAGTCTCCGAGCAGAGAGTCTCTTCACTAACACGCACTTCACAAACCTCCTCAGTCACGACCTTGCGCTTAACTTGATCTGTGGTGTCCTCTGTGAGGGTTGAGGATGTAACAGAGTCAAACACCTCCAAATGGGGAAGCAAGAAGGAAGAGCGGCTGCTAAAAGACGTCTTGACCTTCTTGTTCACCTTGAAGTGGAGCTTCACGCCAAAGGCACGCAAAAAACAGTTGAAAGGCATGGTTGTTTGTTCTTTGTGAGTGAAAGGAGTTTGGTTTGGAAGAAGTTTTCAAGAAGCCCATCCGAACCAGATCTATCCAGCATGCAGTGTTCAAGCAGCTAGTGTGAGTTGCCCAATGCGGCAGTCGAGTTTCCGGATTAGGTGCGTGCACGTTGACGTATGAATGCCGATGGGACTCGTCTGTACAATGCAGTACTACCGAGCTAGCTGCAAGAGGTCCTGCGACTGCAGATACATACATTGTAGATACGTCTAGACACCGGAGCTTACGATGTAGCTCCTCAATCATCTCTGACATGTGACGACTGGCCCGCGTGTGATGAACGGCGCAACTTCAGAGCCGACTTCATTTTGACTTTACTCGTCGTGACCATGATGAAGACACAGCGTGTGTAGCAAACTGTTTAACCAGGCCTCCTTCGACCTTTACGATGTGGAGCAGTTTTTTGTAACTGCATAGCAACTGCGATATTTCACCGCGCCAGACACAGTCCGGGCTCTGTTGCAAGCATTCCGCAAGCGTGCAGGCAGCTCCAATTGGGAATAGCAGTTAAACTGTAGAGCATATTACTCTAGTGAGTTACGTTATCTTTCCTTGTAACGGATTTGTCTGTCGAAACGAGTTTATCTACCTGGTAAATGCTAGAATTGCGAGGCTTCATCAGTGCACTGCGTACACGATTGTTAACACCGCGTGTCCCAGCTGCAGTACACTCTACGGGTTACCAGCACAACCAAAGAGTACGATAGGAGAATAGGTTGCTCAGTCATGGCCTGATCTCCCCTAGATTCATTCACATGTATCCTGTCTGCACAGCTGAAGGTCAACGTGAACAATTCATGCAGGTCGGTGTTTACTGGGGTAACCCAGGCAACGCGCTCAAAGCTCACCTCACCTCCTTTTCTGTTCCATTGACAACCCCGACATTCAAGAGCCAGCTGTATCCGATCATTCCAACGCTCGAGCATGTGAGCCAATGTCGACCGTCACCACTGCTGACATCTCAACTCGCAGAGTGCTGGGCATAGACAGAGACCTTCCCACCCTCACCAATTCTGCTCGCGTCGACGAGGAGCTGTATGCACTACTAGCCCTGGTACTCCGTGATTTTATCCAGACATGGTACGGCGCGATCACGCAGGATGAGACATTTATACAGGAGATCATCCTGGTTGTGGCTCACATCCTTAGCCGCCTGGAGCAAAGGCTTCGGGAGGTACGTTTTCTGATCGCGCTTCTCCTCATGTTCTCTGATTTAACTCTTGAGCAGACGAATGTAGAAACTCTATTACTGGAAGAGCTTCCGGCTCTTTTGCAACTGCATGTCCGCACTTATCGTTCCGCCAGGAGACTGTTCTCTACAGCTATCTCAGGACATCTCTCATTCGAAGAGTTTTTTCGATCCCTGATGCCACATCCTGCATTACGTTCAGCCGAAGCCGAGGAGCTATATTACCAGCGGCTCGCCGAAGGCATTGCCGAGCTTTTCGTGCCCCCTGACGACCTCCTTTCGGATTGTGGACGCAGTTTGGTTATCGATATATTGTCCAATTTAGTACTCGGTACCGCGGTATCCAAGTTAAGTGACCCATATGTCTATCATGAATTGATTCATAAGGTGCGTTACTCTCTGTAGTTTCAATCTGCCAACGAGATTCTAACGATCAGTTCTTAGAACCTTTCCCAAGAGCATCAGGAATTACCCAAGCTCCAAGCTCCACGTTTTGGGTGTGGAGAGTTAGTAAGGTCATGGTCACGACAACTTGCCGACAGGTACCATTCTGCGCCTGAATGGGCGGGCCGCTTGTGGATGTACATGCAGAGTGGGGGTACGAAGGTTCAACCCTCCGTCATGAGCTCGCCTTTGTTCTCGCTCATATGTGAGCTGCTTTGCCCAGAAGATCACGGAAGGTGGCTGTGGTCCGTAATAAGGCTATGTCTTGTACCGATTATAGTGGCAGTGTTCGGAGGAGCTATCGAAAAGTGAGATAGACAACCCCCTAACGTATTGATGAAGCATTCCTGACTGATCTCGCAGGGCCTACGCCGATGCAGTAAGGCCGCTTTTGAGAGATCCCGAGGTATGGTCTAGAATATTAAAAACAGGCAGGGAAGCGCTTTGGCCGAATGGAGCAATGACGCCCAAAATGGCACCGGATGAAGCAGAACGAATGGTAATGAAGCGGACAGCTCATGAAGCCGTGCTCAATCGTTTTCCCAGAGCAGCAGCTATTCTACTGGGAGGCTCTGAAATTACAAACGAATTTGTCGAGGAGCTTCTCGATACCGTGGAGCATCAATCCTGTAATAAGGGTGTGGCACTCTTTGTTCTTGATGCCATCTTAGCCAGATGCTTGCCAGAATTAGTATCTTAACATACACAATCGCAGGTTTAACAGATAAAAGACTTTATTTTCCTGCAGTGTCAGACATATTCTTGATCACCGCATGTCAAAATTCCCAAGCTTAAGCACTTCTTCCGCACCAATATCGTAGCAATGTTGAAAATGAAAAAAGAACGCCAAAATGAATGATAGAAAAAGACGACTCAGTTGTGATCCTTTGAGCGCCTTGTGGCAGACTCGGACTCGAGTTTCCCCAAAAGTTTGCCAATAACAAGGTAGTCTTGGACGTCGACATAGCCCACCGGCTGATGCTTGAGGAAGCCCATCACGACCTCCAGGGCTCGAGTTGCTTCTTCAAGACAAGGATCAGATGATTTTTGTGAACGTGATGTTGATGGAGGAGAAGGATATCGTACGCTCATAGGCGCCGACGGCTGCTCAGCAGTCATTTGAGGTATGGTGGGCGTCACCGGGTTGGAGACCGGCGAAACCGAGTGAGGAAAATTGAGTGCCTGATGGCTATGGCTTCGTAGGTGATGTCCCTGTCGGGGATTCTGATATGGCTGGCGTATGCTGATAGACGAACGTCGAGAACGACGACTGCGATCAGAAGATGCCACGGACGGAACAGGACTGGTACTAGTGGTACTCTGACTGCGTAAAAGCATTGAGTGCTGCAAATTCCCAGGCTGATATTGAGGGTCATTGCTCCGCATATGATCGTGGATAAGACCATCCATACGGATCGGTGATTGCAGTATCGCATTGGATGGCTCCTCCCTGATAGGGCTGAAAATTGGAAGATGTTCAAGCTGGTTCATATTGTGTGCGTTTTCCATCGCCTCATCCATATCTGGGGGACCCTCGTCCTCTTCCTCTATAATCTTTCCACGCTTGATCATATTGCGGAATTTGAAGTTCTCGATCCAACCTATTCACACATGTAAGCAAAAGCCACGTATTAATCTGGGCGGTCTTACCACTGCTGGCCTTGAAATCAACCTCGGATATGCCGACTGCATGAGCAAGCTAGAATCGGACAGAATTAGTACGATAAAAGGAACACATATGCTCTGAAGTTGTACCTCTTTGGCCTTGTCACGGATCAGACTGTCTGATAGTATGCCACCTTGTTGGAAGACATTGCGTGCCCAAACCGATAAGGTTTTCTCCAGCTCTGGAAACTTCCCACCGCGTTGCTTGTTCGCCATAACTCCAAAAGCACTCTCTTCAATGCTCAGATACTTCTCCTTACACCGCAAAACTTTCGAGATAGTGCTGCGTTCAACACCAAACATCTGAGCGATGTCATCTTGTTTCACCTTGGGGTGCGCAAGATGATACTCGCAGATACGTTTACGATCAATATCCGTTAACCGGATTTTCTTGCGAGGTGGCTGTCGAGAGTTTGATGCAGAATTGCTGGATGGAGCCGTACTAACCATACTTCTGGCGGATGGCGAAGAAGTGAAGGAACCAACGCTCGGTCGATGTTCCAGGGATATTGGCAGGTTCTGAATCTGTTGCATGGATTGCTCATGCTGGCACATAGAATAGTTAGATGAATGACCAGGATTGAGGCCTCCAACGTGCGGCTGGCCCATGTTGAACGTTGCATTGTGTAGCTGAGCGGACAATGAGGCTGATGCAAGAGACTGTTGCTGTCCGAAGCTCATGCCACTGGTAGCATCGTGCCATTGCTGCTCGAACGAATGATTGTTCATGGCATCTCTAAGATCCATCTGAAGCTTACCACCGCTTCAACCGGCCCGACGAAACTCGAAGATGATAGCCGGAAGGCTGAGCTCAAGAGGACGACGTTGTAGCAACCTACTGCGAACGCATCCGACTAAATATCCGAATGAAGTTATGACAGGACGTTCGTAAGAGGTTGAAATCCGAGCTCTTGGATGTAACCGGATGATGGCTCTGTCCGAAAAGCGGAGCTCACCCTGTGGTTAGGTTGTGAGGAGCACCGCCAGCTGCAGCGCAAGTGCAGCCTCATTCGGCTGGAGTTATTACATCGGGAAAACGCTGGGCAGGATTAAAAGGGATTCCTACGGCATGTAAATGGGCATGGACAAAGATTTGAACGATTCAGGGCAGCGAAGGGGTTCATTGTAACGGGGAAACCTTGCTATCCGACCAACTCCGTCTCCAACGTAAAATGCGCTTGGACCCCTCAGAAACCCCATGTCCCTTATCGCAACGACCTCGAACCTTGTCGAAGAGCTCAATCCTCACACAAGAAGAGATGGAAGAAAACCATACGCTTCGACTGCACTAGTCTTTGCGTTCATCCCAAATATGCCGACACAAACATCCCGACCACAAAACTCCGCTCGCTCGCCATCACTCCACCCCCAACAACTACCGCTCATTTCTTGATGATGGAAACGACGTCCTCATCAGCCAAGAGGTGACTCAAACCGACTGTCATTGATGTTAGCATATGAATCATAAATATGTCACCGCGGAAAAGACTCACCTCTCTGCGGGTTGTGTCTTACGGAGCTTCCCCAAACGTACGCATGCCTGAACTGAGCCTTAATTTGCTTGTGAATAGCGTCACACTGCAGAAAAGTTAGCATATGTTGAATGAGAAATCACTGAATATGCTACTTACGAAGTCTTCAACAGTACAGGCATCCCTCTTCAGAACAACGGGTGCCGAATAGTCTGGTAGCTTGCCATGAGGCTTCGTGTAGATTCGAACCAAGTTCAACGCATCCCACATCTTCTCCAACAGCTCATCAAAGTTCCACTCGTGATTGGACGAGATAGGAACAGCGTTAGGAATGCGGTAAATCAAGTCCAACTCCTCGACTGAGATAGCGTCAATCTTGTTCAGAACGTAGACAACCGGCATGTAAACACGGTTTCCTTCCAACACATCGATCAAATCGTCGACAGTAGCATCGCATCTGAACGAGATATCCGCACTGGAGATCCTGTACTCGCTCGTGACAGCTCTAATCTCGTCGTAATCCAAATGCGTCAAAGGAACGGTGTTGGTGATGTTAAGACCTCCCTTATCCTTCTTCTTGAAGAGGATATTGGGCGGCTCCTTATTGCAACGAATACCGAAACCTTCCAATTCGTTCTCGATGAGCTTCTTGTCGGTCAGAGGTTTAGACACGTCGAGGACGATGAAGATAAGGGAACAAGACCGTGCGACAGCAATAACTTGTCGACCACGACCCTTACCGTCTTTAGCACCTTGAATAATACCGGGCAAATCAAGGACCTGAATCTTGGCACCTCTGTATTGCATGACACCGGGAACCGTAGTAAGAGTTGTGACTATGAGAAATCGTCAGTTATCGGCCTTCCAAATCATTGAGAATTCCCTACATTCGTAAGCAGCTGCTTCAGAGTGAGTGCCGGTCAACTTTGACATGAGCGTAGACTTTCCAACCGAGGGGAATCCAATGAAACCGACGGAGGCAACACCGGTACGGGCGACATCGAAACCAACACCAGCACCACCACCTCCCGAAGAGCTAGGCGTCAAAAGTTCACGCTTGAGTTTTGCGAGCTTCGCTTTCAGTTGACCCAAATGGTAGGACGTAGCTTTGTTCTTCTGGGTCCTCGCCATTTCGGTCTCGATCTCCTTGATCTTCTCAACCGTCGTCATGATGGGCTATTATTGATTTGCGAAGCCTTGAACGGGTGTATATAGATGATCCAACAGTGTAAGGTTCTCGAGCGAGGTTGGAGGTGGACTTGAGATTCCGCACAATTGCGACGTCGACTTTGTTAAGCGGCCGTGAATTGCCAGGCACAACCAGCTACAGGAATTCTACGTCAAGAGGAGTCGCCATTGAGACGTAAATAATTGCTAACAGACATTCAAGAATTTTGAGGATCGTTTTTGATCTTCCAGCTTCATCAACATGCAAGAAAATGTCCTTTGCTGTCGCGTCCCGCCGCCATGTCGTGATCGCACCGCTCCCCCGCAATTCCACCCCGGACATATACAGCACCCGGATACCCAACTATCATACAAGCAATACAATTGAAATGGCGGAAGAAGTGAAACTGAGTAAGGACACGTTGGCGCTCTTCAAGCACTACTCGGGCTGGGAGGACAACGAGCGTGTGAAGCAGAACATCATCAAAGTCCGCGATGAAGCGTTGGGTATCTACGCATATCCCTGTTTGCAACGCAACAGGTTCTTGGAGAGCCGCATGAAACAGCACTTTTACTATAACACCTTGCTGCAATCGTGTGAGAACGCAATCGCATCGGGCGGGTCTCTGAAGCTTTTGGACGTCGGTTGCTGCTTTGGCACTGATGTTCGTCAACTCGTACTCGATGGATTTCCGGCTCATGAAATTACGGCACTTGATATGAGCCAGGATTTCATTGATCTCGGCTACAAGGTACCTATTTTCCCTCTGAGACAGGGATCTTGACTAAGACTTGACGCAGTTGTTCCACCATGGCCCGGAATCCCTGCCGGTGAGGTTTATCGCAGCCGATATGTTGGCGGATGATTTCTGGGAAAGCCATGGCGATCTCAAAGGTGCATTCGACGTGGTATACACTGGCAGTTTCTACCACCTGTTTGACGAGGCAGAGTGCGTCCAAGTTACAAAGGTCTTGGCGGCTCTGACTAAGCCAGGCGGAGCGGTGTTCGGCCGGCAACGTGGACATAAAGACACAGATGAAGCGGCAGCTGGACACATGCAGTACAACAACAAACCCCGCAAGCTCTATTCGCCCAAGTCCTTTGCGACATTATGGAAGGAGACGGTCGGATGGGAGAAGTGCGAGGCCAGGACCACGAATGGCGAAGGCGACGACGGATCACGGGAAGCCTCGGAGCGCGGTTTTCTGGAATGGGTGGTGATGTCTTCCATTTGGTAGCAATGCACCTTCATGCACCTCCCTGCACGTGCAGAGAACAGCCAAGTGGGGCTCGGGTACAGAGTTCAGCTACGGAGCTCAGCTACGGAGCTTGGGTAGACAGCGACCTACCGAGGCAGTACAAGGACAAGGCAAGACGGCTCAACGACGAAGGGTGCTCCCGCTCACCTCACCCGCCATGTTCTCCTCCGCTCCGTCCTCCTCACAGAACCCCGCTGATCGGCCCAGCTCGGCTGCGTCGTCGTCCACCACAAGCCGGTCTCCGGGCTCATCAAAGAAGCAAAACCCCTTCAAGCGGCTTATACAGTTGAGCAGATCATCATCCTTAATCAAATCTGCATCATCATCTCGCCCTTCGTCTCGCCAGCAGGAATACTATGGTCATCCGCTTCCATCTTTCAACTCTTATCCGACCGATAGTTTGCACACGCCGGCCGGCACACCCACCGTCGAACACCAAGAAATCGTCTTCGATTGCGTCGAATATGTCACCGTCGGAGGCCGGTTCATGCCGGTCAAGCCGAGCAATCACTGGAGGAGACTGCCCACAGAGTTGAAGCTGCAGATCTTGAGTCATCTCAGCCCGAGTGATCGAATGGCTGCGTCTCGTACTTGCAAAGACTTTCAGAAACACTGTTCCGACGGATCGCTTTGGTCTACATTCGACACAAAGACCTTCTACAGCAAGATCTCTGCCGATCAGTTGGTCAAGCTGATTGCATCCGCCGGATCATTCATCCAGGATCTGAATCTCCGTGGCTGTGCGCAGCTTCGCGAGAAAGAAGTCGATCTTATCGCACATGCCTGCAGAAATCTTTCCGCTGTGTCTCTCGAGGGAGTTCGTGCCTTTGATGGCCCCGCGCTCAGTCACCTTCTCACGCGCAACTCGCGACTCCTCCATCTCGATGTGTCGACACTGAACTGCGTCACGAACAGCACGTGTCAGCAGATAGCTCTCGCATGTCCAAGACTCGAGACAATAGACCTCAGTTGGTGCTCAAACGTCGATGCTCGCGGTGTTCAACGCCTTCTACAAGGATGTTCGCAGATCAAGAGCTTGGCGATCTGTGAGTGCACGGGATTCAACCAGCCAAGAGCAATGCTCGCTCTGCACGATTGTGAAACGCTGGAACGTCTGCACATGAGCGGTTGCACTGACTTGAGCGACGACTCGATTAAGGTCTTGATGGAAGGATTGGACGAGGACAACTACGATCTTCCACCTCCAAAAAGGTTGACGCACTTGAATTTGAGCCGTTGCAAAGACCTTACGGATGCGGCTTTGCGTTATATGGCTGGTCCGTTTGCCAACCTTAAGAAACTCGAGATGGCAAATCTGCCGTCCATCACAGACAACGGATTGTGTGTCCTGTTAGGAACGCTTCCGAGTTTGACGCACCTTGACCTCGAGAACTGCGCACAACTGACCGACCGCACTTTATCTGTACTTGCCATGGCTCCATGTGCGCCGCAGCTTAAGCATTTGCAGCTGTCGTATTGCGAACAGGTCACCGATGTTGGCGTGGGAGCGATCCTACAGGAATGTGCCGCCCTCAAGCAGCTCGACCTCGACAACACGAAAATCACGAACGCCGTGCTCGCAGACGCCGTACGTTTAGTTCGGCACAGACCACAGGGCTCGCCCCACCTTTGTCTCGTATGTTATGACTGCGCGAATGTCACATGGGCTGGCGTTCGCGAGGTCCTATCCCTCAACGCCGAAATCAAGCCCACTTCCTCAACCAACTCCATCGTTCGCCTCAAATGCTACTACGGCTGGCAAAAAGTCGTCAACGCGCACACACGCCGTGTCCTCCGAGGTGACATCGCCCAGGCAAATCATATCGAGAAAGACTGGGCGGCTTGGCAGATGTGCGACGAGGAGATCACAGCCAGCGGGAACATGAGCAGGTACAGGGAACACAGAAGGCTAGGAAGACGTCGTCTTGTCGAAATCGGCGAGCTGGACCCGGCGCAAGTGGAGAGCAGACGAAGTCGCTGCAGCATCATGTGAGACAATCTCTACGCTATATCACCAACAACAACCTTGCACGCAGCTGGTATGCCGTGTAAGCCGAACTTCAGCACACTTTCATTTTTACGGAGGCAGGCCCGGGAATCAATTTAGGAGTATTATGCTTTGGATAGCTTGTTTATGTATCATGGGGAGATCTTGGCGTTACAGTATTGATATTCCGCAAACCGCTTCGTTGCCCCCGGTGAGCTCACTTCCATTCGCATTCACTTTCGTCCTTCCACCCTGTAAAGCAATGTCAGCATGTCATACCCCAATGAGTGCACTGAAAACCGTACATGATAATGTGATAGCCAAACTTGGTCTTTACCGGAGGATCCGTGTATGTGGGTTTTTGAGGAGTGCTTGGCTGCAGAGCAAACTGTATGCGGCGATCAGCAATGAAGATAAAAAAACATTCCGATCCACATACGGCAGCGTCTTGAAAGGCCCCAACCATGCCTGCTCTCACTTGCCAACCCAACGAACCACCAGCCTTGGCCTTATCCTCACTGTACTCCCTTGCGACGGCGTCAAAGCTGACGCCTGCCTTGAGCTTCTCTAGAGCCTCCATACATCTGCTGTGCTTTTCACATAAGATATGACTGCATCAAGTTGTGTCAGACCTAGAGCGTCACATCGGCCGTTAAGAATTATGACCATACCGGACGTTCACTTGCAGTCGGTCAGCTAAGGGTTCAACGGTGCTATGGAGTACTCACCTGCTGTGGCTACCTTCAACTTAGTGTCCTTATTGTCTGCCGGAGCTTCTTTCGGTGCTATTTTTCCCTTTCCCATTTTGGCTGCGAAGTACAAGTCAACGTTACAATCCACACGTGCCAGGCTTATAGGAGGGCGACAGCAAGCCGCATCGGGAGCGGTGGAAAACCAAGGGCACTTACACCGTACAGAGAGGAAAGAAGACTGCGCAAGTGATGTGTAAGCCTTAATGGTATTGGATAGAGTGTAGACAGGATGGGTGTGTCCTTCATTGCATCAGCTACGGAAAAGCTCCAATGGATATCAAAAATGACCAGCGTCATACCCTCCCCAAGGAGCACACTCATAACGAAGAACATTCACAGTTGCAATCAGGTACAGGACACACATTATGCGTCGCGAACCACTGCTTACTATGAATTGCATGAGTGCCATGATTGCAAGTGAGGCAAAACGTGAACCATTCGTCAAACGCAACCTCATTCCGCGACGCCGAATGTGATCCCTTGCTGACGTCTGCTGGTGTTCCTAAAGCCAAGAGGCATACAGCACATCGAGGCAGAGGTTTCCGACACGAAGGGCAGAATGTCTTCTGTTGTGATGCCGCACTCGCACCAGCCATTGCCGTTTGATTTACCGTGATTCGTCGTCCATCGGCACCTCTCGCTCCTGGGATGACAAGATTATGCGCGACACTTTGTTGGCAGTATTGACAGCGAACGTAAACCTGTCGCTGCCCATTCTTGAGCGTCATCGACCCGGAGCTATTGCGGGACAGCTCGCCGTGGGCGATGTCGAACTTTGCTCGTGCATGCCATTCTCTCCATTCGTTTAGTAGGTACCGGTATGTTTGTATCCAGATGGACGCACGTTTGTCTTCAAAGAACCGCGGAGAACCATAAGACACAATCATTGCGGCAGTCTGCACATCACCGGTCTTGTCCACGTACGCCTGTAAAAGATCGAGGCAAGACGCAGTCAGACCTGTCAAGCAAAGCCCGCTTAGGTCCCCTACTTTGATGAGGTCCTGCGTTACATCATCCAGATAATGATCCAACCTACGATCATCCAAGAAGCGGAGCGCAATTCCCACGCGGTCTCGTAAGGGGAGACCTTCTTCCCTCAAAACTAAACTCCAATCTCCAGTACAGATATAAGCAAAGATGGCTCGAAGATAGGCATCGTCAAGCTCTTGACTCAAACTCTGGCACAGGTCTCTCCACGCAGAGGAACCAGTATTTCCAGGAGATTGCATATATCCAGCGACAGCAGTGGACATAAGCTTCAGCTTTTGGTCGCCTTTGGAAAGGACTTTGATAGTCCTATCGATCTTGCCAAAATACATTGCCCATGCTGCAGCCTTGGGGTGCTCGCCCGTATTCTCGAACCTAGCACTTTTGTAAGCAAATATACGTCGGTTGCTCAAGGTAATTTACCCCTGTAGCTGTTGCTCCAGTTGCTGATCACTCAGATCCCAACCAATCGTCGCCAGCGCTAGTTGCCTTTGTTGAGGCTGCTGTGTAGTTGCAGTTATGGTCGATGCTGTTCGGCCAGCTTTGGTGTTCAACTCCGTCACTGCAGCTGTGAATGCCGCCTCAACGTTCTTCCCTGCAGCAGCAGGGCCCGGAGCATTGCGCCTGGCACTGTTCTTTGGCATTGCTAGGTACGTTGTTAGCCAACCATACAGTATGACTTGAGCATGCACTTACGTGAGAAGCCTCTCCACAAGCCGAGAACACCTTGCATGGTGAAGTCATAGCCCTGAACAATAACCGATTGTTCGATTGTGAAATCCTCAACGCACCGCCATGCCTCTTTCAGGATCTCATCCTTGAGAACAGATCGGTTCGCAGAAGCCTGTACAGTTCGCGTGAGAGGGGGTATCACGTGCAAAAGATGACGACTTACGTTCAGCGAATAGCCCTCATTCAGTCGCTCCTTCATAGTTGCAGCAATGTCGCCAACGAGCACAGCCTTCGTTGCGTCTAACGATAGTGGAGCCGCGGATCTCCTGCCCCATATACGTTAGCAGCTTTCCTATTCGCATTACCGGAGCACAGATACCTTTCTTGAGTACCATCATTCACCGCAGGCACATGAACCAAATCCTTACCCGAAGAGAATGTGAAACCGTTCGTCGGTCGAAAAGACGTCTGCGGCACTCTCGCAGACACAGCCCGCATAGTAAAAGAGCCATCCCTTCGTGCCAGGAGGTAGTTATTCGCACCCGACGCCGTCCGTGGCGCAACATCAAATAACATAGCCTGATTCGAATCACGACCCAACGGCACCTCCCTTGACCTCGACACATACAATGCTTGGGGCTTTGTGGCGACGGAATGTTTCACAGCCTCCAGATGTTTCTCCAGTGTACCTTCGAGCGTTCGTGGTGCATCCAATGGGTACGATTCGTTCAAGTCCCAAATGTGCATTGCTCCAGCATCTGACAGTACTGATACTTTTCCGCCTGAGTACCGCATATCCACCACATTTGGAGTTCTCGCATGATCTTCAGTCGATCGGTTCAGGAGGAGGATGTGCTCCTTGCTGGGTGTTTTCAGTGACCGTCGATCCCACAGAGCCACTACGCCTTCTTCACTGACGGAAGCTATGGAGTTTGGGTTGAGAGGGTCAACGCTGACCTCGTAGATGCACTTTGTTGGGAAAACCTGTGCTGATCCGGCTGTATTGCCCTCTGTGTAGCCTTGTTAGCAATCGACTCCTGAACTCCAATGGGCATGCGTATACCTCTGATATCGAATAGCCTGATCCATTTCAGACCAACACCTGCCACTAAATGATTCGGATTATCCGGAAAGAACGACACGGAAGACACAGCCTCACTAGGAGCAAGCTGAGATATCGGGACGGCGTTTCTGCTGGTTCCTCTGTCTGCTGCATTGGTCGACCACAACATCAGACAGAAGTCGTTCCGTACTTTGCTTAGACCAGTCGCGAGGAGGCCGGTGGTGTTGAATGCTGCCGCATTACATGCGCGTTGCTGCTTGACAGGTAACACGATGGGATCAACTTGATCGTTTGTCATCCTGATCAACTGCGCATGTCCATTTGCCGAACCCACGGCGACGAGATCCGGCTCGACAGGAGACCAGTCAAGACACTACACTCGCCTTAGAAGGAGTCCATGTATGCAGCAAGTCTTCGCGCGATATCGCTCACCCTGATAGATTGTATGCGCGTCTTCAAACACGACAGACTGTACTGAAACTCATCCTTCACACTCCTCCGGGCATCGTACAAGCGCAGCTCATTGTCTCGACCCGACGCGTAGAGAAACTGACAGCCATCGTCGTGCGGTGTCCATCGTAGGAAGCTCTTTGCTGTTGCCGAAGTCATCATCGCTGGCCAACTGACCGAGGAGCGTTGCGGTGGGCGGAGTACAGGCACGGCGCACCAAAAAGTCCAGCACCGAACCGTTCACAACAATGCCTCCTCAACGCAACCAGAAGAAACATTCGGCCGCTGGGCCCAGGGAAGTCACGGCGCCCAATTCGGCCAGTACGAGTCGTTTGAAGAAGAAGATCAGAGATATCGAGCGCTTGTTGAAGAAGGATTCTCTGCCGGCGACTGCACGGGTGCAGAATGAGCGTGCTCTGGACGCCCTTAGCCATGAGCTTCAGGTTGCGCAGAAGGCATCAAAGGAGTCCACGTTGATCTCGAAGTACCACATGGTCCGCTTCTTCGGTATGTTGTTCCTCCACAGCTCACTCAGGACGTAACTGACAAATATCTCGACAGAGCGACAAAAGGCGTCAAGAAAAATGAAGCAGGCAGAGAAAAGACTCGCTTCTGCCTCCGAGGCTGAAGCCTCCACGCTCAAGGAGCAGCTGCACAACCACAAAATCGACTACTACTACGCCATCCATTTCCCTCTCGACGAGAAGTACGTTTCATTATACCCCAAGGAGGGAGCAGACAACTCTACTGCTGTCGCCAAAAGAAAGGAGATGAGGGCATGGATTGAAAAGGAGATGCTGGCGGGCAAATTGGGGCAGTACAATGCAAGAACGAAGTTGGGACAGCAACAAGCACAGGCACAGGCGCGGCCATCGGGATCGAATAGAGCTGAGGTGGGGCAAAGGAAGCAGACTTCTGAGAAGCAAAGTAAAGGAAAGGGTGCTATCAAAGCAGAGTCGGTGCAGGATGACTTTTTCGAGGCCGCTCCGGCGAAGAAGGCGAAGAAGGATGATTCAAGCTCGGAAAGCAGTGAGGAGGAATCATCATCCAAAGAGAGTGGGGAAAGTGAGAGTGACAGTGACTCGGAGTAACAGGTGTAATCCTGGTATCCCTATATCCCTGTCTTGGCCTTGTCCGTATTATTCACTATGAATATATGGCCATACTAGGAAAATATAAAAAAAAAGGAATCATACCTATTTTCACGTGAAGATCCAAAGGCCTTCACGCGTTCTGGGTATTGGTATCAAATAAAGATCGTTCTCATACTCGCAAAATCATTTTTAAGCCTCGGTAGGATCCTCTCTGATAGGTGAAACCGCTGGTTTGTGTTCTCGAGTAGGCGAGAAAGGACGCTGTGCGGCAGTAGGATGAGCCGCACTGCCCGACGACTGCTGATCTTTCTCAGAAGCCTTCCGAGCGAGTACACCAGGTAAAGCAGCCAACTCGTCAAGCTTCGCATTCGGATTCCAATGCTCAGGCGAGGGTACATTTGCGGCGGGCGTGAGTTCCGCATGCGTTCTTCGGTTCCCAATGTCATCTTCCACGGATGTCTCGTTTCCCTTCAAATAAGGAGTCGAAGGTAACTTGTGCTTACCACCCTCCTTCGTGCGTAGGGGTATCTGGAAGTAGCTTTCGCTGTCGTCGGCGGATGGAGACTGCGTACGCGTAACCTCTGCGAACCGGCGGAGGTAGCCAGAAACCGCGGGCAAATCATCCCAGACGTTATGGAACTCGTACATGCCAGATTGACTTGGGGAAACTTCCGATGCAGCTGGGACAGCGGCCGTAGGTGAAGCAATGGGTTCAGACATTGGGACAACTTCCGGCTCAGATGATACCTCCGGTTCCTCACCAGGAAATACTCGAGAGGGCCTGAAGGGTTCTTTCTCTTCCCATGGGAAAACAGAAGCAGGAGGAAGCTCCACCCGTGTAGGGAGCAGATCGAACTTCACACTCTTTGGCGGAGGCTTCACCGGTGGCGCCTTAAAGACAGGCTCTGAAGGATCATATGGCTTGTCCCACGTATTCATGTACGTAGTCTCCGTCAAGTTGATGGCTTCCGGAGCACCACGCGGAGGTGGAGCAAGTGCTGGATTCCATTCGGCCATTTTGGCTTCGAAGTGAGGGCTGGGACGTCGTTCTAATTCTTGCGGGGCAGCGGTGGGTGAGGCGGAAGAGGAGGACGACGAAGACGATGATGATGGTTCAGTGGGAGGAGGCAATCTCTCGGTCACCGGGTCAGGATAACCGTAGTGACGTTCCCACACAGCCCACCAGCGTGCGACAAGTTCATTGTAGGCACCTTCACTCCGGTACGCATGCCTTCCCTGCATCCATGGCTTATCAGGCCCAATGAAATGTACCAAAGAGATCTGAGACTCGAAATGTCGATATGCGGGGAGGTACTGGTAATTGGCGGACGGAGTAACGTTGTAGGTGAACGACAAGCGATGGCTGTTGCGGAAGAAGGTATTCAGAAGTCCCTGATCTCCTCCGTCAAACGAAACTCCTCGGTCGGCAAGTGCTTGCAAGGCGTAGAAGGTGGACATTGAGGGGGTACAGACAAATACACCACTGTTGAAAATGTCGGGCCATCCGATATCGGGCGCAGCCTAAAACAAATAGTAAGCCAACGTACACCAAGGAGACGACAGGGATCATACAGCAAATTGAACATCGAGCTTAAAGAGCTCGTCCACAGCACGTACCGCGACGACATCGGCATCGATATAGACAACCTTTCTGAACTGCGTTTGCCGGAAGACATTGATCTTTGTCATAGATGACCGAAGGTCCGGTCTGCCTAACAAAGCAAGCTTCTCATCGGCCGGATTGGAGAACGAAAGTACTGGAATAACGTAATCGAAGACTTTCTGCGAGAGTGTGAGAATGATGGTGGTACTCATGGACAACAAAGAAGGCACGTACATTGAGCTCCTCCACGGTCCGCCGAGCGAGATTCGACGTGATGAAGACACCAATTTTATGTGCAGTACCAGCATCCCTCAGAGATTGTGCCAACACTTGAGCTCCTGCGAAACAGGTGGTCAGTCAACAAAGCCCGGATCAATGAGTGATATAGGCAAACGTACCGATGAGATAATTGTCCGTAAGGACCATAGTAAGGTAAACATCCGTCATGGCGAGGAAGGAGCACAAAGCCTGGAAGCTTGTGTGACCGACCTGTTTTCGTCTTTCGACTGCTGTGTTGGGCCGGAGATCAGTGCTTGACAGCTTCTCGCAGGGAATTGCGGCCGCTGACGACTGGCTCCAAGTGGGGCGCGCACCAGCTGGGGACGAGGCCCTGGTCCAACATCGTAGCTGCCCATGGGGATAACCACCAAGAGGAAGGGCGTGATTCTTGCTTTGTCGATGTTTCGGTTCGCTTATTGCTTGTCTTTCGCTCGGAGAATGTTTAGGCCATGCTACGGGCTCTGATTGGGTTGGAGACGCTCTCGGGGTGTCGATATCAATAGCAAAAGACAATAGAATTTACTACGTACCTGATGCCTTTAGCATCCTAGACAGGATCATATGGGTAGACAAACCATTCCTAGTAACAACGCCAGTTGCTCGTCCAATTTCTATGCCCGTTTTGATTCGCAATGGACGGCACGTCAACCTTCTTTATCGTACTCACCACCATGATTCACGACGGCAAGGATATGGACTATGGAATTTTACTTTGGCAAAGTCAAGCGAGGAAAAAAAATTCAGGTGAGCGGGGACGCAGACAGGTGTTTCAAAAAAGGACATAGAGAAACTTTATTCACTACGAAGCGACAATCGTACAGATCTTTCCACCAGCGATCACTCACTCATGGACCGCTTATTTCTTGACAGCCTTCTGGGCAGCCTTGGTAACCTTACCGGCACCGGCAGCGGCCTTCTCAACGGACTTGATGACACCGACAGCGACGGTCTGACGCATGTCACGGACAGCGAAACGACCGAGGGGAGGGTACTGAGTGAAAGCCTCAACACACATGGGCTTGGAGGGAATCATCTTGACGATAGCAGCATCACCAGACTTGATGAACTTGGGGTGGTCCTCCATAGCCTTACCGGTACGGCGGTCGATCTTCTCCAAGAGCTCAGAGAACTTGCAAGCAATGTGAGCGGTGTGGCAGTCGAGGACGGGAGCGTAACCAGCACCGATCTGTCCAGGGTGGTTCAAGACGATAACCTGAGCATTGAAAGAAGCGGCACCCATGGGGGGGTCGTTCTTGGAGTCACCGCAGACGTTACCACGACGGATCTCCTTAACGGAAACGTTCTTGACGTTAAAACCGACGTTGTCACCGGGGACACCCTCGACAAGCTGCTCGTGGTGCATCTCAACGGACTTGACCTCAGTGGTGACACCAGCGGGGGCGAAGGTGACGACCATACCGGCCTTGATGACACCGGTCTCGACACGACCGACGGGCACTGTGCCGATACCACCGATCTTGTAGACATCCTGGAGGGGAAGACGGAGGGGCTTGTCGGAAGGACGGACGGGGGGCTCGATGGAGTCGATAGCCTCGAGGAGGGTCTTACCCTTGGAGACACCGGCCTTGGTCTCCTTAGTCCATCCCTTGTACCAGGGCATGTTGGCGGAGGCCTCGATCATGTTGTCTCCGTGCCATCCGGAGATGGGGACGAAAGCAACGGTCTTGGGGTTGTAACCGACCTTCTTGATGAAGTTGGAGGTCTCCTTGATGATCTCCTCGAAACGGGACTCGGACCACTTGGTGGTGTCCATCTTGTTGACGGCAACGATGAGCTGCTTGACACCGAGGGTGTAGGCCAAGAGAGCGTGCTCACGGGTCTGACCGTCCTTGGAGATACCAGCCTCGAACTCACCAGTACCACCGGCGATGATGAGAATGGCACAGTCAGCCTGGGAGGTACCAGTGATCATGTTCTTGATGAAATCACGGTGACCAGGGGCGTCAATGACGGTGACGTAGAACTTGGGGGTCTCGAACTTCCAGAGAGCAATGTCGATGGTGATACCACGCTCACGCTCAGCCTTAAGTTTGTCCAAAACCCAGGCGTACTTGAAGGAACCCTTACCGAGCTCAGCAGCCTCCTTCTCGAACTTCTCAATGGTACGCTTGTCGATACCACCGCACTTGTAGATCAAGTGACCGGTGGTGGTGGACTTTCCAGAGTCGACGTGTCCAATGACAACGACGTTAACGTGAGTCCTGAAGGCATAGAGTCAGTAACCGAATCGACGAACAACAGCAAAGCATCACTCACTTTTCCTTTCCCATTTTGAAGTATTGCTAGATAGTAACGCTTGGTTCACTGGTATAGCTACAAGGAGAAACTGGCCAACGAGGGACTTCAGATCTTATACATCTGCGCGCCGCCAGGACGCACGCTAGCAAAATTTTGCTCAGCAAGCGCGGGCGACGGTGGGTGGCAACGAAAAACCAGAAGCGGCCGGGCTGTCAGGGTTGCCGTACCCTATGCGACTCAGATGTTCTTTTTACATCAGGGGTTAAACAATTCTTATCAGGCTACCTCCGGGGTAAACAGCTCATCGTCTCCATCGCGTCGTACTCTCCTTGCACATTTTCAATCACCACTGCAGAAAGTCCATCCCCAACACATCCCTCGTCGTTGGTCGGTTGGTCGATGATGTTCTCAGCAGGCTTCGCAGGCACTCAACCAACTCCTGGCTTTTCTCGGTGATACTGTCGCGGCGAGGGTCATAGATCTCAGGCCAGTCATCCCAATGGCCGAGGCCTATACACGTAGGGTAAACCTTGTGTCGGTATCCAGCATCTGCCCAATACGCCTTCCTAAGACCAGAGTACATTCCTTGAAGGATGCAGCTGTCATGTGTTAGCTTCGTCGCATCAGTCAAAGACAACAAACTCACCCCAAAGCCCACATGTCTGCAGGAAATAGCGAGTGGAAAACGTTGGTGCGGACGAGCAAAGCGGGAGCCTTGGATCCAGGGTCCTTGCGGAAGGCCGACTACAGAATGATTGTCAGTGTGCAAAGACCATCGCTGCCACCAATACGCACCCAAAACTCAGGTGGCGTCGAGTCGTACGTGCCGTAAAACCAGTACTGCATCGGTTGTTAGTCATTCGCAGCTTCATCGGTTGACATGAGAGGTACCTCAGGCCCATTCGGATGCTCAAAGGGATCGGCGTATTTGGCGTGTCCTGTGAAGTAACGATGTCAGCATACATCCTGTTAGACTCCGCTCCTACACCATACCAAAATCACTGATGTGCGGGTGACAAATCCATGGCTCAGAACTCGAACTTGACGGCTGGTCGTTTCTGCTGATATCGATCAGGATGTTCTCCACCTTCAAATCACCATGGGCAATCCCGTTCTCGTGCAAGACATGAAGTCCGCGAACAATGCCAGTAAAAATAGAGCGCAATGACTGCTCCGTGACGTAGGCTTGCTGTCCGTCAATCACCAGAGGTGATCTCTTAGGGAGTAACAAGTGGAAGAGGTCGATCTTCATGAGCGGCATGAGAATGATGAGATAATGGTGCAACGAGTACGCTTCGAACATGAAGTTGAGGTGGGTGGAGTCGAGGTTCATATCCTTGATGCGCTGGAGAATCTTGATCTCAGCTTTCGTCGCTTCTGCTACGCTCTATCACCAAGTCGTTAGTGAGTCATCATCACTACGTGGGGTGCATGCTCACTTTATTTTTGCGTGTCGTAAGCTTGATAGCAAACTTATGAGTGGGGATGTGAGCTCGGGTTGCCCAAAGTGGGTTGTTCAACTTCTTTCCGGCCAAAACAAACGCCGTACCACCAGCCGCAATGAACTTGGTGACGCGAATGCTTTCGTGAAACACAGGCGTGAGCAAAGTCTCAGTCAATTCGATTTGAACATGACCGAAGGTCTCCGGTCGGTCGTGAACCTTCTTCGCTTTGGGGTGAGAGAGGACATCGGCGACATGAGCGTAGGTCAAGTCGTAAAGGGAAGGAATTTTGACTTCGTCCACCGGAGAAAGCGCTGTGGATTGAGTAAACTTGGAAGATGTCCGTTCATTGGATTCGTTGCTGGTGGAAGCGCCGGACCTTCTGCGAACCATGAAATCTCTCATGGCGAGGAACGAACGCTATCATAATGAGTGAGCTTCCGAAGAACATTAGGCGGGATGAATGCGTACCTTCCTGTGTGGAACACCAATCTTATCCTCCTGGGGAGCAGACATGACTACTCTTGCGGATGTATGCGAGCTGTGGTTAGCAATAACGGGAGAGAATCACAGAAAAGAGGAGGATGGAAGCAGATGGGAGAGGGTAGCGATACAAGAAGAGCTATGAATGCTGGTCTTTTGCGTGGATGAGGGTGGTGGTGGTTGCAATTGAGCAGAAGGGGCTCTGTTTGCTGGAAATAGCATTTAAGCTACGGGCAGCGACGCTACTGCACCAGACCGAGATACGAGGTGTACGTAGCCGTGCAGTGCAGGACGGACGGCAACGGGACAAAGCAACCTCCAACGATTTACCAGCCGAACCATCGTATCAGTATAGCTATCATGGCGAGAACGACTTTCGTAGCCGTGCTGGTGGCCGGCATGCTGGTGTCCGGTGTTCTCAACACCATCCTGACCAAGTACCAAGACATGCAGTATGTGGATGACGAGAGGAAAGAGAAGTTTGAGCAGCCTGTATGGCAGACGTTGAATATGTAAGAGCAGTAGTTTTCGGCTCTACGGTGCTGTGGCTAAAATACTTACAGGTTCGCCGGAGAGATGGGATGCTGGTTGGTGGTGCTCGGGTACCGCATTCATCACGCCTATTTCCAACAAAACGACGATACAGCAAAGGATAATGTTGCATACAGTCCGGTGTCTTCCGATGAAACTGCGCCTTTAGTTGCGCCGGCGAGCGATGAGGAGCATGCCGACTCTGGAGTAAGGCTCAAGGTTGACGGGCGGCAAGAACTGCGTGGATGGAAGCTATTATACATGGCACTTCCAGCCGCTTGCGATATCTGCGGAACAACTCTTATGAACGTGGGACTGTTGTTCGTGAGCGCCTCCATCTACCAGATGATCCGAGGTGCCCTTGTCCTTTATGTGGGGCTCTTTTCAGTAATCTTCCTCCGCCGCCGCCTCCAAACGTACCAGTGGATCGGCTTAATCTCCGTGATGCTAGGTGTCCTGATTGTCGGACTCTCCGGCGCCTTACAGAAGGACACCTCTGTAGGTAGTCCTCCTGAAAGCGGTCCTGCTGTGGACGTAACCCGTTCCATCTTCGGCATCACCCTCATCGCCGCAGGACAACTCTTCACAGCTTCGCAGTTCGTCTTCGAGGAATGGATTCTCGAGAGTCACCAGATCGAGCCACTCAAGATGGTCTGCTGGGAGGGTATCAGCGGTTTCGTCATGACCAGTGTCGGAATGGCGATCCTGTACCCCATCCTAGGCAAGGCTCATCAGGGTGGCTACTTTGACTTGGCCGAGGGATGGCGTCAATTGACCTACTCACCAGTTATCTGGGGCACCTCCATCGCCATAATGTTCAGCATTGGTTCCTTCAACTTCTTCGGGCTTTCTGTCACGCAGACCGTATCCGCTACGTCGAGGTCCACTATCGACACTATGCGTACTTTCTTCATCTGGATGGTCTCTCTGAGCATTGGATGGGAATCATTCAGCTGGCTTCAGGTCATCGGGTTTGTGGTCCTCGTCTACGGAACATTCCTTTTCAATGGTCTAGTTGGCTTGCCTTTCCAGCACAGCCCTCCCAAAGCTGAGGATCCTCTGCCTGAGCATCCGAGCGAGCATCTTTGAGTGCAAGAACAATGCCGTAACTCCTTTTTTTCTTCCTCGTGTGTCACTTCTTTTGTTAGTTATTACCTTCGTAAGACGGTTTTTTGAGCATGGTGCAGGAATGGCTGTGTGTGATCTGAATACCGGTACACGGGGTAACATTGGTAACCATACTGTCTAACCTCTAACGCCCCATCCCATACCTTCTTGACCAATAATATAAAGATACTGAAAGCTCTACCATATAATCGACAACTTCTGTAGCTGTATGCCTTCCCATATGTCTACTCTTCAACAGACTAACGGTCGCTCATTGTCGACGTCTCCTCAATCAACGGCGACCTGCAAATGGTCAGCCAAGACATACAGGTACGAGACGGTGAAAGCTACATAGGTTGACTCAGATGAAGGCCCATACCCAGGGAAGTCCGACGCCCTTTGTCGAGCGACCGACTTCTTCGCAAGTCTCCACTCACTACCACTATGTTAGTTCTTCGATGCCAACCAGATTGATCGCAAGAGACACGCACCGTCGTTATCGTCACTTCCACCCTCGAAGATCCTGTCCAACGTCTGGGTTGCGCCTTGCATCTTGCTGACATCAAGTGAAGCGGTACGGCGGATCCTTCGAGTTCTACATGGTCTGTCAGCCACCCTACTTCCGCAAACGGAGTCCAAGCTTAGCCAACCTCGGCGACTCATCCTCACCATCCAAGCTCGGCCGCAACTTCGCAAAAGGCGCAATATTAGACGCTCTTCTCGTATGCCCACCTGCACTTACCTCGCGCCGCTCATAGGTCTGAGCAGGGGGTTCGCGGGGATCGCTAACAGCTACCACCCCGTTACGTCCGGGGATGAGAAAGCGATTTGTGCCATCGCCGTCGTCAAGACGCTTAATGTCCAAAGGCTTAGTCTTGGCAGCAAATACCAAGCGCAAAATCGAGTCATCTTCCGGTCCACCATCTTCGACTTCCTTTGCCTCCTCCGCGGCCGGCTCAATTGGAGTGTGAGACCGAATGGCCGGAGAGCCCGTAAGCTCAGCCGGTGCAGGTGCTTGAGCAGCAAGAAACGTCTGAGCTGACATACGTGGAAGAACCCGACTATTCTGCGCCGACTCATTCATATTGGGCTGCGACAAGCGACGACGCTCACGACGGATAGCGGCCGCCACATCAAACAGATCATCCGGGTTGGTGTCCAAACTCAGAATATTGACGATCGTAACGGGGATCTGCACGTGGACATTGTGACTTAAGGTAGCGCTGACGGCGATGTTGATGAAGTATTTCACTTCGAAGTACCGGCCTTCTCTCACAGTGAGCTGATCACCAGGAACCTGGATGCGCAGCGTTGAGGAGTCGATACTTTTCGGAGCAACGCCCCTCCAGCGGTAACCTGGGAGGTCGGTCTCGTGACCCGCATGTATTGCAGTGGAAGACACAACACGCGTCTTGATTCTGTCCGGCACACGGAGCTGCCCAGCCGGTCGGTTGAAAGAAAATGCTCCAGGGCGCTTGAAGGAAATGACATGTCGAACAAGCTTCATCTGAACGTGACGAATGGTGCGGGCACTCTGGTTCGAGATATGGAGCTCAACAAACGCCAGTTGACCGGCAATCCATGTCGTCCTGTGACTCTGAGCAACCAATGTCACGACTCCTTGACCACCGAGAAGTTGGCGACCTTCTTCAGTGCTCCTCAAGGGGTACTCGAGTGGAAGCAAAGCCTTCTCTGGATCCAGACACGGATAGAGGAGCAGAGTTGTGACCGTGCGAACAACGGAGATCTTGTCATTGCTTTTGTAGCGGAGAGTGGCTGCAAGGAGGTACCGGATCTCTGCATCTTCCGAGTAAAATGTTCCCGGGCCGACATTGAGTGGGAGTGGGAGCTCGAAAGCCTGTGCTTGAGTGCCGGTCTTGGCCAGCCAGTATCCTTGATCATCACAGCCAGTGTACGCGTGCACTAAGTTTCCAGGAGCCGGATTTGATTTTGGCGTGATGAGATGGGAAGTGATGCTGTTTCTTGTTAGTCTTGAATACCATGGAAGCAGGAACTCAATACACCTGAAGAATATACCTTGCTTCGATGCATGAGGAAGGACCTCAACACCGACAAGGTCCAATGCAAGATCACCAATCTTGACTGGATGACGTTTGGAGTCCTTGATGGTCAGAACAAGCCGGCCCTACATACATGACTTAGCATACACGCCAGGAACCGTGAGTAAATGCTCAACCCTTATCTTCCCTCCTATTCACAGGTCAGCATATATCCTTTGAGAACCGAAACAAACATACCTCCAACATGTAGAACAGCGTTAAGTACCGTAGAAAGCTTAACGCGTCTGTCATGCTTCGTGTCCCCGTTAAGCACCTCCACGGGCGGTTTCGCACGCACATAGGTCCCATCTTGAAACTCACTGTCTTGACCATTTAAGTAAGCTGCAAGGTCAGCTCCAACGGTAGACTGAGAGAAGTGTTTTCCGTGTTGGGCTTGTGTTGTATCGTCCTGAGCAGCGGTACCGTTGTTGACAATTGCTGACCAGGGTATATGCGGCGGGGGTTGCGATTGGAAACCCGGATCGGAAGAGCACTGCGCATGACCACCGGGATGACTGCCGTTTTGTCTGCGAGAGGTACTCCGAACGGGAACAAATGGCTGAGACAGTGTAAGTATTGCGAGTGTATGCTGCTATGTGGGGTGATGTAACATACCACGGAGGAAGCGTCTTGAGACATCTCGCAATGGCGATAACAGCAGAACAAGAAGCCAAATGCAAAAGTATGAAGCAGAAGAGAAGGCACGATAAGCAAGGAATTGCAATTGCAACAGTGATTGGAGCTGGTGGGGGTATATGCTCTCTTGGCGTGTACCGGTATGCGGGTAGAGTATGGCGGTGCAGCGGTCAATGGCCCAGCTCAGGCGCGGCCGGTGTTTACCTCACCAGCCACACCACACCGCATACGACATTTGCATATAGAACGCGCGAAACCCAGAGAAGGCCGCCTAGGCAGAGGAAGAGGAAGCGAAGAGGAGGGACGTAGAGAGGAAGAGGTTGAGAAGAGCGGAGCGTAAAGCTACCAAACCAATGAAGGAATGTAACGACGTTGCTATTACTTTCCAACCTCCTGGTGATCCGGACTGTAGATGCTTTTTGTTTGGGGTAACGGCTGCACGTAGGGAAGATCGTCCGGCCAGTGGTCTGTGCTCCGCCTACTCCCGGCCGTCATCATGCACATGGCCTCAACAGTCGACGGAATGGGTCAATTCGATTCGCAAATGGAACGCCTCACGAACTCATTGAGATGCTGGCGTATTCAGCATAAATACCCGACTGCCTTCCAGATCAGCGCTGGATCATCATTACACCATGCTCCTCTCGGCGCTCAACTTCGCTCTCCTCTCGACCCTCTTCACGGGCTCAACTGAAGCCTTCTGGCGCTTGCCATGCAACAAGCCAATTGTCACCGAACGAATCGATCCGCTTGTTTCTCCGGGCGCAGTCTCGGGCCATGTCCATTCTGTCATGGGTTCCTCGGGCCTGAACTTTACTACGACCTTTGAGGGCCTTCGCGCGGGTGACTGCACCACATGTATGGTCAAGCAAGACATGTCCGTCTATTGGGTCAGTAATTGACCTTGCTCCCTCGTTGAAGCACTCAATTGACGGATGATCAGGTCCCGACGCTATACTACGCAGCGGAAAACGGCAGCTTCTTCCCCGTGTCGCAAGTTGGCGGTGTAACAGCTTACTACCTCCAACGCTACGACTCCCAGAACTCTGCCACCTACTCCAACCTCACCGCCTTCCCCGACGGGTTCCGCATGCTCGCCGGTAACCCATTCCTCCGATCCTTCAACTCATCGAGTCCAGCGCAACAGGCTGTGACATACAACTGCCTCAATGGCTCCACTCCTGCCCCTCAGACGCACGGGTTTCCCACGAACAATTGCCCCTCCGGTCTTCGTGCCCAGATCTTCTTCCCGTCGTGCTGGGATGGCGTGAATCTCGATTCGGCTGATCACAAGTCACATATGGCATACCCCGACGGCGTCGACGTCGGCAGTTGTCCCGACTCGCACCCAGTCAAGCTCATCTCCCTCTTCTACGAGGTCATCTGGAACGTGAACGCATTCGCTGATCAGTGGTACGGTGATTCCCAGCCTTTCGTCTGGTCAATGGGAGATCCCACTGGTTACGGGTACCACGGAGACTTCATCAACGGATGGGACAACAGCGTTTTGCAACAGGCTGTAGATGAGTGTACCGCCGACTCCGGCCTCATCGAGGACTGTAGCGTCTTTGATCTCTACACCAACCAGGAGACACGTACCTGCTCCAATGCCGTCCAAGTGGACGAGCAAATAGATGGTGAACTCTCCGCTCTCCCCGGCTGCAACCCCGTCCAATACGGTCCCAACAACGCAGTGCCGCAGACTGGCTGCGGCGCAACCACACAAACTAGCGGCTCCAGCAAGGTCCTCGATTCATTCCAGTTGGTCTTCGCCAACCAGACAGGTGCAACAAACGCCGGGGATTACATCACCTACACCGCCCTGGACAGCTTTTCCCCCGATGACTGTTCGCAGTTTTGCTACAGCGTGAGCGGTTGTAACTTCTTTAACCTCTGGTTGGGTCAGAATGTTAAAGACGGGTCATACTCGTACACCTGCTCCCTCTACCAACAGGGACACAATGCGACCGAGTGTGTGAACAAACAGGTCGGAAACGCCAAGTGCGTCCGTTCAGATGGTTATGTTCGAAGGTCATAATTACGATACAGATACCCAGATATAGAGAAGCGAATTTGGATTAGAACGCAGGATAGTTATTTTAGGATAGGTATATTATATAATGTTATGCAGATTCAAACCTCGATTCAACGCCAAACGCACAAGAAACAAAACCAATCCATCCCTTCTCTGCTTACTCCTTTCTCTTCTTGACCTGCTTCCTATCACCACCCTCCCTCTTCCTTCTTCTGCTATCCCTTTGTTCTCCAAACTTGTCATCATCCATCTGGACAACAGCCTCCCTCTTTGCCTCCGCGACCGTGGTCAAGTTCTTCACAACCATGTTATCGCTAACACCATCGTACTTCGTCATCTTTGCATTGACCCTCTCCTCGATTGCCTCTACCAACAAGACGTCGCGCTCGGAGACAAAAGTGACGGATTCACCAGATCGTCCGGCACGGGCTGTACGACCGACTCTGTGCACATAATCGTCGGGGTCGCGGGGGAGGTCGTAGTTTACTACCATTTCGACGGTAGGGATATCAAGACCACGAGAGGCAACATCAGTAGCGACCAAAACCCGTGCAGCCTGCGCACGGAAACGACCGAGGGAGTCGACACGTTCGCGTTGAGGCATGTCGGAATGCAAGGCTGTGACACGAATACCGAGGGCACGAAGTGTCCTTCTGATAAGCTCGGCGGTGCGGGTTCGGTTGACGAAGATAATTGCAGATTTTTTCTCGTTGACTTCGAGGGAGAGGAGGGTGTGGAGGTAGGCCTCACGAACGTATGATGGCAAGAGAATGTAGGTTTGTTGCAGTGTCGATGGTACGGCAAGAGAGGATTCCACTTCGTGCAAAAATGGCTTCGAGCGTCCCGGTTTTGGCGGCTGTTCCGTCAATTGTCTGATAGCATCCGTCATGGTTGCGGTAAACAGGAGTGTCTGGCGATTCGATCCGTCGGGCAGCACACTCATACAATCCTCCAGCTCATCCGCAAAACTCGGGTTTAACAATCGATCCGCCTCATCAAGTACCAAAAACTTGCACCTCTTCAAACCACCGATAGTCTCATCTCCATTACTTCTGATAATATCTGCCAAACGACCGGGCGTGGCAATGACCACATGCGGCCGTCTCGACAACGCCAAACACTGCTGCATCATATCCATACCACCGACAACGACCGCATGCTTGAGATCCACAGGTGCACCAAGTGCGGCAAACTGCTCAGCAATCTGCAAGGCCAGCTCACGCGTCGGCGTCAACACAAGAGCATAGACACCCCACGGATCCCTCGACCACTTCTGCAAGATGGGAAGCGCGAACGCAGCAGTCTTCCCGGAACCGGTCCTAGCACCTCCGATACAGTCGTTGCCTTCGAGAATGGGCTTGATACATGCTGCCTGAATTGCGGTCGGTTTCCTGATGGACATGCTCGCCAAGGCGTCGACGAGCCATTTGTCTAAGCCGAGAGACTTGAAGGTCACGGATTCATTGAGATCGGCCATCCTTGTTCTGCCAGTGAACGGTTTCGGGTTTTTCTTACGCTATGTATAAAGTTTGCGGCGTATCGATAGAAGAGCTCGAGTTCGCCACAGGAGCACAGCCACACTGGAGGAGAAGGGAGGAGGAGCAGCCAGAGAGGAAGAGGGACTTGCCCAGAGGCAGAGGCTGGCTGGCTGTCCTGAATCAGCGCTGACGTTCAACAGCAGCTTGGACGTTTAGGTTTACCAGTGTTGTCTTCTCCCTGCTATTCGGTCCATGCACTTCGCTGCAGCGCTTGGAGACCGCCGTACTGTACAAACAAACACATGCGGATGTAACCTCCGTGCCGGAACGTCATAAACAGCAGCATTCATCCAGCAAACTTCATCAGCGACAACGACCACGATGTCCGCTCCTTTCATCCGTCCTACCATAGGCTCAGGTGGCAATGGCAACAGCAACCGACCAAAGCTCTCTCTTCCATCCCTGGGCGTACCCCCATCACCAGCACACTCCCATGCTTCCGCATCAACAAACATCTCTTACCAATCATCGTCAATAGCATCAGGCAACCTACCGATTTACCCAAATTACCAAGCACAACAGAGAGATGGACGTCCACGGTTAAAGCTCACGCCAATCCCTTCTCCGGCAATGACGCCAATACCAAATCAACCACAACAAGAGCCGGGATCAGCAAGCTCAGCAGGGAACTCTTTCAACCAAGAGATCCGCAGGGCACTCGGTGTCGAAGATGAATTGGAAGAGAGTCTTGCAAGCGGAACACCGAAACCCGCTGCGGCTGTAACCATGGGTGACCTGGACGAAGAAGGTTGGCGCAACGCTGCCCGCGAAGGAGAAATTACAGAGCTGGGAAAACTCGGCGAAGGAACAAGCGGCACAGTAACGAAATGTGCCCTGAGAAGCAGTGGCGTTGTATTCGCTCTGAAGACAGTACCAGCAGATCCGAATCCAGAAGTACAACGTCAAATCCTACGAGAGATCGCCTTCAACAGATCATGTTCGTCACCGCATATCGTGCAATATTATGGCGCCTTCTTGGCAGATCCACATTCTAATCTTTCTATCTGCATGGAGTTTTGTGAGGGAGGATCGTTGGATGCTATTTATAAGAGAGTGAAGGCACGAGGTGGCAGGACGGGAGAGAAGGTGCTGGGAAAGATTGCGGATGGAGTTCTGAATGGACTGGGTTATCTTCATGATCGTCGGATCATTCATCGAGGTGCGTGAATCCATCTCCTGTGATAGACTTACAGCCGACTGATGAGCGCACAGATATCAAGCCGTCCAACATCTTGCTCACCCGCGCTGGTCAAGTTAAGTTATGTGATTTTGGTGTCTCGGGAGAATTAGTCAACTCCTTGGCAGGCACGTTTACGGGGACTTCCTACTACATGGCTCCAGAACGCATTCAGGGAGAGCCATACACCGTCACATCAGATGTCTGGTCACTCGGTCTCACCCTCATGGAAGTCGCCCAAAACCGCTTCCCATTTCCTCCAGAAGGCGAGCCACCTCTCATGCCAATCGAACTCCTAACCTACATTGTCTCGACCCCAAGTCCGGAACTTCAAGACGAACCACAACTCGGAATCAAATGGAGTGCAGCCTTCAAGCACTTCCTAAACATCTGCCTAACCAAGGACAGAACACAACGACCATCGCCACGACAGATGCTGGGCCATCCATGGGCGGAAGGAATGAGGCAGAAAAAGGTGGATGTGGCAAAGTTTTTGCAGCAAGTGTGGGAGTGGGAGGCCTGATAATGCTGTGTGACGTTGGCTGGATCAACTATCATTATGCATATCGGTATGGTGCCATTATATATTGCGGTATCGCTTTATCCCCTGGACGGCTGTATCCTTTCTCATCGCATGTCCTTCTCTTACAGTGTCGTACCTCAGGATCAGTAGTGCAGCTTCTACTCTTATAGTTTGGGCCGGAACGCACTCCCTGCCTGCCGCAAGAGCTTCGAAAGGCTGCCTGACTGTTCTAGTTTGTCCAAATCGCTCGAGCCTGTACCCCGTCAGTAATGCATTTAAACCAGCCGGTGGCGGGCGGACGTACCTCCAACCTGCTTCCCGCCAATGAAGACGTTCGGCACGGTGGACTGGTTCGTCTTCTCCTTCAAGTAATCCTGAATAGCAGCTCCGTCGTCCCGGAGATCGAGCTCAATAGCTCTGAAGACGGCGTATTTGTTAACGAGGAGGTTCTTCGCTTTCGTGCAAAATGGGCAGTAGCTCTTGCTGAAGACGACGACGGCGTTCTCCTTGACAAGCTTTTCTACCAGGGTCTTTGCTGCTGATGCCATTGTAATGATCTGTGATGTACTTGGTGTTTTGGTCAAGAGAGGAGGATTGCGCAAATGGAATGACGTCTTGCAAATCCGGCAATTGCAAGTGTAACGTAGACAAAACACCAACGACAACAACTACCTCGTTAGCAATGGCTGAGATTGACATGACTCACGAGGCGACTCCTCTGGTTGACCCCGAAATCTTCGTCCGTGTTCAGCAATGTATGCCCGTCCTGCCTCTCGAGCCTGTTCTGTATTGACAACTCTTTATCCAGCCATCGACGAAGATGCCCTCGTTCGAGAATCACTAAGAGCAACCATCAAGGAGCTCGAACGCTACACAAGGACCATCCTCGCTATACTTGCCCGCTCCCACTCAACATCGTCCGCCCAACTCCCCTCCGTTCTCAAATCCACCGGGAAGCACTTCAACGATCTACGAACTGCATTGAAGCAGCTCTCAGATGTGGCATCGGAACACCCGTACTACAAGTATAACGGCATGTGGACGAACCAATTACAACAGGCGTCCTATTGTGCCGTGTTATATGCTTGGCTCGGTGGAAGCATTAGTGAATCAGTTGCGCAGGAAGGACGCCTTCTGTCCATCGAGGAGGTTGGCCAGGTTCTTGATGGTAGGTCATGTATGCGGCGTTTGTGTGCTCTGCTAACTCTGGTATACAGTCCCAGTCAACGTTGCCGACAAGGACATCTTCCACCTCACAATCGAAGAATACCTCCACTCCCTGGTCTCCCTTATCAATGAGCTTTCGCGTCTTGCGATCAATTCTGTGACTCTCGGTATCTACCAAAGGCCACTTCTCATTAGCCGTTTCGTGAAGGATTTGTTTGCTGCTTTCCAGGTCTTGAACTTGAAGAATGACAGTTTGCGAAGACGGTTCGATAGCATCAAGTGAGTTCTCGTATGATACATTTAACGAGAGATATCTGACCATGGTCATAGATACGATGTGAAGAAGGTTGAGGAGGTCGTCTACGACTTGAGTCTTCGCGGCAAGATTGATCCCTCCTCCAACTAGGGTATATCATTCATGGGTTATGGACGGACTTGTATGATTATAGCGGTATGGCGCATTGTGAAGACCTCTAGCATTGTTCAAGATGCTCCTCTCGTTCGATTATTATGAGTAATATGCTTTCACCTCTGCTCAGATGTACTATGATAGATCCCTCTCCCTATTAAATCGTACATATGCCAATAATGATGCATCCTAACTCGCCTCCCAATTGCTGCTCACATCACGATACAACACCTCGACCCCGTACTCTCCTCCTTCGCCGTTGGTGGCTTACTACTCACTCGCTTCTCAACCCGCGGCGCCGGCCCCGGCTCCTCAACTTTATCGAACACCTGCATCGGTCCTAGTCGTGCCACAGACTCTGGCGGAATAATCGTCGTCCCGACACCGGCACTCCGTCTCGATGCCGCCATCCCCTCACTCTCCACCTCGAGTTGTTGCTCTGGGGAAAACACCCGTTGCCCGGTTCCATTCGTCCTATTCCCACTCTTCGTAGAGCTCTCGCCTCCACTCTCGCTATACTCCCTACTCCCCTGTCTACTCCCCATTGCAATCATCGGCTTCCGCTGTCTTGCGAACGGTTCCGTCTGTGTACCCACCTCGGGCCCGGGGAACGAAGTCCGTGTGATAGGTGGTGAAGGTAATGGGGATTCAACGACGTGCATCTCCTCGGCTGTAGCGAGCTGAATGGGTTCGACGCCAAGAGGTGGAGTTAAGTGTCGTATGTACGGCTCCGCTGTCGCGGCCGGTTGTCCCGTATGTGTCGGTGATTGCGTATAACTTGTTGACTCTAATATTACTTCGTGCGCAGGGAGTATCTGGATTGGTTGTTGCTCCGCGGCGGCCGTCGCATGCGCCGACACAGGCGATGTAGGGAGTAACACAACCCCCCCGTCCAACCCATGTCCCTGTACATACCCGACAGTCTGCTCATCCGTCCCAAGATACGTGTCAATAAAATCATCCACATCCCCCGCCCCAACAGTCGATGGTGGATGACCCAAATCCTTAATCCCCACAACCTCCCCCGGGGTGGGCATAGCTCCATACGCCAACATCTCCGCCTCCAAGATCCTCTGCCTCTGCTCCTCCTCTTCCATTTCACTCGGCCGCCGTAGGAGTGGTTGACCGTCTTTATCCCACACTGTGACGAAGGCGTGTTTCCCCTCTGCCATCTCACGCTCAAATCGTTCGCGTTCGAGGCGTTTCGCGACTGTTGGTAGAAGCTGCTGCTCAGGCTGTAAATGCGGAGATGGCGTATAAGGGCTAATCCAAGGTGGTGTGCCGGCGGGTGCTTTCGGTGTTGTGGTACGTGGTGTACTCATTCCATTTCCGCTTACCGACTTTTGCCGCCGGCGTTTGGAGGAGGTGGAGCCCACGGATTTTGTGCGGCGAGGGGAGGGGGTAAATGGCTCTTCTGGTTCTGGTGGAATCGGGATGTTTAGTGGCATTGTCGGTGACCGCGGTACGCCTTCGCTCCTTGACTGGATGTGAAGTGAAGATCCTGTACTGTCTTTTGATCCTCGCCTGACTCGTGTATCCACAGGTATTTTGGCGGCTTGCGCACGGTTGAGAGACCTGCTCCGGATAATGCTGGTGGTAACCTCATACCCTGACAAAATCGCATCCTCCGAATCACTCGCGCTCTCATCACCCACGAGTGACTGCCTCTGACTCCGCGGACTCCGTATCGGTCTCGAGAAATTCCGTGGTGAGGACGCTTGTTGGGAGGAGGACGCACTGGCCACACTCCCCCGATCGGTGAGCTCTGAACGAGAAAGGTTGATACGCGGGATCAAATCTCGTTTCTTGAATGGCGAAGGAGGTTCTTCGGGTTTGTTGACCGGTGGAGCTAGGACGTACAGTGTTGTTGGAGTCGACGATGACATGGCTGAAGGATGTTCATCCGAGCTGGCAGACACACCCGCTACCGCCGTCGCCATCTCTCCGGCTGTATGCTGTCCTGTCTGTTTGTAAGGAGCCCCCGACTGAATGCTCCTTCTCCTGAAAGATGTCAACAGCTCCGACCTTGCCCATGCTGCAACCGCGCATCAACTTGCATGAACCGAGGCAACTGTAATTCACTCCGCCGTTTCTCGAAGTCTCCGTCATTTCCAGAGAACATCGTATAACCACAATGAAGGCATTCTTCAACAGCATGAGAGGACACCCGACGGGCGGCCACGACTATGTTACAGTCGCACACGGCAAGGACAGGTATCACTTCGAGTTCCCTGATGACTCCATCGATCAAGGCGAGGTCACTGTCGCGCAGGTGAAGAGAAAGTGTGCGGTAAGTCGCATCTTCGTCGGATGTCGATCGGTGCTGATTCTGACTTTTGGTCGCGATAGGAAGCGAGTGGGTGTGATCTGGACCGGATCAACCTGCTATTTGGTGGAACATCACTTAAAAAGCCAGATGCCACCCTCGCTCAGGCAAACATCAGAAGTGGATCAAAGATTCTCATGATGGCCTCAAAGGTGCGCAATACATTTCCTCTTCGCGAACGCCCGCTGATAAATGGTGAACAGGCTACACCACAAGCACCCCCCAAAGCCCCCACACCAACCCCTAAAGCCGTCCCACCCACCCCAAAAACGCCCTCCGAACAAATAGACCACTACCTCAACGAAACCAACACCCTCTACCTCCCCGCCATCAATGCATTCTGCTCCAACCCCCCTTCCGACGAAAAAAAGCGCAAAGACACGCACCTTCGGCTCTCCGAGACAATTCTTGGACGGCTTCTTATGTTCGATGGGATTGATGTTAGTGAGGATGGGACGGGGGCGTTGAGGCAGAAGAGGAAGGATGCGGTGAAGTATACGCAGGGGTTGTTGGATCGGTTGGATAGGGCGGTGAAGGGGAAGAAGGAGAGCGAAGGAGGGGAGGTGGATGGGACGGAGACGCAGGCATGAGCTATTGCGGTATACAGTTTGGCATGATATGAATAAGCCTGGGACGTCGACGGGCGGCAAGGACTTGCAGATGGAGAACAGCACAACGTATCATCCATCGCTTCCAACAGATGGATGATGAGGTAGACAGTTGGCTCATAACGAATTTACGTTACTGCTACGTAAGACTCTTCGCCCAGCTGCTCAATTGCAAGTCGCATTTTCTTTTTTTTTCGTACGACTGCACGCGAAATCCGATGACCTCACAGATCCGCGAGCGCCCCGAGCGCGACGTCGAAACTCCTCCTCCAATAATTCCAGCATTCAATCCCAAGATGCCAGAAGGAATCGAACTACGAAACAGAGAAGGCCCATCGCCAGACCTCAAAGAAGCCCTCGACGAAATCGCAAATCCATCAGTTCCTTCGGTCTCAGCAACCGTCCCCCTTACTGTCCCCAAACTCAATGCCCTCGATTACTTCGTCCTCTTTCTCTACCCCTCAACCCTCCTCCTCGGCTACCTCATGCCAAAAACGAAATCCTACTTTGCCTCAAAGCATAACCTCGTCAATTTGTTGTTTGTGAAGAACGGGTGGGCGTGGACGAGTATTGCGTTTTGGTATCATTTTTCGAGATTACGGAGGAGCGATAGGCTTAAGGCTGCGTTGAGGTGGGCGTTGGCGACGTTTTGGTGGGTGTTGATCACGCAGTGGTGTTTTGGGCCGCCGATTATGGTACGTTGCATACACTCCATCCTCTCTTCTCAATGCTAACTCTCTCGTAGGACCGCGCATTCACGGCTACGGGTGGGCTTTGCCAAATTGCCCAACAGGAAGTCGCCCAACCCGGGCTAACCTCCATGCCTCAAAACGCCGCGATCGTTACCTCCGCAGCCTGCCGCGCCGTCCGCGGAAAATGGTCCGGAGGCTACGACCTCTCCGGCCACGTCTTCATCCTCGTCCACTCCTCCCTCTTCCTCTGGTACGAGCTCTACCCCATCCTCGCAGATGGCGGCGAAGCAGCGACTCATGCGGCGACGAAGACGGTGTTGAGTGTACTTGTGTTGTGGTGGTGGATGTTGTTGATTACTGCGGCGTTTTTTCATACGTGGAATGAGAAGATTACGGGGTTGTTGGCGGGGTTCGTGGAGTGGGCGATTGTTTATTTCTTTGCGGTTAGACATCCCAGGACGAGGGATGTTGTTGGTGTGCCCCATTTGTGAAGGGGAATAATAGAGTGTTGCATGGTAATGGGATCACATATTGGACGATGGGCATTGAGGATCTTATAGGAATATATCCGCTAACGACTTTTTCATCGCGCATACGCAATATACCAGATATGCGGTTCAGTGACGTTTATCCTCACAATTTTGCTCTTGGCATCTCCTCTACTTCTTTCTCAATCAACCACCGCCCGACAGCTTTTACGAGTGCTGTAACCTCCTCCTCCTTGTTCCCCGCATGCAGACACACCCTCACCCTCTCCTTGTCTTTCTCCACCGTCGGCCAGCAGATTGCCCGTACATTAAATCCCTGCTTCTGCAACACATCTGCCAGTTGTCGTGGATGCAACGTAATCAGCGGCAATATTGGTGACTGCAGCGGTAGTGAAGGTAGCGTGAATAACGGCGTCGATGGTAACCGTCCGAGAAGTGATGAAAGCTTGCTGATAAGGGAGTGCAAATGCTTCTGTAATCGTCGAGTCTCGCCGTGCTGAAGCATGTTGTAGACAGCGGCAATGCTTACCAGTGTCGGGTATGACATTGCCGTGCTGTAGATTAATGGCCGTGCGTAATTGATCAGATACTCCTTCAGTATTGGCTCTCTGCACAATAGGATAGCACCATTGGTAGCAAGTGCTTTGCCGAATGTATGTAGTCGAGCGTAAATTCGCTGTTGTTGCTGGGGTGTGAGCAGCGACGCCCACCCACGTCCGTGATCTCCGTAGACTCCGGTTGAGTGTGCTTCGTCAAGAACGAGATATGCGTTTCCCCGCGGTAGTTCGGCGTCCATGATCGTGATGATGTCGGACAGTGGTGAGAGGTCGCCGTCCATGCTGTATAATGCCTCGACTGCGATGAACACGTTCGCTTCTCCTGATTGTACCCGTGTGTCTTCCAACCTTAGCTTCTCCAACTGGAACTTGAGTGAGGCGACGTCGTTGTGCTTGAATGCCCGTGCAGCCTTAATTCGTGATGCACGGAATCCATCGTGTACTGATGCGTGGATTAGGGCGTCGTAAATAACGTAGTCACCCTTCTGCGGTACACATGAGAAGAAGCCCACATTGGCATCATACCCCGAGTTGAATAACAACCCCGTGGGTGCGCCGTGAAACCCCGCGATTCTCGCTTCCAGATCTTCTGCGTACGTTGAATTCCCATCCAGTAACCGCGAACCTCCCGAGCCTAGTCGTGGTGCGACCTTGTTGAGTTCGGTGAGGAAGATAGAGTGTAGGCGCTCCGATGTCGAGAGGGAGAGGAAGTCGTTTGAGGAGAAGTCAGAGGACTCTGGCGGAGATAGTGATAGTCTTCTGAGACGCGATGCTCGCTTGCGGTTAGACAATGCTGCCTCGAGAGAGTCGGAAAGACGCATGTAGAGGATGTGCTCTCGGATTTGTCGGTATTGAATTGTCGAGGAAAGTCAAGTGCGTTGAGGTAAAGAATGCCCTGGTAGACGACCGCTGAAGCCCAGCTTCAAATCAAGTCCAAACAATGTAGGATGGGAATTCGGGAGCGGAGTGCGGCCAGGGTCCTTCTGGTTGAGAGATCTGGTGGGGAAGATGCCCGACTGCGAGGACGCTCGATTCGGACCCCAGGTAACGTTGACTCGAGATGCGCCTGCACCGCCACATCTCCTCCAGCTGAATCTTGGACGTTTTTGTAGTTGTATCTAGTGATTCGAGAGCTTTGTAGGGCATTTTCAAGGCCATATTCAGGCGTTTTCTTTGTTGGGTGCCAGGTCGGTAGCCGTTGACTGGGCGAGGGTCGACATGCGCTTGAGCTGCAACTGCATCATAGGTATGACCCAAGGCCAAACAGCAACCCCGTTATACCCAGCACGGCCCAATTGAGTCGATTCAGCATCGCGTTTTGTTCGAGCTATCCGTGGAACTTCAATCTCTAGTCCTGGGCGTCGGTTCATCGATTTTCCGCTTGTTAATTCTACACGAGGACCACGATGTCGACGGTGTCAACGTTCATCAAGAAGGTCAGGGCATGCAAAACTGCCGCAGATGAGCGTGCACTTTTGCAGAAGGAGTCTGCTGCTATCAGAACATCTTTCCGTGAGGAGCCGACCAACTACGATGTCCGACGGAACAACATCGCCAAGCTACTATACTTGTTCACCATGGGAGAGCGGACTCATTTCGGGCAGATCGAATGTTTGAAGCTTCTGGCAAGTCCAAAGTTTGCGGACAAGAGATTAGGCTACCTGGGAACTATGTTGTTGTTGGACGAAAGCCAGGAGGTGCTGACTTTGCTCACCAATTCTCTTCAAAAGTATGTTGTGCATTACACGGGCGTTTCATCAGAATGCTGACAAGGTGCAATAGTGATCTCAAGCATACCAATCAATATATCGTCGGCTTGGCCCTTGCGACTTTCGGTAATATTTCGTCGCCAGAGATGTCTCGTGATTTGTGCCAGGATCTCGAGAAGTGTCTGTCTTCTTCCAACGCATACATCCGAAAGAAGGCCGCTCTCTGTGCTATGCGTGTTATCCGAAAGGTCCCGGAACTTCAGGACAACTTCGTCGACCGTGCAAAGACACTACTGAGCGACAGAAATCACGGGGTGTTGCTGTGTGGTGTGACTTTCGCGACTGATCTGTGCGAGAATGACCCAGATCTGGTTGACCAATTCAAGTCCTTTACTCCAATTCTTCTACGACAGCTGAAGGCGCTGTTGGGTGCCGGGTACTCTCCTGAACATGATGTTACCGGCATCACCGATCCTTTCTTGCAGGTCAAGATTTTGCAGTTCCTGGGAGTCTTGGGACGGGGAGATACGGAAGTGAGTGAGCAAATGAACGATATCCTGGCTCAGGTAGCAACGAATACCGAAGCTTCAAAGAACGTCGGAAACGCTATTCTCTACCAGTCTGTCCTCACCATCTTGGAGATTGAGGCTGACAGTGCACTGAGAGTGCTTGGTATCAACAACCTCGGTAAATTCCTGACTAACAAAGACAACAATATTCGCTATGTGGCTCTCAACACCCTGAGTAAGGTGGTTGCCATCGAGCCCAATGCTGTTCAGCGCCACAGGAACACCATTCTTGACTGTCTTCGTGATCCCGACGTGTCTATCAGACGGCGTGCCTTGGATCTGTCGTTCGCACTTATTAACGAGAGTAACATCCGTGTGTTGGTGCGTGAGCTCTTGGCTTTTTTGGAGGTGGCAAACAACGAGTTCAAGGCAAACATGACCTCGCAGATCTGTCTTGCTGCAGACCGGTATGCGCCTAACAAAAGATGGCACATCGACACCGTTCTGCGTGTGCTCAAGCTTGCTGGAAACTACGTGAAGGAGCAGATTCTGTCCAGCTTTATCAGATTGGTCGGCACTACACCAGAATTGCAGCAGTATGCGGCACAGAAGCTTTACGCGTCTTTGCAGGCCGATATTTCACAGGAAGGGTTGATTCTTGCTGGCGCGTGGATTATCGGTGAATTCGGTGATGCGCTTTTGAAGGGTGGGAACTTTGAGGAAGAGGAGCTGGTCCGCGAAGTGAAGGAGTCCAACGTCATCGACCTTTTCGAGACTATCTTGAACAGTACCTTCGCCAATCAGTTAGTGACTGAATATGTCTTGACCGCCGCCATGAAGCTTACCACCCGTATCACCGACCCTACTCAGATCTCAAGAATCAGAGCAATGTTGGCGAAGCACAGTGGCAGTTTGGACGTTGAGATTCAGCAGAGAGCGGTGGAGTATAACAACCTCTTCCAATACGATAGCATCCGACAAGGTGTGTTGGAGAGGATGCCTCCACCAGCAGTTCGCGAGGACCCTATGCGCCTTGGTGCACCAAAGGTTGACGACGCCAAGTCCAAGAGAAAGCCGAAGAAGGAGTCTGCTTTGCTTGATCTCATGGGCGGCGACGATCTTGAGGTTGCACCTGCAAACGGAGCTCCTGCAGCCCAGACGAACAATGCGGATCTGCTGTCGGATATCTTTGGAAGCACGGGAGGAGAGACTGCTGCACCATCACAGCCTGCACAGTCTAGCGTTAACGATATCATGAGTTTGTTCGGGTCAAACGGTGGAGCACCGGCGGCAGCATCGAGTGCCATGGATCTTCTGGGTATGGGAGGCGCACCGGCACCAGCGGCTCCTATTGCAGTCCCTGCGGCGGGTCCTGCGGCATCAACGTTCGAACCCATCACAGCATATTCCAACCACGACTTGCTCGTGACATTACAAGCTCACCGCGACGCTTCGTTCCCTCCAGGTGTCGTTAATGTTATGGCGCGCTTCCATAACCAGAGTTTCACTACTCGCGTCGACCACCTGAACTTTCAGGCCGCCGTGCCAAAATCCCAGAAGCTGCAGATGCAGCCCTTGAGCGCACCAGGTGTCGCTCCCGGCGCTCAGGAGACGCAGGCAATGCGCGTAACGAGTACTCAGGGTGCGCAGATCAGGTTGAGATTGAAGGTTACGTTCACGAGAGAAGGAGAGGCGGAGGTGTCTGATCAAGTAGACTTTAAGTTCCCGGCGGATATTTTGGCGTAGTTCCTCAGTAAACCCAAAAGAGCATCTGGAGCAAGGATAATTATGAACCTTAAATACCATTATCTACCTAATCCCGTGAGACCAGACGCGTCCTCTCATTTTCCCTTGATCCCTGGGGGCTGTTAAACAACGACTCTCATGCTTCGCGTCGCCCTCGCGGCCCTCGTCGAACGTGGCTTGCGCGACCAAGAAAACCCGGAGTCGCAGCTCGAGCGCCCTTCGAGTCAGCAACAACTATCAACGATCCCTGTCCCAAACGACCTATATCGCATCTGCTTACACGTTCAGCTACTTCCGCCAGCTCAAGAGAACCTTTATCTGAACTCACGCGACTTTTCGGCAACTTCTTCGGTCGCAAACTGACGCGTACACCAGTTCGTCACGCGTCTGAATATCTATAACCCTCAAACCATTTTCAGGCATCTCCACCATCCGCTTAACATCCTAACCTGACGCGTCAATATGTCTGCTCCTTCTCAGAACGCGACACCGCGTAGGGTGCTCGGTGCTATCGACACGAACGCCCAGTTCAACAGAGTCGACTCGCCCTCTAAGCGGCGGAAGCTGAGCCCGATCAAGCCCAAAACGCTCATGCCGCCTCCAACAATCTATTCGGATGTACGCGACAAGGAGAACAGTGTTCGTGGGTCCGCCATCTACGAGGATCAACCCAAAACTGCGTCGCAGCCTGAACAGGTGCCTGTGTATCCCAGGAGCCACTATGAGGACGACGTCCATGATTCACAGTTGCAAAATGCTTATGATATCCTTTCCCAACTGTCTGAAGTGGTAAGTCTGCGTTTCCGTCACGTTACATGCTGTAGCTGACTTTTTCTCAGGCCCTGTCCCAGTCTCAACCATCACAACAACCCGTCAACGACACACAGACCAGCATCTCCTCCGTCGAATCCAACATTCCAGATGAGAAACCAGGCTATCCAGCAAACACTTCTGCAAGAAAAGCATGTGTACATCATATTGCTGAGAAGCTGCGTATGCGGCTTCAGTTGGCCATGTACAAAGTCCGTATCAACCAAGCCGAGACTCCACTCTCGCACCTTCCACACCCCAAGCCTTCGCCATCTGTCGCATCATCATCAGCACCTCCTACTACCGTTAAGCGCAAGCACGAAGACTCTGCTGAGCCTCTGTTTGCACTACCTTCCAGCATCGCGAAGGCATGTCGTTACACGCCCTACGCGCAACGCCCGCATTCAACCCCATACGCGCCTTCTGCGCGTTCGATCCTTGCACCGAGTCCATTCAGCCCGGTGATGCAAGATACGCCTGCGCCGAAGAGACCAAGCATGGGTGGGTTGCGAAAGAGCTCGGACGATGATATCAGAGTAACCACCACTGCGAACTTGGATGCTTTGTTCAAGACGCCTGGGAGGGAGTTGAAGGAGGAGCCGCAGGACAATGATGTTGGTGCTGCGCGGGGCTTGTTAAGTTTAGGGATGATGAGGTAGGGAGACAGGTAATGTTTGTTGGATGGCGAGGGCGAGTAGGCACGGAGGCAGGCTGAAGGTTGGTGGGGTTTTCACATGGGGCGCCACAGGTGGGATTGGACACTTTTACTTATTTTCTTTGCATGATCTTGAGAACCGCAGGAACACGGACTTTATCTAGAGTTCATGGACTTTTACGATACCCCTTAGCGGCAATTCATTCTTCATCACGTAACTTCCCCAGCCTTTCCGTCGCCTTCCAATACCGTTTCCTGAGCAAAGTTCTTTAGTACCCAGGATTTGCCACCGTATTCCATTTCCTCCTCTTCCCACCTGTTCTGCTGTGCTCGCAGCTCGCGCTCTTCTTTGGAGAGTCGTTCCCGCTTCTCAGGTTCGACCTCTCGCCAACCATTACCGCCCTGAAAGATATCCTCAATAGCGGCTTGAGGGTCCAGTTCTCCTGTCATGGATTGCCATCTTGCTGCTAGTGTGCTCCTGTACATATCCTGAGTTGACAAGCCTTCCTGTCTGTCCTCCAGTAGTCTTTGTGCACGGTTGCTGAACTCTTCGGTCATGGGGCTGAAGTGGTCCTTGTGCTCGGATACCAAACCAGTAATATCGCTGAACACGGACGACTTCTTCGTCGCCGGTGTGCGATAAGTTGTGTCCCCCGATATCTGATGGGTCTTGAGTGTAATCTTCAAGATCGAGTTCACCTTTGACTTCTGCAAAAGATGCCGCCGTGTTTCCTCGCGCTTCACACCACAATACTCCGCAAGGTTGATGTGCAGTACACCAATAGTAAACACATCCCTTCCACCATTCAGCTCTTGTACGACTTCGCAAACTAACCCCGATTCTTGAAGTATGCCGTCCTTTCCGACGACCATGCGGATCACCGCCTCACGGTGATAGTCCCATGAGCACTTGTGATCTTTTATCGGTGCCCGCGATGTTCGGCCTCGAGAATCACCTGCTGTTGACGACGAGAGATGCCATCTGACGTGTACAGTACCCGAGACGAGTGGGATATTTGTCAGTTCGTGGATCTTGATTTCCAAGCGGAACTTTGGCCGGCGAGACTGTAGAAAGCATCGTCAGTGCCGTCCAAGGCCCGAAAAATACCATTCGTACCTTCGGAATAAACGGATTCGACATTTTGATTTGTGATGATATGTCGTAGCGGGATGCCGAATGTGGGGAGCGAGGCGCATTTACTGTAGCGTGTAACGTAGATAGTATGATGTGGCGCATACCCTCCAGGCAGTGCTCGTCGAAACGATCACCCAAGGATGGACGTACCAGAAAATCTACAGCCATGGACAGATAACACGACGAGGTTTGAGGCTGATTTGGAAATGGTCCAGGCGCTGGCGAATCCGCGGTACCTTGAATGTTCGTTGATGTTGTTTACGATTGCTTTGTGACTTACACCGTCAGTAGATTTGGCACATCGTGGGTTCTTCGAAGATCCTGCTTTTCTGAATTATCTGCAATATCTGGAGTACTTTCAGAAAGTCGAGTATTCCAAGTTTCTGACGTGAGTACCTTGTGGTTGATCTGGCTTTGGTGTGCACGTCTTACCATGCCTCGACAGATACCCCAATTGCCTCCAGTTCTTGACGTTACTGAAGCAGCCAAAGTTCAGAGATGCGTTGAAGAATCCGGCAAAGGTGAACGAGATCAACGATGCCCTGTTCTTCAACTACAACAACCGCTATCAAGCAGAAGAGGATGGTGTGAAGATGGAAGATGTGGAGGATGGTGTTGTTGTAAAGGAAGCACAACCATGATATGAGGATGAACAAGCTTTAGGTTTGACAGATCACGCTGGACGTTTCTGTTGATCAAACTAGGTTTCATCGGGAGAACTATTATCCGTGGTCCTGCGGGTCAGAGTAACGATCAAGTGACATTCTCGGTACGCGAGGTTGGGCAGAGTGCTCAATTGGCCGGTTGTCCTACCCGGCTAATCGATTGCAGTGTCATCCATTGCGCAATCTACGTGTTCCCATAGCAATTGCTCATAGCAGGATAAAGCTGCTTTCCCACCCCACCCAAAGGCAATTTGGTTTGCCGGTGACAAATATGAATTGCGGTCTTTCTCCACATCATCGATCCGTCCCAGATTGCCAGGTGCAGATCAGTCGGCAGCTCCTCCGAGCAAACCAGGTTTCCTCGGAGCTCGAGGTATACACATGTAGGGACGGCACCACCGGCAGCACCACCGGCAGCACCAGGAAAGAGGGGAGAGAGCGATGAAAGAGGATGGAAGCAATACCACAAGACAGCAATTGAGAGATGCTACCTGGGCAATTGGCCCGTATAATATAGCAGAACGGCAGCGGGAGATATCGGACGGATGGCGCGTCAGGGTTAGGGGGAACGACGCTAACCTCTTAAGCCACCCCAGAAAATTCTTGTTGTCGGTTATAAGGCCAACGGCGCCCATCCATCCCAAATCAACCCCTCTACTCTTCCATACCAGAGATAACAGAGATGTCTGCTGACAAGAAGCAATCTTCTTTCCTCGTCGACTTCATGATGGGCGGGTACGTTTAATTGCTTCAATTGCTTCTCCGCTGCAATTGCTGACATCCCGTCTCCAGTGTCTCCGCTGCGGTCTCCAAGACCGCTGCCGCCCCCATCGAGCGTGTCAAGCTCCTCATCCAGAACCAGGATGAGATGATCAAGCAGGGTCGTCTTGACAAGCGTTACGCCGGTATCTCCGAGTGTTTCTCTCGTACCGCCAAGGACGAGGGTGTCATCTCTCTCTGGCGTGGAAACACCGCTAACGTCATCCGTTACTTCCCCACCCAGGCCTTGAACTTCGCTTTCAAGGACTACTTCAAGAAGATGTTCGGTTTCAAGAAGGAGCGTGATGGTTACTGGCCCTGGTTCTTCGGTAACCTTGCTTCCGGTGGTGCTGCTGGTGCCTCTTCCCTTTTGTTCGTCTACTCCCTCGACTACGCCCGTACCCGTCTTGCCAACGACGCCAAGTCTGCCAAGAAGGGTGGTGAGCGTCAGTTCAACGGTTTGGTCGATGTCTACAAGAAGACCCTTGCTACCGACGGTCTTGCTGGTCTCTACCGTGGTTTCGGTCCTTCCGTCGCTGGTATCATTGTCTACCGTGGTCTCTACTTCGGTCTCTACGATTCTATCAAGCCCGTTGTTCTTACCGGTAACCTCGAGGGTAACTTCGCTGCTTCCTTCGCTCTCGGATGGGCTGTTACCACCCTCTCCGGTGTTGCTTCCTACCCTCTCGACACTGTCCGTCGTCGTATGATGATGACCTCCGGTGAGGCCGTCAAGTACAAGTCCTCCGTCCACGCTTTCCAGTCCATCGTTGCCGCTGAGGGTTTCAAGTCTCTCTTCAAGGGTGCTGGTGCCAACATTCTCCGTGGTGTTGCTGGTGCTGGTGTTTTGTCTCTTTACGACCAGGTTCAGCTCATTCTTTTCGGAAAGGCCTTCAAATAAGCGTAGCGCGAAAAGAAAGAGCGTTGGGGAATTTGTACGATGGAGTAATAGTCAAAATATATGCGGTTCTACAGATATCTTTGTGCCCTATCATCTCAAGTCATCGTTTGGAAAGAGGGTTCCTTCCTCATCAGCTGCTGCTCCGGGCGTGGGAGCAATGTGTGCATTGTGTTATGTAAGGTATCCTGTACAAGCAATGTATGCGGCTCTACAGCGGAGAAATGGTTACCAGACAGAATTCCCTTCACTACGTTTATTTCACATTGAGGCAGATTGTCATCGTTGCCGTAGCTACCGGTCTCTCGCAGCTTGACGTCTTCGATCGAGTCTAGTCGGGCGATGTGCATGGCAGGCCGCACGTATGAGCGCCTATCGTACATCGCTCAGCTATAGGAGCTCAACCTCAACAAACAGCATACACCCCCAGGAGTTCCCCTTCTCCGCTGGAAGGGCAACACCGCATTCATCTATCGACTTTCTTCTTGCCGGTTTACGACGTCCTTCTGAGCAGCAATGAAACAAGAGTCCATGGTGCTGAAGGGTGGACGGGAGTTGCCTGTCGCTTCATCCTCGAATAACTGGGTAGTTCCGGACAGGTTACAAAGTTTGGCTGCTAAGCTGCCTATTGAGCTTGTCCTTGCCATTTATGGCCATCTCTCGCCTCAGGACATCTGGAATTGCACGCATGTATGCCGTCTCTGGTGCCATGCCGGCATCGACCTCCTCTGGTATCGACCCAACATTCAGAAGACTTCGGCATTACTAAAACTCATGACGACTTTGAAGAGTCCGAACCAGACTTTTCCTTACGGCGAGTTCATAAAACGACTCAATCTCACTGCATTGGCCGCTCAACTTCCCGACGAAGTAATCGACAAGTTCTCCGTCTGCACCAAATTTGAGAGACTGACTCTCGCCGGTTCGAAAAAGGTTACCGATGAAGGGTTGAAGAACATCCTGCTGAACAACAGGTCAATCATGGCTTTGGATATTGCGTCGATGGAGTTGATCACGGACAAGTCGGTCGAGCTTATTGCGGAAACATGCCGAGGCTTACAAGGTCTTAATATGACGGACTGCAAAAACATCACAGATGATGCGATATTGACATTGGCCGACAGCTGTCCGAGTTTGCGGAGGATTAAAGTGAGCAATTGTGTCAAATTAGGAGACACGTCTGTTCTGAAGTTGGCAGACAAATGCAAGAATCTGATGGAAGTTGATTTGAACAACTGCAGTACAATCTCAGATCATGCGATTGACACGATCTTCCGCAATCTTCCATCCTTGAGAGAGTTCCGTATCGCAGGATGTTCCAACATCACGGATACTGCTTTCGAATCCCTGACGGACGGATCCAGCCCTTCTTTGCGCATCTTGGATCTAACTTCCTGCGCCCGGATCACAGATGATACAATCTCCAGGATTGTCAACTCGGCGCAGAAGTTGCGAAACCTCGTCTTGGCCAAGTGTCCAAACATCTCGGACCGCGGCTGCACCTACATTGCACGACTCGGAAAGAACTTGCATTATTTGCACCTTGGACACTGCAGCGCCATCACTGACCGCGGCGCGATCACCATCGCTCAGCACTGTCAACGCATCCGCTATCTCGATCTCGCTTGCTGTTCTCAGATATCAGACAACTCCGTTCAACGGCTCGCCCAACTCCCCAAACTTCGTCGTATCGGTCTGGTCAAATGCGCCAACGTCAGCGATCGATCAATCGAGGCCCTCATCAACCGTCAAGGCGAGAACACGCTCGAGCGCGTGCACATGAGTTACTGCGTCAGGCTGACCTTGACCGCTGTCCTCTACCTCGTCAACGCATGTAATAAATTGACCCATCTCAGTCTCACGGGTGTACCGTCTTGCATGCGTGATGATCTCCGCCAGTTCTGTCGTCCGTCGCCACCAGACTTTAATCAGCATCAGCAAGCCGTGTTTTGCGTCTTCAGTGGTGATGGCGTCAAAGCCCTCCGGAAACACCTCAATGAGTTGTACGAGTTTCACCGCCAACAGGCCGAGACGCTGTATCTGCAGCACCAAGGCGAGAACCCGGAGCAACTTGCTTTAATGGCGGCACAAGGGGCACAGGTGATGTTCGATGGTGGCTTCCATAACGTGGATAACACGGGTAACGCGGATAACGTAGACAACACAGATGATTTTGGGGAAGCGGATGACAATGACAATGACATGGATGAAGGCGAAGATTAGGTCTGAGTATGGCATGTGGGTAATTGAGTCTACTATATTGCTTTTCGTGGTTCAAGGCATAGCATTACAGAGGGATTTCAGCATTGAACGCACTGATCCTTCTTCTCGGCCAATACGTCGTTATTGGACGACTTTATCAAGCATTAAGCAAATGGCTATTTATTCTTCCTTTCCATCGACTGCTTCATCCCATGACTTGCCGGTCGGGACGAACATGCCCACCTGTTTTTGGTATTTTTGGTATGCTGGATATTTGCCACAACTTATCTCTTCGGTAAGTCGCGTCGAGCACTGTCCACAAAGATTAGCTCAGTTCCATGGAACGACTGAAGGACCTGTTCTCGCGAACCTGAAAGAGTATGCAGTAGGATAAACATCCCACAATTGTCCAGTTCAACCATATTCCGCTTGCCGTACATCCAATTGCGTAAAACGAGATCCAAATGAGCTGCTCCGCGATGAAGTTCGGATGTCTTGACCAAGCGAACAACCCATGGGTATTGAAGCCCCTCTCCAATTGCTTGCGTGTGAACCCCCCCAAACGCTCTGGCCTCTGATCCTCGGGGTACTCCAAGAACTTCTTCTTCATAGACTGGAACTCCCATTGTTGCTCGTCAGCATAGCCTTCAAGGAACAAACTCAACACGAAAGCCTCGACAGCGAATGCATCACCAGCTCTCGGCCCGACATCCCGTGAGACGAGAAGGACGATGTATGCCGGCGTCGCAATGGCGAGGTGGAGGAGGTTCTGCGCGACGCAGATGAACGCAAAGTTGAAGAAGCGGAAGAAAGTGGGGTTGGAGAAGAACCTCCAGTTCTTGCGGATGTAAGGCCAGCGGTAGTCCTCCGAGCCTTTCGAGTATCCGCCTTTACGGTAATAATTCCAGAAGAGACGACATGTCCTGTACCCGTATTAGCAAGAAGAACAATATCCCACCAAGTAAACAAGTACCAAACAACATGCAGTCCTGCCAATGTCCATAATCTCGGACTGTCCAACCTATGGTAGTACGCCCAAGCGAGAAAGTGGAGGGTGTACCCCGTAGGGAGGAATGGCCATAATCTGTCCACTTGCGAGTAATTGTCATTGACTTCAGAGACGATGAAAACAACTACCGACAAAAGCATGCTCCATACAAACGCGGACAGCAGCGGGTTCGTCTGAACCCAGAACTGCCGTGGGTCGTTGAACATCGTCGCGAGTTTCGCAGGGTCGGCAATCTGGTGAAGATCGGGCAAGACGGATCTGGAGAAGTCCGCTGCCATGCTGGGCTGGAATGCTATACCAGACATGTTGTTGGGAGGTCAATTGGTTGTTCTTCGTCTTGCAATGGTCGAGGAGGGGGTGTATGCTCGATCACGACGTCGCGCGAAACTGCCGATCCACGTGAACCCCCAGGCTTTGGCATGGCCTACCCAAGCAGGATGCTATGTACAGGTTATCAACTTGACAACTCTAGAAGTATCAGTATGGAGGGGGAATCCGCGATAGAGTTGCACTGCACAGTAGCGTTGGATAGTGGACACACAGGACTACGACACACAACTACACGAAGGGAGCCACAGTCCATTGCGCGACATGCCGGTCCCTTCTCATTTCCTATCTGAGGGCTTCAACCATCTCTTTCGAGATGGGCGCAACAGCGGTCCTCGGACACTGCTTGCCAGAGATAGGATATAAGAGGATGCAGATCTTTTCATTTTTCGTCGAAATGCCTGGTGAACCAAAAGCCCTCAAAAACTCCAAAAATCCAATCCCAATTTTTCAAATCATTCCTCGCGTACGGAAAATAATTTAGAGACCCTCACCCTGAGTGGCGGGGAAGTCGAAGACGACCTCCTTGCCCGTCAACTTCTTGTAGACCTGGGAGAAGGAACCGAGCTTGTAGTCGATGGAACCAGCGTCCTTGTTGTCGAGGAAGACCTTGATGATCTTCTGGCCGTCAACCTGGACACGGGTGCGCTTGCCGACGATCTCGGTGGGGTAGACGAGGTCCTCGAGGATGGAGTCGTGGACAGCGGTCAAGGTGCGGGACCTGGGGCGCTTCTGCTGCTGGCGAGAGCGGCGGGTAGGCTTGCGCATGATGCGGCGCTGAGCGACGAAGACGACGTGACGGTCAGAGAACTTCTTCTCGAGCTCACGAGTCAAACGCTGCTGGATCTTGTGGAAAGACTTAAGAAGGGGAACGGGGACGAAGATGACGATAGCCTTCTTGCCGGAACCGACCTCAACCTATTGATAGAAGTCAGAAACAAATTCCGATGATTGATAAAATCACGATTGACTAACCTCCTTGGCAGCGGAGAACTGGAGAGGCCTCAACTCCTTCCTCAAGTCAGCGACAGAGGTCTCGAGGTCGAAGAGAGCCTGAGCAACAGTGAGCTCGACCTCATCGGCGGCAACGCCAGTGGGCTTGATGATCTTCTGGAGGGCAGACATTATCGACGGGACGGACTGGAAAAGGGCGTGGAGCTGGTCGGGGTCAAGGTCGATGCGCCGGCGCGACTTCGAAAATTGGGTGTTGCGGTGCGCGCGCTGTTGTCAGGGGCAGTGCGTGAGGGTTTGCCAAACCCTGGCACCAGACGTCAGATCGAAATTGCATGTAGAATACTTATTGAAGGAGTAGAATCCTGGGTATATCATGGTAATCGTCCACTAATCAGTCTTGCTCCTCCTTCCTCCCGCCGTCCGCTGTAAAGATACATGTAGTCATAAACCATCTGTCGGACCATCCCACGACGAAAACACCATTCACCGCTTTCTCTTCTTCGTCTTCTTCTTCGGTTTGAACTCCAACTTGCCTGAACAGTACGGACATAGCCATTTTCCTCGCGGTGCTCTCTCCAAACCAACACAAGCATAGTGGAACCACTCCCGTGGACACTCCTTGTAGTTATCGCAGGCAACCATGTTACCATCAGCGACCTGCTCGCAAAGACAGTAGAGGTTATTGTCTTCTTCTTCCTCCTCCTCCTCTTCGTCAGCGACAGGTGCCACTTCAGCCTTCGCCTTCTTCTTGGAAGCGGGCGTTGCGATCTTTGTCTTTGCCTCCTCATTCGCAGCTCCCTTCTTTTCGTCGGCCTTCCTCACATTGGCTTTGGCATCGTCATTATTTCCCTTGTTCTTCTTTCCCTTCGTCTTGTATTCTCCCGGTGGTCGTGGAGGTACATATCCAGGGTGTTCCGCAAGCCATCGGTCCTTCTCTTCCTGAATCGCAGCCTCACTCGGCTGCCACTTCTGGCCGCGTCGCTTCTTGAGCCGTAACAACTGAACAAATCCTTCTTCAGTGGGCATCTCAACAGGTCCTTCATCCTGTACCTGTACCTCTTGTGCCTTCGCTTGCTGTGATTTCGCCATTCCCGACCTGCTCGCTGGTGCGGCCTCGACCACCGGAGCAGGCTCGGGCTCAAGTTCAGGCGTAGGCGGTTTCCACCCCATCTTAATCAATTCCTCCTGTAGCCGCACCTTATGATGTCCCAAGATCGTCATCAACCTCCGTGTCTCCGCAACGCACTCCTGTCTGTCCTTCAGCGCAAGATCCATCTCCTCGCTCATCTTGGATCGCAGCTCTTCCCGTGACGAAATAGAGGCATTGGGAAATAGTAGCGCAAGTTCATGGAGGGAGGTAAGGGAAGTCGTGGCTTCGTGATCGAGTGCGCCGACGAGCTTGAGTGAACGGTATATTTCGATTGGGAGGTGTGTCACGGCTGAAAATTGCGACGTGTCAGCTCAACTCATAGTCACTGACTGTATCAAAGTACGCACTCTCAGAGAAATCACCCAGAATCCACTCCGCGTCAGGATCAGCTTTGCCTTCCGGTGGAACATCTGCTTGCACAGGTGGATCCGGAACTGCGGTCGTCGCAGCATGTTCCGCATCAACTGCAGCATCTGCTCGATCTAGAGCATCATGGATCTGATCCTCCGTCGCCCGTACGTCGGCTTCTGTTGACATTCGTACGCGTGTTTGTATGGGGATGTATGCACAGGGATCAGAAAGGGGGAGGTGTATTACGGTAAGACAAGCTGCTTCGGCGCGTGCGGGAGTGAGCCGTTGCGTTCGATACGCGAATGGCCTCGGTGAGTCTCCAATAATAAATGCACCTCGCCTCTCTTGCCCTGGGCAACAAACGGTATCGATAGGACGCAGCTCGCCCCTCCAGTGCTTCCCCTTGCGGTTCTCCTCTCGGCTGGCGCACGGACGGTTTGGCGCACATTCCTCGACCTAATTGCATGGTGCGCGCAAATTCAGAATAGTGTACACACAATCCCCTGCCAGACCAGACTCGGTATAAAACCAAGGAGCCCCCCGCCCCTTCGACTGTTGTTCTCCAACCGACTATCTCAACCGAACACACTCGTTCAACACCCAACTCTCGTTTACCATAATGCAGATCTCCGCCCTCGCCGTCGTTGCCGCCGCCGCTGTTGCCTCCGCTCAGGTTTGTTATTATTTCCCAGAACCTTTGTTTGCCCGGAGTGAATGCTAACAATCAGCGACAGTGGACCAACTCCACCTCCAACGCTACCGTTGCCGCTGGTAACGCTTCTGTTGCTGCCACTGGTTCCAACTACACCGCTACCAACGGTTCCGCTGCTACCCTCCCTGCCTTCACCGGCGCTGCTACCTCCGTCGACTCCTCCATCATGATGGCCGTCGCTGGTGCCGTCGCCGTCGCTGCCTACATGGCTTAAGCGTCCTACGCTCTCTCTATCCCCTCTACACCACTATGGAGTATAGATAAAGACTGCAGAGAAGGAAAGAAGGGAAGGAGACAACTCCATGGCTTGGGAAATCGGGTTCTATGAGGGGTGTCTTTTCGTTGTTCCTTTAATGTTTTCGATTGGGAGGTTCAATAAGCGAGGTCTACACTTTTGACAGAGCTTGGAGAATAATGGGATTGTTTTGATACCATTTATTTATTGTCTAATAGGCATCCGTTTTGTCAACACCTCAAACAAAACGGTGCTGTACCCTTACTCGTTCTCCTTAACTTGAAGTGATTCCATTGTGCGAAGCTTTGTGGGATAAACGAGTGCGGCTCAGATAAGCGCAGCAGCGACCAGGCGAAGTCGAAGCAACCCCGCCGCTGAAGCTTGGGCCCGGGACCGTGCGCAGCACATCGCGACGTCGAGTCAGAGGTCAAGCTTGGGGATGACGACTCCATGATGCGATGAAAATGAACAAATGAGCCCCAATCGTGACGAAATCGATGCGATTGATACACCTCCACTGATCTTATCCGTCGGGAAAGTGCGGGAACGCCCTCGGCTCGCTGCCCAACGGGCCCGTGCGGACCGAAACCGCGCGAAGGCTGGATGCACATGGAGTTAAGTAACACTCGCCAGAGAAGGCAACTGGATGCGGATGATCGAATCATATGGAATTGCTAGCTATAGACGAACCAAACCCTTACTCCAACGTAAAAAAGCAACGAAACGCAAATCGTATCCTGTCTCTTGAACTCCTGATTCAACCTCACCAGCCTCTCCCACACTCCTTGTCAAATCTAACAAGCACAACCACTCGCCTGGGTCGCACCAGCCCTATTCTCACTCAAATCAACCCGTCCACTCGCCTCTCTCCTCCCCATCCCCGCCCGTCCACCAGCTGGCGCAGTCTCCTCCGGAATCGTCTTCGCAATCTCCGTAAACACCTCCTGAACATTCATCCCCGTCTTCGCACTCGTCTCAAAGAACAGTAGGCCAGCTTCATCCGCATATGCCTTGGCCTCCTCGTAAGATACCTGACGTGCAGAGCTAGGCTCGTCGTCGTCCTCGTCTTCGTCTTCGTCGGCAGGGGAAGAGGACGAGAGATCGGCTTTGTTGCCGGCGAGGGCGATGACGATGTCTGGTGGTGCTTGGCGTTGGAGTTCCTTGACCCATGATTTGGCTTTGTCTAGACTTAAGGATTTGGTGATATCATATACCACGACAGCTGCTTGGGCTTTGCCACATGATATGTTAGCATATATCACCGAAAGCGACGAGTATGAGTGTATGCGTACCATTTCTGTAGTACATGGGCGCCAACGAATGGAACCGTTCTTGACCGGCGGTATCCCAGAACTCGAATTTGATGGTGGATTGAGAAGGGGTAGTGATCTTCTTGGTGAGGAAGGCAGCGCCGATCGTTGGTTCGCGGTTCTCTGTACACAATCGTCAGTCATTGACCTCAAATCAAAACGAGAGGCCTACATACCTTGGAAATCATTGTTCACGAAGCGCACAACCAGAGAGGATTTACCGACAGCTGCTTCGCCTGCATCGTCGATGTTAGCAGGAAGAACAGCGGCAAGACACACCCAAAAACGAACCTAGAAGGACGAGCTTGCAATGCACAGTGCGTGTAGAGCGTGATTCGTCGGCCATCGTTGTAATAGACAGCGAAGAGTAAGGGAGTAAAGGTTGGTTCTTGTCTTATCCGTATCGTAAGGCGTAGGCCGTCATGGCATGCAGGTTGTGCATTGGGCCCGTGATGACGCTGGAGCAGTGCAGAGGAGCCTCCACGAACAAAACAATTGCAATGTCGTTCAGGAAGATTGATATCGATGCTTACGAGGAGGACGTCGTGACTGCTGATGGTACTTTACGATACCCGGCTTCGCTTGAATCGCAGCTAATATCCGAAGTACAGACCTTTACCCTCCGAACCCGCTGTCGCCGGATCAGGTCGACGCAGATGTCCAGCAACGCGCTCAGGAAGTCAGAGCGCTTCTGTCGAGGTACATAGATTGGACAACCTACTGTCATTGCTGCCTAACGCTGTGTACAGAGGTGACGCCGCTTCCGCCCTTCCCCTAATCCTCCAGTCTCCACCATACGGTCCAGCACCCTACGCCCAAGCGAAAGAAGTCCATACCACGACCGTCATGGAAACACTAAACTCCATCAAGGGCTCCGAGATCGCAGGGTTGCTGAAGGGTTTGAGCATCGAGGAGCAGGATACATTGATGAAGTATCTATACAAGGGAATGGAGAGACCAGAAGTGTTCAATTCGAGTGTTTTACTGAGCTGGCATGAAAAGGTGAGTCAATTGGTGCTAATACTGTTGATTGGGTGCTGATTGGGTGGTTTAGTTGGTGGAGGTTGCGGGAAGTGGATGTATTGTGCGTGTGGTTACGGATCGGAGGACGGTATAGACGGAAGGGGAGCCTATGAAAGCAGAAAGAGGACGTGAAAGAAAGCCTCGGAGCAATATGACATCTTGGATACCACGATACTCTGTCGTTTTGGTGACTTCTGTTCAGATCCGTTGGTGGTGTCGCCCTGCCAAGGAGGCTGGCATCAGTCCCATGAAGCACCTCGGCAGACCCTGTAAACCGTGTCATTTTCATTTTCGTTTTGATCGAATTACTTTCAATGTTTCCTGACAACTTCCCGATCCACAAGAAGATCGTCGACGACGACACCGCGCTGCAGCGTCTACGCAAGCCTTCGAGACGCCGAACTTTAGTCACCACCAAAAAGCATCCGAACAGCCTTCCATTTAAACTCTCATAGACGGCATCGGTCACCTTCGATACGTCTGTAATCAATAATGATATCTTCGATACGCCGTGCCAACGGTCTCCTCTCGTCGATGTCCGCCACCAACGCCTCCCGATCATATTTGCTTCGCAATGGTGCGAGAGCGCCGAATGCATTCCTGAGACGAACGTACGCGTCTGAGGCACCAAAGGACGAGAACAAGGAGGAAAAGAAGCCGGAGGAGAAGAAGTCGGAGGAGAAGAGCGAGGAGAAGACCGATCTGAAGGAGGAGGCCGAGAAGAAGGCGAAGAAGAACAAGGACGAGATGGAGCCGCCGATATTCCCGTTCGAGAACTTGCCTCCGGGATTCAAGGCATTCTTTGGCAGCGATCAACAGCGGAAACAGAACGATGGGGGTAAAGAGGAGAAGAAGGATGATGAGCGGAAGTCCAAGTCGGGTCCCGGCCGCTCGTCGAAATCAGATCCTGAGTTTCCGCAAGGCAAAGTCTTCGCAATCAACATCAACAACATCTTCTATTTGGTTGGTGGTGCATGGTTGACTTACCGACTTTTTGGTAGCGCGGACAACTCTCAGGAAATCACCTGGCAGGAGTTCCGTACCGCCTTCTTGGACAAGGGACTCGTCGAGCGCTTGACCGTCGTTCCTAACCGGAGAGAGGTCCAAGTTACGCTCAACAGAAATGCTGCCGGTCAGGTTTACCCTGGATCCAATGCCGGCATGAACACGTACTACTTCACTATTGGTTCATCGGAAGTCTTCGAGAACAGATTAGAGAATGCGCAGAATGAGCTTGGCATCCCAATGACTGAGCGCATCCCCGTCAAGTACCACGACCATGTCTCCATTGCTGGTCCTTTGTTGTCTTTTGCGCCTACGCTGTTGTTGATCGGGGCGTTCTACTGGATGGCGAAGAAGGGGCCTTCTGGAGCAGGAGGAGCTGGTGGAATCTTCGGTGTGGGTAAGAGCAAGGCCAAGCTTTTCAACCAAGAGACCGCTGTCAAGGTTAAGTTCAACGAGGTTGCTGGTATGGACGAGGCTAAGGAGGAGATTATGGAGTTCGTCAAGTTCTTGAAGGACCCTTCAACTTTCGAGAAGCTTGGTGCCAAGATCCCCCGTGGCGCGATCTTGTCCGGACCTCCCGGTACTGGTAAGACCTTGTTGGCTAAGGCTACTGCTGGTGAGGCTGGTGTTCCTTTCTACAGTGTCTCTGGTTCCGAGTTCGTGGAGATGTTCGTCGGTGTCGGTTCTTCCCGTGTCCGTGATCTCTTCGCCAACGCCAGGAAGAACACCCCTTGCATCGTCTTCATTGATGAAATCGATGCCATCGGTAAGGCTCGTGGAAAAGGTAATTTCACCAATGATGAGCGTGAGAGCACTCTCAACCAGCTTTTGGTCGAGATGGACGGTTTCGGAACCGATGAGCACATCGTCGTGTTCGCCGGTACTAACAGACCGGATGTTCTCGACCCTGCGCTCATGCGTCCCGGTCGTTTCGATCGTCATATTGCGATTGACAAGCCTGACTTGAAGGGCCGTGAGCACATCTTCAACGTCCATTTGAAGCCAATTAAGACTACCGAGGACCGCACGCAACTTGCCGAGCGTCTCTCCGTTCTTACCCCAGGTTTCTCTGGTGCTGACATTGCTAACTGCTGTAACGAGGCTGCTCTCATTGCGGCAAGATTCAACGCTACTACCGTCGTGTTGGCTCACTTCGAGCAAGCTATTGAGCGTGTTACTGCCGGTTTGGAGAGGAAGTCCCGCGTTATGAGCCCCGAGGAGAAGAACACCGTCGCTCACCACGAGGCTGGTCACGCTGTCGCTGGTTGGTTCTTGGAGCACGTTGACCCTCTGCTCAAGGTCTCTATCATTCCCCGTGCGCAGGCTCTTGGTTACGCATCCTACTTGCCCCGCGACCAGTACCTGATGTCTAAGGGTCAGATCACGGACCGTATGGTCATGGCTCTCGCCGGTCGTGTGTCCGAAGAGATCTTCTTCTCCGGTGACGCTATCACCTCTGGTGCATCGGACGACTTCCAGAAGGTTACCCGCATGGCACAGGCAATGGTTAGCCAGTATGGTATGAGCGAGAACATCGGTACTGTCTCCTACACTCAGGAGGAGGGCTATCAGAAGCCTTTCTCTGAGGCTACCGGTAAGATGATCGACGATGAGGTCCGAGCATTGGTCAAGGCCGCACACAAGCGGACACACGAGTTACTGTTGCAGCACAAGGATGGATTGGTTAAGGTTGCTAACAGATTATTGGAGAAGGAGGTCATCACTTTCGCCGAGGTTGAGGAGTTGCTGGGTCCTAGACCATATGCTAGCAAGCACATGGACTTGAGCAAGATTCTTGGAAAGGGTGCGAAGCCGGATGCTGTTACGCCTCATATTCCGGATCAGCCCGCACCTGGTGCGACGATGTAAGATGGGCAAGCAGTGGATTTGTATTAGCATTGTTTGAGTGGCACTTCTTGGTCTGTTGAGAACAAAGCGACAGTTCCTTGTATGTTATAGTAGGTAGAAAGCATAAATCATTTTCTCAATCTTTCAACTTCAGGAAAGCTTTGGAGTGCAACGGTCGTGACTACTACTCCGGGTCCATAAAAGCAATGATTGCTTCAGTGCTCGTCAAAGGCTGGACAAAAGACGAGTACGGTAAAGGAATACGCACATGAGAGAACATGAGAGAACATGAAATAGTCAATGTATAATGTCTGTCGCCGGTTCAAGCCAGGCTACTGATATGACTGGATGGATTCTCCAGCCACGGGGCAGTTCCAACCGGTAAGCTAGCTTTCCCACGCGTCCCGTGATTCGGATTGGTGAGTCGATTGGGTCATCATTTTGAATCTGCTATTCTACAGGGTTTCCTCTGCAACTGATAGAGATGATGAAAGCTTCATACACCAGCACTTACTTATTCAATTTCTCCACTCCCTTCCTTGCTTTCTTGACTTTCCTCCCCAGTCTGTCAACGCCCCCATCGATCTCATCCAACATCTCATTCTGCTCATCCAGCTCCTCCCCGATCGCAACACCAATCTCCATCTGCTTCCTCAATAACCGACTGAAGGTTTCTAGGGTATCGTCTTGATCTTCCATCATTGTTTGCTGGAGTTGGAGGAGGCCCGTATTGCTCAATTCGCGTGTTCGTTCAGTCTCAGGCGCAGGTCCGCCGAGGGTACGACCGATGCTGCGGGTCGTACCAGTAGTGTTGAACAGTTGTTGCTGCTGTATCGACGCTGGCGTAGCAGCCCGTGATTGCTGCTCCTCCGTCCGTCGACGGGTAGCAACAGCACTAGTCAACTCCTCCAACGCACCCAACTCTTTCCTCGCATCAGCCACCAAGTCCCTCCGCCTCCTCAACTCCCCTTCCCCAATAATCCCATCCTCCCCCGCCTTCTTCAACCCTCCCTCCAACACACCAATTCGTCGTGCAGCATCCACGAGGGCTTTCTTGGCTTCGGCAGAGGCAGAATGGGATTGCGCGATGTCTTCGGTAGAGTGGAGGCGGTCACGGGCGAAGAGGGAGGTGCGGGCTGAGTGGAGGAGTTGGAGGGTTGTTTTGTGGGTTGTTAGCCAGTCTTCTGTCATTAGGGCACGGTCGCTTGGCGTTGCGGTAGCTGTTGTTGGTAACTTCAAAAAGGTTCGCCATGCTGGGCATTCTCTCCATCGAGGGTCTGGACTATTTGCGATTGCTCGTAGATATGCCTCCAGCCCTCTTCTCCGCTCTTCCCGTAATCCAGTATCAGAGATAGTAGTTTTAAAGTAGTGTTTTGGCGGGAGTGGGGTTGGTGGTGCCGACCCCGTTACATCTTTGAGCTGGGTGTTCAGGGTGACGAAATCCGAATATCGCTTTTGGAGGTTCAGTGAGCGGAGGCCCAGGGAGACAGAAACTTTGTAGACTGTATGGGGCTTTGGGTCTGTTGCCGTTGATGCGGAGGGTATTGATATTTGTAGCGGTAGTGACATGGTCGACGGGTGTATGCGTTGGTTCTTGGGGGTGTATGCTGCCTATACCCGGTTGATGCGATCGTTATGTCTGTCAGTCGCGTACAACTGCTCCTTCCTCTACGGCAATTCTCGCCTGCCTCCTGAATGTATGCTCTCCCGAAAGCTTGGGGGTGTATGCTCTCCTGCCAACTTGGGTGTCCCGCTGACGTCACATGGAACTCCAGCCATTCCCAGACGAGAAGCGAGAAACACTACACCAAAAGACAAGCACAAACAACCATCAACCAATATAGCCAATATGGCTACCCTACCAGCTGGTGCCATTGCGCAACCTGCTGTTCCAGCTCCCGCTCCTGTTCCCGTCGCAATCCAACCGATTCCTCCTCCTGCGAAGCAGGCACATTCCCTGATTCCGGTACAGCTCCGTGAAGCCGCTCTCGATTCGCCCAGTTTCAGAGCGAGTATTCGGCATTTGGAGGATCAGGTTGATGCAGTGGAGAAATGGATGGAAGGGTTCGTGAAGGCAACTAAGGAGTTTACGCATCATTTGCAGTGTATGTCCATACCTCCTTTCTGATTCGAAATTGCTGATCAGGTCTGGACAGATGCTGAAGGAATATCCGAACGATTTTACCAAGCAGCAGTACCAACCTTCAACTCCGAGGCCATCGTCGATCCGGATTATACCCTCCTTATGCTCAACGACTTCTCCTCCTCCCTCCGCCTCTACTGGTCACAAATCTTCAAATCCGCCCACGCGGCCGAGAAAGAGTTCTGTGAGCCAATATCTGCATTTATTCGTTCGGACCTCAAGGAGTTCAAGGAAGCGCGGAGACAGTATCATGCTGCGTTTACTAACTACGAGAATATGTGTACCCGGTATGCTTCGCAATCAAAGACCAAGGAACCGTCGGCGCTGCGCGAAGATGCCTGGCAACTCTTTGAGAGCCGTAAGGTATATCTACACGCCTCGCTCTCCTACGCCGTCAAGATCTCCACCCTCCGCTCCGCAATCGACCGTATTTTAATCACGACCTACACCCACGGCTTCACAACCTACAACACGGCCGTAAAAGACCTCTACGACCAACACCGCCGAAAGGCCGACGAAATATACCGTATCCACGCTTGGTCTGAAGAGATGTCCAAAGCGACCAAGAATATCGAGGAGTTCTTGCTTAAGGCGCGGAATGAGCTCGAGGAGGAGGCCCTCAGGCTCGCGAGCCCGCCGAGGGAGTTGATGGAGTATAGCGTCAGCACTGTTGCCTCTGTGGGGCAGTTACCTGCTACGAGTCTGGGAATGGGCGCGCACGCTGGAAGCATCGCCTTCAGCCCGAGCGGAAAACCAAGCAAGCAGGGCTACCTCCACGTCCGCACTACAACCGGAAAGCCCGCCCGCTACATCTGGGTCCGCCGCTGGTTCTTCCTCAAAGAAGGGCAATTCGGATGGCTCATCCAAGGCGCACGAGTCGCCGGTGTCGAGGAAAGTGATAAAATCGGAGTACTCCTCTGCAACGTGAAACCCGTCGCTACGGAAGACCGAAGATTCTGTTTCGATGTACAGACCCGGAACCAGAGCTTGCTTTGTCAGGCGGAGACGGAGGGGGATTTAGCGGATTGGTTGAGGGTGTTTGATCTGGCGAAGGCGGCCGCCCTGAAGGAGGGGGATGGGACGCTCAGTCATATGCATGCGCGCGAGATTACTGCACCGGTGTTTGCGGAATTCAAGCCTGCGACGGACGCAGAGGGCGGTGTTCCCGGCTCGGCTTCAATGCAGAACCTGGCAGTAGCTGACCCGTTGGCGGCGGGGAGAGGGAGTATTGATACTGGGGCTGTAGCTGGAGGCTCGGGGGTTGTTGAGGCGAGTCCAAGCAAGGGACAAAGGATTGCTGCGAAAATTGGGTTGAGGGGACATAGTGCTTCCGTCAGTGCTGGTTCTGGTTCTGCTTCTGGCGCCGCGGCGGGAGCAGGAGCGGGTGTTGTTGGGTTGGTGGCGAGTACGTTGAGTGCCATCACCGGTGTGACGAATCCCACGCCTGAGACGGCGGAGGAGGCACTCAAGTTTGAAGGGAGTACGTTGGCGCCGAGCACGGTTGCGCTTCCACCCATTCCCACGCAGTTGAGTAAGAGTGCGATTTATGCGCACGCGGCAACGGGGGATCCACAGAACGGAAACGCCCCGAATGGGATGATGGCCAATTTCTGGGGTTCGATGAATTGGGGACTCATTCCTACTAATCGTATCGGGCAGGATGCGTCGCATGATCAGCGTGGGGTTGGCAAGCTCTTATCTGGTCCAATGAGTGCGGCGGATGCGACGTTTGAGGCGAGTGTCGACACCGGGACGGGAGCGGGTGCGGCGGGGGTTAGTAGGAGGGCGAGTATGAGGAGTACGATGAGTGGTGCGACGGAGGTGACGCCGGAGAAGAGCTGGAATCCGATCAAGAGAGTTGGGGAGAAGCTGGTTGGGAGGCATAGACGGTCGAGTTCCGTCAATAGCGAGTACTCTGGTACGGAGAGTGCGCCTGTCGTCCCACAGCCTCCCTCATACCCGCCGGGTTATCCGGCCGAGCTGAAGGTTCAGGATGCGCAATTCCGAGCGCTCTTCCCAGCTGCGCCGAAAAACGAGAGGGTATTGTTTGTGTTTAGAGCGACGTGGAAGCCGACTGCCAAACAGCAATATTCTGGAAGGGTGTTTGTTACTGTGAGTGCGTTCTATGTGTATTCGCACTACATGGGACTCGTAATGGTTAGTTCGACGCCGTTTAGGGAGGTGAGCTCCATTCAGGCGTTCAGTGGCAAGCACTGCGACTATATTGTTCTGGAAACACAGGACTCGAATCGGTTGGAGGTGAAAGTGTATGTTGATTCTGCGCATGCGACACAGCGCCGTATTGGGCTCTTGTTGAAAAATTATTATTCTGAGGAGCCCTTGGATACGAATGGGATTTTCGAGGAGTTGATGAAGATGACGAGTACGGAAACTGATCATTTGGCGAATCATCGGAGACAGGGTGAGAGGGGGTTGGTGCCGTCAACAGATGATAGTTTGGATGGGGATGAGTTGGATGAGGTTGGGGTTGAGAAGATTCGAAAGGCGCAAGGACGGGTGTTGCGTACGAAGGGTGAGGAGGTGGAGGTTGCGCAGCGTGGTATCGATGGGCGCGTGAAAGAGGTTGCGAGATATAAGTTACCCCAGGAACCCGTGATTTGCGGATGTCGTGACCACCTTGATCGGAAGGAGTTTGAGCATATATTCCCGATCCCTGCAAAGGCTTTGTTCCACGTCATCTTTGGTGGAAAGAGTGGGATTTGGCAAAGGTTGTATAAGGACCGTGGTGTGCATAAGTTTGAGCAGCATCCATGGAGGCAGATCCCGGGTGGGTTGTCGAGGAGGGAGTTTAAGTATGACATCACGTACAAGGACGCGAATAGTATGGCGAAGGTGCAGCCGATTGTGGAGCACCAGACTATCGAGAAGGAGGATGAGCGGCTCTGCTATGTTGTGGAGGATGTGAAGAGGCCGTTCGATTTGCCGAAACATGATAGGTTCACGACGGTCACGAAGTTCTGTATCACGCATGAGGGCAAAGGAAAGTGTCGTCTCGTTATCTGGACTGGAGTTAGGTGGGAAGGTGCGAGTACGGCTATGCAGGGAACCCTTCGTCGCTCAGCCCAGGTTGGATTGAAGGAGATGTCAAAGGGAATTGTGGAGCTGGTTATGGGTCAAGTCAAGCTTCTTGGCCCCAGCGCGTCGGCGAGTAAGGCTGTGAAGATCTTTGGCGAGGTAGATAATACGCACCAGGATCCTGCGTTCTTTGGGACGGATGTTACGGGTGATGCGCTGCTTGCTTCGGATATCGATCCGAGTGCGCCGCGTTTGCCTGTTGCGTACCGAAGGACGAATTTGGGGTTGTTGAAGGAGGATGTTGTTAGTGGTGCGGAGACGGCTGTTGGGTTGTTGGCTACGGTCTTGAAGAAGGTGTGGGAGTTTGCGACTACGAACAATATCTTCACTGCCTTCTTGCTGGTGTCGTTGGTTGCGAACATGATTTTGAGTTCGCGTTCGACGGTGTCGTATTGGAACGAGAAGAGGGCTTATCATTTGATGCAGGCCGTGGGAGTCAAGCCTGATGGTATCATGTCGAAGGCGGTATACTTGCAGGACCTGAATGATTTGGTGTTTAATTCTACGGAGTTGAGGTCATCGAATGCTGGGTTGTGTTACGCAGAGTTCCAGGTTCAGCAGTCGCATAATGACATCAACGGACCTGTCGAGCTTGACACGATTATCGATTACACTCTACCGTCAACGAGAGCTGCGGCAAACCGCTTGCGCAGTTCTCGTCAGCGTATCGGTGCTTTGAGACATGACATGCTCGTGTCTCTTCGCACGATAAATCACGTCGAGCGAACGCTCATTGAGAGTGAGTGGAATAACTTCTTGGTGGAGGAGACGTGGAAGTGCAAGCGTGCAGAGAAGCTCATGAAGGATGCCGTTCTCGCTCGCAATATGGGTAAGCGTGCGATGACGGATGAGGAAATGGAGGCTTGGCTGGATTTGGAGAAGTATTGCATTGATTGTCGGGCGGAGTACGAGGAGGGCCACACGACGGAATTTTTGTCACTTGATTAAGGTAGCAAACATAGTCAGGCTTAGGAGTAGTGCTATGTACATCATTTCGAGGTTCGTTGGGAAAACATTGCAGTTTTGGTAATAAGGTTTAGTCTTGCATCGGTCCGATAACCTTGACGGAGCTTATTGACCACGCTTCACCGTTTGGCCGGCATCGTATCTTAGGAGAATTATGTTGAACGTATCCAGACATCGCCTAAAGATCCTTGTTTGTGCTTCAAAAGCCATTCGCCCGGGGGTTGTGTTCTGGCCGGGGCATGAATGGCGGCGTCCTGCAGTCTGCTTGCAGATGAGTCTGCATTTGGTCGTCCAGTGCGTTCAGGCCAGCTTCGCCACAGAATTCATAAGGTTCGATATTGATCCGCTCTTCAGTATCATCTTCGCAGTCGATGCAACAGTAGCTACTCCGGTTCGGTCGAAACACTACCTATACATCTTCAATATCAGGCGCGAGTCACACCTTGCCAGCTTCAACCGGCCTCGAGCACAGACTCGACATGGATCCAATGATGCCCACGCCGATTACGCCGATGATGGCCGAGCATCATGTTCGAGATGTTCCGATAGGCGGCTCGCCGATGGTCTCTCCGCAACCCGGCGGTCAGAATTCGAAGCGCAGACGAGTCACTCGTGCTTGCGATGAGTGTCGGAAGAAGAAGATCAAGTGTGATGGTAAAAAGCCGTGTACGCATTGTAGCGTGTATAGCTATGAGTGTACTTTTGAGTAAGTAGAGGTCGTGAGAGATAGACGGGCATTCGGCTGATTTTGCTACAGTCAACCATCGCAACGTCGACGGAATCCGGCTCCCCAATATATCGAGTCGCTTGAGACCAGACTGCAACGGATGGAGGGGCTATTGAGAACGTTATTGCCCGATGTCGATGTGAACAACCCAGAACTCGTGGATTTGAAAGCCGCGATGCTCGCGCAACGCCAGAAGCAGCAAAACCAGATGCCACCACCACCACCGCCGAACTACGGCGACCACCACCACTCAAGCGAAAGTTCCCACTCACATAGCAACTCCCATCCAGAAGTAGCACTGTCACCATCATCCACGGACAGCAACGACAACGTCATGGAGTCTATGATCAACAATGTCGGCAGACTTACTCTCGACGAATCAGGTCACTTCGATTTCAGGGGAGGCTCATCCGGCGCTCTCTTCGTCAATCGCGTACGAGAATCGGTATTTAAGGCGCTTGGATGTCAACAACCAGCGGATCCTGGAGTAGAAATGGCGGCAATCAACCTATCAGGTGCTTTTCCGGTCGCGGACAACGAGGAAGAAGGAGAGGGGTTCGCGCCGCCTGCGAAGGAGGTCGCGAAGCAGTTGTGTGAGTTGGTCTTTAATCATGGATGGACCGCTGCGATTCTGCATCGACCGACATTTTGGAAGGAGTTTGAGAGGGTGTATAAGGAGATGGAGGAACAGGGCGAGGAGGTTAAGGACAGGAGTTCGGATGGGTTCATGGGTGTGCTGTATATGATGATGGCGATTGGTGGATTGCTCGGGAATAAGAACCAGGAGAAGTGGGGCTTCAAGGACATTCGTCTTGCGAGTTATCGATACTTCCTCGCGGCGAAGAACGGTATCGACACCATTGACGGCGCGGATCTTCCGACGTTACAGACGTTGATTTTGATGATCTCGTATTTACAGTCGAATTCGAGGATGTCGACATGTTGGTCGTACGTGGGAATGGGATTACGTTTGGCTCAGCGTCTTGGTCTGCACAGGAACTTGCCGTACCGGTTCTCCACGATAGAGAAGGAGGTCCGCAAGCGTGTATTCTGGACGCTTTACAACTCCGATATCTACCTCAGTGCGATGCTGGGTTTGCCTCGTTGCATGCACGACGCCGACGTCGACCAAGAATTCGCTGCGGATGTAGATGATGAGCTCATCACGGATCAAGGAATCGGGACTCAGCCTGCGGGTGTGCAAGCGTTCATGGCGGCGCCGATTGCGTATACGAAGCTGTTGAAGATCCTGAGTAAGGTCATGACTGTGATTTATCCCGTACAACCTAAGGCGGACACACCAGCGAACTACGTCGCGCAGCACGACGTCGAAGAACTCGAACACGATCTCGAAGAATGGGTTGCGAGCCTCCCGATTGGCATGAAGCCGGGTGTTGATGCTACTGGACAGAGATATGCTGGTCATGCACGTTTCTTGGGAGTTGCGTATGGACATGTCAGGATGATTTTGTACCGCCCGTTCTTGCATTACCTAAGTCGACCACCAGGAAGTCCTGATTACGAGGAGCACTCGTTTCAGTATGCGAAGAACTGCTGTAAGACGGCGTGTTCGATTATCAACTTGGTGGAGGACATGCGGAGCAAGGGTTCGCTGCACGGGGCATATTGGTTCGCATTGTTCACGACGTTCTTCGCATGCGCGGTTCTCATCTTCGCTGTTGTGCAAGCGCAGGAAGGGGCTGAGGCCGAGAAGGCACTTGCTGCGCTCGAGACTGGCAAGTCTTGCTTGGTTATCATGAGTGAAACGAGTCAGACTGCGAAGAAATGTATCAACATCGTGGAGGACTTGTGTATCTCCATGAACAAGTACCTTGCCGCGGCGAAGGATTTGAAGAAGCGTGGGCAATTGCCACAGGTTAGGCGTACCGCATCCCGCAAGCGGAGACACGACCCTCCGGCAGGACAGGGTATCTCAAGGGCACATACCTTGCCTGCCAACATGGAGGCGGGCGCGGCCTTGCCACGTCAACCCCATATCCCTCGATCGCAGACAGCCATTTCGCACGGTACTGCAACGTCGACGCCGATTGCATCAAGAGACCAGTCACCTGTGAGGCAGTTGCAGCAGTATAGCGAGTCAGCACGCGCGAGTCCAGAGTCGTTCCAGCACCTTAACACTGTGTACGCTCCTGCCATGCCCGCGCAAGGACAGGCTTTCAGTACATTCAACAGTCCTGATACAGCCCTCGCCAATGCGAACTTCAACGAGCAGTTCGGTGCTTCGGACCCGCCATCTGACAACCTCTTGCAGATGCCTGATCTGAATGCAATGAACGCCATGCTCTTCCCCACGGCCTCCAACTATCAATTCATGCCCCAACAAGCAGCTGTCAACCCCAACCCGATGATGGGCGTTGCATTAGGCGACTTTACTGGCTTCACCGGTTATACAGGCTACGAGACCCCTATCTTTATGGAAGATGGACAAGGACAGGATCATGGACCAACACCAGCATTTGGAAATTCATCGGGAGTGCCGATGATGGGATGGGATGAGTTTATGTCAAATCCGGGTTGGATGGGTACATCATGAGTTTTTAATTTCTTTTTGTTGGGTGTTGGTAACTGGGGTAGTATTACAATTATCATAATAGACGCTAATTTGACTTATGAAACTGCATTACGATTAGCCATATGGTCGACCAGAGGGGAAGCAACGAGACTTACCTGTTCAGCCTCTTCCACTGAGATAGAAGAATCCTTTCTTTCGAACTTCGACACGAGACCCAGTCTTGCGTCCACCAGCTTTCCCCAGAAGGATGATCGGTCGCCTCCTAGCTCACCACGAAATATTGCAGGCTTCAACTCGTGTATGAAGTCATTGTAAAGCCCAACCTCCTCAAGTTCCTCGGCATTCTTCCGGAAAGTGCGTAGTGCATTCAAGGCTTTGTCATCCTCACCAGCTGCAATGACAGTGGGGACAATGGCCCGCATTTGAGCGAAGGCCTTTTCCAAGACCCCGGGTTTTTCACTCCTCATCATTGCCTCGAAATCCCGAACTGGATTCTCCTGACTGATCGTTGTCACTTCCGGTCGGGTTGAAGGCGGTTCTACCTTGGGTTTCTGGAAAAGAAGATCCTCAAGATCGAGGCCTGGTGCTGGCTTCAGCTCAGGCTCTGCATCTCTTCTACGCTTGCCAATCACTCGAGGAGGAATCCTCTTGATATCGCACGCCCTTTCCAAGGCTTTCAGCGGTGCCTCCATCCGATTTGCAATCTTTGGAATAGGCTTCGAGTACTTCATTATCGACTCTGGGATCGGAGGAGGTTTGGCTCCCGGATGTACTGCGCGGTGGATCAGAGCCTGATTGATCCGGTAAATAACAGCGTTATAAGTGTCCTCAGGCTTTATCAGGTCCACTGGACCTCCTGTAGGGTCGTAATCGACTGTCGTCAGGTCCATGCTATCAACAAAGGCGCTCATGGCCGCGTCCATCTCTTCTGTAGGTAGGTTGCGATGCTTGTCCAAGACCTTGCCCTTGATGGTAGTAACCCTATCGAGAGGCGCAAAGTTGTAATGGCGGAGGTCTTCGGTGAAAGGCACTTCAACATCGATGAGGCACTCAAAATCCGGCTCAATCTTAGGTGCCATGAGAATCAAAGTGGGTGGTTTGCCGTCCTTCTTCACCAGCCTCCCAAGGGCGTACGCTTCACATTCGTGTAAAGAGTGTATCAACGAAGACAAGGCTATAGACGCCTTCTCGTTGGCTTTCTGGCCAACAATGAGGCTCGTCTCACTCATACTCAGAAAGCGTTCGTACTGCGACAAGCCATTAGCTTCACGATCTCCAACGATTACGACGAACTTACCCTATCCGTCTTGACAAATCCAAGAATATCCAAACCTTGCTTGGTTTCAAAGTGAATTATATCCTCATCAGCCTTACTCAGAGGAATTACTGTTCTTCCATACGTGTAACCCCTTTCGAGTTCCGCTTGTGGGACTTCCTCGCCTAGCTCGGCGTTCTCTTCGTCCTGAACGATATATGTCCGCTCAAATTTGACCCCGTACGTTGGCTTGCGATATGCCGAATCCTGTCCGTTCTGTTGAGTCGTGTGAGCATCCATCAGCTCAGCCGGAACACTGTAATTGCTTGCACTGGGAGGCTTTGCGATCTTGATGAGAGGATAACGCTCAACACTGATTTGGACCGCATCGTTATAGTTCTCAGGGTCACCTATAGTAAGTATACCACGGAAAGTCGGAGTCGGTTTTACTTGCTTGAGACGAGGCATAGCTGCTATAGAGTCGATGACTTCCTTCATGGTGGCATATCTTCCCGAACATTGTCCACAAAAGTCGAGTAGCTCCTCTTCGTTTTGCCGCCTGTTCTCATCCTTGTCCTCCTCCTTGAAGCCGTACTCCTCGTCATCAAAATCAATACCCAATACGGACAGCTCAATGCCACTGTTATCGATCTGTCCAGCGATGCTGGATACACTGTCGAAATCGTTGACGCCCTTGCCGTCCGTAATCAGAATAAGCTCCTTCTTCCCCCGCCTAGTTCCACAATAGTTTCCGATCATATCAATCCCAATGACCAATGCGGAGATAGCATCCCCCTCATCGGTATTGCTCGGTATCAGACTAGCCTTCAACTGCTGAATGTTGGGCGTAGACATCTGAACGATCGGCGACAGTACGGTTATGTGCTTATACGCGTCATCCTTTCCAAGTACATTGTCTGTACCATCTGTTCGAAAGCCGACAACTCCTGCCACCTCGCCTTTGCGCCCTGTAAGCATTTTGGCCCCGATCTTGTCCCAGACGTACTTCAGCGACCAATCGAGATTACTCAAGCTTCTACCATTGCCTTTCTCGCCCATCGAGGGACCGACATCGATAACGAACACCGTGACATCCATACCCGCCAGTGTGCGATCGAGGACGGGCTATTTGGGTGTGTTGTTATCGCTGAGGGAGCACTACGTACCCCGGACGCGCTTGTAGGTCGTCGTAGGTGCCAGTAACGTAGACAAGTCCCAAAACACCGCAAACGGCAACAGGCAGAAGTAAAGCTGATCGTTTGTCAAAATCTCTAAGGAAATTTTCTTTATAACCAGTAGTATTGTCTTACTTAAAAAGAAGGAGTAGAGAAGCAATTCGTCCCTCACCTCGAGAAGTTCAAACCCAAAAACTCCAAGAAACCCAATCCTTGCCGTACATATATATATATATATATAAATAACCCCATCTTACTCTGTCTTCCCGCAAGATAAACCTATTGCGGGTTGTTCTCAAAGACGTAATTCTCCCAATCTTCCCAGTGGAAGCTCATAGGCGGTTGCGGCTGCCACGTCTGCGCAGGCTGAAGCGAAGGATCGAATCCACTCGTCATCCCCATCCCGAAACCAGGAGTAGCGGCCATATTGTTCATCTGGAACGCAGCCGTGCCCTGCATCTGTTGCTGAAGATCCATAGGTCCCATTCCCCAATTGTTCATCATCGACATTTGCGAAAGGTCCATAGCTGGTGCTTGCATGCCGGCTTGAGGTTGCGTGTAAGTGTTGTAGAACACGGAGGGACTGATGAGGTCGGGCGGAAGCTGTCCCGATGCCTGAGCCATACCTGGTCCTGGCATTTGAGCGTTGAAAGATGCCGTGGGGACTCCCTCGAAATCCGCATTGATGGGGATATCAAGAGTAGGCATGGGCACCTCACTACCCGTAGCTGCCGCTGCTTGCTCATCATTCGTAAACTGCCTTTTCCTCGACGAGTCCTGCTTCTCCGCCGCATCAATTGCCGCAGCCGCATTTGCAAACAGCTTCCGAATCAACTGCAAGACCTTCGAAGCAGCAAACACCTGCTTCAGATGCTTCGCTTCAGTCAAAATTTGAATTCCAGTTCCGATGAGACTCAAGTCCAGCTGCGCAGAAGATGCTTGAGGAAACTTGATGATCTGGATAAACAGAATGGCGCAAGAGCTGAAGACGTAGTGCAGAAACAACCAGACGACAAGGTCCATCAACTTTCTATCATGCAAGAACTTCAACAAGGCCATCTTGCGTCTTGCTCCGTTGACACAAATCTCACCAGAGGCGTAGATGCGCGGGTTAGGGACATTGACAAGAGCCTTGTCCGCCCAGTTATCACCCACTGCACGACAAAGCAAACCAGGACGATGAATGACGCAAATGCAGTTGTAGTAGGAAAGATGCAACATGGCGATAGCACGCATGTGCTCGCGCGGTGCATCGATCCGTTCAATATGCTCAGCACCCGTGATAGGATCCGCGGGCTGATCCGGGCGAATCACGATAGGAATCTCGTCGCGCCACGCTATCAGCTCAGCATCCAATTCGGACACCAATTCCGCCAGCTTCTGAGGTTGCGAAATGATCTTCGAAGCCGCAGCACTGTACAAGTTCGAACACACATGACTCGTCAAATTTGCGAAATCGATTACGTGCCGGAAAAAGTTGAACCTCTCCGTTCCCTCTGCCAGCGTTTGTAAATCGCCCATCAGGTTCCGCTGACAATGAGCCTTGATCTCCTCATCGTCTTTTGGTGGCAATGGCACGTCACAGTCAGCATCCTGAATCGCTGCCGGTCGACCCAAAGTCATTGCCAGGCTCTTGTCGAAGATATAGATGATCCACCAAACGCGCTGTCTCTGGGCTACGTTCTTCCCCTTCGCGTTGACAAAAGGCCCAATGTCCAGGAGATTGGTGCCTCTGTGCAGTCCCAAAGCTTGTGCGAGTCGCACGGTCGCACCTAACTGAATCCACGCCGCATGCACTCTTGACGTTCCCTGCAAGAAAATACCCATCATCAACATCGCCTGAAGAGCCATCAGGGTGTTGTGTGCGTAAAGCAAGCTGTTAAGCTGCCAGGCGTTATGGAAATAGTTCTTTCCAGCCTCAGGATCCACGCCGCCATCCCGTGCGCCGTCTTTCGCACTCAATTCGACTGCACCAAATGCCATCACCATGTAGTATACTGCCATCCATGGCACATCGTCTAATGGTGGATTATCTGTCCACATCTTCTGATAGTTTTCATCAAACTCCTCGCGCTCGATGATCGGGAAGATAGTGATGACACCAGCAAAGAAGGCATCCACCAGTGTGTCTGCGATGTCTTTCGCTGGGGGCGGAACAGGTTGTCCGCCTATCAGATCGTCTCTGGGTGGTGCCTTCGGGAAATTTGACTCATCAAACAAGTCCTTCACAAAGTCTTTGCAGTCTGACAAAAAGGAAATGCCGGAACTGCCGCCGAGGTAACTTTGTCCTGCATCCGAGTGCGACAAAAGAACACCCATCCTGCTCGTCAATTCCTGCATTGGCTCGTCATCAGAATGCTCCTCGTCGCCTTCCTCTCCTTCATCAGGTGACAATCCAGAAAATGATAATCGAGGTTGACTGGCGCTGCTGTTCTTCCGAGTGGTGCTGGCTTGTACAGGAACCTCCGTCCCTTGCTCTAACAATCCTAATTGCTGCGGTTCGTAATTTGGCATGACCCCTCTCAGCAACCCCTCCATCCTCTCCAACCTGTTCTCCAGTCGTTCGATGTACTTCTGACGATGCGCAGACGCACCCTTCGGCTGTGGTGTCCTCTTCTTCGGCTCAATCTTAAACGTACAGTCCGTCCCATAATTCGCACAATGCGTACATCGAGGTAGCTTTCCATCACACTTGATCTTCTTCCGGCGGCACATGTCACACGCCCGAGCAATCCTCCGTCGCTTCTGGTCGGCAGGTCCAGCACCATCTCCCGGTTTCAGCCCGGACGTAGGACTCACTGGTGCACTGCCCAGAGTCGGCGAGAGAGCATCCTGATCAAAGTCCATGCTGACTCAGGTACTGTGGGCGGAGTACGGACTTGAGTGGGCAACGCCGGTATTTGTCTGGTGTACCGAGAACGACTGGCGAATGTTCAAGCTCGATGAATCGATGAGAAGGGACCAGAGAATCAGCGTTGAGCCACGTCGGGGGTTGGATCGGGCCGAATACGTATACGACGTCCCGGGATGCGTTGCGATCGCGAATTCGAATGTCGCGCGGACGTTGTAGCTATAGGTGTAGCCGAGGAAGACTCCGCGAAAAACAGCGCAAGCGACTTGGCGAGTAATTAAGGTTCGACGGCACGTTTACTACCAAACTTTTCCAGCAGACTTCTGCTCCGGTCCTTCACGCTCGGCTGGGTTACGTTCCGAGAAGCGAGACAAGGGCGCCTAAGCAGGTTTGCAGAGTTCTCCCGTGCATTAGGTGCACACACCTGGGTACACACCTGGGTACACGGACAGCAGGTTGTATGATGACGCATAAGAGAAAGGATCATTGTGTCGAGCATACAGACCTGCGAAGATGGAGACTGCACGTTGATCATGGCCGTCAGACCTGGCACTACCTTCGTACAGACGCGGAGGTCGATACATGGCCTCAGACAACATCGGATAAATATCATCTGGGATTACCGACGGTACTGGATTCGAATGTTGCCCACGGAAGGTGACTGACAATTCACTACAGGACCTTCCGACTCAACCACAGGCTTCCTCGCCCCTCCAATGCGCAAAGAACGGGTACAACTTCTTCAAGGAACTCCAGCTTGAAGACGGACATTGGGGTTGTGAGTACGGCGGACCCATGTTCCTTATTCCGGGTGTTGTTGTCACAATGTACGTGACGCACACGCCCATCCCAGATGGTTGGGCAAAGGAAATCACCCGCTACCTCGTCAACCGCGCAAACCCGGACGATGGCGGCTGGGGCCTGCACATTGAGGGACACTCGACTGTTTTTGGGACCAGTCTGAACTACGTCGCCCTGAGGATCCTGGGTATGGATGCCGAACACCCCGTCTGTGTTAAAGCGAGAGGATTATTGCACAAACTTGGCGGTGCGATCGGAAATCCGCACTGGGGTAAATTCTGGCTTGCAGTGCTGGGTTGTTATGGATGGGAAGGAATGAACCCCGTCCCTCCTGAATTATGGTACATACCTCATTTTAATCGATTACCCTTTGGAAGTTTGGCGTTAACAAAGTACATAGGCTTCTTCCTGAATGGCTCCCCCTCCACCCATGGCGTTGGTGGATTCATACGCGAGCTGTGTACCTCCCCATGGGCTATCTATACGCCGAACGCTTCACTCACCCCCTGGACGATCTAACTCGTTCCCTCCGAGAGGAACTCTACGTCCAACCATACGAAAGCATCAACTTCTCCAAACACCGGAACACCATCGCCCCCGTCGACCTCTATGCCCCGCACACCAGGCTCCTCGACGTCGCAAACAACCTCCTAACCGGCTGGGTCAAATACGTCCGCCCCAAATGGCTCCACACATACGCCCAAAACCATGCCTACAGCCTCATCCAACACGAAGACGAAAACACTGATTACCTCTGCGTCGGCCCCGTCAACAACGTAATGCAAGCACTCGCAGTCTACCACCGTGAAGGCCCCTCATCCTACGCTTTCAAACGCCACGTCGAGCGATTCGCGGATTTTATGTGGGTTTCTGGGGAAGGAATGATGATGAATGGGACGAATGGGGTACAGCTCTGGGATACGGCTTTTGCGGTCCAGGCGGCTGTTGAAGCGGGGTTGGCGGAGGAGAAGGGGTGTAGGGAGAGTCTGCTGAGGGCGTTGGAGTTTTTGGATGATTGTCAGGTATGTTGACTTTGGATAGCGCCTGCACGGACCACTTTTGAGCGGTTACTGATTGAATGATGGTGTGCAGATTAAAGAGAATTGTCGCGAACAGGATAAATGCTACCGACAACAACGCAAAGGCGCATGGCCATTCTCGACCCGACACCAAGGCTACACCGTCTCCGACTGCACAGCAGAAGGCCTCAAAGCGGTCCTCATGCTTCAAAATCTCCCCTCCTACCCCAAGCTCATCTCCGACCGGCGGCTCTGCGACGCAATCGACGTCCTCCTAACAATGCAAAACGCGGATGGGGGCTTCGCAAGTTACGAACCCATACGGGGACCATATTGGTTGGAGAAAATCAATCCGGCAGAGGTGTTTGGGAAAATTATGATTGAGTATTCGTATCCGGAGTGTTCGACGGCTGTGTTGACCGCACTGAGTTTGTTCAGAAAACGCCACCCGGAGTATAGGGCGAAGGAGATTCAGAAGACAATTGATGGGATTGTGAGGTATTTGCACAATGAGCAGAGGGAGGATGGTTCATGGTATGGAGCGTGGGGCATCTGTTTCACGTATGCCTCAATGTTCGCGACTGAATCCCTTGCTTCCGTCGGGCTGAAATACGAGAACTCTGAGACGCAGCGGAAAGCGTGCGAGTTCCTGTTGGATAGGCAAATGGATGACGGAGGATGGGGCGAGACGTACAAGAGTTGTGAGATGGGTGTGTACAGTCAACACGAGAAAAGTCAGGTCGTGCAGACTGCGTGGGCGTTGTTGGCGTTGATGCAGGCTGGGTGTCCGGATAAGGAGGCGATCAAGAGGGGAATGAAGGTGTGTGCATAGACAGCCTTTGGGCATGCTTTGGATGACATTTGCAGCTTGCTGACAGGGTTCGTATACAGTTGATTATGGAACGACAACAACCAAATGGGGAGTGGTTGCAGGAGTCCATCGAGGGTGTTTTCAACAAGAATTGGTAAGGGCGTTTTTTCTTTTACTCTCAAGTGGTGAGCTGACGGTTTATTGCAGCATGATTTCTTACCCGAACTACAAGTTATACTTCCCGATTAAGGCTGTTGGGATGTACGCTCATTTGTGTGGGGATTCTTTGGACGAGTAGGGACGTGAGAGTGGAAGTAATCACGAACATACCCTGCGGTTTTGGAGGCTCACGGTTAGCGATCGTACGCGTACGTGCGCTATATACAGGTAGCTATGGGTAACTTTCATAAGCGCCCCACCGAAGCGTCGCGATGGGAGAGTATGGAGACGACAGAAGCAGCGTACGTGTTCGAAAGGTGAGGGCAGTATAAGTATTTGATTGAAAATATAGATCGAGGAAGAAAAAGTAAAAGCTCAGTCGAGCACCGGTATCCAGCTGTTATACGAAGAAAAACGCAAAAGAAGGTCATCCAACAGCAACTCCAATTCCCACATATTCAAACGCCCGAAATCCGGTATATCCATCCTCTTCACCTCACTTTACGCAACCTCCCGAGTCATTGCATCGTCGATGTTGTGCGTTGCCTGCCCCTTGTGCACATGAGCCTGATAGGCAGGCGAACCCGGGTGGTAAGCCATGGCCTCAGCTGGCAACCCAAGGTCCGGGAACGTGTCCGATGACTCAAGTGAGTCACTGTGTTGCCTGTTGTGCTGGCTCAACCTCGACGGGGAGTAGTCCGTTGACCTGTACAAGCTTGGTGTGGTCACCTCCGTACGTCCTCCACGGTTGGTATCCGTGGGAGTGCGTCTTCCATCGTCCTCCACGCCAGGAGCATCGTTGTCTTCGAAGTGCAAAGAGTTGACCGCAACCTCGCATTGGTTCTTGATGTTTTGGATGAGGTCTGCGATGGCGGTCGTCTTAGCAGCCAACTCCTTGTCGGCAATGTCCATGATGCTGGACACAGAACCACGCTTCTCCATAGGTGTAGACTCGATACGAGGGCGGATAATCACTGTAGGCGTGGCTGGGGTAGGACTCCTAACAACACCGCTATCACGACGAATATCATGGTTCTCCTCATTCTCCTTCTCCTCAGCACGATCAGCAATATCCTGGTCCATAATCTGACTCGCACCATCACCCAATCCAGACATAATCTTATCCACCTCCAAAGACTGCTGATCAATAAGACTCCTCAGATGAATACACACCTTCTGCGCATCATTCCTCTGCTTAGCGATCGCCTGCGTCTTCCCAACCATGTAACGGAGCTCAGAACGGATCATCTCACGGTCATGCTCAATCGCCGAGACCTTAGCCCATGCCTCATCCTTCTCTTTCTCCGTCCCAATTAAGCGCGCCTGCATCATCCCCGCATCCTGTTTATGCCTCGCCAAATGCTCCATCAAACGCGAGTTCTCGCGCTTGTGCTGCTCGATCCTAGTCTTCATCTCCACGGCATCATGAGCCAACCCCTGTGCCAACTTCTCGAACGTCTCGAACTGCTTCTTCACCGCGTCCAAGTCCATCGTCAGCTTCTCGTTACGCTTGGTGACTTTGTTAACTTCGGTCTCGAGACGGCCCTTGACGTGGACGTGGTGAGTCCAAACATCGCTCACTTCACGAGCATACGCGTTCCTCTCACGGTGCAACTCGTTTAACTCACGCACACTGATTTTGGTGGTCAACACCTTCGGCTGCGCATTGCTTCCGGCAAAGACAGCAGCGAGACCTGTCCTCTTGCCCGGCTTGAGACAAAAATGGTCAACGACGTTCATGATAGCAGCCTGATCGAACCACTCCGGATCCCTTACAGTCTCCACCTCCTTGCCCCTGAGTACAAGCACCTGTCCCATAGGCGTGAGCTTCCCACCGAGGAACGCCTCCCTCAAGAACTCCGGAACACCAGTAATCGACACCTCTCCGACAAGAGCGGCAGTCAAGCGGTCAACTAACTTCTGCTTCTGGCGCGGTGAAAAGACCTGTGCAGGACCCGCCTGCGTTTGAACCAAGTTTCTGTCGAGGTCAACGACATACGCATCACTCGGCGCCTGAATCAAGCTCCTGCTCTCAGACGTGAGGCCCAACATATATGGTCCGGCCTCGTTCACCACGGAAGCGATCGTGCTAGCGTGACAGACAGGAATATAAAGTCCGCTCCACTGGTAAACGCGGCACAAGAACCTGATCGTCTCCGACGCGATGGTCAACATCCCGGTATGCTGACTCACGAAGACAATGCGTCCGCCTGGTGACAATGCAGCCTCGAAGATTCCCGCGATGTTAGGGATAGAGAGACAGCTAAACAGCGGCCACATAGGGAAATTCTGAAACCCAGATGGTGAACTGGGAAACTGGTAGACCAAGCTGTAATCCTTCATATCGATTCGAAGGACATCGTTCAACCTCGGCGCCGCAAACGACAAAATCCTCGACACCTCCTCGGCACTGAAAAGATTGGTCGTGCGAGACCAATGAATGAACATCGCCTTCAAGTAATCCGTCAACAACGAGAAGATAGGATACTTGGACAGGAAGCACAGCGAGTACGGCACCCAGAAAACATCAGCCGCACCAGTTTCCTCGTCGCCACCAGCAGAACTCCCAACCCTCTGCCTAACCTCCTCGAGCGTATCAGCCCTCGCACGAGAACTATCCGCACGACTCCAAATCCTCAAGCTGGTACCATAGAGCGTACTCTCCGCATCCTGCTGAATAACAAACATATGACTCGTACAGACAGGCTGCTTAGGTCCAACGACAATCTCGACATCATGCGGGAACGAAGCGCGCATAGCCGCGTATAGCGACCTGGCGACATCGGAATCCTGCTCGACGCGAGGAAGTGAGCCGAGAACTTCGGGGGACCAGTAGCAGTTGATGGCGCCTTTAAGGTGAGGGATTTTCTTGTCGGTTGTGGTAAGGGGTGATTTTTGCCAGGAAGAAGGTTCTTTGGGTAATCCAACTATGTCGCGGTTAGCAATCTGTGCAAAGATGGATCCGTCAGCCACGACATACAAACACCGTAAGCGTGGCACAGGGTACGGCTCGGGCTACCACTCGCAGCACTCATTCTCACAGAAGAGGGAATAGGATGGTGAACAGGCTGTGTAATTCGACTGTGCAAACTCGACGCGCGACTCGGAACACGAATGAGCGTCCTCTCATGATGAGCAGACACGTCACTCGTCGTATGCTGCGTATGCGGCCTCTGGCTCGTACCCGGTCTCGACGGAGCCAAGAAGTGACTCAAACTCGGTTTCGACCTCAGCATAGGCAGTTGCGGGGCTTGCTGACTGCTGATACTACTTCCGTGACTCGGCATCCTGACTGCAACTGGTGCTTCTGGCAAGGCCTGTAAAGAGCGTCGGGGTTGGGGGTAGAGAAGGTAAGGCGAATAGTTGTTCAACTGGGACTGGACACGAGGTGATATAATGGGCGGAGGCATGTAAAAGCCTAGGTCCTCGGTCGTAAACTCGTCCGTCATGGCGAGCGAGGTGTTTGAGATTTAGACGAACGCTGCGGAGGTGACAGGTCGGGTGAGACTGATAATCCTTTAAAGAGGGGCAAAGAGGCGGACGGCCTGTGCCGGTGGTGTTGGCATTCCATTTTACGTGTCTTGGAGTTTTCTCAATCTATTCGACTTCGATGGTGTTCAGCTACACGCTCCTCGATAAATTAAGGTTCGTGCTACGACGCAATCTATGCCGTGCAAGGGACTTCACGAATCGCTATATCACAAACAAGTTGATTGACAGGGTGGAAATGTACGTCTTACAATGTGAAGATCTTGCGCTTTTTTGTATGTGGTGTCTTCTTGGCTTCTGTCATGTCTCCCGAACTGGGTAAAGTGATGCTGTAACGTAGACATCAACGTTACATTCTTCGGGACGTATGGGCCGTGCCGCCTGTCAAGATGGACTCGCTCCGGATATTACCGGCCGAGACGGCTGAAAATGTCGTCTCGACGATCCTGACAACCTACAACACTCTACCTAAACGCGGCAAACCTGCCACCCGAGATGACGGAACCGAAGAATGGACTATTCTTGCCGGTGTCGTCCTGCGGAAGGGAGATGGTCTGGAATGCGTCTCCCTAGCGTATGTTAACCTTGTTGGCCGACATTCAAGTTTGCTAAGTGGGCGACGTACAGTACCGGAGTGAAATGCCTTCCGGCCTCCAAAGTATCCCTCGCAAAAGGCCTCGTCCTGCATGACTGTCATGCTGAGATCCTAGCTTTACGAGGGCTCAATCGCTTTCTACTGAACGAATGTTATCAACTCGCTGCTGATCCTTCATTCTCTTCGGCTTATGTCGCACAAGCTGAAGGCAAAAATGGATCACGCCCCTTCAAGATCAAAAAAGACGTCACAATCCACATGTGGATCTCCACCGCTCCTTGCGGTGATGCAAGCATGGAAAACACGGCGGCAGAGCAGGAAGATGCAACACCTTGGACATTCGACGAGTCGGCCTCAGGCGACTCGCTGCTGCGCGGGCGCTCATATTTTAGCCTGCTCGGTGCTGTGAGAGCAAAGCCTGGTCGCACGGATTCTCCGGAGACGTTGTCAAAGTCGTGTTCAGATAAACTTGCGTATCGGGCGTCGACGTCACTGTTGTCGTCGTTGACCAGTGGGCTGATATCGCCGGCGAACGCGTACCTCGAGAACCTTCTGCTACCGACGAATCAATACAATAAGGTCTCATGTCAGCGCGCCTTCCAGGATCGTCTAATTCCTCTGAGAGAGCCTTCAAATGTATGGGAAAGCGGATACAAGCTCATACCATTCAATACTCTGCCGGTAAAACCCGAGTTGACCTTCGAGCACGGCAAGAAAGACGGCGCAAAGCCAAGTCCACTAAGTGTGGTATATGTGAAGAATGAATCAACTAGTGAGGTTCTCTGTGGCGGCGTCAAACATGGAAATAAGCCATTTTCCGGGCGAGGGGCGAGTATGCTATCGAAGGCAAGCATATGGGAACTTGTGCAGAAGATTGAGCGGACACTCAATTCGAAAGAAGTGCCACTTGAAGAAGACAACAGGACATACAACATGGTTAAGAAAGGTGGGGAGTTTGGGGCTGCCAGAGGGAAGGTCAAGACAGATGTGAGAAACGTTCTGAAAGTCTGGAAACCACAAGCTGAAGGCGCAGATGATTTTGAATTACCAATACCTTCACGTAAGAACAACAAAAGAAAAAGATAATGCTTGTCGAAATGCCGGGGTATCATACGTTGTTCGGGTATCTCACTCCTCCACTTCCCTCCTCCCACGTATCTCATGATATCAGTCCAGGGAAGATACCACCACATCTCCTGCACTTATAGAATCACTGCCCCGCAAGCAGCCTCTCCCGCTCAGCCCGAACCTTCGCCAATTTCTCCTTAACCTCCTGCTCCTCCCTCTGCAAATTCGCCAACTCACTCTGCTGCAACTCGATCTGCTTGGCGCGCGCAGCAATCTCGGCAGTTGCTTGTACGACTTCGGGAGCGGCAGACCCGGAGGCGGCGGCCGCAGCTGCCTTTTCTTCAGCGATTTTGCGGTGATGGATGGCGGCACGGATAGCGTCTTGATTTGGTGCTTCGGACATTGTTTGAATGCGATCCTTCGATGGATTATGGGTTTGGAACTGAGGTTGTCGATTGAGCTCGGATGCAAGGGTTCGCGCGTTACGGGCACCTGGGGAAAACTACGAGGAGAGCGGAGGGGCAGTGCACGAGTATAATATGGTATATACAACCAAGATTCAATAGAGTGGAGAAAATACTAAAAAGCACCCACAAATAGCATACAACTCATTCAAATGCAAGAGAACTAAAAAAAAAGACGTCAGAAACAAAAAAAACAACGAAACGCCGGCGTATTTTTTCGAGTCTGTGCAATGATCATCCTTATCAACCTTCCTGATCTTCCTCCTTTTCGTACACGTCGTCATATCATAATGCTAGAACGGGAAGCTTAAGTAGACTTAGACTTCTTCTTGGTCTTCTTGGAGGCGGATGACTGGGCACCATTGATGTAGTTGACCAAGTCGTCCAAGTTCTCGGTACCGCGGGGTCCACGGGAAGCCTTCTCCTTGATCTGCTGCTGAGCCTGCTGTTGAGGCTGAGCGTTCAGGAAGACACGAGGAGGGAGCGATGCCCTCTGCTTAGCCGCCTTGGCAATGTTGACAGCGTTCTGAGTAAGTTGCTCGAGCCAGAACTCAGTCTCCTTGGTGTTCTTGTCCTCGGGACCGAGCTCCTCCTTGAAAACGTTGTAAGCATCACGCATCTTCTGAACAGCACCCTTAGCGTCTTGAACGAGAGCAAGAGCCTGGGAGAGCTGGAAGGAAAGAGTAGCAGTGTTAATGCTCTTCTCACCAAACAGCTCCTCGCAAACTCTCAAGGAAGCCTCGAACCAGGTCAAAGAGTCCTTGTACTCCTTAACGCTCTGCAACATAACAGCGACGTTGTTCATGGTAGTGACAGAGTCGGGGTGACCCTCTCCGTAAGCAACCTTCCAGTAAGTGAAAGCGTGCTTGATCAAAGCAAGGGCAACCTGGGAGTTACCGTTTGAGTGCTCGAACAAAGCAAGGTTCAAGTAGTTAAGGATGGTCTCGCTAGAGTCAACACCGAGGGAACGCTCGGCAACGATGACAGCCTTACGGGCAAGTTCGCAAGCAAGAGCCTTCTCCTCGAGCTGGTGGTAGATCATAGCAAGGGAGTTGTATCCGCGAGCGACCTCGGGGTGCAAAACACCGTAGATCTGCTCGTGAAGGGACAGAGACTCCAGAAGAAGCTCGACACCGAGGTCGCGGTTGCCCTGAATGATGGACATACGACCAGCCTCCAAAGCCTCCTCAGCAAGGCTAGACTTCGGGGAAGCTTCCTTGACGACAGGAACGACGTTAACCAAGTCCTCGGGAAGGAAGGTGACCTTCCTCTGGGCAGTCTGACGAGCAGCCTCCGCGGCGGCGGCAGCAGCAGCGGCCTGAGCAGCGATCTGAGCAGCCTTCTTCTCAGCCTTCGACTTCTTACCAGCAGAGCCGTTGGAACGAGTAGCAGAGGTGTTCTCAGGGGTGGCAGCGCCGTTGGCCTTGGGCACCTCAGCCTTCTTCTCAACGGGGGCGAACTCGTAGTCCTGAGCCTTCAACTGGAATCCCATCTTGAGGGCGACGTCACGGAGGAGCTGAACGGGACGCATGTCAGTCTCGAACCAGGCGTTAACATCGAAGGTGTTGGCCCTGAAGCGACGGAGGGTTTGCTCAGTAATGCGAGCACGGATGGACTCGACAGAGAGCGCGGTGAAACCAAGATCGGTGTTCTTGTAAATAGCCTTCAACCCAGCATCGACGACAGCCTCAGGCTTAGCATTGAGCTTGAAGCCAACCAAGCAGTTGAGAACGTGAGCGACAGCAGAGCTGACAAGAGGAGCAGGCAAACCCCTCAAAACAGAGTTGAAGACGTGCTTGGTGGCACGGGCAACCATCTCCTGAGCGGCGAGCTGACGGACAGCCTTAAGCTTCTTGTCATTGGTAGCAGTCAACTCGTAAACCTTACCAAGGTAACGCATGTTAATACCACGCTTGTGCATCATGCGAGACAAAGCGGGACCGTCCAAGGGAGCGGCGATGAGACCCTCCTTGAAGTCAGAGATGATTCCGGGGATAACCTCCTCGCGCAAGAACTTGGAAGCAGCACGGACCTCAACCTCGTCCTTCTCGAGCTGAGCATTCTCCTCCTCAGTCTGGGGGACCTGACCAGAGAAAGCGTCAGGGTTGAGAGAGTACTCGAACCCGGAGATGTCGATGCGCTCTTGGGGCTCAGGCTTCTTCTCCTCGGCCTCCTCAGTCTCCTCTCCCTCAGCAGCCTCAGCCTTCTCCTCCTTGGGCTCAGCGGCCTCCTCAGTCTTCTCAGGCTCCTCAGTAGCCTTGGCGGCCTTCTTCTTCTCAACCTCAACCTGAACCCATGCCTTCAGCTTGCCCTCCCAGAAAGTCTCAATTAACTCGGCACGGAGAGTAGTCATGCGGTGAGGGTAATCCTTACCCTCCTCAGCCTCAGCACCCTCCTCGAAAGTCTTAGGGCAAGCCTCCTCCAAGAACTCAATGTCGAGAGGGGTAAGGCGGTAAAGGTCGAGGACGTACCTACGTCCATCGCAACCAGCCAAACCCTTAGTCTCAACGGAAGCGGCAAGATCGTGCCTCTTACCCTCCTTGTCCCAGACAGGGTGGGTCTTGATGTGAAGAGCCTTAGCGACCTCCTGGAACATAGGCTCGAAAGAAGCGTCCTCAGCAACGACATCCTTGCCGTCAACACCACCGTAGATGATCTGAGAGTCACCCTCCTCGCGCTGACGGAAAATACCGGGAACAACAGACTGCGCAACAATACGCTCACCCATGTAGTCAACAACAGCAGTACCCAACACGCAAAGACCGTTAACATCCATCATGTTGTACAACCTGACACCAGCGACATCCTTTCCGACAGCGGCACGAGCAGCATCGTCACCACCCTCCTTGGCGAAAGTTCCGACACCATCGTAACCACGGGAGAAGAAGATGCTGTTGTAGACGAACATCTGGGCATCCGTGTCCTCTAAGGGGTTCAAAGCCTGGACCTCACCCTTGACGACAGCCATGGCGCCACGGGCGGCAGCGTCGGCGAAGTCGGCATGGGCCTTAGCCAAGAGACGCTCGCGGAGGACACGCTCTTGAACGTTGGCACGGGGAAGCTCACGGGTAGACTGGATCTCCTCGTTCCAGTCACGGAGAGAGTCGAGGTTGTCGGTACCAGCCGTCAAGAAAGCCTCCTGAGGGCGAGTAGAATCGGAGGTGTGCTGCTCAGGGTGAACCAACCACGGGGAAGCAGGGATAGCGTTAGTCATAGGCACAGTAGCGAGGGGGTCGCAAGACTGAGTCAGCTCCTGAATCTTGGCGAACTCCTTCTTGAACTTGGGCGAGAGCTGACCGAGGAGAGTGATGAGGGAGTGAGCGTAGTTGTCCTTGTGGGCAGACTTTGGTGATGGGTCGAACTTGTTGTTAGAGGACTTGTTGACGTAAAAACCACCGACGTGGCCGGTGATCTGGTACTGCTCGCCCTCGAGAGTAGCGACCTGCAAGTAGAGCAAGTGACCCTTCATACGGTAAGGTGCTGGTGGGGGGTTCCATGCGGAAATTGCGAGACCCTGGACCGCCTTGGGCACACCGTTACCCTTCCTGGCATCTGGTGCGGGAATGAACTCGGAAAGCTTTGCCGGTGCGTCGATCTCGTAGCCAGTCATCGCATGCGGCTTACCCTCCTTCACCTCCAAATCAATCGTCTCGAACAAAGAGATACCGGCGCTGATTCCAGCAGCACCAGCGAATCCAGCGTTCTTAGCAGCAGCAGGCCCAGCCAGCAAATCCTTGACGCGGGTAAAGTGTATCCGTGCATCCTTCTCGGTGTAGGGGTCCTCAATCAAGACGATCTCGGTGTTCTCGTGGGACAATCCCTCGATGTCGCCAATCTCGGAGAAGTCGTTGATGGTCTGGCCATTGTATTCGAGGTGGAAACATGTGTTGTCGGAAGTGTAGGGGAGTTCGATAATCGATTGGCGGATATCGTGGACGGTCTCGTGGGGAGAAGCAACCATGTCGACGACATGGGGGGCGTGAGGAAGCTTGATCTTCAGCTGGTAGAGCTGCTCGGCTGTAATTCGACTCGTCAGCCAAAATACAACAGTAAGCCAGGAAAACGAATCGCACCTTGAGCCTCAGCCTGCTCATCCTGAGCAAGTTCCTGAGCATCCTCGGCCTGAGGAGCCTGTTCAGCTTGAGTGGCGGCTACACGATCATCGTCAATTCAATTCCAATTGCTCCTCGGCAAACAACAATGGCTGCACTCACCCTCCTGCTCGGACATATCGAAATGAGAGAGTGATATCTCGTATATGTCTTGCGAAATACGTATTGAATGTTGCGCACGCTTCGACCAGAATTTCGAGGCACTGCATTTCCCCGGCCGCGGACGCAGGTGTCAGGGTGCCTCGTTCCCGAGATTCATACGCTCTGTGGGCCGGGTGTTCGGCAAATCCGAACGATAAGATTGGCCAGAGTTTGTAGACCTGGGATTGTAATTGTAATGGTCAGTTATGCGAGACAGTTTTTGGCTGCTTGTCCGGCATTGCAATGCTTCAGGCGTGGGTAAATATGTTCATAAATGGTATCCTTATCCTACACGCAAATACTATCATACAATCCCAATATGCCATGCTTCACTCTCACTTCCCAACAACCTGCTTCCTCAACACATGCTTCTGCACCTTCCCTGTACTCGTCTTCGGCAACTCCTTCACAACGTTCGCCTTCTTCGGAACCTTGTAACCCGCCATCCGACCCTTCGCATACTTTAACACCTCCGCCTCGTCAATTGTCTTTCCCTCCTTGGGCACAACGAACGCCATCGGAACCTCACCCCACTGTGGGTCAGGGATAGCGATCACGGCGACTTCGAGGACGGAGGGGTGAGTTAGGATCGCGCCCTCCACATCGATAGAAGAGACGTTCTCACCACCGGTAATGATGATGTCTTTTGCGCGGTCCATGATAAGGACTGACCCGTCCTCCCACCATACGGCGAGGTCCCCGGTGTGGTATGCGCCGCCGGCGAAGGCTTCTTCGGTTGCCTTGGAGTTGTTGTAGTAGCCCTTTGCGTTGAGGTTACCCTGCAAGACGATCTCACCGATTGTCTTTCCGTCTTTTGGAACGTCAGTTAAGGGGACTTTGCCGGTCTCCACGACGCGACAGTCCATGCCAGTGAGGTAGGAACTTCCTTGTCTGGCCATGTTGGCGTACATCTCATCCCCCGGAAGATCCCTCCACTCAGGTTGGAAGAAATTCCTCGTGACGGGACCATATGTCTCGGTTAATCCGTAGACATGGTTCGCCTTGAGTCCGATCTTCGCCATATCCTTGAAGAGCTGCGCAGACGGGGCCGAAGCGGCAACGATAACGTTCACATTTCTGTCGAGCTTCTTGGCCAATGGGGAAGCCACGATATGCTGATTCACAACCGGTGCAGCACAGTAATGCGTCACGCCCTCCTCGAGTAGGTATCTCCAGATCAATGGGTAATCGACCTTACGAAGGCAGATATGTACACCGCGAGCACCGGTCACAGCCCAAGGATACGTCCATCCACCAGCATGGAAAAACGGCAAGATCCAGAGGTACCGACACGTCGGTACACCATCCGGATCGGCAATATTCAGCGATCCCTCAATAATGTTGGAGAGGGCGGTCAAGTAGAGACCACGGTAAGTGAATTCAACACCCTTGGGCTTCGAGGTAGTTCCCGAAGTGTAGAACAAACCGAACGTCTCGTTTTCGTCGACTTTGTCAACGCAGAGGCCGGTCCAGCCTGTAGCGCCGAGTTCTTGGTGATACTTCTCGCCTTGCTTGACACAGTCCTCGTAAGCACCCGTGAGAGCCGAGACGTCACTGTCCTCAATGACGCGAAGCTTCTTCGGACCAGAGTATCCCTCCACAAGGTGTGCATATTCCTTATCAATGAAGATGAGGGACGATCCACTGTGCTCGATGATATATTGCACCTCCTCCCTCGTCAACCGATAATTAATCCCAGCCATCTTCCCACCTGCAGCAGGAATAGCATAGTAAAGCTCCAAAACCATCGGCGTATTCGGCGAGATAATCCCAACCATACGCTCTCCTCTCTTCCACTCCTCTGTCTGCAACAGCCAGTGCGCAAGCGCGACAGCGCGCTCACTCAACTGCTTGTAGTTTCTTCTCACAGTCTTTCCATCGGCGTGTTGATGAAGCACCGCGGGAGCATTCGGACTAACTCTGGCCGCTCTCGGGAGCCAGACGGTCGGATTCAGGTGATGGTGATTCGCGACGTTGATGCCTGGGAAGGAGGGCGGAGGAGCGTCCGGGAAATGCTTGGTAAGCGCCTTAAGACGATCTGCGGCAGATGGTATCGAGGGCATTGGTTTTGGTCGATTGTTTGAAGGGTGTTTCGAAGTATGACATGACAGCAGGTGATCAGGTGGTGGTTGGTTTATATACGACGGGAAGGATGCACCCAAGCGAGGTGGAGAACGGACTGTTTTGGGTGTGGGGGAGTTGCTCGGTAGGCGCGCGCCAGATGGAGTGGGGAAGAGCGACGACGAAAGGCAGGTATCCGCTCCTCGTGATTCCTCCGAGACGACCGAGAACGAATCAATCGCCTTGGAGCTCTCGATGAAATCGATGCTTGACAGGGTGAAGCGAGAGGGGTCGCGGGCGGGGACGTTTACAATCAGCGCAACCGTGCACCGCTTTCACAGTCCCGTGATTTGTCAGTACGTCCGATGCATGTCCAGCACCTGACCAACCCACGGGCGTTATCACCAACATTCTTCGAATTGGTGACGCTGGTTTGATCTGCAATTAAATGAGAAATAAGGTTTCCTTGGCGGGCGGCTGCCGTCCTCTGCGCCGGGGCAGGGTGTTTGCGCGCCTTTGCCTTGGCCAGACGTCATGAGCACGAGAGATACCAACACCCAACAAGACCTTTGATCCACCGGGGAATCCACAACGATCACCGAGGAAATGTCGTCAAGTCAATTGCTGGCTCTACCCAATACCGAAGCAGTTCGTCGGCACCGAGCAATCTCTACGCCCTCGAGACCGTCACAAGATATCGTTCCGACATTGAAGGCTATTAGAGAGGAGAATCATGGACTCGAAAGTATAGAGAAGCCGATACCCACGGCTACGAGACCGAGGAGAGAAAGCAAACATCTGTTCCATCGTCTGGATTTCGAGTACCGTCTGACGGCGTAAGTGGCTCACAAGAACTCGGTTGCTCCTTGCTGACAATGGGCCGTATAGGTTTGACCCACACAACACAGAGCGCTCCAAAACCTCCTTCAAAGGCTTCTTCATCCTCTTCTGGCTCGGACTCTCGCTACTCGTCCTCACCACTCTCCTCCGCAACCTCAAAGAAACCGGTCGGATCTTCGGAACCTCCGTTGCCACTCTCTTCATTCACAATGTCCAAGAAGTAGCAATGACAGACGCAGCGATGATTCTATCAACCTTCTACGTCATTCCAATTCAAGTCGCTTGCTCGAAAGGGTGGATCAATTGGAACGGGATGGGTCGTGTCCTTCATTACAGCTTGCAATGGGCTTGGTTCGGAGCGTGTATGGTCGTTGCATCAGTTCGTGATTGGAGCTGGACTGCGATCGCGTTCTTTACGCTGCACAGTATCGTCATGCTCATGAAAATTCACTCCTATGGTTCATACAACGGGCATTTGAGTGTGATCCGCAAGCAGTTGAACGCACTCAAGAAGGCCGAGACGGTTGAGAACGAGGGTTTGCATGCTGCGAAGAAGGAAATCTTGACGTTGGAGTTGACGTCGACATTGGGACATGTGACGTACCCTGCCAACTTGAAGAACCCGGTCTGGAATTACGTCGACTACCTGCTCGTTCCGACACTCTGCTACCACATCGAATACCCTCGCACACCTCACGGTATCCGATGGGGTTATGTCGCAGAGAAAGCTTTGGCAACCTTCGGCACAATCTTCCTTCTCGCCATTACGGTCGAACACCACATCATGCCAATTCTCACCCAAGCCTCAAAAGATCTCGCTGAGGAACCGAGCGCCCTTACCTCTGGCCTCATCTTCGCTGAAGCCCTCAGTGCCCTTCTCTGGCCTTACATGCTGGTTTTCCTCCTCGTTTTCTATATCATTTTCGAGTGCATTCTCAACGTCTTTGCAGAGGTAACCTGTTTCGCTGATCGCTTGTTCTACGACGACTGGTGGAACTGCGCAAACTGGGAGTCCTTTGCTCGCATGTGGAACAAACCCGTTCACCATTGGCTACTTCGTCACGTTTACATGCCATGTCGTCCCAGACTCTCTCGAGGTGGAGCGACGATGATGACGTTCTTTATCTCGGCGGTGTTGCATGAGCTTGTAATGGGGATGATTACGAGGAAGGTTAGGGGGTATGGGTTCTTTTGTCAGATGTTGCAAGTTCCGTTTATGGCCATTCAAAGGAGTAAGTTTATGAGGGATAAGGAGTTGCTAGGGAATGTGTTGTTTTGGCTGAGTATGATTACAGGGTTGTCTGGCATGACTTACATGTACGTTTTATACTGAGCATGGCTCAGAAGAGTGACAAGGCGCACTTCTTAGGTTGCTTGGTTTAGCAAGGAATTCACTCTCGTTGATTGTATGGATAGACACTCATAATAGATCGAATGGCAGGAACATCGGCGTTTCAAGAATGGCTATATGCCTTTTGGAAAACAAAATAAGAACGACAAAAGGACAATGCCCCAAAAACCAAGCAAGAATTATAGACATAACTTTCACGCTCAACAGTATCCCTTTTCACCCACTAAACCCTATCATCGCACAACTACTTCAGAAATGGCCGCATATGCGGGGGAGATTGGACTCGACGAGGAGTCGCTTAAGCACCCAAGGAGGGGAAAGCGGACTCGTCAGAGATGGCGGGGGCAGAAGCCTTGGGGCCGCGGGCCTGACCGTTGTTTCCACGGCCACCACGGGGGGCACCACGCTGGTTGTTACCACCACGTCCACGGGGAGCACGGGTCTCACGGGGAGCACGGGTCTCACGAGGAGCACGGGCGGGCTCGGTGAACTTCTGCTCGATCTCGAGAACCTGCTTCTCCTTGCGGTCCTTCTTGGCACCAGCAGCCTTGGTCTTGCGCTGAGCGGAGAAGATGTCCTCAACCTCGTCCACCTTGGGCTTGGTGACAAGGTTCTTGGCCCACTTGGAGTCGTCGGCACCCTCGTTGGGGGTACGGACGGCCTCGATCTTGGGGAGAGCAGCGGTCTTGGCGGCTTGCTCAGCAAGGTACTCCTCGAGGGTCTTGGAGTTGTCCTCCTCCTCCTCACGGACCTTAGCGACCTCCTCGGTCTGACCAGCAACCTCGACGGTCTCGGTGGGCTCAGCACCCTCAACGGCTTCCTCCTTGCGGTCCTTGGCAGCGAGCTCACCGGAAGCTTCCCAGGAGTCGGTCTGCTTACCCCAGCCCTGCTCAACAGCCTTCTCGGAGTCAATACGGCCGGTAGCGGAGTGACGCTCGAACTCGCGTCCACGGGTGCCAGCGTTACCAGCACCACGGCCCTCACGGCGAGGGCCACGGGGACCACGGGGGCCACGGGGGGCCTTGGAGGCGTCCTCGTCGGTGGGGCGCTCCTTGTTGGACTCGCGGCCGTGGAAAGACTTGTCACGGACAGCTATTGTAGACGTCAGCATATAGTCACAGAAAGATCTGCCAGCAGATTGTCAAAAGATGCCAAAATGAACCGAGGAGATCGATCGATGTCGGCAGCTGCAGCAAATCTGCCGGCGAAGAAGATAAACATACCCTCGTCGTTGGCATTGCGGGGACCACGGTTGCGGTTGTTGTTGGAGCGGGGCTGGTCAGCACGGGGCTCATCGGGCCTTCGGCGGGCGGTCTTGGTGGAGGTGGTAGCCTTCACAACCTCCTTGGCAACGGGCTTGGGGGCCTCAACGGCAACGGGCTTGATGTTACCGAGGGCATCGGTCTCGAAGTCGTCGCCTGTAATCAGTTGTTAGTGGTTCGTCCATTGAATTGAAAGCCGACAATATAGCGACGGATATAACGGTGAAATCGTACCCAAGAGGTCGAACAAGTTCTGTAGAAATCACACAATGGTCAGTCAAAAGTTCGCTGCGAGAGTGACGAGCAACTCGCATTCACCCCCCGAATTCCGGCGACGACAACATGACGAAAGCAAGGAAAACGAGAACGGAGAATGCGATGGGATAGACGGTACCTTAGTTGCGACGCTCATTCTAGAATTGATCTCCTTTCGAGTTTCGCGATTGGAGCAGTGATCTGGTAAATGTCAGGTGGTGCAGCGCAATTTCTTAGGGCCTGAACCCGCCGCGCCAAAGTCCCACTTAGAGCATGGCCTAGTAGTGACGACAGAGGGAGGAACCAATAACGAGGACTGTGGAAATGCTACTGGAAGGTAAGGGATCGTGTTTTTACTCGAGCTTTGTATGCTCAGATGGACCTTCTGAACCGGTCTCTACTGGCATTCATTGGGGAGCAAGAACCATGGCCATTACGCTTTGCAGGCAATCAAAATCAGTCACAGCCAGCCCAAGACCCTAGAATACCGCTTTGACCATCACCATTGTAGCAAAAAAGCAATTGACTCCCTCTCCGTATATATCCCTCCTCATCCCTTCCATGAAATGCACCGGCACCCGTAACCAGGGGCTTCCCTGATCCGCCTTAACCGCCGCCTGGAACCCTGCAAAACAAACCCACACGTACACCCAGAAATACGAGACAAACCAACAATTCGAGAAGAACCGACAGAGCTGGTCCAAGTCGTTCTCTCGTTCGCCCTGTCTTTCATCTTAAACACCCGTACACACCATTTTACAGGCCCTCGCTCTCTTTTGACGGCCGTTGTTGGCCGCAGCATACATACCGACACAGGGAGGTATAATTAAGCTTTGAAAATCGCACACCATGTTGGGTAAATGTCTCTGTTCATTCAATTTGGGCAGCATTGATCTGATAACTTGTCTAGGCAATCCCTTCGTCAACGCCGAACCCTCCACCGCCTCCTTTGCATCCAACAACCCTTTCCGTGCACGCACAACCACCGCACCCCCCATCCCCGCCCCACGCTCCGTAAGCCCCGACAAGCGAGGCGTACAACCCCCTCCTCGCCCGATATCCCGAAACCCCTTCCTCGACATCCCCGCCGATTCTCCACCGCCTGCTCGACGACCATCGACCGCAGGCGACGATGTCAACAGTCTCACGAGCTCATTCGCCAAGACGAGCATGTTGGTGGATTTGAACGATGCTCCCCCGCCTCCGCCGTACAGCTCTGGATCTGGAAAGGAGAAGGAGTTTAGAGATGAGAAGCGTGAGTTGAGGGAGCGGGATGAAAGGGAAAGGAGGCTTGAGCGACCGCACCATTCGTCTAGGAGCAGGAGTGGAGTCGAGGCTGGTGATAGGGAGAGATACAGGGACCGCGAAGCTAGGGAGCGCAGTGAGCGCATTGAGAAGAGTCGTCCCAGGGAGCGCTCCGAACGCGAGAGGAATGAACGCGATCGCGACTACGACCGTCATCGCTCTGACCGAAGCAGGCGTGTCGAGGAGGTCATGGCATCCTCCCGCCCCCGTCAGCGTACGCGCTCGAACTCCGAGTCTTCGGTTACTCCCCGCAAATCGGATATGTCGTCCGAGAAGGACAGGGATCGCGAACGTGAACGTCGTAGGCGCGAGAAAGAGCGCGAAGCTCGCAAGGACGGTAAGACTGGATCCAGTGCCTCTCGCAAAAAGGGACCTGTGTCATCCTTGGATAAGATCGATCGTTTGGATGTGACGGGTATCTTTGGAAGCGGTACTTTCCACCATGACGGACCCTTCGATGCGTGTCGCCCGTCTAGGAACAAGAACGGCACGAAGGCTCCTGTTCTTGCGTTCCCTGAGAACTCGACCTCTAACTCTCTCAACTTCCGCGACGCGCCTCAGACTGTTTCTGCCACGGAGGCGTTCATGGGTAAGCACCACCACGGTGAGGCTTACAACGACTTCTCGTCGTCCGCTCGCCTTACGCAGCCGTTGACGTCCAAGTTACGCCCTACGCTCGGTACGCGTGGACAGAGTTTCGACCCTACTGCTCAGGTAGAACCCGTCTACGGCGAAACTACCGAAGGTCTTGGCCCCACCACTTTCCTCGAGGGCACACCCGCTCCTCGTACTGAGGCTCACCGCAAGTACTCCGATGAAGGCGGTGCCGCGAGCAACTTCCTCCGTCCTCGCTCCGTGTCGTCGAACAACGCCCTCGGCGGTAACACGAGTGGTTTAGGTAGGAAGAAGTCCGTGATTCAGAGGTTGAGGGGGTTGAATGCGAGGATGAGGGAGGAGTATGAGGCGCAGACGTCTCCTGCTATCTTGTCGCCTGGCGGAGGTATCACGAGTCCTACGGGTTCGTCTGCCTCGATCAGGGAAGAGCCGAACGTGTTCTCGCAGCAGTTTGAGTCTGACCCCGCGAGGAAGGAGACCTCGATCCAGTTCGACAATAGGCCGAGCCCGACGAGCTTGCCTAGTTCTCCGGCCGGTGAGAGGGCTGGACAGGGAGATTACTTTGCTGGACAGGGAGTAAAGGAGAAGAAGGGTGGAGGCGGATTGTTGAGCAGGGTTAAGAGTATTTCGAAGAAGAGGAGGGAGTGAGTAGACACATATATTGCTAGAGGAGGGTGCGTACGCGTTAGGAGCTCGAGGGAAAGCTTAAGGAATTGGATTGGGTATTTGTTTTTGCTAGAGATTACTATGGGGTGACGATCACGTCTATGATTAACAGACTGTTTTACTTTGCAATTGTATGACTTTGGTTTTTATTATGGTTGCGCTTGACAACGGGGTTTGTTTTGGGCATCTCCGTATGCAGGGTGTTCTGGTATTGCATTCCAGGGATCGTGGATGCGGTGAGCGGAGATGCACCCCAACTGAAGATCATCCATCCAAAGAGACGAAGTATTGAAGGTGCCTCCGATCAACTAGCCAAGTGCATCCCAGTCTGTCTCTACCCGTCTACCGAGCTTCAAAGTTTCATTCCATCTACACTCCCTTTCTTTTCAATTGTCCCTTTCCTCCGGCTCATCAGCACACGGCACACCTTCACAACACGAGCATACATTCACGCGTTTCGGCGGTTACAATCATTGACACTCTCTTTCATCTTGGATTCGATACTTTTCGCTTCGTCATAGCCCAGGTAGACTATGAAAGATACGCATACATCAACATCCCGTCGGCCAAAACACGATCATAAGCATCATCACAAGCGGACAAAGTCGTTGCAGGTGCGGCAGGATGTCGGAGGAGCAGTTGGAGCAGCAGCGCCTGTGGATCCGGCAGCGGCGGTGACTTCGGTGGTTGCGGCGGCTACGGAGGTTGTTGGGGACGCGTCGAACGTTGTTGCGGAGCCGACGAGTGTAGTTGGAGATGTCGTGGCCGGCGCAACGGATGTTGCTGCGAGTGCGTTGGATGGGACTATGGTTGTTTCAACACCTGTTACGGACGCAGCGGCGGCGGAAACAGCGGCATTATTGGTTGATTCGTCAATACCAACGACAACGTCCGATGCGGTGCTCGCTATAGGTACGACGGCTGCGGATGGGTCGATACCAGCCAGTTCGATGTGGTCAGAGGTATCAACAATATCGATATGGCCCTCAACAAACGTAGATCCTTCACAGTCAGCTTCCGCAATAGTTTCGAGTACACCAGCACCCTCAGCAAGTACCGACACAGCAAATGCTACTTCGTCACTCAGCGGCTCATCAGCAGTATCAACCAGAACGACGTTACTACCGAACCTAAACTCAACATCATCCTCAAACGCAACAACCGCAAGTTACTTCCTTAACTTCACTTACATCTACTCCTCAACTTACGCCCTATCCGACGACGCCTCCCTCATCCCAACAGCGACATCCTGGACCGTCCTCCCCACAAACGCAACCTCCGACACGACCGCAACCCTCCCCCAACCGTCCTCAACCTCCACCTCTTCCTCCACAAACCCGACCCTGGCACCAGTCCTCGGCGGAGTTCTAGGCGGCATCGGAGCAATCGGGATTGCATTGGGCATGGCACTTTTCATGCTCCGCCGTCACCGACGCCTAAAAGACGATATTGCACGCGACCCAACAACCCCCTACCGCGAGAAAGGCCCTGGAGGCCGCGGACCAAATACGAACAGCATGACCGCAATCGGAGCATCCGCTGCGCCGTTCGCGATACGTATGCACACCCCCACAAAAGGGCTCCCGAAATCCGAGTCAACAGAAGGCTTCGTGGTCATTTCTGGTCGGAGACTGAGTAACCCGCCTCCGGCGAGTGATACTTCCAGTGTGTACGAGTTGAGTCCGCCGGCAAGTCCGCATAGAAGGGGTGACCAGGTACCGGGCGTGGGGGTTGGCGTCGGTAATGGACCCCCGCCGCCGTTTTTGGCGGGGATTCAGAGGTTAGGGGGCACGGGTACGGTGTATCGGGAAGGACAGGGTCCGGAGCGGGATCCGATTGGACGGACGTTGGTTCAGCATGATGGGAGTTCGAGAAGTAGGTTCGTGGAGCAGCTATAACAGTAGTGGTGACGGTGATGGTGATGGAAAGTGGGGCAAAACGTCAGATTTGGGACTCTTTCGGTGTTATTTGTCATTTGGATGCATGCAATATTGGAACAAATTGGGAAATTTAGGGGTAAGGATTATGTGTAATGTTAAAGAAATATACCCCATGGGATCTAAAACGTAGAATCCTGGTGCTCTGTACGTGATGTAGGGTATCATAGCTATAGTAATGCGATCTCGTCGTCCTCCACCATGATCGGGCCAGCCGATTTACGTTTTTTTGCCAACGCCAACGACAATGTTCTCGATTTCGTAACGTTCTTTGCTCCGAGGCTTCGTAGTACTCCTGAACTTTGACTTCGTGGTGCCGGGAATTCACTGCCCAGAAGCAGCTCGTCGCTGTAATCCTGTCCGCGGGAGACAGATTTTTCATCATCTTCAAATATGGATAGCGAGGTCTGAGTCTTGGATTTGCGCATTCCTCTGTTATGGTGGGTATCATCTTCGTAGATCCTCAGGATGGAATCAGATGCTGAACGAGAAAGCACCTTTGCCTTTTTACGTGGCAACATTGACTCTGTCATCTGCTTTCTCTTTACCGGTACCGGGCTCGGTACCATCATCTCCGCCAAATTCGATGCCTTCAGCGACCTCTTTAGACCTCCCTCCGTCTGTTTCGCTAACGGCGATGGCGCAACGACGGCGGACGAGTTCCTGTTCGCCAATGGCGAATTAAAGGACTCGTCCGACTTCGGGAAGAGTTTAAACCACTTCCTCACCATCTTGGCGGACCTAATCGTCGCGTCAAGTCGTGGAGCTGACGGTTTCCGCGCTGAAGCCAGTGCCGGAACTGAGGGTGAGTAAACGTGAAGTCCTCCTTCCGTCTCAGGCGATGAACTTCGCGAATCATTCTCCGCCTCATCCTCACCGTCCTCCTGCATCGTCTCGTCTTCACCCGCCATCAAAAGCTCGTCATCCTCACCCTTGTCCCTCATCACTTTTCTTGGTCCCTTTCGCACAATCTGCTTCGACACCCCAACCGGCGTAGCAGCAACCCACGCATCCAAAATTCCATCGAACTTCCATCTCCGCCGACCTTCGGAGCCACTATCAGCCTTCATGGCCTTTCTCTCGATTCCTGCCGCCCATGTCGCGGCGTCGTTGTCATTAAAGGGATTTTTCATCGCCCAGCAAGTTGCGATATTCGCCGCCAAAGTAGGTGATGTCGGTAATACAGAATCCCCTATGAGCGAGCGAAATGCGGAGGAGGATGAGTAAGCCTCAAAAACCACGGACCAAAGCGAATCATCAGTCAGGGACGTCGCATGCCGACGAAGCTGCGACTGTAACGCTGTGAGCAACTCTGCTGAGGGTTTAAGCTGATGTGACCGGAGTGCCATACCCGCCGCCAACGTAGGAAACAGCGTTGTCTTGTATGGCTGTGTGTTGTCGATCTCGATAGTCTTTGGCGTACCCGTATTGAAGTACAGTGCTAGTAGTGAAGTTGCTCCGTCTGCAGCTCGTCTGGCGGTTTCTTCAGTACTCGCAGAAAGAGAGACCTTGATGAGCTCCACGCCAAGCACATGTATGACATGTTCCAGGGTATCCACCTGTCCAGCGACTGTCGAAGATCGTTTGAAGCCTTTGTACTTCCTTGCGCTGAACTCAAGTGCAGAGGCAAGGAGACCCCCTGAGTGTTCATCTTTCCCAGCACCCTGCACGATATACTCCGTAAACGCCGACTTGAGCATGAGCTCAATCGTCAACGTCTGCGTCAAATGCGCTTTCAATATCCACGACCTCCGACACATCTTCGCCAAAGCCTCAACCAACCTGTATGTTTGCGCCCCCTCTTCCTCCCACCTCGTCATTTCGATCAGCTTTTGCAACAATACCGCAGCTCCCTCCCTCTCCTCATGATGTACACTCACAGCAATCAACGCCGGCAACAACTCCCTCAGCAGTTCCCCTTCCTCTGCAAGAAACTGCATAGCCTGGCCCACCACTGCCGTCCTCCGATACTGACTATGCATCGAATCATACCATTCGTCTTGGTGTACGCCCATTCCCTCGGTCCAGGTAATACACCTACCAACCATCGCTGCTGCGCGTTCAGCGAGGGTGGAAAAATGTCGAATAGAATTTGATGGGGTACATGTTTGTAAGACCATGCGAAATGCGACGAAGATTGAGACGTAGGCAGCTGCGAGGGCCGGTGCAGCGTTGGCTTTCGCGGTTTGGAGGAGGGAGTCGTAGGTATATTCCAATGATCCGGTTGCAAAGTTGGTCAAAGAACTAGTGGTTGCTGCAGATGTGTTGGCGGGCTTCGTACTCGACGTAGCTGAGTACTTCTTGGTGATCTTCCGTCGAGGTGGAAGGGGAACCGTGAAGGGCCCCGACTGGCGATGTTGTGTTGATCCACTGACCCGCCCTTCAGTTGCCTCCACAGCATTACCAGACGCATAATCTGTCGGAGAAGTCCGTTTGGAAGAAGAAAGAGCCTGGATCTTCGACTTGAGCGGACGCAGCGTCCGGTGACATTTCGATGCGTCCCACGGCGTTGCGGCGTTGAAGAAGATCGATGATCGCCCGGAGTCTTGAGGCGGTGTATCCGCCAATGAAGGAATGATTGACATTGTAGAGAGTGTAGGTGGGACAACACCTCTGGTCTCGTCAGGGATTTGTCTACGTTACCAGACTTTGTTTGTTTACGTGCTACGATACAGCCGCGCTAAACTGCATTCGGCATACATATTTGAGCGTGAGAATACCTATGAAATTATGAACGCCTTGATGAATACCTATGTGACTGAAGTAAAAATGCTGACTTGAACTCTCATAGCACCCCCAGGCGGCCGCGGCTTTCACATCGGCAAGCCGCGTTCCGCCACACTCAATGATGACTTTCCAATGTTGTAAATATCGTCCCAGCTAGCGATACTGGGTACCTCTTCGGGGATCGTTGCGAGGTATGTTCGTTTGAACGGCATTGTGACGGGTTTTACTCGACAGGTGCACTTGGGCGGAGTGTTTGTGTGGCGATGCGAGCGATACGACTAAAACGATGTTAATGACAAGAACGTAGGGTGTGGAAGTGACGTACAACGAGAGATTGGCAAGGACAACAGCGGTTGTGCATCGACACGATGAAAAGAGGGAGGAGAGCGAAGCTGAGTATCGCAGCGACCAAATCAAACACAGTCAACCCGTGCTCCATCATCAAATGAGTGGAAAGTGCCAAGTATTTATAGGAACACCTGGACCTGGGTGAACAGTTTATGGGTGTAGTCGTGGCCTCTTGCTCTTATTTGCTGTCCTCGGCATGCACTGTCCCGCAGTGTGAACCCGGTAACGATTCAATATCGGACCGCGCGGTTACGCGGTTTCGAGCCGGTCCACGAAGAAAATCACCATGTCGGCGGATAAGGCTGAGCCAAGCTGGATGTTTGCTTGTGCCTTGGGACATTGGCACTTCACCCCGTATGCAACTTGCAGAAACTTCGTTGAGAAGAGGTCCTGCGCATGTATGCGTATACCTGGGCATAGTCCCATATGTGCCGTCTCTGGGTTACCGACTACGGTAACAGTACCGCCTCAGCCGTGGCTGCGGGCCTTTCACGTCAATTATTTTAACAACGTAGGCAATTTCTAGAGCACCTTGGCTCAGGATCCAATAATTACCCGTCATTTCCCACGCTGACCAGATGCTCCTCCCGAACAAACAACTCAACTCACCACCGATCGCAACGCGGCACAGCGGCATGATATAGGTATTTAAGGACAATGCAAAGCTCTTCACAAAGAGCCGCACTTCACGTCCTGCTTGATCGCGAAAGAACGCGTGGGCTTGATAAGCAGCACGGGAAGTGCGGGAGGGTTAAGTGCGCGTGGGTGTACTAAAAACGAATCACCAGGAAGAGGACCTTCCCCACCTCGCAGCATTTCCCCACTCGTACTCCCTCTGATTATATGTTGCATATTCATCCTTAAAGTGACGTGCTCTCCGGCCCTGGACAGCCATTCCGCCGACTTCCACTCCCGAGATGTGCAGGCCACCGTACATTGCAAAGTCACCCAAGACTTCGCCCTTCGCATGGAACGTGATGCTCCCTTTGTTATCATTACCATAGATCATGATAGTCGCACCCTTCCCGCTTCGACCAGGATAGTTGCAGGCGACAGTCACCTCCCTGACCGCGCTCAGAGTCGGGACGGGACTGCAACGGAAGATCCCCCGGAACATTCCAAAATTGCACTCCCCCCACATGACACCGTCACTTATCGCAATCCCAACATCGCACTCTTCCTCGTCATGATATTCCGGCCATTCTTCGGTGACGGTAGGACACGCCACGCTTCGTATCCAGTCGGATCGAGATCAACATCGCCTACCACCTACCGCAACCGATCAATCATCAACTCATGCACGCCTCACCATTTGCTTACCTTAGCCTTCTTGTCACCAGGTCCTCCATCATCATCCCTCGATCTCTTGACGCCCAGAATGATGCTTGGCGCGCTTCCACCAGTACTCTTCCTCGCAGTCTGTTTCGCACGCCCGATATACCTTGGCGCCGAGTATGCGCGAGCATGCCAAGTTTGAGCAGCTTCATACTCCTCATAAGGGGGTGGGGACTGCCAAGGTTCCTGTTCTGGTGACACCGGACCCGGTAGAGTACCCGCAATCCTGCGAGCAGTCTGCTTTTGGGCGTCCGGGTTGGTCTTTAGCATCTGCCATGATGACATCGCCTGCGGCATCCTGTGGTACTCCACGAATGTTCGGAACGCAGTCAACTCCAGCCTGGCAACTCACGCATCCAAAATCAGTCATCTCGCAGCGTTTCCGTTGCTTAGAACACCTCGCACAATTCTGACCTGGTTTCGGGCGTGGAGCCTTAGCCTTGGGTTGATCTTTGGGAGCGGGAGTAGTTGCTGATGTTTTCTTCACAGACGGCTTTTTGCGTGCAGGAGCGGCCGTTTTCTTAAAAGGGGCGGATTCCTTACTCTTCGCATTGATGTGCTTTTGAAGAGCCTTCTGAGCAGCCTTTAACGCTTTATCCTGCTCAACATCCTCCTGCTCTTTCGTCGCTTGTTTCCTCAGAAGACTGTTCGCGGTACTGTACATCTTCCTCAAGATCTACTTCATATCCTTAATATGTTCCGGTACACCACCAACTTTCCAGCATCAAGAGTATCCTGCAGCCGCTTCTTGGCGGTAGCCTTTACGTTAGACAGCTTGAGACCATAGTGTATGAGTTGAGCGGCATACCAGTGGATGTTTTCGTCGTTCGGGCCGTTGTTGGCGGCTTTGAAAACTCCTCTGATACGTACCAGTCCAGCTCGGAGAAGGTGCTTCCCGTTGCCTGCCTGAACCTCTAGGTCGTCTCCATCAAACTAGAACTCCCCGAGGCGGACCGGATCCACGAGGTTGACCTTGCCCGTACCCGCTGTTCGTTCAAGCCCGTCTAAAGCAGATTACCTTGCCGCTTAGGAACACGGACACGTAAGCCAAAACGGGTAGGATCACTTGGGTAACCTGCTGCTTATCAGGTGTATGTATGTCCAGCTGGTGGGGTCTGGCGGTCCGTCCCGGATTACCGGTGCAGGTTAATTTCAGCCCAGGTAATTAAGGCACGACTGTACCGCCAGGGCCCGGCCGGGGTTGGAAGCGTCATAAACTCCAAGGATTACAAAAGATATTTCATTCATTCTGTTGTCCTCTCAGCTTCCCAAGTCCGTAGAAAAAGCATAAGCGCCGGCTATCACAATGTCCATCCATAATGCCGCCGGCAGTCCTCCTAATAATACTAAAAAAAACGCCGTGATTTCAATAGCCAGTTCTTCTCTTCCCTTTCTCATGAATGCATGTTTTGCTCTTTCCTTCTCCTTTAGCATTTTCAGATAATGACCATCCCTTCTCTCTTCCTGCCCTTCTTCTCATCCTGGCACGCCCGGCAGAAAATGCTGATGGCCCCCATCTTCTCATCAATCTCCACATAACTTGTCGAATCACCCTGCGCACTGCAACCAACACACCTGATGCACTTCTTATGCCACTTCTTACCACGCGGTCCGGGGTGCGAGTCGGTGGGGTAAACGTTCAATCCACATCCAGCAGCGGGACACTTCTCCGCTCCACCGAAACGCGGAAGAGGACGGTTCCGCGTGCTGAAGAAGCCAGGCGTAGGCGACTTCGGTGCCGTTGCATTCGAGAAGTCCCTGCGGTTAGGTGACGCGGAGTTGGGCTTGGGAAAAATTGGGACCATTTTGCGTGGAGTCATGATCGTACGCTCAGTCCACGTCGAAACAACGGGAGCGCATCTTGGATGCGCCAATTCACCATTGTAAGTTACGACGCTCGTAGGCCCCTCGTCAAACTCACCCGCACAGACACCACACTTGAAGCACTCCCTATGATGCTTCGCCCCATCACTCGTGCTCACCCATTCCGTATCGAGCTCCTTCTTGCAATCCACGCAATACTCGACTGGTTCCTCCTCCTTCGCAGCAGGAATACGCACGAACGTATCGACCCTTGCCGGTTCCTCAATCTTCGACACCGGAGCCTCCGCATTCCCACTCGGCACACGCCAGTGCTTAGGCGTTGAGTTCCGGCGACGCAGAGGCGGCTGTCGACGTGGATACCCCATTCCCAACGGACTCGGCTTCGTGGGAGAATGGTCACCGGGATCCCTCTTGGGAGCTCCAGAAGGAATGACCAAATCCGCAATCGTAACTGCACTGCGACGACTATTCGGCGTATCCGCACCACTGCCCCTAACATTCTCATCAATCACAGTTGGCGCACTCTCCGCATGCTTCGATTCCGTCGTCTTCCCACTCGCCACCGAGCTCGGTCTCTCTGCAAGCTTCGGGGCTGGCACAACGACAGTCCGCTGAACGACTGGACTCGGCGCAGGCGCAGGCGCAGCCGGAGGAGCCGCCTTCGAAGAGCTGATCCCCAGCTTACTGTACATATCAAGAAAGTTCGTCATACGAAGACTACTCGCCCTTTTGACATGTCCAGGCTGAAATGGCTGTTTCGGGCTATCAGCTGCCAACTGCGCCTCTAGGGGATTCAAAGTCTCGAGCATAGGCCTCCGCAAAATCGGACTCGACACCCTCACGATCTTCGACGGACTCGGACTCCGTGAACCAGAGTCTGCACGACTCAGCGGACGTTCACGCTCAAATGTGGGTGAGAGGAGCGGCGGGTCCATATACTGATTCGGAGTGTAATCGCGATGAAGAGGACGACTCCTGTTCGGACTGAACGGGCGCTGCGTAGTGGGCATCGTCAACACAAGTCCCTGCCTCCTCGCAGACAATGGTGACCGCATCGGAGATCCATCCTGGGAGGAGGGAGGAAGCGACACGAGCCTCGGCGTCAACGGCGTCGGACTGACCAACATCCTCCTCTCCCCAGCCGGCGAGAAGGGACGGAGAGTCCTCACCGGCGTCATAACCCTTCCCCTTCCCTCCTCCGGTAGTACGGCCTCTCTTTCCGCAGGCATCTGACCCTCCTTCTCGAAACACTTCTCGCATACCGGTTCTTCTCGCAAGTTCAGGACGACGTTCTCACTGACGTCCTTGTGACAATGCTTACACCGACAACACCCCTTATGCCAAATCCTATCCGACCTCGGCGCACGAACGAAAGAGTCGTACGTGACGGTGCCATAACACGCATAACACGTCCCTTGCGTAAACCGCTCCCGATAACACTCCTCGCAGTACTTGATCGTCGGGTCATACGGATCTCGGTCAATCGTCCCTCCCTGTTCGCTCTCATCAGCATTCATTCCCATACCGAGGGCGAGGACTAGGTAAACGAACCCCATGGACCAACTTATGACACGCATCACATCCATACCGCCTCCTCCCCAGAACCCCCGCATCATCAAACACCGTCCCAACAACCTTACTCAACTCCTCACTCCCCACTCCACCCTCCTTTTTCAAATACCTATTGTCCATGTCAATATCGACACACATGTACACACACACTCACAATCCCGGATGTATGCACACTTACATCTTTGACCACATATCCCCCTTCTTGTCCATATACGGCACACTCACCGGCGGTCCACGGCATTTTTTGCATCGTTCGGCGCTTTGGGGGACGGGTTCTCCGCAGCGTTGGCAGTAGGCCATGGTCCTTGCTACTGCTGTTTGTAGTATTTGGACTGTGGTGTTATGCAACAAGAAGCCAAGAAACTCAGGGATGAAAGCGAATGGACGAGCAGTTGATAAGAAAAGCGAACGAATGAAACAAATTCGATGAAAATCAAGGGATGTATGCTCGCTGCTCCAATGTTGAGCAATGTTGGTGTCAGCTGCAGCTGTAGTAGATGGGGATGAGGTAACTGTGCACTTATCCAATATATACCCCAAATAGGAAAGACCAAAACACATTTATCTCAACACCTAAAAGCTGAAAGCTAAAAATAGAAAACGCCAAGATTAAAGACCTATAGGATATAAATGCTAACGCCGACTCATTGATCACTGTAATATCGTACTTCTTGTCCCAGCCCCGCATCTCACTTCCACGCCGGCGCCTTCTTCACCCCCGCCCTCGCCTTAACCGGACTCACCGTCCCCGTCAACCTCGCATCCCTTCGCCTCTGTCTCTGCAACTCCAAATGCCGGCGATTAGCTTCCGCATTCAGCGTCGAGACATCTTTGACTCCCTCATCCTTCGTTGTGGTCGTTGATGTGGGGATTGGTAGTTTGCTGCTGGTAGCGGAGGAGAGCATTGATTTGGATGGCGATCTCGGGATTCCGGTCTTCGTAGCCGCCGTCGTAGTCCCACTCCCACTCCCACTCCCAAATAAATTCATCTTCGAAGGACTCCTCGGCATCCCCAGTCGCGAGGAGGCTGGGTCAAGCTTCATCCTCTTCGCCGGCGTCCCACCCTGTGTTTCCTCCGTAACACGTTTCTTCTCCGGACTCGCCAACACGGTCGGCAGTTTTGGTTTCTGTGCCGCCTTCGTCGTCGTCGTGGCCGATGTCGTCGTAGAGCGAATCGACCCCGCACTCCCCGGTCTTGAATGAGAGCTGGCAGCGGAAACGGAACGAGATTGTGTGGACCAATGCGTGGCGATCGAATCGGCCTTTGACATTAGCTTGTCTTGCTTCTCACTCAACTTTTGCGTTACAGACGGACTCCTGGCCATCCCCTTTCCGCCGATTTTGGAGAGAGCACGGGAATGGGGGCTCGCTACAGGCCGAGACAGAGACCGCGCATTGAGCTCAGCCAAGACTTTATCCGCCGCCGTACCCGTATCCGGGATCTTTCCCGGGACGTTCGTTGGTGGTTTTGGGGCAAAGGACAATCTCGGGTCCGCAACGAAGTTCTTCTGGGGACTCGTACTCGTAGCTGATGGAACGGGGAGTTTCGAGCGTGAAGGTGAGGGGCAGGGAGAACGAGTGTTCTTCGAGGGTGAGATGAGACGGCCCAGGAAGCCTGCTGCTGAGGCGTAGATGGATTTGGTGGGGGTTGTGGGGTCTTGTTGACGGTCCAACATGATTGAGGATTTGGTATTTCTTCAGGATGGCAGCAACGAGTCGCGTCGGCCCAACAAAGCATGCAGGATGTGGTTGATACAGCTAAGTGCAAAATTCTTGACACAACTCACTGCAGGTGCGCGCAATCTCGCATACCCTCCCGTAAAAAGACCTCCAAACAACTCCATTGAAGGGCTAGGAAGGCCAGGATAAGGCGAAAATGCATGGGAAGATCATCGCCGACCCCGTCCGAGATCTAGTTATCCACCATTACATCAGGGGAGCTGATCCCATCACTCAGTGAAATTGCAAATACTTCAGTCCACACCGTTTAGCGAATTGTCAAGAGGTATGAAGAGCAGGACACCAGTGAGCGTGCCGGTCATCGTACTTGTGGACGCAAGCCTCAAATCAACGAATATCTAGGGGCGGTGAGTAAGGTGGTGCTACTCGAGGGACTCACTGAATGGTATGCAGTATATTCAGTACTTGTCCGACCAAACCCTACTCTCTACCAAGAAGACTGTGCCGAATGCATGAACGAAGCCTTCGCTTGCGATCTCAACCATTTCCAGATCATGCGCTACCTCCACAAGATTGGATATACCCGTAAGGTGTTGACCGTCAGGGCAGCGCAGCGTAATGGAATGCTATGGGCAAACCATGCGATTGAATGGCCTACTACAGGCAGGATCAGCTTATTTTCCTCGACGAATCAGCCGTCGATGAGCGCAGCGCTCACCGCAAATTTGGCTATGCTCCCGCTGGAAACCGTGCCATTGAAGACTGCACTCTCATTCACTCCAAGCGCTGGAGTGTATTGCCGGCACTCACCTCGACAGGTCTCCCTGCTTTGTGGATCTTTCAGGGGTCTTTCAATGCTGACTGCTTTGTCGAATTCGTCAAAGAGGAACTCCTACCAATCGTAGGGCCTTACCCTGGTCCCAACAGCATTGTTGTACTCGACAATTGTCGTATTCATCACGATCCAAGGGTTGCTGAACTGCTAGTCGAAAGAGCCGGCTGTCGAATCCATTTCCTACCACCTTACTCCCCAGACCTAAATCCAATTGAGCTCTGTTTCAGCATGATGAAAAGCTGATGAAGAAGAACAACGAGCATGAGTTTGCTAAGTCAGACCCTGAAGCCTTCATACGCTGCGCAATCGATTATATCAACTCACAAAGCAACAAAATCCTCAACATGTTCACGAACTGTGGGTATGCATTAACCCAGGCACAGCTTACAGCTTATGTTGACAGCAGTCGTGAAATGGCCTTGCTCGCAGCTGCTGAGTTGCAGGGACCTGAACCTATCTTTGCGGATGATGATGAATAGTCAAAGTAAGCAGTATATGTATTTTCTGATGACTTGAATTCCCACGGACACATCCCCTCACAAAATGGCTGTACGGATGTCCAAATGCAGGCACTAAGTCGGGGTTTAGTCATGCAGCTAACCCCTTCGGTAGGCTATGTGCATAAATCTTGACACTACGTCAACCGTTGTATTTGAGTATGGAGACTGTGTGAGCTTAATGCTCAACAACCACGAGCTAGAATGAAGCGAAAACTTCATACAATAAAGACCTATATACGATGACGCATCTATCAAAACTTTCAATCGTCCGCGGCCTCAAAAACTGGCGGTTCAAGCGTCCGCTTCCAAGCATGCATATTTCGCTGGGCAGTCTTCCATTTAGGCCAGAATTCTTGCATTGTGATCAGCCATCCCATCTTGATCACTCCAATATCCTTCCTGGGGCAGCGCTTGAGGTCCTCAAGGTGTAGGCCATTGTCAATTACGCCCTGACGGGCAATATTGATATGGAAGTTGGTGTAGGTAGGCGAATGCTCCCGTACAAACTCCAGGAATCTGTTCAGATCGTCTGCTGCTGGTCCCATAAGAGGGCTGGAGCCTGTCATGGGGTTGGGGGCTGGGGTGCCTTGACTAAATGGATGCACCATATCAGCAGACAGCGGAGTAGGCAGCATTGGATACCCTGCTGAGCTGGGGCGGGAATCAGGTGTGCTAGCCGGTATATCCGCTCGCTGAAATGCTTCGTGAAAGTCCTTAAAGACTGAGTCTGAAATGGGAGGCCTTTCGATGGTGACCGTAGAACCAGGCTCGACAACAGCAATCGCTCAGCGGTCTTGCTGCATGTAGTTGACACGGCGATGGACTCTGCTGAGAGGGTGAATGTAGCAGATGCTTTGGTGATGCTTTGAGCACATCCAGCGGGCTTGAAGTGCTCGTAGCGCAGCAAGCTTGTCGTACTTAGCCGGGTCACCCTCGAATCCAATTTCGATATTCTGAAGATGCGCAACTGTAGCACTCTTAGGGCGTCTAGGCTGAGCAGTTTGAGACCGTTTCCTGACTTGGGAGGAGCGAAACGGGGCCTGGGAGTGGGAGTCGTCGTCACTTTGGTAGGCCGACTTCGGCAGGGAGTAATGCGAATCAACATTGATGAAGGCCTGCCATTTGGGCTTAGGTGATAAGCGCTTGACATTGACAGTGAGCATAGCGGTGAAATCGTCGATAGTGATGTCAAGGTCAACAGGGGTAGGCTCATCCGGAACTTCGATGATGTTTTCAGACCTCTGCTGGGTCCTTCGTGGTTCGGTTGCTGTTGTTTCACGGGCATCATCGACAAGGGGCGGGGGCGGTCCGGTGGTACGAGCAGATAGCCTGAGTTCCGATGAGTCGTTCTGCGTAGCGTGCTTTCGTTTAGAAGGCATTTTGATGGAGTTGTTGGATTGTTTGTGGTTTGGCCTGATTCCGCGCAGATGCACCTAAGACGCGCTGTGTCAAGAATTTTGCACTCGGCAGTACGGGCAACCAGGCGCGCGAAGTCGACGGCTCGTGGGTCAGCTTGAGCTTCATCGTCAAGGCCGATCCATGTTCCGACGCTTGCTTGAAGCCATGACAAAAGCAATAAATGTTACCTCCTCGAGCAGCCGTCAACCATATCCTACTCACCCTCCTAACCGCCTAACTGCTGCGCGACCACCGGTAACGGAGCAGCTCCAAGTCGTCACGGACGCAAACAGCAAACTCATCGACTTCTGGGCCATCCAAGATGACTGGCTGAACCCGCGCGATCCCTATCATGATCGGATCATCTCCAAATACCTTAAGGGAACAGGATTCTGGCGGCCAGAGCAGGGTGGTTGGCAAGTATTCCTCGATGGTATGTTTAACTCTCCCTGGGCCTGTCCCGCGTTATGCTCGCAAGTGCCTAACTCGCAAAATTACACAGTCACGGATCTCGACGAAACGAAGAAAGCCGCGTACTTGCTGAGTTATGACGATGTCAACGCCTACAAATCCGCCATCGAGCACGAAACCAACCTCATCCTCCCCCCCCTCCCGGCATCTTTTTCATTCCCCCCCAACACCGAATTCCCACTACCAACAAGACGCATCACCTCCAGAAGCGCACTCAAACGCTTCTGGTCATCAACACTCAACCCACCCTCCGCCCGTACCGTGGATGAGACCACCTACGCTAACACCGACCTCGCGAAAGCTATGGAACTACTCCAAACACCAGGCGCGACCTTCGTCGCGATCGACGTCGAATCATTCGAACACAACCACGACAAACTCCTCGAATTCGGGATCTCCACCGCACGCGTACCACCCGCCCAAACACCCATCACGCACTCCACCGAACATTATCGGGTACAAGAAACACTATCTCTACGGAACGGCCGTTACGTCCCCGATAACTCCCACAAATTCAATTTTGGGCGTACCGAGGTCTTACCCTTGCGCGAAATCATCCGTCGAATCGATCACCTCTTCCAAGATCCCAATGTCGTATTCGTCGCGCACGATGCCAGGGGCGACATAAAATATCTCCGGGACGCTGGGTCACGACTCGATGCCCAGAAAGTCTTGGTGTTGGATACACAGAGGGTTTGGACGGCGTTGGCGAGGGTGCGCGAGGTGGCGAGCGATGGGGGTGCAGGGGGAAACAGTGGACAACGCTCTTTGAAAGCTTTGTGTGCGGAGATTGGGGTGGAGAATGTCAGGGATTTACATAATGCGGGGAATGATGCGGAGTATACGATGCAGGTGTTTCTACGGATGGCGCAGGCGGGGATCGAGGCCACGTCCAAGCCGGCGATGTTGTGTGATTGGATACGTGAGGATGGGTTACGCTACAACGCGTTGAACGCGCGCGCTGTTGTCGCTTCCACTTCGCAGACTTCGCAGGGTGGGTCGGGACGGCGGGGCGGCGAGAAGGTGAATGAGGAGATACCGGCGAGGGAAACTACGCGCCCGTTCTCGAGCATACCAGGAATTCCGTCTCAACCGATGGACAGGAACGTGTACGGGAGTTACCAGCACTCGCAGATGGGTGGGTCGAGAGGGATTCACACGAGACCGATGAGGGGAAGGGGCGATAGAATCGTTGCAAAGGGAAAGGATCCAGAGAGCAACGGTATGGTTGATATACCTTCCACCACATTACCTTTACCGCAGCTGGAGAACACGAAATGGGAACGAAGGCCGCCACTATCCAACACTGTCAGTAATTATCCCTTGTCAGACCGCCTAACGAGCTGCAGAGGGGACCTTCTCGACGTCCTCGACCGGGAACTACCTCGCCAGCCGACACCGCCCCGAACCGATGACACGTTCGTGATTGCTCCCGATATCGTGTCTGTCATGGACTCGATGCCTGTTCCGCAATCTGCCGCCGCTGGAGCAGATAGGTTGACCAGCTTTGAGGGCAAGCTGTCGGAGCTGTTAGAGATGGAGTTACCAAAGTCGCCGCGAAGGGCTCGCAAGTTTTGGAAAACCAGACAGGAGAAACAGGAGGAAATGTCCGCTCCCGGGGCAGATCGGTTGACGCGTGTCCAGGGTGAATTACCGGAGTTCTTGAAGAGGGAGTTGGGGAAGTAAATCGCGGAAGCTCAAAAGGGAAGTTTTTCGATTGCGCCGGATATCTTGTCCATCATGAAGACGTTGGAAGCGCGAGATCAACTAGAGCGAAGTAATCCGATGAGGGTTGAGGTGAATCACAAAAGTGTTCGCGGAACAAATAGGCGAAGTCGCTATCTCTTTTAGAGAAAGTTAGGAGATGTTCGCGGATGGTAAGTAAACGCTATGACGATGATGTAGCCAGAGAAACAGAAGGAGTTATGACAGACATACAATAGGCACGGATTTGACTTGGTACCTAGGAATTACGGAGCTGGACTTCCAGAGTTATCGGGTCAGCAGGTAGAGCCGGGATCTTAACATCTGATAATTTTGCATGACACTTCTTCTTCCTCGGCCGTTGCATCCAGCAACCTCCTTGAGTTGTGCACCAATTGCCCCCTCTTTTCCTCCGGCTATAACTATCAATCACACGCGTACCCGGCACGCGTTCCCCTCTTTACCCGCACCAATTGGAACAATCTCCGCCAGTACAGGTTGACGTCGGCAACTGTCGACTGGCATTACCCGTGCGCAACCAGGATGCGCATCCGATCCGACCTGAATCAACGGCGTATTCGACTTTACTTTCTCCCTCTTCCGAAGCCCTCCACGTGCGTTCATACCTGGTTTCCTCCGCGCAACCGTTGTATCCGGCGGACGTCCTTTGAACCGTGCACGCTACCCCGCCCCGAGCTTGAGGTTCGATGGAGCAGGGGATGACCGACAGCTGGCTGGTCCCTCCTTCGAAGGTTTGGAGGGGAACATCATCTACCGTTTCGACACACCCTCCAAACTTTCCAAATTTTGCACTTCTGTCTCCCTCGGATCTCTCCGCTGCGCACTGATTCGTCCTAGATCTAGAGCTGTACTTGTAACGTTAATTTGGACGTTCGGACTCGGATGCGCCGCTGCAGATCGCTGGAACCGAGTAAAACACGGGAGGGCTTCTGCCTCTGGCTATAGGTGTAGATGGTAGAGTAAGGTTACACCAATCTTTGTTCAAGAAGGCGGTCTACGTCAGTGGAAGTTAAGACGTCACGATGGCGAGCGAGGTCGTGTAGCCATATGTAGATCAGAAGACAAGGTCGAGGTTCCATTTGGCTATGGCTTAGACCTTCGAACGTTAAGCTCGAAGACAGGCTGTCGATCAGCACAGCAGCTGATCCCTTTAACAGGCATCCTTCAGCATCCCAATTGACGATGGAAGAATGCACCGAGTACCTTCCTGTCCCTTCCGGGAATTCTCCTGCATCAGTGGGACGATAGTGGTGAATAGTACGGCCAACGTGCTCAAGGTTAAGCGCTACAAGGTTAAGTAAGCCCAGCTCTAGACGCGAATTAGTGTGCTGTCAATTTGCGCAAAATCACGGCAAATTCGAGGCGTGGCAAGCGCACGCGAGAGATATTGTGGGCAGTATGAGGGGGGGTGATGTGGTGGGTGTTCGTTCAGCTGCAGTATCGCAATTGAGGGTCTGGCGGTCTGCCTGTCTGTGTGTTTGTGTGTAGCTGCTGTAGAGATCAAGGATGGTGATGATGGCTCATCGATGGACAGATCTGATAAGAACTGGTACTCAATTAATCCCATTTAATAACGCAACGGAAGGTTTATAGACGGTTGGGTTGCGTTCGAGCTCAAGTGCGAAAAGTACGCCACTCTCAGAGCCTAAATCCGCGCCGAGGGCCGGACGCGGGTAGGCAGTAAGAAGGGCGAACCTTCCCGCCCCCGAGTTCTCTCGACTTCGTATGCCATTCGAATAAACATTCGCTACACCTTTTCGTATCCTTCTTCTTCGTCAATCGAAGCCTAGGGTCGATATCGATCTACTGCCTCACGCAGCACAGGCTTCTCATATATACCTAGGTACCCTTAAGCTTTCGACCCTTGGGGCGTTTCGTTCGACTCGGATAGTTTCACGACACTATATTTCGACAATAAACGATCGCAGCGATCGTAAGTTTCTCCTTCTATCCGGTAATTCAGTTTTTATACCTACGCGACCTTATTCGACCTCTCGTCGCATCCTACACCGCTCAGACCTCTTCCTTGGTCATATCACCCACAACATCTCGAATTGGCGACGACGTTGGATCATGTTATGGAGTTCCGAGGTGATGTTGAGCAGAATCAGGGAGGAGCAGGTTTAGGGATGCCCATGCCTACACAGCCTGCGCCTGCGGTGGGTTCATATGGCATGTCGGCCGTACCCGTTCCCATGCTCAACACGCCCGCGCCGCCAGGTATGGGCTATGGACATCAAAATTTACAGGTTCCGGCGTATCCTGTCGCGTATGAACCGATGCTCAGCCCTACGACGATCGACGCACCTGCTGGAGATGGGTTTTTCATGTCGCAAGATGCGGTGCAAAATGTGTCGCCCTACGTCGATCCAGTCAAACCCAACGAGCCAGCAACCGTCAATCGTCTTCCATTTTACTACCCTACCTACGATTCCCAAAACAACGCAGCGGATTACCAACCTCAGCCTCCGCCGCCGTCGATACAGGAAGGAGTGCAGTGGAATGTCATGCCGACGGGAGCTGATGGCAACGCTTCGACGCAGTTCACTCACATGCAAACGGGGATCGACCAGCCTATCTTGATATCTCAGTATTCCCCACAACAACCACATGATATATACGACCAGCAAACAGCACATCTCCTCAATGAAGATATCTACCGGAGCATGAGAAGAGAAAGTGTCGGAAGTATGAACACCTTCAGCACAATCTCCTCCGCCGCACCCTCCATCAACGGGCCAGGACCCCACCGCAACCCAATGCGACTATCCTGGTCCCAAAACGGCGTTTCACCCACCGTCTCAGCATTCTCCTCCATGGACGACACCTCGGCCTACGACCCCCTCCAATCCCAAACATCCCCGAACCACCTCCACGTCGCTGGCGTCGGCGCCGTCCCCCAGCTCCAACATACCTCCGTCTCCCGAATTGCAGCACGTCGTGGTTCCTCGCCTTACTCACTCGGCCAGTCTCCGAGGAGGGGTTCGAAGAGGTGGAGTAATGGTTCGACAATGCAGGGGAAGATTGGGGATCTGCATCTGGGTACGTTACCGAGTGGATTGGGCGTGAGTGGAGCGGGGACGAGTCCGATGCATAGTCCGCCTGTGAGGGAGATTCCGGGGGCGGCAGAGGCGGGAGGGTGTGTCGGTGTTGGTATGGCGAGGAACTCGTCGCTGAGTGGACCTCCGGTCATGGTCCCTGTACCAGATATGACAATCCCGCAGCAACAGGGGCCCTGGGATCAGGATATCGGACCATCTGCCTCGGCGGCTGATCCGCAAAGAATGCAACAGTTGCAGCAATTACAAGCGCAGTTACTGCAGAAACAGATTCAGCAACAGCATCAACACCAGCAGCAGGAAAATCAAATGTATTTGCAGGAGCAGCATATGAAGCTTCAGCAGCAACAGGCAGCGGCCGCGATGATGTTACAGCAACAGCAGCAGATGCAAGCTCAGCAGCGGGTTCAGCATCGGCACCAGCACCAGCACCAGCACCAACACCAACACCAGCACCAGCACCAGCTTCAGGTTCAGCATCAGTATCAACAGGTTATGCAAAGGTCGATGTCGATCCCGCAGCCGACGAGGGCAATTGTACCACAGCCCGAGATCGTCCAGCAGCCGCCACCACAACCCCAATCTCAGCAACAAGGTCAGCCACAAGGTCAAGGTCACCAGCACAACGACGACGCCGGCGAGAACGATTGGCCTTACCAGCCCCACGCCCCACCTCTCGACGACATCGACCCGAAATCCGAGTCCGCCCCCCGCCAACAAAAACTCCGTTTCGCCGGCGATCTTTACACTCCCCAATGGGTCCGCGGCACCGGCAACGCAAAAGAAGGCTGGTGCGACACCTGTCGACCCGGAAAATGGTTCCAACTCAAAAACAGTGCGTTCTGGTACCACAAGCAGTTCTACCATGGTATCAGTGCGGTCAGTGGTCGAGGATTCGTGCAGCCGCTTGAGATGAGAAAGGTCGAGGGGGAGGCGTGGGAGGGGATGTGTCATCAGTGTAAGCAGTGGGTTACAGTGGCGAGTCTGAAAAGGAAGAATAGTGTGCTATGGTTTAAGCATGCGCATAAATGTCATGAGTACCTCAAGCCGGTTGCGAAAGGACAGGCGCACTCACGACGAGGAAGTGTGCAAACTAGCACGCAGCAGCAATAACGCCAACGTTCGACATCATCATCATTACAGGAGGAAGAAAATGGGCAGAATGTCGATATTCCACGACAACACGATGGGAACTAGATAGCAGACGGCATCAACATCCTCACAATGGGGTGTACTTAACCTCCAACAGTTTATTTTTGGCAAGGATTCGGGATATGGGGCGTTGATTGGTTGCATTGCAATTCTTATCGATTTTTTTACGTTCATGTTTATGATTTGTTTTTATGCAAAAGCATTCTGGCCATTGCACGACAGGTGGTTAAGGTTTTGGCATGCAAAGACATTCAACATGTATTTGCTTGGCTTATGGCTTCATTGAAAAGAAGATGGGAGAAGCGTAAAGGCGGTAAGAGTGATACCCACGTTCATTGTTTGGGGAATTATGGATATCATAAGTCTATGTCTATTGCCCTCCCTACCAAAAATCATCAAGCCATAAGCACGATCTCGAGGTGTAGACCATCTCACACCACAATCCTTCGTCGTCTCGCGCCCACCCCGCCCATTGCCCTGAATCCACATCCATGTTATACGCACGTAACAGCGGCATCGACCGAGGTAAATTGCATCTTACACCCACATCCCTTCCTTCGTCGTCTCACGCCCACCTCGCTCCACCATGCCCACTGCCCTCATCATCACTCCCCTCCAACGCCTCATCCATAACCGCCTCATCCTCCAACTGAATCCTCCCCCTCCCTCCCCTTCCCATACTCCCCAAATTCTTCAAACCCGGAATCTTACTCCACACCGTCGCCCCAATAATCATCACCATATCCGCCACGAACGACACCACGGAGCGAAGGGTGTGATAATGTGGGACTTGTCGCCAGCCGGATTGTCGCATAACGACGCGTTGGTAGACGATGCCGCCGACGAAGTAGGCGAGGAGGAAAAGAATTGCAAGGAGGCCGAATAAACTCCCAACTCCCAAACCCTTCTGGCCTCCGGCTCCCCCTCCCGATCCGGAGTCGCCGCTGCCACGGCCGTGGCCGTGTGCGATTGGGCAGGCTCGCGCTGTCCGCCACTCGAAGAAGTAGTCGCACGAATGCGGGGATCCGACGAATGTGATAGCGGATTTCTGGGTTAAGTCCCGGTCGCAGAGAAAGGAGATTAGTGTCGTGCGTTTGCTCGGCCCAGTCGGACAGGGTGTATTAGACGGTAACTCCAACGTCAACCGCCTCCCACGCAGAATCGGAACAGTATTTACATCTCCAATCGAGATAAACTGTCCGTCCTCATCAACATACCCCGCGCTTGAGTGTGGTGCATCATCGGTAGTGTTGAGAAGCGGTGCACAGATGTTGAGGGTGAAGTTCGCGCCGTAGTCGTGCCCATTTACGGACCAATCTGTGGAGAAGAGGTCGGAGGTACGAGTCAGGGGACGGAGGTCGTAGTATTCTTTTGTGAGGGGATTGGTGAGGGTACAGGATTGGTCTTCGACTGGGGTTTCGGTTGCGAGCGCCAAGACATTGTTCAACGTCGACCCAGCTGTTAGAGCCAGGGCAAGGCCCGTTATAAGAGTGAATCGCATGGCTGTATTGCAACTGCGATTGGAATTGCAATTGACGGAGGGGGTATATTGTCGAGGAGGTCTTGGAGGTTACCTGGGAGGTTGACGCAATGGCCTACGTGTATTGGGATGCCTCTAGCCGACCATGCATGGCCGTACATGTGGGGACGTCGAGGCAGTGCAACGCCAACAATCCATAAATCCCTGGGTGAAAAAGTTGGGATATTTAGGTTGATCGAGGACCCTGATCGCCGTTCCCTGTTATACGAGATCGACAGTGCTTGGTCAGGATGCCGAGAAAAAAGGTGAACGCGCCGAAGGCTGCGACGGTGGACGCGCAGAAGGTCGACACGAAGGATGTCAAGGCTGTTGGGCCGCTGAACCGTACCCCACCTATCTCCTCCAACCCTTCGTTACCTTACTAACCCTTTTGAACAGCCAAGACAACTCATTATGAGTTTGCGGGCCCCATTGGAGCCCTGGGAGTTACACTTTTGACCCCAGCCTTCACCTACCTCCTCTACTTCGCCTGCAACCCAGCGTCATGCTCTATCCCAACTATCTCCGGACTCCAGTCTCAATGGCCCGGCTGGGCAGGATTGTTCGACCCGGAAGCTATTCGGGCGTATTTGAAGTGGTGGCAGTTATTGTTGATGTTGTGGGTCGTTATCCCTGGACCATGGGTTGAAGGAACGGAGTTGAGGGATGGGACGAGGGCGAGGTATAAGATGAATGGGTTTCGGACGTTCGTGGTGGTTATTGCAATGCAGATTGCAGTCTTGCTGAGGTACGGGCCCGGACATTCAGTGTTTACATTCGTGTGGGAGCATTACCTCGGGCTCATCACCGCAGCCTGCCTCTTCTCATTCGCCCTTGCGATTCATGTTTACGCCTCCTCCTACATCCCTATTAAGAATGGTGGCAGCAAGTTGTTGGCACTTGGAGGAAACTCAGGAAATGTTGTGTACGACTTCTTCATTGGCCGCGAACTAAACCCCACCCTCAACCTCCCCTTCCTCCCCGATCAACCCTTCGACATCAAGCAGTTTGCCGAACTCCGCCCCGGAATCATTCTCTGGGCCATTCTCAACATCGCTTTTGCTGCGCACCAGTTCGTTGAGTTTGGAAGGGTGACGGACTCTATGGTCTTGGTTTGTGTGTTTCAGGGATGGTATTGTTTGGATTCGTTGTGGAATGAGGAGGCGGTGTTGACGACGATGGATATTACGACGGATGGGTTTGGGTTCATGCTCTCTTTTGGCGACCTCGTCTGGGTTCCGTTCACCTACTCTCTGCAGGCGCGATACCTTGCTTCACACCCCGTCGATCTCGGCCTCTGGAAATCCATAGGCATAATTGCGGTTCAGCTCACTGGATACTACATCTTCCGCTCCGCAAATACCCAAAAGAACACCTTCCGCAACACCCCCACCCACCCCTCCGTCTCCCACCTAACCTACCTCCAAACCTCGTACGGCACAAAACTCATCACTTCAGGCTGGTGGGGAACCGCACGCCACATCAACTACCTTGGAGACTGGATCATGGCATGGGCGTGGTGTCTCCCCACGGGCTTCGCAACTCCCATTACGTACTTTTATGTCGGGTATTTCGCTGTGTTGTTGGTGCATCGGGAGAGGAGGGATGAGGAGAAGTGTGGGAGGAAGTATGGGAAGGATTGGGAGGAGTATAAGGGGAGTGTTAGGTGGAGGATCGTGCCGTATGTGTATTAGGTGTGTAATGTACGCGTAGGCGGGGATCGACCGTTCGACGGGGACGAGCTTCGAGAACGTTGGCTGAGGCGGCAACATCAACGTAGACGAGCTTAAGGTCCAAGGAGGAGACACGATATGAGACTTTCTAGAATACAGGAAATCAAGATTCGATCGCGAGCGTCGGTGATTGAGGCATTTTGAGATAAAAAATGTTTGGGAGATGAACCGTAGTTGCACTGCCGCTTCCTTTCATCGCTCACGCGTTCCAAACCAACTGCCGACGAAAAGCCCGGGAATCATACTGAAGATCAATGCATTCCCTGCATAATCCGATCTCATTTCTGTTTCTTTTCTAGATCAGGCGTCGGTTCATCCCGGTAGTCAACCCCTCCCGACCCTACACCCGCCGAGCTGCAGTCACGGCAGATAGATCTAGAGCAGCGCGCAACGGGCTCAATTGCCAGCCTGCAGCCTAAAACGGCGAAAACCAGTCAAAACGCATCCCTCCAAGCACTAACAAACCCCAAAAACCAAACTGCTCTAGACTGCAGTGGTAAGCACCGGTGAGCGTCGGAGTCGTCCAACCGCGGGTAGTTTCGGGGCTTGTGGGATGTGTGATGATGCCGTAAGGCTCGTAATCTGGTGCGCAATCCGCGGCGGCCGCTGGTGCAATCGCGGGTTTGGATTGCGATCGATATCGGAAAGGGTGGGCACAGGCTCGATCACATACGGCGGAGCTGGCTGGTCATGGTTAATTACATACAAGGTTGTGTAAAGATGCACCAATTGCATCGCAGCACCCTTCATTTAACTTTTTGAGCTTGGTGACAAAGATACGGAAGGAAGGTGCTGTCGTCGGTAAAAGAGGCCTAGGACTTGATCGCGAAGGCGAGAAGGTAAACAAGACAAGACGAGACAGGGTTCAGTGAATTCTAGGGATGAGCAAGCTTACGAATACCTTGTCAATGAAACTTAAACTGTGTTCTGGAGCGCGTGTGGGATCAGATCATTGATTGCTGCTGTTGTCTTGTTCGGGGAGGGAAATGAAGGGTCGGGTTGGGCGGGTAAATGCGTGTCGACTTTCCTCGAGTGAATGCTTTGCGTATATGGTTGTGTAGCTGGCGGAGAGCACAACCAGTACAATGATAGCGAAGAGAGCATTCAGTCGAGCCCAAACACCTCCTCCTTCGTCGTATCCTGTAACACTCTCCTCTTCTCAACTCTGCTTTGTCTGCTATCTCGCGCCACTCCTCACCCTTAGGTAAGCCACATCCACATGCCGCGGTGGAGCGCGTGATTATCGGTCCCCCCGCACGAAATCTCAAAAGTCCCATGGAGACCCGTGAAAGATGAAACCCTGCCCAACTTTTTTTGTACCCTGTTACTCACCACCAAGACGGTCCGAAGCAATCGTTCTCTATTATCTAACCAGTGCTGCTTTTTGACTGAGGTGAGTTCAACAAGAGAGCTCGAGAGGAGGGGAGGACGAGGGCTGCTTATCAGTTGTCCTCGGTCGGTCCGTTGGAGACTCCGAGCTCGAGGATACGTGGCATACATCCCGAGCAAAGTGCTGACTCGAGGTGGTTTACAGCATTCATCCTCGGTTCACAAAGCTCCCAATCAACCCAACTCCATCTTCCTCAGAACTTAAACACCTATACTCTCATTCGCAAGCCAAGCTTCATCTCAACAACATCCCGCATTTATTCAGCATACATCCCCGATAACGGTAACAATGTACGCAACCCGCTCTACCACGACCCCACCAGTACCATCCGCAATCCCAATTGCAGCACACTATGTCGCTCAGCCCTCCGGTTTGGGTTCTTACCCATCCCCACCATCCTCGCTTCCGACAACCGATGCTCAATCTCCCTCGACCTCAACACTCTCGAAGTCCCTCCTTACCCGCCGCCAATCCTCTACCACCAACGTCTCCTCGCCCGCTGTCTCAATCCCCGGTGGTGTTACCAAGACTCGCCGAAAGTCCAGCGTCGCACACTCTCTCAAATCCACCCTCGTCCGGTCTTCCTCCTACGCCCCAACAACCGAAGACTCCGCAATCGATGATTCTGAAGTCGTTGGATCCCCCGCAAACGGAGGAAAAGAAATCGTCCGTTGCGAGCGTTGCGGAAAGGGGTACAAACATATCTCGTGCTTGAACAAGCATAAGTGGGAGCACACGCCGCAGTGGCAAACAACCTCCAAACTCCTTATCTCGAAACATCAACAAGTCCAGCTCCTCGAAGCTGCATCCGTGCTTGTCTCGATGGGGGCTTCACCATCCTCTTCTCCCGCCGCGGTTCCCGCTCATCTCGGGCCCGCGACGGCTTCGTACCCGTTCCCACCTGGTGGAAGTCCGTATGCCGCGTCGCCTTTGTCCACTCTTCCGGCTGCGAGACGAGCGAGTTTTACTCGTGGTCCTGGTTCCTTCGTCAGGGAAAGCTCTTACGCGGGCCATGGTGGTGTCGTCATTGAGGAAGAGGAGGAGAGTGAGGATGAGAGCGAGAGCGACGACGAGGATGTCGAGCGTGGTGAGAGTGAAGAGAGTGAAGAGGGCATGTTCGGTGGTATGGAGGAGTAAGTGAACGTCGACTTACACGTGTTCTTGGGGAGAGAGGCCTAGGGGGTTGTTAGAGGCGTTTTTTCGTTTTTGTATGTAAACTTGTTGGTTGCGCGCGATTGGGGCATTTCTTGTGGTATTGTTTGGGGTTTTGTGTTTTTGTCTGTTGTTCGTTCGTGAAGGTTTTGGAGCATTTCCGGTGTGGCAATGATTTGGCCATGGGTGTCCTTCTTCTTGTGTTTTTGCTTGGTTTTTTGTGTGTTTTTTGTGTGTTTGCTGTTGTTTATCGTGCTCTCTATCCTTCCACGGATGAGATGGATATGCGTTTGTTGTTCATACCTATCTTTTACACTGTCGTTTACCATATGAATTGGAATCATTTGCTACCTACTTAGCGACGAGTGTGTTGACCCAATAGTGATGTGTATTATTGGGGTTGTAGTTGTAGCTCTTCATCTACTGTAGCTATATGGTATACGTAGATCTACTCTGCTCTCATATATTCTGATATGTGTAGATTACGGGCGACGCTCGGTACTCCCTCGACGTCCTCTGGACCCACTATTCCTTCTTTGTCGTTCGTCTCTCAATGTACTCATCCTCCTGGTAATGCCCTTCCTGCTGGTGATGGGTTGCAGGACGTAGGATTCATGTCCATCGCCCTCCGCGCTCGCTGAGCCATGGCCAGGCATGCGATCGTCGTCGTCGCTCGCCTTCCCTTGCTCCTCATCAACCTCACGTCCTCGTCCGCGTTCACGATCACCTTCCACCCGTAAATTGCCCGGCTTGGTCGGCTCAGGCTGCCCATGCGTCCCACCCACCGATTCCATCGTAAACGCCGAAGCCGTAGGAGCATCGAGAATCGCCAACTCCTCACTCGTAAACCACCTCGGAAAAATCCACGTCCGCACCGGAATCAACGCCATAATAATCACCGGAAACCCAATCGCCGCAATCGTCTGCGTAATCGCAAAGGTCCCTGCGAAACCCAAGAGCATCAATGCCACGAACGCATAGACCGCGAGTTTGCGGCATTTGTTGAGGGGGTCGGAGGGCGGGGTTAGGGAGCGGTCGCGGAGGAGGTATACGAGTTTGAGGGTTAGGCCGTTGCCTTCGAGAGCGGAGAGGCCCATGACCCAGAAGAGGCCTGCGAGGACGGCTTGCGGGATGAGGCCGAGGACTGTGAGGAGGGGGCCGGACATGCATCCGAGCGTCAGTAATCCCTGGGCGAGGTTGGAGACGCGTTGTTCGACGACATGGGTTATGACGGTCGTCTTCCTCTCCTCACCAGTGATAGTATCAGGCTTTTCGTCGATGACTTGTTTCGTGACACAGAGTGCTGCGGTGTGGAAGGGTGCTTGTGGGATAAGACCATTGGGCGCAGGAAGACCGAGGATGCCGGAGATGAAGGTCGTTACGCCCAGGAGGAAGAAATCCCAGTGGAATGCGGCAGGTTTGCGCAAGGGAAATTCCGAACCTTGGGCGATGAGGGAGGAGACGTTGTGGTCGAAGTAGAAGAGGATCGTGAGGAGGATTGCGAAAGGGATGGCGAGGAAGACCTGGCCCACGCTGATATCCCAGAAATGGACGAACCAGCCTCGGCCGGAGGTAGTATCGAATGCACCGCTTGTCGGAAGTCTCAACAGCTCCACAGCACGCATGTGACCGATATGCGGGAATCCAGTAAAGAAGACGATAGTGAGAGGTGTTCCGTAATCGTTGATGAAGACGCGAAGGAAGCGCCAAAGAAGCGGAGCCCGGCCGATAAGCGTGCAAATGTACCCAAACACCGTAACGAATGTCGCAATCGCAATCGAAAGGTATGCCGCAGGATCCGCTGGCCCCGTCTCATACTGATCCGTAATAACCTGCACCCCCTTCTGAATATAAATCAACGCAACATAAAACCCAAAAATATCACAACTAAATCTCGTGACATACTTCAACCCATTACACGCATTCGTAATGGCCAATATCCAATGCATGATCGCACTCCAGATACAAATCCACGCCATGAATGGGAAGAACGGAATACCGTGTGGGGTGATGATGTCGTAGACGGTGTAGTTGAACACGGTGATTGGGCCGGTGACACCGACGATGCAGAGGGGTTGTCCGCCGATGATGGAGAAGACTGCGGAGCCGAGGACGGAAGCGAGGAGGGTTTCGTTGACGCCGTAGGAGCGGTCGGTGCGGACGTACATGTCGAAGGAGAACGCAAGGGCGGGAAGTAAACTGTGTGTTTCTACTGTTAGCATTACTCACAACTGCCTGAGGAGGATCACACTTTGCGAAGAAAATGTAGACCGTAGCTGGGACAACTCGATAATCCCACGCATCGGTCCAGTCACTCCAGTAATACGGTGCGCGCGCTCTCAAGTCCATCATGATTCCCCGGAAAGGATGTACACCCACACGATCCCATATCGCCCTCTTCCTCCCCGCCGTATACTCCGGTGGACGTCTCCGATCGCGATGTGGGGAGTCATGTTGCAATGGCTGCGGTGCCGTCGAGGTCGAGGAGCGCGGAGTCGCTACCATGGGTGTGTTGACTGAAGTCGGTGCCTCGGACGTCGCCATCATCCTCTCTTACGATTGCAATTGACGATGGAGGTGAGGCTGTGTCTGCTGTCCTTTTTCCCAGCTTGTGCACGTTAATCTGGACTGCGGGGAAGGCGGATCGTTGCAGTGCACAGCCTCGACAGCGTACGACGCCAGTAACGTAGATCGGTAAGCGAACACGTATATCGAAGAACAAGAGGAGCATACAGAATGTCGCTAATTTTGATTGATTTAGGGAGTATCTTCCTGATGCATCTATCCTCAGCACACTCACGGGTGCTCACGTGCTCTCGTAACGTAGACAAACCCCACATCCTTCCACACTCTCCCTCCCTATCTCTCAACATGGCCCTCGGCGGAAGAGTCTGGCGCTCCCCCACCAAAGAAGCAGCCTACAACCGCACCTTCACAGCTCGCTTCAACGCCGCTGTCCGCAAAAACCAGTTCGTCCTCTTCGGCCTTCCCATGATGGGCATGATCGTCGTCGGCTCCTACGTCCTCTCCTTTGCAACACAAGAAAGATACAACGTTTCAGACCGGAGAGTATCGCAGATGTCGAATGAGGAGGAGTTGGGGTTGAAGAAAGATCGGAGGAAGATTGATTTGAAGGAGGAGTATTATAAGTTGGAGGCGAAGGGGTTGGCGAGTGATGGAGATGATTGGGAGCAGGTTCGGGTGCAGAGATTACCGGGAGAGCTTGATGGTATTTTGGGAAAATATTGAGGAGACTGAGTGGACTGGAACGGATGACACGATATCGATGAAAAGGAACAACTGCAGCCTGTCCATGGCGCCACACCGTACGAACGATGAAGGCCAGGGAAAGACAGGTTCTCTCACAGAAGGATCTTGGACCTACGGCGATATTTCACAGGGAGAGCTCCAGCATATCACGACCTCAACTAAATTACTCCCACCCTACCTCTACTTGCACCTTGACTATCGTTACTGTAACTCTTCTCATCTGACGAAGATACGCATTCCACCTACGCTGCGGGTCATAGGCATCCTGAACCGTTATCATCTGCTACAAAGGTAAACTACAATTAAAACGACCATAAGTGTCTATACCACAGTTCCTGTACAGTTCTCTCTCTTACGTGGCCTGCGTATACCGAGGTGAAAGCCAAACCCTGCTCAATCAAAAGTCCAATAGATAAACCCAAGAACGCCGCCAACTACATCCATTCCGAACCAAGCCAATTGTACCACCGCAATTTTCTCCAACTACGCGTAGTTTTAAGCAGGCTAATCCACTCCTCACCCAGTCAGATACTTGCCCACACCCTCCCTCCAATCCTCTCCACCCCAAAAATCCAACACCAATCCCCTACAATCCTGACTCGTAGACACAACCCTCCCCAAATCCCCCTTCACACAAAATATCCAACTCCCATGATCCTTCGGAAACTCCATCCTCAACTCCCCCGTCTCCAAATCCCACACACAAACACGTCGATCATACGACCCCGAAATAATGCGATCATTGAACAAGTGCAGAGTTCGAACGAGGAGGGAGTGCCCGGAGAGAGTGTGGAGACATTCACCCGTGGAGGACGACCAGATTTTGATTTTTTGGTCGTTGCCGCCGGAGACGATGTAGCGGCCGTCTGGGCTGACTTCCACGCATGCCAATCCGCGGGCGTGGCCTCGGAGTTCTTTGACGCATTCTCCGAAATGCATGTTAGGGATTTCGATACCGTCTTCTTCCACCGTGAGACGTATATCCCAAACCCGCACCGTCCAATCCCCACTTGCACTAACCACATATCCACCCTTCATACTTCGCACAGCATTAACCGGGCCCCGATGTCCCCTCAGTACCTTGACCAGTTCCCCCGTTTCGCGAGACCAGATGCACAATGTCGTATCTTTCGAACAGGATACGATATACGAACCCGAGAAACATACATCTAGCACACCCGCCGTATGTCCCTGCAACTTCTTGCGGGGTGTCCAAGTCTGCAGTGAGGGGTTGTAGACCCACATGATGAGCGTAGAGTCGCTCGACCCACTGACCAATATCTCCCTATTGAACTGCAAACACAAAATCGAAGCCGTATGAAACGGAACTCCACTCCCACTCCCTGGTGGCGGTGGTGCCAAAGTCTGCACACACTCCAAACTCCTCGCATCCCAAACCTTGATTGTGCGATCCCTCGACCCAGTGACAATCTTGTCATTGTCAAACTGAAGGCAGTAAACACTATCCCCATGGCCCTTTAACCAGCGTCCTGTATATTCTCCATTCTTCCACCGCCTCTCGAGTCCGTGACGGATACGGTATAACTCGCGCCAGGAGGAGCCGGGGGGGAGGGAGGGAGAGACGGACCAAGTGGGTTGGGAGGAGAAGAGGGTGCGCCAGAGGGAGGGGGTGTGAGTAATGTGGGCGTGCCAGGCGTGCGAGACAAGGGTTGCTGACGAAACAGATCCGATCGGTAAGTAGGAAAATATCTGCGTGCAGAGTTCTGGGGGGAGGGTGTGCAGGGGATCCAGGCGACGAGGACGGATGGCGTCTGCGGTACCGGTGATGGGAATTGTGAAGAATCCTTCGTCGATAGCGGAGGCGTTGGTGCTGGCATCGGCTTCTGGGGAGAGACCGAGGCCGAAGTGGGAGAGGTTGTGCGCCGAGTCGATTTTGGACAACGTAAAGGATGCGGAGCGGGCGTGTAACGGCTTTGGGGATGATGACCCTGCCTGGTTTGTTGATGTCGTTGTTGACATGCGACGGAAGAAACCGAGAGAGGAAACAGAGCGGGTGAGGGGTGCTGGGTGTGCTGAAGTAGTAGCGTGGTCCATTGTAACGTCTTCCACTGTGCGATCCGCAGTACCGCTCCTGTTGGAAGAGGAGAGAGCACGCAAAAGACGAGATATACGTCCACCAAAGGGTCTCCGTAACGTGCTCCTTCTATTAGGAGAGCCACCACCTCCTCCACCGCCAAGGCCGTGGCCCTGGCCCGTACTCCCTGATGCTGCTGTTGACATACTGCTCTACACTCGGCCGGAAACGCTGGAAGAGATGATGATGATGATTTGGGAGTGATATAAACCCGTCGCGTCTGAACAGATGACAGGGTACAGTATCAGTTTGGTGTATGGGTCCAAGCGCGCGCTATGCGTTTCCGTTAGACGAAACTGGGGTGCGTAGGACAAACTTTAGGACTTAGGCTTTGATAGGGTTGGGATTGGAGGATGGAAGAAGGTGTTTGAGGTTCTAATTATTGCCAAGGACGAGTCGCTATAGGGGTCTTGTAGCTCTCTACGGGCGGATCACGCCCGGATTTACGAGTTCTCCCGACGAAAGGATCTGAAGCGACGCAGCGTGAGAAGGCAAATCCGATCATTGCAAACGAATGTCGTAGTCGCCTCAGATGTTGACATACTGCTCTACACGCGGCCGTCTCTGATCTCTTCCGACACCGACCAGTTCACATCGCACGACGGCGTCCCGACCAGCTGTGCCGAGTGATGCACCGACCTGCACAGCCACACGTACCGAGAGCCGTCGCGTCTTGTGTTGAAACGCCGACGCCGTATCGAACAATCGATATTGCCCAGGTGATCTTTCGAACTTCATTGACGATGGACTTCAGCAGGTTGCTCAACGCGACATCCAAGCCAATCCCCTCGAAACCCGCGACACCATCCTGGCCCCAAATGAGTTCGATGGAGGCACTCCTCGGTGCCGCAGCGGCTGCGCAGAACGACCTCACGGATGAGGATGGGGAGGGGACGGTGGTCACTGAGGACGCTGTTGCTGAGCGTGAGGAGACGCCGCCCGCTCCGGCGGAAAGCCAGGGGAATAGTATTAGAGGGAAGAGAGACTGGGATGCAACGGACTCCGAACCCGACGAAGAAACCCGAAAACCCAAAAAACGCGCTCCACCAAAAAAGTCCTCGTCCACAAAACCCTCCCGCACGCACACCATCTCCCCCTCCCGCTCTTCCTCTCCCCACCACTCCTCTCCCCCTCCCCATGACCCTGGTGAAGAAGTAGAGGATGAAGAAGACGACGACGACCAAGCCCTCTATTGCACCTGCCGCAAACCCCAAGGCAAAAGATGGATGATCCAATGCGATGGGTGCGATGACTGGTTCCACGGCACGTGCGTCAAGATCAATGAAGTGGATGAAGGGTTAATTGATAAGTGGTATTGTCCGGGGTGTGAGGAGTATAAGGGGAGGACGACATGGAAAAGGAAGTGTCGGTTGGGTGGGTGTAGGAAACCGGCGGATGTGGGGGAATCAGAAGAAGGACGGCAAGGGGGAGGGAAATACTGTTCAAAGGTGCATGGAGTGGCGTTCATGAAATCGATCATCCAGAAGTCTCTGTTACCAACAACAGAGTTAAAAGCACTCCTGATCTCCGCCTCAACGCCAACCGAGTTCCGGACTCTGGGTGACCGGGCACCTTCGCCTCCTCCTCTCCTCGACTCCCCCGACACTGCTACTGAGGACGATAGGGAGGACATTCGAGTGTATTGGTCAGAGATTGAAAGGATTAGCGAAATGAGGGCACGAGTACAGGAAATACTGGAAAGGTGCGCGAAGAGACGGGGGTTGCTGAGGTACGCGCGGGACCGGGCGAAGAAAGTTAGCGAAGACCTTCGCGCGGAGGATAGTGGGGTGAAGGACATCTGTGGGTTCGATCCGCGGTTGATCATGTGCGATTCTGAATTCGCGGCGTTTACGCAGACTGAACTCGGTGCCTCGATTATCTCCCCCTCCTCGGACACCACCCCTGAGGACAAGGTTGAGTTGTGTCAGATGGAGAAAAAGAAATGTGCGAGACATATGTCCTGGCAACAAATCCGCCAAGAGGAAATCGAACTCGAGGAGGCTTTGGTACGGGAGGAGATGAAATGCCTACAACGGGAGGAGGAGAAGGTTAGGGGGGTTGTGGTGCGGAGAGGGATTGTGGCTATGGAAGGCCAGAGGGAGGGGGAGGTTATTCTTGCATCCGATCGGAGGGACGATGGATCCGCGCTTGGAGAGGACAAGAGGGAAGAGGAGGAGGTGGTGGAGGTGGAGAGTCCCGTCACCGCTAATTCCTTGCACGACGCGGTGGTGGAGCCAGTGGCTACGCCGGCATATTCGACAGCAGATGCGGTTGGTGAGCCTGAGGTTTCTACTACTGAGGGTACGCCGAGTGCTACGCCCGTGCTCGAAGCCTCTGCGCCAGCGCCAGACGTGTCTACGAAGACAGAGGTGGAGATGGATGATGTGGAGGGAGTATCGGCTGAGGTGCAAGGAGGGGAGGAGTAGAGCTCGAAGTAGGGGTGTGAGTACGAATGATCTTCTTGTGCTTGTTCACCGAAGCATGACGAACCATTGACAAGGCACTCTCATTCTATTTCTACCGCGGCTAGTTATCGAATGTTAATGGTCTCTAATATGTTGCTCGTGATTGTGTGGCAGACCTCGGCAAGCCGCGAAGGTCGTCTGATGCACTGTGCGGCTCATCGACCGCGGACCGAGGCACCTGATCAATATCCTTTATGGGACGGCAGGCCTGTTTGCCTGTTGTTTGAATCGCATAAATAGTCCTTGTAATTCTCCTATCGTCCTTCTCCTAAAAGCTATCTCGTCTTGATCTTACATACCTGCGTACAACATGCCTAACGTTACAAACTCGGGACCCGTCACCCAAGTTTTCGAGAAATACATCTCAACTCTAGGCAACTACTCTGATGACACCTTCAACTCCGTCATGTCCCGGGACTTCACTACCCCTTGTCCCTTCCCCTCCCAAGGACCTGGTTTTGAGGGCGTCCGCGACATCACGCAGCGTGCCGCCAAGGGATTCCCAGGCCTCAAGTGGAACATTGTTGAGGGCTTGGAGAGTTCGGATGGAAAGTATGGAGCTTTTAGGTTCGATGCTGTTGGGAAGCAAGATGGTGAGTTCCTTGGGGTGCCAGCGAGTGGGAAGGAGGTTAATGCTCCCGGATCTATGTTTATGAAACTGGATGACGAGGGAAAGATCTGCCAGAGTCAGTACGCAGAAAGTTTCTGTTTTGACCATGCTGATCTTGTTCTATAGTGGCAATCGTGATGGATAACTTGGCTTTGTTGACGCAAATGGGTGCTGTTCCTTCCCCGGGAGGCGAGCATGCGAAGGCTGAATAAGCTCACGGCAGCTGAACTATTTGGAGGACGAAGGAGAAGCTAGTATTGGAGTGCACGAATACCCAGATTGGTCTTTTGTGAAGGTGATCTTGTATCTAATTTGCGTGGGAAATCGTTCTCGGTGTAATCCACACCATCAGCTACAGCTCAGTTAGATTCGAAGAGAGCATCTCCATTCACCCTTCCCGTCTTCCCTCCTCTAAAATAACCTTCGATGAGGTCACCTAATCGATAACTTTGCCTCCTGCATCCCTACAAGTGCCTGATTTAATCCCGCTCCCATCGTCACCAAACCTTCGTCATGAAGTTCCTTCTTCCAAGCGGTGCCATATGTCTCCTAGCACTTTCCGTCTTAGGCTATGCCTTAGACCAACACCCGCTTCTCTCTCCCCTCTCCGGCGACTGGCTGGATGAGCAATACACCATCGCTATGGACGGCATCCTCAGCAACATCAGCCCCGAGGACACCCTCAAAGGGACGGTGGTAGCTAGCCCCAGTGAACAGCATCCGAATTACTGGGTATGTGCGTCGTACTGGTTGTTATCATAATGTGATTGCGCTGATACCACGTACAGTACCACTGGACGAGGGATGCGGCGATCACCATGGAGGTTATCGTGCAGCTGTACAACAACACTGCTACTCAAGCCGACAAGGCTGGGTGGGAACAGCTGCTGCTCGATTACGTGGAGCATGAGTGGATTGTTCAGGTTATTCGTTGACTCCGGTTACATACCTGCCCTTGCTGACGGCGGGAACAGCAAACCAACAATCCCAGTGGATCATCCGATGGAGACGGTTTAGGAGAACCAAAGTTCCAGGTGGACGGGACACCCTTTACTGGGTAAATTGACCCTATCACCCGCTTGCTAAGCATTTCTGACAAGTTACGTGTAGTCCCTGGGCCAGACCTCAAAACGACGGACCAGCCCTCCGTGCCCTGACCCTCACTCACTTCGCAAACGCCTACCTGCACCACAACACCCACTCCTCGGCTGCCTACGACTACGTGCACAGATACCTCTACGACGGACTCCTCCCCACTAACTCTGTGATCAAAGCAGACCTAGAGTACGTCGCCACAAGTATCTTCGAACCATCCTACGACCCATGGGAAGAAGTCCAGGCGGAGAACAACTTTTTCGTCACGCTCGTTAGTGCAGCGGCGTTGAAGGAGGGTGCAAACTTGGCGGAGTCGTTGGGGGATGAGGGTGCGGCGTCCTGGTATCGGCTCGGTGCTGAGAAGTATGAAGATCAGGTGCGGGGCCTGTGGGATGGTGAACGGATAGTTTGGAATGGCACGAAGAGTCGTACAGGTGGTATTGATTGGAAGGTCTCGAACCTCGATACGGCGGTTCTGCTGGCGTCTTTGTATGCTGATCTTCCGGAGTTTTCACCGTATACACCGGGAATCCTTTCAACAGCCCACGCTCTCAACACGACCTTCGCAGCCGAGTACGCTATCAACGCTGGCGAGCGGTATCCACTCCTGGGAAGGTATGGCGAAGACAGATATGACGGGTACGACCTAAGCGAGGGAAACCCGTGGTTCCTCTGCACGATGGCCTGGAGCGAAGCTATGTACGCAACCGTATATTATTACCTGCAGAAGGGCTCGAGAATCGACACTGAGGCAGCACCCGGGTTCTGGGGTGCCTATCTTCCTCTCAACGACTCCACTTCCCTGCTTGACTCATACAGTGGGGCGTGGAATGAAATGTTGTGCGAGCTCCTTCGGGATGGGGATGAGAGGCTTGAGCACATCAAGAAACACCGCGGACAGGACAAAGAGGAGTTCGGCTTCATGAGCGAGCAGATTGATAGGGAAACCGGCTACATGGTCGGTGCAAAGGAACTAACCTGGAGTTACGTTCAGTTCGTGAGAACGAAGTGGAGCCGTGACAGAGTCATGGAAGAAGCAGAGCACAGAGGATTAGCGTGTGACTGATCTGTTTGTGTTAAATGCTAGTAGTTAGTTGTGCGACTAGTTAATAATATATTATGCGAACCCTATTCCTCAACAGCAGCCTTCTTACTCTTCTTTCTCCTCTTCCTCTTCCCACTCTGCTCCCCATTCTCCTCTCCTCCCTCAACCGCCTCACCCACATCCTCCCCCTTCGCCTCCGCCTCCGCCGCAGCCCTCTGCTGCCTCATCTTCTCCCTCTGCGCCTTCTCCACCTCCTTCCCAAACACCTCCTGCCTCCACTGCTGCAACCTCTTCTTCTTCGCATACTTCCTCTTATCCTTCATCACCTGCTCCCTCGTCCTAAACGGATTCAACTTCTTCAAACCAATGAATTCGTTGAGTTGGGTGTCGTCCGCGAGGAGGATATCGGCGGGTGAGAGACCGAAGTCTTCGGATTCGACGGTGCGGTATTTGAAGCGGGTTGGGAGGTCGCCGATCATGTCTTCGTAGTCGAGTTGGTAGTGGTTGTCAATATAGTCGTCGAGTTTTCGCTTTTTGTCCAGAATCTCCTTTCTCTTTTCCTTGCGGGAGGTTCTGGCTCTCTCGCCCTCAACGGCATAGTCCGCATCCATGATGATTTCCTCCCCATTCTCGTCAACCATAGTAGCCGGCTTGTTCTTCGCGTTCTTCTTGCTGAATTCAGGCACGATATCATCGATATCAATATCATCATCAAACGTCGGCTTCGTATCCTTCCCCTCATAATACTTATCATCAAAAGCCTCCTGCATCTTCCGATCCCACCTCTCCGGATCAAACTCCCCCTCCAAATCAACATCATCAAACGGCACCGTCTCACTCCCCGTAATCTCCGCAATCTTCTTCAACTTCTCCTCAATCTCCTTCCTCTTCAAATTCTTCAATCGTCGCAATTCTTCGAGTTTCTGCTGTTTCTCGAGTTCTTTGCGTTCGTTGCGGGCGTCGCGTGCGGCTTTGCGTTTGTCATCTTTGCGGCGGACGGAAGTTATGTTACGGGCGTGGCCGACGATGTCTGCTGCGCCGGCTTCTTCGTAGCGGAAGTTGTAGGCGTTTTCGAAGTGGTCTACGCGGTCGTCAAATTCATCTTCGTCTTCCTGGACGATCTCGTCGTACGTGGGAACTCTCGAAGCATCCTTATCCATCCATCCACGGTTCATGATGAAGTTCATCAAGAACTCTTCACCCTTCTCTTCGTCATCGTAGGCGACCTCGGTGACCTTGATATCCTTATCCTTCTTCGCTTTGTCGAGCCATTGCTTCAATTCCTCGTCGCCAGCGGCTTCGATCAAGAACTTCTTGTACCCATCCTCTTCGTCCGCCATCTCCTCGTTTCCCTTCTTCCTCGCTACGAGGAGATCGTCATCATCCTCATCCTCCTCCGCACCAGCATGGAACGCACTCGAGATCTCAGCCTTGAGTTTCGCCTGTTCCTGCACGTGGGTCATATCATACTTCTCCCTCATTTGTGCACCAAAATCCGCGTCCGCGTCAGCCATGTCTTCATCCTCATCTCCCCCTCCCTCCAAAAGATTTCTGCGGTGGTAATCCTTGAGGAACATGGGTTTACTCTCCTTCGCCTTCTCTCTCGCCTCCTTCCTCTGCTTCTGAAGTTCCCTTTCCGCCTCCTCAAAGTTGAATGGCTTATCTTTGTCGAACAACTCCTTATCCCCCGACCTAATCTTCGCAATCGTCTTCAAGATAGCGGCATCAACGGCCGGCGTCAACAACTCTGCATCCTCATCCTCCGTCTCGTCTTCCGAATCGGTCTCAGAATCTTCATCATCCTCAGGGTCTTCCGCGTTGACGAGATCACGCGCATGCTTCACCTCGAGACGTTGGCGTTCTTCACGTTCCTTGTTATGCTGGAACCGCTTTGCGTAATCCTCGTTAATCTTCAACTCCCCGAGATCCTCCTCATCCGACTCATCCAAGAATCCATTGCCTCCCTTCTTCGTCTTCTTCTCCACGGGAGCGGGAGCGGGGGCGAATGGGGCGGAGGTAGTGTTCTTGAGGTGAGCGACGACTTCGTCGGAGACGACAGCCTCCTCACGGGCCTTGCGAGCGGCGGACTTCTGCAGAGGATGTTAGACATAGAAATAAAGGAGATGAAGGAGTTTACTGACCTTCCTGGGCATGTTCAGGGTGTTGCTGCACGTATCTGCACGGCGATATGACTTTTGTACGGCGGTTTTTTACCAGGTGAACGAGCCAGCACGTGCACGCGTACGGCCATAACCTTGATCTGTTGAGGGGGAGGATGCACTTTTTTTAAAAGATCAAATCTTGTGTTTTAGTAACTTTCAATAGCATCGAAACGTCTGCTGTCGGTGGGAAGTATGGTGGACCCTGCCTTCCCATGGATCCGCGATTTCATCATAGCTGTGGGGGACATCTCACACCCTCAACACGTAAACCAAACCCCATAACACCAAACATACACAAAATGCCTTCTGCCGAATTCACCAAAGCCGCCGAGGAGGTATAATCATTCGCTCCCACATTCCTAGTCTGTGTCTAACGAAGGATTGTACAGGTCAAGAACCTCTCCAAGAAGCCCACCGACGATGAGCTCCTCTGCCTCTACGGTCTCTTCAAGCAGGCTACCATTGGTGACAACAACACTGACAAGCCTGGTATGTTTGATTTGAAGGGCAAGTACAAGTGGGAGGCGTGGAACAAGTTGAAGGGTGAGTGATCTCTTGTCATGATAGCCTTGCTCGATCTCGTCCCGCGTGCGCAATTGCGTGGAGGGGTTGGGATGGGGCAATTGGACATGCTTTTGTTTGTGAATGAGTGTGCTGATCAGTGCTGTTTAGGTACTTCCCAGGAGGACGCCGAGAAGCAGTACATCGCCTTGGTCGAGGAATTGAAGGCCAAGAACGCTTAAACATTGCCCAACTTTGCAGAAGAGAAAGTGTGTACGATACATTAATATCATTTTGTTCACATTGATTATTGCACCACGGTCGGTCGAATTGGCAATTGACTAATTTCATTGGTATCTATCGAGTCCAACGTCCAAAACGTTCCATAAAAATCCAAGGGAAGGTAATCAGTAACAGAGAGAAAACTAAACACTTAAACGCCGGCCGATCCCGGATATCACCGTAATATACTGACACTCGCCATCCCTTCTCATCAACCCACACCCACACCTTTGTTCGTAGCTTAGAACTGGTATCGGAACTCCAACTCCTCATCCCCAGTCTTCCCAGCAAAATTACTCGCATCAGCCCCAGGCGTCTGCTCAACCCTATCCCTCTCCGCATTCAACCTCTTCAAATGAATGTACATAAACACATACCCAACGACAGCTACACCCATCGCACCCACACTCGTTCCATACCCCACCCAATACCTCGGACTCTGGTAGTAAATCTGTCCAGCGACGACACCACCAAGATTACCGAGCGATTGTTGAATTCCGACCGCAGTGGCACGTTTGTAGTGTCCGGCAACGTTGATGTTGAGCCAGCCCAGGTTGAGACCGGGACCAATGTAGACTCCGGCTGCGATGAGGAAGGTTGCGAAGTAGAGTACGCCGGCTTTGGTGACGGTGAGGAAGAGGATGTAGCCGATGATCATGATGATGGACATCACCAGCAAAATCCCGAAACGCTTCTTGGTGCGATCGGCGATGATGGCGACGACGATGAAAGTGAAGGAGCCGAAGAGGTAGACGGGGACGGTCAAGAGCTGTGCGTGAACGGAGGAGTAACCCATTGCGCGGATAATTGCGGGCAAGAAGGTAGAGAAGCCGTACAGGGAGATATCGGCGCAGAACTGGATAACAGCCGAAAGCCAGACTTTAGGGTCACGAGCGGCCTTACGAGTCTCGGCCCAGTCGAATTCCTCCGATCCACGGTAGCGAGCGGTGATTTCTTGACGGGCCCTGACCAAAGCCCTCTCGTCCTCGTTTAAGAACCACGCGAGCTTGGGGTCGTCGGGGAGTGTGAAGTACACGAGGACAGCGACGAGGATAGAGAAAGCACCCTCGATGATATAAAGCCACCTCCATCCCGCATACCCACCAACGCCATCCATATGCGAAATACCATACGCGATCAACCCACCGAAAGCACCAGACACGGCGGCGGCGGTAAAGAGGTACGAGAGACGCTTCGACTGCTCTTCACGCTTGTAGACCATGGTGAGGTACAAGTTAAGCGAAGGGAAAAGACCAGCTTCGCATGCACCCATAATGAGACGCACCGCGACGAGACCAGCGTAGTTGTGCACGAAACAGGTGAAGATGGTACACAGCGACCACGCAATCACCGCACACGGGATCATCCGCGAGGGACGAATAATCTTGAGCAACAATGCCATCGGTGTCTCGAAGAGACAGTATGTGATGTAGAAAATCGATGTAGCGACGTTGAATTGCGAACCCACGAGACCAAGGTCTTCGGGCATGCCTTGGATTTTGGCATTTCCGATGTTGGATCTGTCGAGGAAGGAAACGAGGTAGAGGAGGCCGATGAGGGGGGTGAGAACGAGATCGAGTTTGAACAAGAGTTTCTTTTCGGCGACGGGGTCGATGTAGATGTCGCTTGAGGATACTGCCTCGGGGGAGCGGTCACCAGAGTTGGTGAGCTCGAGGTCTTCGTTGTTGAGTTGTTTCTCGGCAGCCATGACCAAATAGTTGGAAGGGTTCGAGAATGTTGGAGATCAATTGGGTATGCGGTCTTGCTTATAACCTCGTCGCGTATGAAGTCGTGGTCGGTCGAGATAAGAAGTGTCAATCACTTGATCAAGGCGAAACGGCGACAACCGCGGGACCACCCTCCCGAGATGAAATAAGGATGGACACCGATTCGGTGATACGGGCGGTCCAAAGGTGGGGTTAGCTATGACCAGCCCCGAGCGCTTTCGATAAGCCTACGCAACATTTCCAAGGTTGTTTGGTGTGTGTAGATCTTGGTAGGGTTGACGGGGCGGGTGGAGCCCCTCCGTAGCGCGCGAATGTCCAGATAAAGGTGCACTAGACCCAGCAGCGAGACCATCGAAAAAATCATGCGATGAAGGGGGTGATAGAGGGGCTCCACCTGAGGTTCATCTCCGGTTCATTTTCTGTGCGGAGGAAAGTTCTGGGTAGTGCGGGTGGAAGCCTGGACCTGCTCACGAAGCAATCTGACGTGAAGGAAGAGTAAGGGAACAGTAACACCGAAGCCTATACACCTCCAATCAAAGCCCATAGCTAGTAGTGGTAGGCCCGCGTAATCACCTACCAAACCCATCCTATACTCTGGGACCGGCACGCCTCGCCTAGCTTCAGCTTCCCACACTGTTTTAGCGTTGAGACCCGCTAATCCTCGCTCCGCGGACCTTGTGTGTGTGTGAAACGAACGGCATCTGAGAAATTACAATTCGAATACTGATACTGTACCCGAGCGGTGCTCCTCCTCTTCTTCCTCGGGAAAGCGGAGACATGCGCTTTCATGAGCAGCTTGCAATTGCTGAGACTTGAGGAGCGAGCTTGCTTGAGATGCCCCGCGTGTCGATTGCGGCGGGGGGGTGCCGGGAGGGGCACCGCTCGGGTGAAAAATCTCCGGTCCTGTGACATGATGAGAAAAGTTTGGAATTGATCTGATATGAGTGTCAGATTGAGGGTGATAGAGGGGTAGACTGCTTGTGCGTAATAGGATCTTGGGTCCGGCTGGTGATGGGAGGGGAAGGGGTAGGGGTATGGGAAGTCTGGACCTCGAAAGTCTGGAGACGAGATCCAACGGCCAGCCTTCTCACGGCGCTGAGTAGCACTTGCAATCATAGGATAACGACAAGTTCACTGACTCTTATAACAATACTCTTACACTCCCCTGTCCATCTCTATCTACTCCTCCTTCTTCACGACATCCCAATCCCTCGCATCAAGCACAACCATATGCCCCGGCGCATGTCCCATAACAACCCCCTCCAATCCCGCCCTCATAACCGCTTCCTGTGGCGTAACCCCACACGCCCAAAACACCGGAACATTCTCCTCATCCCCCTCCACCTCACTCAATTTCCTCCCATCCAAGGTCAAAGGAGCATCTCCCCACTCCGGGGAATCAATGGAAGAGATACCAAGGGTGCGGAGGGCTGACCAACCCCAGGCGATGGGTTCGCCGTGGGTTGCGGTGTAGGGACGGGTTATTGTGCGGGTGGATTCGATGAGGTGGCGGGGGTAGGGACGCATGGAGACGACGTAGGTGCTGCCTGTGAAGGCACCCGCGGGGCAGAGTGGAACAGTGGTGCGATACATCGGTACATTCCTGTTCATGACCGTATGCCGGGGTGCGAGACCACCAGACGTAAGCGCGGACTCGAAAGAGTACGAACAGCCGATGAGGAACGCGACGTGGTCTTCTGTCCATTCTTCCATCACGTCAGGACATTCGAACTTGATCAACTTTCCATCCCGGTAGACCATGTAGCGCGGTGCGTCCCTTCTGACATCAAACTCCGCTGCCACGCTGCCATCTTCCACGCCTTCGATCCAGCTCTTTAGCCCGCTCCAGTCTCCCACAGCCGCGCTCTCTGCCAACAGGGGACACGGTACTGGGTTCCGTGCGCAAAGGAGACGGAAGTCTGGGGCGTAGCGAGAGGGAAGGATGAGGAGGTTTGCTTGGAGGTAGGTTGGGGCTAGGCCGGAGGTCGAGGTTGTGTAGGTGTTGTCGCGGGCTGCGAGGCGGGCGGAGAGGCCGGTTGGGTAGGGGGAGGAAGGAACTCCATTGGAGGATTTCGTTGACTTCGTAATCGCAGGCTCGGTGGTCTGTGAAGGGACCGTGGTTGGGTCAATTGTGACTTGTAGTGATGGTGCCATGTTGATCGCGTAGAGATAGAGAGAGGGTAGGATGTTGGTATCGACGAAGTGGAGGGAGGTGAGAGCGGTTTTGACTGATCTCACGGAAGACTGTCCACCGGCGTCGGATATCTTACCCGGCCCTTGAGAGTGGAGCTCCAGTATCTATCATACCACATCGCCTCGCACTCGCAACCCATTTTCCCGAGGTGGATCAACAAGTGGAGCTCCATCGAGCGGCGGCGTCTCATCTCCCTTGACGGAGCGATATGCCTATCTCGGGGTCCGAGCGCGCCCAAAGTGGAGCCCCGCCTTGCTCGGCCCCACATGTCCATGTACCCACCGCTGCCACACTGTAAGGTCCCGGAGGAGCTCCTCCCCATATCTGGCATTACCGAACGATCCGGTTACTCGGTGTATCGTCAACCATCAACCTCCTCCTCCAAGTGATCGGACTTGTCAAGATACTCGCCGGAAGTACTTATACCCCCCTCCTCCTCCTCGGCCGAAATGTCTCCATCAACGGATCAGATCCATACACACACGAACAATAACGACATGGTCGACAAATCACTAGCAATCAGAATCTCTATCGACCGTGGAGGCACCTTCACAGACGTCCACGCCTCCATCCCAGGCCGTCCGGATGTCATCCTCAAGCTCCTCTCCGTCGATCCCTCTAATTACAAAGATGCCCCCACCGAGGGAATTCGTCGAATCCTTGAGATCGCGACGGGAACTCCACACCCCCGTGGCGAGCTCCTGGATCTACGACATGTGGAGGCGGTAAGGATGGGTACGACGGTTGCGACGAATGCGTTGTTGGAGAGAAAGGGTGCGCGGAGTGCATTGCTTATTACCAAGGGCTTCAAAGATTTGCTTGGCATCGGAAACCAATCCAGACCCAAGATCTTTGATTTGTCTGTTGCGAAGCCGGATGTGCTATACGAGAAAGTCATTGAGGTGGACGAGCGTGTCACCCTCGAAGGCTACGCCGAGAACCCGCGCCCACAACCCATCGACGTCAACTCTGACTCTGCTCTCCGCAAGGGCATCACCGGCGAAGTCGTCCGCGTCATCAAGACGCCGGACATGGAATCCGTGAAGAAGAGCTTACAAGAATTGTGGGATGACGGATTCAGAAGTATTGCGGTGGTCATGCTCCACTCTTACACTTACCCCGAACACGAGAACATGATCGCGAACGCCGCGATCGAGATGGGATTCTCGGTTGCGATTTCGGCGCAATTGCAGCCTATGATTAAGGCTGTTCCCCGTGGTACCTCTGCCACTGCCGACGCTTACCTCACCCCCGTCATCAAGACCTATATCGACTCCATTTCCTCGAATTTCCGCGGCGGGTTGGGAAGTCACGGATCCAGATGTGAGTTCATGCAGTCAGATGGTGGTCTCGTCGATTTCCGCAAGTTCTCCGGTCTCAAGGCCATCCTCTCCGGACCCGCTGGTGGTGTCGTCGGATACGCTCAGACCTCGTACGACGAAGAGGAGAAGGTCCCCGTTATCGGATTCGACATGGGTGGTACTTCGACGGATGTTTCCCGTTATGGAGGAATCTACGAACACGTCTTCGAGACCACCACGGCTGGAGTCTCCATCCAGTCTCCTCAACTTGACATTAACACCGTCGCGGCTGGTGGTGGATCCATGCTTTTCTGGCGTAACGGCCTTTTCGTCGTGGGACCCGAGTCAGCCTCCGCCCACCCTGGACCAGCATGCTACAGAAAGGGCGGTCCCTTGACGGTGACCGACGCCAATTTGTTCTTGGGAAGGTTGTTACCGGAGTACTTCCCCAAGATCTTCGGTCCCAACGAAGACGAGCCCCTCGATCGTGAGACCACGGCGAAGAAATTCGCGGAGTTGACGGTGCAGATCAACGAGGAGCAGCGCGCGAATGGTGGATCCGAGTTTACGCCCGAGGAAGTTGCGCTCGGGTTCTTGAAGGTCGCGGACGAGTCGATGTGTCGTCCCGTTCGTACCCTCACTGAGGCTCGTGGACACGATACGTCTGCGCATAACCTCGCTTCTTTCGGTGGTGCAGGTGGTCAACACGCCTGTTCCGTCGCTGACGCACTCGGTATCTCGAGGGTTGTTATCCACAAGTACTCCTCTATTCTCTCTGCCTATGGTATGGCCCTTGCGGATGTCGTGCACGAGGTTCAAGAGCCGGCTGCTACATCGTTCGATGCGGAGACCAAGGAGGAGGTCAAGGCTAAGTTGCACGAACTCATGGAGAAAGCCACACAAGAACTCTTGAGCCAGGGCTTCGAGGCAAACCAGGTCAAGCACGAAGTCTACCTCAACATGCGCTACCATGGCTCCAACACCGCCCTCATGATCCTCAAGCCTGAAGCCTCCGAAGACTGGGATTTTGGCGCAGAATTCACGAAGAGACATCAGCGCGAGTTTGGGTTCACGTTTGATTCCAAGGCGATTTTGGTTGATGATCTTCGTGTTAGGGCGATTGGGGCTTCGTTTGCGACGGGGGAGGTTAGCCCGTATCAGCAGATGAAGGCGGTGGAGGGGAAGGAGGTTAAGGTTCCTGAGGCGGATGGTACAACGAAGGTTTACTTTGGTGCGGAGAATGGGCGTGTTGACACTCCTGTCCATCAACTCCAGAGCCTCGAGGCTGGTGCCAAGATTCAGGGTCCGGCGATGATTATTGATCAGACGCAGACGATTGTGTTGGTGCCTAACGCTACTGCTCATATTTTGGAGAGGTGCGTTGTGATTGACTTGGGCGAGAAGAAGACGATTGCGTCGCAGTCTCAGCAGGAGGAGATCAAGATCGATCCCATCCAGCTCTCGATTTTCGGACATAGATTTATGTCGATTGCTGAGCAGATGGGTCGCACCCTCCAGAAGACTTCCGTTTCGACCAACATCAAGGAGCGTCTTGACTTCTCTTGCGCGTTGTTCTCGCCTGATGGTGGGTTGGTCGCCAACGCTCCGCACGTTCCCGTGCACTTGGGATCGATGCAGTATGCGGTCCGCTACCAGCATAACTTGTGGAAGGGGAAGTTGAAGGATGGTGATGTCTTGGTTTCCAACCACCCTATGTGTGGAGGTACCCACTTGCCTGACATCACTGTCATCACTCCTGTCTTCGACAACGGCGAGATCGTCTTCTACGTCGCATCTCGTGGTCACCACGCTGATATCGGTGGATGCTTGCCGGGATCTATGCCTCCCACTTCCACCGAGCTCTGGCAGGAGGGCGCAGCCATCGAGGCCGAGAAGATCGTGTCTGAGGGCAAGTTCAACGAGGAGAGGATGACCGAGCTCTTGCTCAACGAGCCTGCCAAGTACGACGGCTGCTCCGGTACCCGTTGCTTGCAGGACAACTTGTCTGACCTCAAGGCTCAGGTCGCTGCCAACACCAAGGGTATCTCCCTTATCAAGGCCCTCATCGAAGAGTATGGATTGAAGTGCGTTCAGACGTACATGTTCGCCATCCAAAAGAACGCCGAGGTCGCTGTCCGCGAGCTCTTGAAGCGTATGTACAAGAAGTTCGAGGGACAGCCGCTCGAGGCGATCGACTACATGGATAACGGTACCCCCATCGCGCTGAAGGTTACGATCGATGGTGAGAAGGGTGAGGCTGAGTTTGACTTTACCGGCACTGGACCTGAAGTCTACGGTAACATCAATGCTCCTTCTGCCATTACGCATTCTGCTCTCATCTACTGTTTGAGATCCTTGATCGAGTCCGAGATTCCGCTGAACCAGGGATGTCTCAACCCCATCTCCGTCATCATCCCCCCTCGCTCCCTCTTGTCTCCTTCTAAGGGTGCTGCCGTTGTCGGTGGAAACGTGCTCACCTCCCAACGTATCACCGACGTCATCCTCAAGGCTTTCCGTGCCTGTGCTGCCTCCCAGGGATGCTGTAACAACCTAACCTTCGGTACGGGTGGAAAGACCGAAACTGGTGAGCACGTCGAGGGGTTCGGATACTACGAGACCATCGCTGGTGGATCTGGAGCTGGACCTGCTTGGGATGGACAGAGTGGTGTCCACACGCACATGACCAACACCCGTATCACGGATCCCGAGATCTTCGAGAAGAGGTACCCGTGTATCCTCAGGCAGTTTGCGTTGAGAGAGGGATCTGGTGGCGACGGTCTTCACCCTGGAGGTGACGGTGTCATCCGTGATATCGAGTTCATGGTGCCTGTTCAGTGCTCCATTCTCTCCGAGCGTCGTACCTACCGTCCTTACGGTTTGGAGGGTGGAGGCGACGGTGCCGCTGGTCTCAACCTGTGGGTTAGGAAGGATGAGGAGACGGGTGAGGAGCGTGTTATCAACCTCGGTGGTAAGAACACTGCCAACTTTGGTGCCGGTGACCGTATCGTGCTTTACACTCCTGGAGGTGGTGCGTGGGGTGCTAAAGAGGGTGGTGAGAGAAATGTTGTCAAGGGTGCTCAGAACCAGCTTTTGGCGAAGGGTTCTGTTGATGCTTATAGGTTGATGCAGGAGACTAACTAGATCTGATACCATATACTTCTTTTTGAGATTTGTTTTATAGTTTTGTACTGGAGTTAGCTATTGTTTGGGATACATATATCATATCATTCTGTTGAACTTCGTGTACATATGTCGCAATCTGAGTTATTAGGTTCCCACGGTAGAAACAGCTGCACGTTTGCCTTGATAGTGGTAAAGAAGAGCTTGACGAGGTGTCGATTATATGTTGTCACGGTGTATCTATTTGAACAAGCGTCGTCCACTTGGTATCACTATCGATATCCGTGATGCCGTTACCGCCGCGGCTGCTTGGTCCTGGCCGTTTTCCGTGCACGTTTCCGGCGAACCTGAAACGTATTCGAGCGTTACCGGTATATCAAAACCGGAAATGGGAACAGAAGTTCTTATCATAGGTATAAGGAGACAAATGTGATTTGATTGTTCCCACCTCCACCTCCCAATCCCTAAATAAAGCTAACCCCAATGTCCGTATCCATTACCCATGGCCATATTACCGCGTCCTTTCTGTATATTGGGACGTTCTGCACTAGAACCGTCCCAAACTGAATCCATCCAACATCGTACAATGTCCCTGATCATCTCCCTCTCTGTCTTCCACATGGCTCCACTCCACCAAATGACCTATGGTACATCCTCATCAACAGACCACACCGGTCCCCACGCTCCCCATGCAGCCAATAACCATACACCCCAAATGCCCAGCCCCACAATAACCACTTATGTCCGACTCAACCCCATCAAAGCCTCGACAACCTCCTCCTCCTCAACCTCACTCCTCGTCCTCGCCTGCGTCTCCTTCAACGCCTTCATCGCCTCATTAATCCCACCCCCATGACTAACAGCCTCATTCAACGCCGCCAACGCACTCTTTCCTCTCACCACTCCTCCGGGTCTCATCGAGGACGAAAACGATTGTTTGCGGAATTGGAGAGAGGAGGAGGGGGTGGTGGCGTCGAGACGGGGGGAGGAGTGGTGGGAGCTCGAGGTCGGATAGGGTTGTGCGAAGTGGTGGTTATCTTTCCAGCTCTTCCCCAGCGAGGAGGAGAGTGCGGACGCGAATTTTGGGAATGAGGAGGTGGTTGGGTTAAGCGATGGACTCCTCTTCACACTGCTCGTCGTCGAAGGACTCGGCATACCGTGGCCACCCACAGGTCCAAACGCCGGACTCCACCCCCCGTTCCCGTTCCCATTCGCCTTTGACGGGGAAGCAGAACCAGCGCCGACGGCTGAGGAGAAGGACGTACTTCTGAACCCACTCACCGGGAAACCCTCACTAACCCTCCTCGTAAACATCATCGGCGGTGCCTCCCCCACACTCCCTCTCCCCTTCCTCATCCCTCCCTCCTTCTTCGCACCAACAACCCCCGCCGTCGAGAAACTCTTCCTCCCTAAACTTGGTCTCGGGAGACCCGGAATCGATGGCCGCCGCAGCTCTTCCGCTCCGATCTCGCGCCAGTCTTCGGAGTCGGTGGAGTCGGAGTCGGAGTCGAAGGTGAAGTTGAGGGGGTGATGCGTCGTGGTCGAGGAGGAGGGGTGAGAAGTTGAGGTTAGGTCGAGGGGGTCGATATCGTCTTCGGGGTGAAGACGTGTACGTCCCCTTTCCTCAGCATCATCCTCGTCCTCGTCTTCGTCCGACGAGTTGGAGGTGACGGAGTCAGATGTGGATCCACGATCCGCCGGCCCAACAGCAGGTGATTGGAGGATAAGGAACGACCCACCCCCACCCGATCCCGGAAAACTCGGCGAGTTGACAAACGAAGTACCCAACCCACTTCCACCCAAACACCCACTCACCACCGGACCCACCGCCGGACTATCCATGGACCCCGGACTAAACGAACTCGGTCTCTCACCCACTCCCATCCCAGGTGTGAGCCCCGCCCACCGCCCCCACCCAACTTTCTCAAAACACCTCCGATCACGTCTCCCGACCTCGAGAGCTTTCGTCACGACCCGTCTCTGTCTCGCAGCGCCCAACCTAGCGAATGCGGGGACGTGTGCGACGAGGTGTGTCGTGATATGACGGATGGCTAGAGGTCCTTGGGTCGTGAGGAGGGGATGGATGTACGTGGTTGCGAGGGCGGTTGGGTGGAGGGTGGGGTCGGCAAATGGTGAGGAGGAGGTGGATGGGTCAAAATCGGGGGAGGGGAGTTCGATGTCGATATCGGCGTCCTCCTCGTCGATGTCATCCCTGTATTTGGCTCCGTAGCCACCGTTCTGGGTAGAGTCACCGTGTTCCTCGTCGTGTTCGAAGCCAACGACGTCGATCTCCATGTCACTTTCCTCTCCATCCATGCCGTTCATCCTTCCCGTAGCTCCACCAACTCCCATACCGCTGCTCTTAGGAGCCAAAGCCGGGCTGACGGAGCTCTTCGGGGTAGGCAACTGAGTACCGGCTGCGCGGCCATGGATACCCAACGAACCCAGCGAAGCCAACGTAGCAGCAGCGTCCTTCTTCCTGTTAGCGACGTCAACGGGGCCGGAAGCACCAGCGGACGGGAGGGAAACGGTGGAAGTCGACGACATCGGGAAGAAACGGGATGATAGGAACGTGTTGACGAAACGTAGACGTTACTTGAACTTGTAGATGATTGAGCTGACGCCTTCAACAAGCTTGGAGCTCCAACAGATTGTCGAAGCTGTTTGTTGCGGACTGAGGAATTTACGCGGCGACTCAATCCAAGGGTCGCACGATCCGCAGTTCACCCCCCGCGTTGGGTCACCGTCACGCGCGCTACCGGTATAGGATAGGATAAGGATTCGATAAAGAATCGCGATGCTATTATACGATGGAAATCAAACCCTACTCCCGCCATGCCCTTCCGACGTATGAAAAGATCCAGCGAAGACCAGAGCAGAATCGATTTCCCCTAGAAAACCACCACCGCAGCTGCTGAGTCATTTCCCTTGGATGCGCTCTTTGAGCCGCGGCACCCGTCATAGCGTGAGTGAATTCTAGAACTGCACGTGACGTGACGCAACACACAACAATCCCATCGGAAAGTTGAAAGGGAGACCCCATCTACTCACCCTTCTAGCTGTAGATCTGACACTTCAACTCCACCGCCAAACAAACTCATCGAATCAAGACGCACGAGCCGGGGTGGAGGAGGAGGCTATGGACGAAACCATAGGTTAGGAATATGCTTGCATCAAAGCGATGCCATAAACAGAGCGTCACACCAACACGAGGTAGCGGTGACAACTAACCTGTCGTAAACCCCCATTCACACCAAGCTTGCTCGCACCAGATTCTTTCACACCGGCGGTGACATCGTATAGGACGTAACTATGGGCGAGACCATAGGTTAGCAACTGTCCTCCATGTGAACACGATGCACTTTCGAGCAACATGCCCACACGGAGCCCCGTCCGCATCCTCGTGGGAGCATGGGGGTCCGCGAGCTACACAAAGTAGAGCGGGACTAACCTTTCGTACATGTGTCCTCGTTCTCACAGCGTCCGACTCGTTCGACATACCGCATAGGGTCGGCCTATGGACGGAACCATAGGTTAGCATCACGGCTCGACGCCATCAATTTCTTGGTTCGCACATAACCACCGCCTGGTACCGGACAGAGCGGGACTGACCTTTCGCAAGAACCTACAATCACCCGAACGAGTCCGAGGTCAATCGTTGCGTCAAACGACAAAGCTATGGGCGAACCACAGGTTAGTCACCATCCAACAGAAATCTCGCGTGTCTAAAACCTTTGTGCACAGACTCGTCTCGATGAAGACAACCAGGGCCGAGAACGAGGGAACTTTGGGCGACACCACAGGTCAGCAACCTAAATTACACCTACTTCTGCGACCAGCCGTGTGCACCGCAAAAGCCTTCCTCATTCCATAAGAATGGAGTCCACAGAGATACACACCTTTACTCGTATCGCCCCCAAGCTCCGCGCAACCGTTCCTGCTACCACACGATGGCGAGCGATCAACATCGTGTAACCACCTCTTCTTCTCCTCCTCCTCCTCCACGGACCACACCGCCCACGCGCCCATAGCTCACTTACTCGGCGTATCCATCGGTGTGATAAGCGTATTCCCCCTCCTCCAAAACCTCAACACATGCAACTTCTCCCGCCCCGCAGTCCGCTTAACAACAACATCCCCCTCAACCCCACCCCCACTCCACCTCCTCACAACCTCCATAATCTCCCGCGGTCGGTTCTCACTAACCGCAACCAAATAAAACACACCACGGTCACTCAACACCTCCCCTAAAACACTCAACACATCCCACGTTCCAGCCATCATACCGTCTGCGCCGCCGGCCCAGGTGGCGGCTATGGTGCCTGTGTTGTCGATTTCGGAGGAGGAAGTTGGGACGTAGGGGGGGTTGAAAAGGAGGATGTCGATTTGGTTGCGGAGGCGGGGGGAGAGGAGGGGGTTTATGAGGGAGGTGCGGATGGGGTCGAGGTGGTGGGGGTGGGTTGGGGATGGGAGGTTTGCGTGGGAGCTTAGGAGGGTTGCTGGACAGGCTTTTGGGGATATGTCGGTGCAGAGGTGGACTGTGGGGTAGTTGTATGCGTTAGTATGAGATGGGTAAAGGAGGAGGGGGTGTATGCGGGGGTGTATGCGTACTTGAATTGGTGTGTCCGAATACACTCGCTTGCAAGAACGTCGAAACACACCCCGAACCAGAACTGTGTGCCTTTGGTTAGTTCTTTAACCCTTGAGTAAGGTATACCTTACAAGAACACACCCTATCTCAACACACAACGGCAACCCCTCCCCATCCTTCCGGATATTCCTCAGCATCTCTGCATCTTGCTCCAAAGCATCGAGGAGGATGAAGGTGTCTTCGGCGGGTTCGTAGATGTGTTCGTAGTCACGTTCGGTGAAGTGGGAGAGGGTGGGTGTTGGTAGCATTGTTCTTGGTCGTTGCTCAATAGGGGTAAAGTATGACGAGGAGAGCGGACCGTAACCTTAATTCGACGTGTGCTGAGAATCAGATGCAAAACTGCCGCGTATCGATAAGGCAAGACAAAACACTACACCAAACTTTCGGCCTTTCAGAAAAGTTGGATAAAGGATCGAGATGGACGACGTAGACACCCACAGTCGCTCCCCATCTCCAGCCTTCGACGACGACGAAATCCTCCCCGGTCCCCCCTCTCGCCCCACTCGCCGCGAAATCCTCGAACACAAAGACCTCCTCAAATCCCTCGACCACACCGACGCCCACAACATCTCCCTCCACGCCCTCTCCTCCCACAACCTCCGAAAACGCCTCCGTCCCTCCTCCACCGATCCCGATGTGTACCAAGAAATTGAAACCGAAGATGGGAGAATCGTCAAGAAAAAGATGAGGTTGAATCGGGTATGGACAGCGTGGCCTATGCCTGCACATCTCGTCCCGCGACCACGGGGGGAGGGTCGGTGGGGTATACACCCATCCGCGCCGCTCCGAGACGAGATCCACGCCGCTTTCCACCGGATCTCGAATGCGGCTCTACATTCCGCTGGTCTCGAGCCCTCTGCGGCGGATATACCAGACCACCCAGCCCACACCGCAATCCACGCCCTCGAACCCGCAATACTCGGACGAATCGATGACTTGCTTCAGGCTGTTGCGAAAATGCGCGCGAGGCAGGGTGGTAAAGCGGATGGCGACCGTTTATCGAAGGTTTGCGCAGGACAGCTACTGAGTATCGCAGAGAGTATCTCAAAAAGCTGGGATCCGGACGCGGTGCAGAGGGCACGGGCACGGATGGAGAGCCTACTCGGCGCGGATGAAGTATGGAATCCACCACGACGAGAACACACAACCCCTCCAGTCCCCGACCAAGAGCAGGAGCAGCTAACGATGCCCCCAACCCTCCCCCTCCCCTCCTTCCTCGATGATCCCTCTCGCAGCCACTGGTCCCACCTCTCGCACATCCGTGGGCGGAAAACTCCTACCCTCACAAAACCACCACGAGCATGGCAACCGCCGAAACCCGCGACGGCGACAGCAGCCGCAAAGAGAGCAGCAGCAGCAGCAGCACAAGAGGCAAAGAGAGCTACAGCATTGAAGGAAGGAGGGGAGGAGGTGCACGACGAGAAGGGTGGAGAGCACAACCACCACCCACACCTCAAAAAGTCGAAAAATCATGAGTGTCCAGGTTGTGGAAAGGGATTTACGAGGAAGGGTAGTCTTCATACGCATATGAAGCAGAGGTGCAAAGAACTTCAAAAAGAAGACGAGGGAGAAGAAGGATAGGGTGAAAGATATCGATCTTGGGATGGGTTTAGGACACCGCATCGCGAACGAATTCGAACCGTGGTGAAGAAGACAACAGACAGCCAAATTTAACCTCCCGGGTCTTAGTTCAGCTAGCTAGCACTTACGCATCATCACATAATCAATGTCTCTGGAGATTTGCCGTGCCGAACGTCTATAACTATCCCCATGCTCGTGCTCATAACGGCCCAATCTCCAACCCCCCCATCCTCCTCTCGAAATTCATCTCCACCCCATCAGCAGCCTCGACTTCTTTAACAACCTCCCCATCACCAACCCTCTCATCCCTCCCCGTCCCTGCCAATGGCTCCTTGACTTCCTTCACCTCCTGTACCTCCTCCTTCCTCACTCCATCGCTTGGGTACGCACCAGGCGCACTCCCCGGCGTATCCGCCCGACTCAAACTCGTCGGACTTTGTACACTAGTACTCATAACATTCATCTCCTCATCCTTCCTCCCAAACCCCTCCGCCCACCACACGACCCCCTTCCCCTCCGGTACGATGACTCCCTCCACTCTTCCCGATTCCTCTGGTACGTAGGATGGATTCATCCACTCACTCCTCCGCGCAAGGAAGTAATCCCAAACACTCCGCGTCCGGTGGCGGAGATTCGCTTCATGGCGTTCCCGCTCGTTGTTGTAGAGAAACGAGCCGTATTGGCATGAATACGAATGGTATAACAACCTCCTCAAAAACCTTTCGCGGAACTCGAATCTCTTAGGAGACTGTCTCAGGATCTGATACACCCCGTCCAAAAACTGATGAAACACAGGCGAGGTGTTTTGGGTGTTGGTGTCCTTCTCCGCCTTTCGTCGCAGCTCCATCCACCGACTCTGTAACCCCGCCCCTGGACCCTCGAGTCTCTCTTTCCGGTTATCCACGAACGCCTTCTCGGACCCAACATAGCCCTGCCGATCGTTGAACCGATGTCCGAAACTCAACCAATCTTTCTCGACAAGCACCATGAATCCCTCGAGTGTTCTGTAGTACGGGTCGAGACAGAGTTGGGCGAGAGCGGAGAGTTGTGAGGTACGGTCCCAGCCGTCGGAGCAGTGGATTAGGACGTGGGAGTTTTGGTGGTGGAGGGTTTTGACGATAATGGAGACTCCGTCCATGATTGCCGAGATGTGCTTTAGCCAGCCGCTCTTGGCCAGGAGTTCGCGATTTGGGGGTAGTGGGGTCAAATCTGAGTCCTTGATCGCTGTAACCCCACGATGTTAGTCCTTGCACACGGCATTGGTCTGGTCTTGAAATTACCTTCGATGACTTTGTTAAGAGAATCCCGCATGACATGAATATTCTCGATCCCCAAATACACCTTTTTCGCGTCAGGATAATGCTCCATATTCTCGGTGCCAGCACCGATCAAGTTATTACTCATCGCATTAATCGTCGGCCGAGCATCCACAATCAAGTTATCCGACCCACAACCGCCGCCGTAAAGTGAGGGCGGAGCAGCTGGTGCGAGGACTGACGTGGGATTGGTGGAGTTGGAGTTCGAATTTGATGTCGTGCTTGAGAGTGATGTCGAGGATGTGGAGTGCGATAGGGTAGGGTGTGGATGACTCCCCGGCGTCGTTTCGAATATCGACTTTACCAATCTCTCATCCTGTATACTCCTCGCCTGCTTCAACCCCACCATAGGCTGACTCGACCGTGTGATGGAACACTGTACGTTTCCTGATTAGCTTTCCGTGCAAACACAAACAGATTTTGCGCATCGAGGAATGGAAAGTACCCCGTTGACTGAATGCAGGTATGTCAGAGCTGGTACTCGCGTCTTGCTGCGGTATTTTGAGGCGTATTGGAGGACGTTATCGGAGATGCATGCGGGTACTGCTAAGACTGCTGGGTATGTCGGTGAGAACTGCAACTTCCATTAGCATACAGCCGCTTCTCTCAAATGAATGACATACCGTATAATCCTTATTAACATTGGTTATCCGCCAATTGGGATTCTGACTGCCAACCCCCAATCGTTGATACTCCTTTACCGGATCCCACAACCCCCACCCATTCTGCGCTGCCTCGGATTTGCCGGGTGTATAAAAGAACGCATACATGCTCTCAATCGTTGCTGTTTCGACGCAAAGTCAGCACCGTACTGATTGTGGCGATTACGAACATGACGAGACCTTTGCAGCACAAAGCCTTGACAGACTCGAACACATCATTCGCCTGTCCCTCATCCGTGAAATTGAACGTGACGAAGACAAAGTCCCGGCAGCGGAGTCGCAGGGCTGACATCCCCCCGAAATTGGGTCGTCGATCGAGGGTGTGGATGATCGGATAACACACTGTAGGTCATGTCAGCCATCTGATAAAGCAGACTACGTCAGAACATGACCAACCCCATAACTCCGTATTCGGCGCAGAAAAGATAAGGTGATGTGTCGTTAAATGCAGCGTCCCAGTCACCGTGACGCCTCGTCGGATGAGCTGGACGTCTGGGACCTGTGGAATCTTCGTCAGATACTTGTTACCACATACCCCTATTTCGATGATCCTACCTTCGCTACCCTGATCAAATCCATCGCGGGTTGTAATTGGAGGGCATGAATGGCGGTGAGTGACGTGATGCGCGCTCCTGCATGTCCGACGTCAAGTGCGAATGCTGACGATAAGGCTGGATAAGGCGTGTGGGAGTGCGGAGGGCGACGAACAGACAGCTGACCATCAACGGAACTGACCAACATCCAAGGGAGTTTGCGAGTGATCTGAGAAGGATATAAGATCGAAATCGCTCGGTGATCAAGCCTGAGTGTCTGGCTATCGAACGAGACGAGGGACGCCTATCTTCCCCGCTTTGAGAGCTTATCGATATCGACCAAGATCCGCAAAACATCGTCATCCACGAAAGAAACCTCTCGCTTTGCTTCGTGTCCATTGTTACCGAAGCAAAGCAAAGCATCTCTACCGTCAGGCTTCACTCCCAACAACCTGACACGAGCTCGAGCTCGAGCTCCCAGTGACTCATTGACGCAATGGGCCTAACCTACAACACCTACCTCTCCTCCCCCTCCCGAATCTACGGCTGCAAAAAATGCAAAACCCACCTCGCAATAAACGAAGACATCATCTCCCGCGCATTCCGGGGCCAACACGGGAAAGCGTACCTATTCGAGAACGTGTAAGTTGTCCTCTCCCCCCATCGAGCCGTCAGGCGCGATCCTGTCCTCGAAATGCTGACTACTGGGTTGCGCACAGGGTCAACGTCACCACACTATCACCACAAGACCGCAACATGACAACAGGCCGCCACACCGTCCGCGATATCGTTTGTAGGGGGTGTAATGAGACGGTTGGGTGGAAGTATGATAGGGCGTATGAGACGAGGGAACAGTATAAGGAGGGGAAGTTTATTTTGGAGGCGGAGTTGTTGGTTTATGTGAAGTAGGGCACTGCACGCACCGATAGGTGGGTGCTGTGCGTGAACAACGCAGACAGGAGCGTGAATGAGGGGGGTGAAGGACAGAGAATGTGAGGAGAAGGATGAGAAGTGGTTATGAATGGGGTTACGGAGAGCATGTGGATGACAGCTGTGTATATGATGTACTGGGACCTAGCCTTTCGGATTTTGCGGGCGTTTTGTTGGGTTTTGAATTTGTTTGGGATTCTTTGTGTCTTCTTGGTTTCGTGATTTGGTGTTTTTGGTAGTACTTTCTCAATTGAATTGTTTAACTTTACTATGCGTTTAACGTCTCGATATTGTACTCGAAGGCCTCTCACCAGCAGGACAGGATCCATTGGTGGGTAACTCATCGCGACTGAACGGATTCAGAGAGGACTAATCCTTCCCAGCGTTGATAGCCGAGCTGATGTGTTTTGGACTGTAATCGTCAACTTACTTAGGTATGTTCACGTGCCTTCTTCCCGTCATTTCGATGATATACAGAAACCGGGGTTGTTACACCTTTCTTGTCTACGATGCGTGGGAACTTTTCACAACAGCCGGTTCGAGTGCTCAGAAGCTTGGTGCATTGCCTGCTGACATGTGACAGATGATGCATAATTCTTCTTTGGCTTCATAAATGTACGGCTACAGCACATCATGATGATAAATTCCATTGACGCCCTTTCTCAGACGATCGAAGAAGGTCCCTCAAAACTATCGACATGTAAACCGTTTATCCCGCAGGACTTTGAACTACCGAAGGGAAAGGGCTGTGTTGGAACATTCTGCACCCATGATCATCCATATGGAGTGAAAGAAACGTAACTAACAACCTCCTTTAATATTTTCGTCATACCGCACGATTTCCTCGAGCTCGTGACCTTCGGGAACTCGAACTCAGTTAGGTAAACCGTTCGGAACGACTTTTGAGACCTCCTTTATGACGTTCTACTACCGAGGTTACCGGCTAAAGCTTCAATGTTCTGTGCCGGTAAGTCTGACTGTGGTACGTGTCATCGGTGTGCTCAGACCCCTTCGTCATGCCCGGGCAATTGCAACCCCCAAAAAGGACCAATAGCCCCTGTCTCGTCTATTTCCGTAGATGCCCCCTGAAATCCGGGGCACGAGCGTGGGAGCAAATCCGGCGCCTAGCTCAGCGCGTCCAGATAACGAGTACCAACAAGACCACGGCCAGCACAGCCCTGCCAAAGAACGACTCACTCTCGTCTTGATGTTCCGAAGTTGCCAGTAACAGTCGGAGTTAACTTAGGTTTCTCGACTTCTGCCGGACCGAATGAAGATCGACACGAACTCAGCGTGTCATTAGGCGTGTCAAGCTTCTTCACATAGAAACACACAACCGTCTCACCACGCACGATGAAGTTCGGTCCAAGCACCCCCCAACCTTCTGCACCCGAGGCAGACCATCTACGTCACTCCTCTTGCTTCCCTCTCGTTCCTTCTAGCCCTTTACTCCTTTCCCAGAGTTCCCACCCCTGACACTGCCACTCCCAATCCTATAAGAACCCCCCTCCCTCTCGGTCAGAGATGCTTTCCTCACCCAACAAAGTTCCAACAATCCGAACTCGCAACCTTTAGCCTCGCTTCACAGCACTCAAGTCCCTTCTCAGCTTTCTCAACTTTTGCTTCGCGACAACTCTCTACAAACTTTCTCTATCTTCTCGATACCGAAACAACTCTCAACAACAATAATCAACATGCAGTTCTCCATCAAGACCATTTCTGCCGTTCTCGTCGCTGCTGTGGCCGCTACCCACGCCGCTCCTACCACCTCCGGCGCTGACCCCCTCAACGGCGGTGCTTACGCCTACGGAGCGTCTCCCTTCCCCGGACTCGCCTACGGTGCCAGTGTTCTCATCTCCAACATCCTCTCTGACAACACTCTCTGCCCTCTCGTCCAGTACCTCGCCGATGGACCCGGTAACATCCTCAATGATGTTACCGGCAACTTGGTCCCGGCTTTGACCGGTGGATTGTTGAATAGTCAGGCGTTGTACTCTGTCAACACCTTGGTCGACACCGTCTACGGCTTGGACGAGGCTGTCGGTGCCTCTTTGTTCGGTATCTTGCCGACTTGTTTCGTATGTTACCAAGTCTTTTGGCTGATCTTCCTCCGGTGTATGCTAACGATGGCGGTAACAGACCAACACGGCTTACTGCACCAACCAGATCTCCCGCGCCTTGAAGGCCTCCTCCCAGGGTGAGGAATCCGAGACGGAGGATGCGTGTAAGACCGCCTTCTACATCTGCGAGCCCAACGTCTCTCCCTCCCAGGTCGCCGAGAAGGCTCCGTGCTGGTATGTTTGTTCCCCCCCCATTCCTTCTCTTATCCCGTCCCTTCTTCTGACATGCTTCGAACAGTTCTCCTTACGTTCCCCCCTGTACCGACGGCCAGGGTAACGCTCAGCACTGTTAAGTGGGCATGGCTCTTGATTGCATATACTGGGCGTTTCGTTTTCTACATCGATATTACTTAGTCTTATAGGGTGGTGTTGCGATGAAGCGCGAATGATGGGAGTGGGATTTGTGCTACTTTTCGTATACCCTCGATAATAATACCATGCTGGCCTCAGCCAATCTTTGTTCATTGCTCACTTCACTCGTCGTACCCTCCGATATATACCATGTTAACGTCTTCGCCTTGAGGTCATCTCCGGCGATAAACGGACTTGGTGGTGGTCCTATTCGGGTAAGCACTGCCGAAGCACTCAACTCGGCTCTTTCGGCACTGCCATCAACCGAACGTTTAAGTGGCGCGCGATGATAGAAACAGAAACACCGAGGATACCCCTACCCGAACCTCTACTCAGCTTACCAATCACCGTACTTTGACCTCCTTTAAACAGCATACATCCCGGCTCTGCTACTCCTACAGTTACAATTGTTTACTCTACATCGCGGTTTGAAGAAGAAGGGATCAGGATGAACGATTCAACTACTTCCTCGCCGACGTTGGCTGCTTACCATGGCGCATCTACTCGTCCTTCGAACGAGGCAATGAAAGATGGAGAAGGAAATTTCGCTGCGGGAGCTCCGCCTGTGCCGACGTCTGCTCAGGGTGGCATGTACGAGCATACATCCCCTCTGACCCACGGTCACAACTACGCACCCACCCACCCTATCACCACTACACCTCACGCCCACACCGGAGCAGATCTCGAACGCCAACTCACCTCTCGCTCTGGTGCAGGTCTCGAAGCACCCCCGTGGAACGACCCAAACCCATATACCGATGTACCTACGCAGGACGAGACCGCATTCCACGAGAAAATGGCCCACGTCCAAACCCACGACCCAAACCTCGTAATCTTCACCGACGACGATCCGCTCAATCCCAAAAATTGGTCCCGTGGTCGCCGATGGTATATCACCGCCCTCTCTGGCCTTCTTGTGTTGAACGCGACTTTTGCGAGTTCGGCGCCGAGTGGGTGTATCCCGCAGATCATGCAGGAGTTGGGAACGAATGAGTTGGCGGCGACGGGTGCGATTACGACCTTTGTTGGGGGATATTGTGTGGGCCCGCTGTTGTGGGCGCCGATGAGTGAGATTTGGGGGAGGAGGCCGGTGTTTTTGGTGTCGTTCTTCCTTTATACTGTCATGAACATTCCAGCCGCCTTGACGCCGAATATTGGTGGGTTGTTGGCTGCGAGGTTTGTTGGTGGACTTGCGGCGTCGTGTCCGTTGACGAATTCCGGAGGTGTGTTGGCGGATATTTGGGATCCCTTGACGCTGGGGTACGGCATGGCGATCTTTGCCCTCGCACCTAGTGCTGGACCAGTCCTCGGCCCCATCATTGGAAGTTTTGTGGGTGAGACTGTGGGGTTTAGATGGGTGTTTTGGGTGCTGTTGTGTTTTGCCGGAGCATGTGGAATCTTGCTTGTCTTCACGCTCCCGGAAACGTACGGTCCCATCATCTTGAAGAAGAAGGCCCAGAAGATGAGGAAAGAAACTGGAAACATGGAGTTGTACGCGAAGATTGAGAGGGATGACCGATCGGTCGCGAAGGTCCTTGGTGTTGCGTTGACGAGGCCGTGGAAGTTGTTGTTGTTGGAGCCCATCGTCCTCCTCATTTCCATCTACATGTCGTTCGTGTATGGGCTGTTGTACCTCATCTTTGAAGCATACCCGATTATATTTGTTGAGATTCATGGGTTTTCGGCGGGTGTTGCTTCGTTGGCATTCATCGGGATTGGAGTGGGGATGTTGATTGGAACGGCCGCCGCGGTATGGTTCCAGCATCGGTACAATGTGCAACGGCAAACGACTGGAAAGGCCGTCGCGGAGATGAGATTGCCTATGGCCTGCGCCGCAGCCCCTCTATTGGTGATCGGGATGTTTTGGCTAGGCTGGACAGGCTACCGCAAATCCATCCACTGGATCTCCCCCATCATCGCCGGTGCCCCAATCGGCGCCGCCCTCGTCATGATCTTCACTGGTTTCCTCAACTACCTCGTCGATACCTACCTCGTCTTCGCAGCGTCCGCACTCGCTGGAAACACCATCATGAGAAGTGCGTTCGGTGCCGGTTTCCCGATGTTTGCGGTACAGATGTTCAAAAAGTTAGGGGTTGAGTGGGCCAGTAGTTTGTTGGGGTTTATTGCGTTGGCGTTGATGCCGATTCCGTTCTTGTTTGTGAAGTTTGGGGGGGCCATTAGGGGAAGGTCGAAGTTTGCTTTCTCGTGAGTGGAGGGTTAGGAGGATGGACGTGGGCGTTGTTACATTCGTTATGCCGGCTTTCTCGTAAACGGATACGTTATTTATTGAAAGATGCCACGAACAATGGTGGAAAGAGGATGGCGTGGTTCGAAGATACCATGGACGTTTATGTTGTGAGCATTATTGAGCAGTTTGTCGGCGTATTAGCATTCGTTTCTTTCCGTACCGGCTTAACAATGAAGGGCTACATTGAACATTGAGCTGCATTATTCATGAGTAGGCGGGTCGCTTATGGTGATGACCACTGCTGTTGCTCACGCATTTATGATTCGAGGTCGACGTCTGGTCCGTCCTCGATCCCACGGTTCACGCAAAATGCTGCAACATCCGCAGACAACTACTACAGACGGGTAAAAGTCGCATGAAAAGAATAAGAAGTAGATGAAGTGACTTTTTAGATACAAGTTATAAACAAATGTTCAAAATGTGTCACTACATCCCGCGTTCCTCCGGTTTCTATGCCGGTGCCGCAAATCGTTTCCATATTAGTTAGGGCAGGCATTGGTGCCAAAACAAATCAACACAGGATTTTGCGGGTGAAGACGAGAGCGGTATCATCATCAACAGCATCGACCAGCCTTTCAGAAGGACGGAAACGGTATCCGGCATCATTAGAGACCTGGTAGAGTCTATCTTCGAGCACTCTAGTCTCATACGGCATCGTACGTCCCTTGGTGAGTGGCTCTGTTCTCGGCTGTACGGTTATTCGTCGTGAAGTCAGCGGGAGAGGGTTAGGAATATCAGGACTGACTGTGGTTGTCATAGGCTTCAAACGATATCTCATCTCAGCATAATTCAACCTGAAAGGTTCTGGATCAACTCGGTTGCCTAACCCCTGGTAGCATGGCCAACCGAGCGACAAGGTCAACGAGGGATCTCGCAAACGAGAATGGCTCCCCTGAAGCCAGTCCGTCTTTCGATGGATCCCTAGGAAGGAAAAGAAAGGTTTGTCGTCATTACGCTGTTTTCCTGGTTTGAGATCCTGACAAGATCATGCAGCTCGACGAATCACCTTCGGGTGGACAACCTGCCACTCAGGAGCTTGTCAACCAAGTCATCGCGAATCTCACCATGCCGAAGCGCCCTGTATCAGTAGCGACTGAATTTTCGAACGAACGCAATGCATCGACGCACACCACTGGTATCCAGGCTTACGCTAAGCTTGCGGGAGCGACATGGACCTACTACGTGCAAGCACTGAAGATCACTATCGGTCGCGAGCCTGATCGAAGTGCACCAAGTGACATCAAGCTGGATCCGGATTACCATGTCGATATCGATCTGGGACCGGCGAAGGTTGTCAGTAGGAAACATGCTACGATAGGGTACGATATGCAGAGAAGAGTCTGGGAGTGTGTGGTGCATGGAAGGAACGGATTGAAGATCGACGGCAAGATGTACAAAGAGACGAAGCAAATCATGTTGAACAGCGGGTTCGTACCATGATTCTTGTGCCCCCTGAAAGCCATACTGACATGCATCACAGGAACATCCTCGAGATTGGTGGCGTACAGATGATGTTTGTCCTTCCGGATCAGACGCCGGTACTTGCCTCGCAACAAACTATGCTTAGCGGATTTATAGAGGGCGAGGACGAAGACGAAGCGCGGAAAAGACTGCGAACGTCTATGTCTCCTCGCAAGGCTGCTCAGGCCATTCCTCAAACCTCGACGGCTTACCCTAAGGGAGTTACCATTGTCCAAAAGACGCACATCCCTGGTATCCCAGATTCCCACCTGTCGCCAGACTTTGGCGATGAAGATCTGTCTCTGGACTCGGCAAAGGACATCAAGCCGCCTTACAGCTACGCAACCATGATCGCTCAGGCTATCATGTCATCGGACGAAGGAAAGATGACTCTATCGAACATCTACGCCTGGATCGCCAACAAGTACGCCTACTATCGTCATGCCAAGAGCGGCTGGCAGAACTCCATCCGCCACAACCTCTCTCTCAACAAAGCTTTCCAGAAAGTGCCACGGAGAACGGATGAGCCTGGAAAGGGTATGAAGTGGCAGGTTGAGCCCCAGTTCATTGAGGACTTCCAGAACAAGCTCTTCAAGGGTCGCCAGCTCGGAGGTCATCACCGGAAGATGAAGCCCGATGGAAACCCGATCATGACTGCTCAACCCGTGGTGCAAAACGTACCACCAGCACATGGACAGGCGCAGATGCAGTATCACATGCAACAAGACCTCAACGGCCTTCCACCGCAAGCGCAAACTCCTGTCCGTCATGCTCAATCATACCACCCGCAAACGCCCCAGCAGCTCCAGTTCGCGCCTCCCTATGGTCACCCGATGATGAACCCCAACGGAGATGGAACCTTCGTGGAAAACGTTGGTGAGTATGCGCATGATCCTCAGCTGCGTTACGGTGTCCCACCGAATGGTGTTCCCGGTACGCCTCCAGGAGCAAACATGTACCAGCCTGTCCGACCACTCGACGCGTACACTCCAGACCGCGGAGGTGCAGCAAACGCTGCTCGCAACCTTGCTGTTAACGGGCAGTACATGGGTGGTGCGATGCCCCCTCAAGGCCAGCCGCCTATGCAACCAGGACAACAGTTCTACCCCACTAGTTCGCCCGCTCCGTTCTGGAGATACATGCCTCCAGAATTCCAGCAACAACAGCCTCCACCTCAGTTGCAGTTCCAGTACTCTAATCCGCCAAGCCCGGCTGGCCCGGTGCATACGGAGAGGAATGGAAGTTTGGGTGGTGCGCAGATGTTCTTGCAAGGGTTGGAGCACGCGGCGTTGGGTAGTGCTCTTCAAAGCACCGCGAGTGGTGAACAACATGCCAGTTCTGGCTCTAATGCTTCTAATGCGAATGGTGAGGAAGCTGCTGTTGGTTCTGTCAGCCCACCTGTGGAGAACGCTGAACATGCTCATGCTCATGCGAATGGCCATGAGGCTAGCCAAGGGGTACCCGTCCCCGTATCGAATGGCGTTCAGGATGTCGAGGCGGGTGATTTGGGCGTGGAGGATTTGCAGGGGGTTGACCTTGCTAGTGGTGGGTTCCAGAAAATCTCGAGGTGGAGGGAGGGACTTGGGAATGGGGCGAATGTGAACGGCGCATTCAATGAGGTGAATGGTGCTGGGCGGAATGAGACGGAAGCTGCGAATGGTGCCAATGAATCTGGAACTGCTGGTGCAAGCGTCGGCGTTGGAGCCTGATGAACCAAAGGATGTACGAAAACGCATACACGTACGCATTGTATTTTTTTGTTCTTTTTTCTCATCTCGAGCTGGCGCAGGGTTTTCTTGAAGTTCTCTATATGAGCTACTGGGTGTTTTTGGAATAATGTTTTACTGTAAGATTGAACGCACGCGCACGTAACCTTCCTTCGAAGGTGAAGTGCTGCGTGATAATAAATACGAATGGACTGTGTACCAACAGCTGTGCAGCGAAAAAAGTATGCAATTGCTCGAATGATGACATCTATGTCGTTATCGTACCAACACCCAGAAGACCCAACTCCAGTCCAATGCTCATATTCGTTGATGCTTTACCTCACATCTACCCTCCTCAAAACTGCTGGAAATGGAACCCACCGCCACCACCACCTCCTCCTCCCGGGAATCCACCACCGAAGGGATTTCCACCACCACCAAACTGCTGTCCCCCAAACGGATGTCCTCCTCCCCCTCCGCCGAAACCCCCACCCCCAAACTGTCCTCCGAAGGGATGTCCACCCATCCCGCCCATCCCGCCAAACATTTCAGAAAGGTCAACACCCCCACCGAAGCCTGCCCCGCCCATACCCCCATCCATCTCAATATCAGCTCCAGAATCATACCTATACTTCTTCTGCGGGTCAGAAAGCGTCGTATACGCCTCATTGATATCCTTAAACTTCGCTTCCGCGGCCTCCCTATCCTCCGGCGCCGCCTTATCGGGATGATCCCTCAACGCAGCCCTCCGATACGCTTTCTTAATCTCCGTCTCACCTGCATCTTTGCCTACACCCAGGATTTTGTAGTAGTCTTTGCGTTGGGATTTCTTGAGTTCGAGTTCCGCTTCGCGGAGGAGGGGGCGGAGGGTGGAGTCTGACGGGTCGAGTTCGAGGGCAGAATTGAGGTCGGTGATTGCGGATTGGAAGGATTCGAGGGAGAGGTGGGCGCGGGCACGGGTGCGGAGGGCTTTGGTGTAGGAGGGGTCGAGCTCCAATGCCTTTGTACAGTCGTCGATAGCGTCGGCGTATGCCTCCAACTTCATCAAAACCGTAGCGCGGTTCGAGTACAGCTTCGCCATCGTCGCGGTCCGGGATTCGGGGTCGACTTCGAGTGCTTCGGTGTATTTCTGTTTTGCCTCGGCGAGGTTTCCGGCTTTGAACGCCGCGTTACCTTCTGCCTTCTTGGTCTCGACTGCGCGGGAGCGTTTGAGCAAGGACCGTGCAGCGACGAAGTCTGGGTCGCAGCGGAGTGCTTGTTGGAAGTGTACGACGGCTTTTTCGTTCTCGCCTTGTGCGTAGAGGATTTTGCCGCGTAGGGTTAGGGATTCGGGATCGGATTGGTCTTTGCGGAGGAGGGACATGGCGATTGCGTTGGCTTGGTCGTAGTCGTGGGGTGTTTTTGCGCACAATGCCTCCGCACGCAAGATCTGGAACTTCTTGGGGGGAGCGACCGTGGGGCCGAGGAGACGTTCGGCTTGATCAATGACATTGAGTGCGAGTCCAGCCTGTGCAGACCCGGCTTGAATCATATTGGTCGCTTGCTCGAACAAATTCTTCATCTGATGCGCTTGACCCGCTTCAGCCGGTACCTCACTCATCCCCTTATACACATCCAACGCATCGTCAGCTCTTCCCAACAACGTATAGCACTTTGCAATCCGCGCCAACGTCTTCTGCGTACCCGGCGCCAATCTATCCGCAGCCAAGGAATCAGCGAGAGCGAGGTCGTATTGTTTGTTTTGGACATAGGCCATTGCGCGGTTACCGAGGTAGACGGGGTTGAGGGGTTCGGAGTCGACGGCGTGGGTGTATTCTGAGATGGCGGTTTGGTAGTCGCCTTTTTTGTAGGCTTCGTTGCCGAGGGCTTTGTGCTCCTCGGCGGAGAGCGAGCCGTTTGCAGACATTGTATAAGAGAGCGTCTTGGACCCTTTTGGCGGTGTGGTTGATCTCCTCGTCGAGACTGCCCAAAATCGATCGAACTTGGAACCCTTTGGAATCCGCGGTGTGTCGATGCGCGCGCCCTGGTCTACTCATACAACGTAAACACGTCCAGCAATGAACCGTCAAGGAGACAGGTAACATTCGTTCAACAGCTCGGAGTATTCATCTCCCATGCGATGAAAGTTGTCTGCATCGCCGAAAAACCCTCCATCTCCAAAGCCGTCGCAGGAATCCTCTCAGGCGGCCGTCCCTCAGTCCGCGACACCCGCAACAAATACATCAAGAACTACGACTTCACATACCGCTTCCCCTCATGGGGCGACTGCCACGTCACATTCTCCTGTGTCATGGGACACCTCATGGAAATTGACTTTGAGCCCGCATATAAATCATGGCAGTCTTGCCCGCCTGCCGCGTTGTTCGAGGCACGGATCGTGAGTAAGGTCGGGAAGGATCAGAAGGGGGTGTATGATAATATAGTGAGTGAGTGTGCTAGGGCGGAGATATTGTTTATTTGGACGGATTGTGATAGGGAGGGAGAGCATATTGGGAGTGAAGTCATGGGTGCCGCACGGCAAAAGAATCCAAATATCCGAATCTACAGAGCAAACTTCAACAACCTGGAACGAGCACATATCATCCAGGCTGCCCGGAACCCCGTCGCATTGGATCTCCGTGCCGCGGCAGCAGTCGATGCACGACAAGAACTCGACCTCAGGCTTGGAGCTGCATTCACCCGCTTTCAAACCCTACAACTCCAACAAGCTATCCAAGCCCTCGCAGACCAGATCATCTCCTACGGCTCCTGCCAATTCCCAACACTGGGCTTCGTCGTCGATCGTTGGCGCCGCGTCCAAAACTTTCGTCCTGAGACGTTTTGGAGTATCAAAGTCTCCTACGTTCGCGACGACATCGATGTTGAATTCACCTGGAAACGTGGGAGGTTGTTTGATCAGTTGGCAGTCGTATTGATGTTTGAACGGTGTTTGGAGAGTGGAATGGCGAGGGTGGCGAGTGTCATACGAAAGCCAACATCGAAATGGCGGCCCCTCCCCCTCACAACCGTCGAGCTCCAAAAACAAGGCGCCAGATTTCTCGGCATGTCATCCAAGAAAGTAATGGACATCGCGGAGAAATTGTACAATAATGGGTTTTTGTCGTATCCGCGAACCGAGACTGATCAGTTCGACCCTGGGATGAATTTACGAGCACTAGTGGAGAAACAGGTCGTCGACCAACAATGGGGAACCTACGCACAGAAACTGCTGGATGGGGATTATCGCGCACCTCGGAATGGGAGGAATAACGACAAAGCACACCCGCCCATCCACCCCATCGCACACGTCGCCCCACACGCCCTCCGAGACAGAGACGAGCATCGCGTCTACGAATTCGTGGTTCGTCGCTTCCTCGCCTGCGTCTCTGAAGACGCAAAAGGCGAATCATCAACCGTCGACCTCGAATACGGCGGCGAACGCTTCTCCACCTCCGGCCTCATCGTCCTCGCCCGAAACTACCTCGACGTCTACCCCTACGACCGCTGGACATCCTCTCGTCCCCTCCCCGCCTTCACGCAAGGCGAACTCATACCGCTCGATACGGCGAATGTGACGGAGGGGGAGACGAGTAGTCCGAGTTTGTTGACGGAGAGTGAGTTGATTGGTTTGATGGATGCGAATGGGATTGGGACGGATGCGACGATGGCGGATCATATTGAGAAGGTGTGTGAGAGGGGGTATGTCTTTAAGCGCCCGAAGGGTGGTGGTGGCCGAGGAGGCAGGGGTGGTGGTCGCGGACGTGGTCGTGGTCGGGGTGCCGCCAATGGCGACAACGGCGGAGGCGGCACCGGAGGCGGCGGCATAACCGAATTCGTCCCCTCGAACCTCGGCGTAGCCCTCGTCGAAGCCTACGACACCATCGCCTTCGACGCCTCCCTAACAAAACCATTCCTCCGAAAAGAAATGGAAGAAAAGATGCGTGCGATATGCGACGGACGAAAGACGCGACAAGAGGTTGTTCATGAGAGTTTGGAGCAGTATCGGGAGGTGTTTGTAAAGGCGAACAGGGAGGTTGGGGTTTTGAAGGAGGCCTGTCGGAGGTATTTGGAGGTTTAGTGCGGGGCCCGGGAGGGCTGGGATGGGATAAGAGTGTGAGATTAGGACTATCAAGTGCTGATAGACTAGCTACGTACGTTTAAGTACACGAAGGCGTAACACGAAACAAATCACTTGCTGGCCAAAACCTGCTTTACGACAGCATGAAGATCATCCTTCGGAGCCCACCCAATCTTCTGGTTACTAATCTCATCCTTCTCAAACGCGCCATTCCCACCCCAAAGAACGGCTTGGATCCTACTAACGGCATACGTCGTGAAATCCTTCTTCTCCAATGCCTCATCTGCGCGTTTGAGGACGTCTGAGATAGGTGTCTTGGTGACTTTCCATTTGGAGTTGGTTTCGGATTCGAGGACTTTGAGGATATCTTGCTGAGATGCGGCGAAGCCTTGGACACGGATGAACGCATTCTTGGAGGCGTCGGGGTGGAGGAGGGAGGTTACGGTCGCGTCACCGATATCCCTCAAACTTGTGAAACTCGCCACGGCAGTTCCGTCATCGATGAATTTTGCCGTCTTTGCGTTGATGTCGAATCCGATGAAGCCGTTCGCCAATGCCCAGTCTGCGAATGATCCAGTTTGGAGAGCGGTGAAGGAGAGTTTGTTGTTGTTGGTGGAGGATGATGATGATGATGCTTGGCGGAGGAGGTAGGCTTGGATTTTGCGTTTATCGGCAAAGATGGGTTCATCCCCCAACGCCGGCGAATCGGTCGCAGTCCCGAATTCAGATGGGTAGAAACGCTCCACACCCGCCGCAACAGCCGCATCGATGAGTTTGAGCTGCGTATCCAACGCTGCGGCACCGAGGGCTGCGATGACCGTGTCGTACCCCGCGAAGACGGCGGTGAGGTCGGAGGTGTTGTCGTAGGAGGCGACGGTAAGGATTTTTATGCCGTGTTCGGAGGAGATTTTGTCGAATTGGGGGGCGGAGGAGGGACGGGTGAGGATTGCGATTGCGTCGAAGGAGGATTTAGCGCGGATGAGGGCTTCGAGGATGGGGGTGCCGATGGAGCCGGAGGCGCCGATGAGGATGATTTTCTTGAGTTTGGTCATGGTTGTGTTGTGAGGGGAAGAGGAGGTTGGAGGGTTCGTATTTGATCCTGCCCTCGTTTTATAGGATTGCCTCGGGCGTTCATTGTCATGAGATTCGTAAGCAATCACGACATTACTCGGACCGATTTGATGGTGTAGGGTCCTCCACTCACGGACGTCATGTGTCCCGAATAAGCTTACCCTGCGTCGCTTACTGGATTTTGTCAGCTGAGGTGAGGGATCGGACTTGTCTGTCGTGCCGCGCCGAGATCAACGAGCAGGAGGTGACACCCAATAGATGGAGTGGAAAAGGTAGTATTACCTACGTCCGTATCACGCAGTTGTCTTCCCTAACAAACGGGGTTACCAGGCGATCAGGACAGGTCGCACGCCGCGCCACACGTGCTGCTGCGCCACCCGCTCGATAAGGAAACTTCTGTTTGAAACTTTATCGATAACCTCGAAAAGATTCACAAAATGGCTCCCGCTGCCTCAGAGAAACCTCAATTGCTGTACATATATCCCTCCTCTTACGCCCTTCCTACGTGCTTACGCTGACTTCTCCTGCACAGCCCGGTCACCGTCGACCTCCCCATCCCCGCCGAATATGACATGGGCAACCTGTTGGTCATGAACCCCAACCCCCTCCCCCCAACATCCCCCTCATCCCTCGAACAAACCCTCCTCCAAACAACCCGCGACGGGGCTCAGCTCCTCATCAACCAAATCCTCTCCCTCCCCATGTCCGCAACCCAAGACGGCGTCTTCGCCGCCCTCCCCGACGCCGTCACCCTCCTCCCCCGCGAAAAACCCCTACCGAAGCCAAAGGAAGAAACACGATGGGAACGATTCGCCCGCCAAAAGGGTATCGCGCCCAAGAAGCGCGAGGGTAAGATGGTATATGATGAGGCGACTGGGGAATGGGTTCCGAAGTGGGGGTACGGGGGTAAGAACAAGGATTCGGAGAATGATTGGCTTGTGGAGGTCAATGAGAAGACGCCGGGGGGTGAGGGTGGGGATGATGTGAGGGGTGCGGTTAGGAAGGAGAGGAAGGAGAGGGTCAAGAAGAATGAGATGCAGCAGGAGAGGAACATGAGAGAGGGTGCGGCGAAGGCCAAGGCTGCTGGACGGGTGGAGAAGGGAGGAAGGACTTCGAGAAGAAAGTAGGCTCCGATAGTCTGCACAAAACAATATCATTGACTATGCCTTGCCTCTAAAATATGCCAAAATTCCCATAGCACTCCGTAACACCAGTTTATAACTTCCCAACGCCTAAACTACTACATCGTTCAACGCTTCAAACTAGCAATGAACCCATCCAAATTGTACTCCTCCTGGTACTGCCCTTCATCCCACGCCCCCAACTCGGGCACCTCATCCAAGATATTCTTCGCGCCACCCTTCTTGACGACATTGCCTTCAGCATCAACACCCCCCTCAGCGTCCCCATCCCTCTTTTCCGCCGGTGCAGTTTCGCCAAGGTTGAACAAATCCAAAATCTGGTCCGTATCCATCGTCGCCAACCCTGAATTCTGCTGATTAACAATACTCGACGCAATATTCAACTTGAACCTCTGCAACCCCATGATCTTCTCCTCCAACGTCCCACGCGTAATGAGTCGATACACATTCACCACCTTCTTCTGTCCAATCCGATGTGCACGGTCCATGGCCTGTAAATCCTTCATCGGGTTCCAGTCATGTTCGACAAAGATGACCGTGTCGGCGCCTGTCAAGTTCAACCCCAACCCACCGACGTGGGTGGTGAGGAGGAGGACGTCAATTGAGGGGTCCGCGTTGAATTTTTGGACGATTTCGTGACGGGCGGGGGCGGGGATTGAGCCGTCGAGACGCATGTAGGAGACGCCTGGGAGGTGGCTTTTGAGGACGTCGTGTTCGACCATGTCGAGCATTTCTTTGAGTTGGCAGAAAATGAGTGCACGGTGTTGATTTACCACGCCACCGCCCGCTGCTGCTGCGACGGGGTCTGCGGCGGAAGGTGGGACGCCGATACCGCAGTCTTGTAATAAGTCTTTGAGGGCACCGAGTTTGGGCGCGTGCTCGATTGACTTGATTTGCGAGTTTTGAGCGGCGAGTTGGGACATGACTTGCGTGTACTTTGGATGGCTTGGGTTGAGGACGAGGGAGGGGTGGTTACACAGCTTTCTCATGTACTGCAATGCTTGGAAGACATGCGATTTGTTGTCCTTGCCCTTCTCGTTGATTACGCCCGCGACTTCGGCACCCTGGCTCTTTGCAAAATCTTCGTAAAGTTGTTTTTGGACGCTGGAGAGCTCGCAGTAGTAGTCTTGGATGATCTTTGGTGGTAGGTCGGCGAGGACGTCTTCCTTGAGACGACGGAGGAGAAATGGCAGGACTTGTTTGTGTAATGCCTCGAGGGCGAGGGCACCGGCTTCTTGTTCCTTGGAGGAAGATTTGCTGTCACGAGATGCTGCGATAGGCTTCGCGAAACGCTCGTTGAAAACTCGTTCCGTTCCCAAGAATCCCGGCATCAAGAAATCGAAGAGAGACCACAACTCGAGAACGTTGTTTTGGATAGGAGTACCGGACAAGATCAAGCGGTGTTCAGCCTTGAGCCTCTTAACGGCCTGCGTCAATTTGGCTTTGGCGTTCTTGATGATGTGGCCCTCGTCCAATACACAGTAGTTCCAGTTTTGCTTCGAAAGCTCCTCGATGTCGTTACGGCAGATTTCGTAAGAGGTGATGACGATGTCATACTTGTGCAGAGAGTTACGAAGTGCGGCGCGTTCGAAGGGAAGACCGGTGTAAACGACTGGCTTCATGAACGGAGCGTAGGTCATGATTTCCTGCTTCCAGTGTCCTGACAAAGTTGGCGGAGCAACGATGAGAGATGGAAGACGCCTGAACTCGGGCGCTTGGTTCTTTTCGTACTTCTCGGCGCGAATGTGGTGGTCGGAGGTAACGATACAGATTGTCTGCAACGTCTTTCCGAGACCCATGTCGTCACAGAGGATACCATGGAGATGGTACTTGTTCAAGAACCACAACCAGTTGACACCTTCCTGTTGGTACTTGCGCAGATCGGCCTTGATTGCGACCGGCAACTCGAATGGCTCCACCTTGCTTCCGTCAAGCATTTGTGCGATGAACTTCCGCTCTTCGTCACGGCCCTTGAGGAGGTCCTCAGAGATACCCGGAGGGTCGGGGATACCGGCCTCGAGCGGTACGAGTTTCACAAGAGTGGCGAACGTCGTGGTAGCAACAAGACGAACGTCGTTATCGGCGTCACTCATACGACCAAGCACAGGGACGATGAGGAAGATGACGTATGGCAAAATCTCAGTGTCCATGGTCTGTACAAGATGGTAGATACATTCCATACCTCCCTGTCTGCGCTTGACATTATGCGGGTCAGAGACCATCGGCAGGACCTTTTCAATGACTGCTTGCATGCCCTCAATGGTAGAAGTCTTGCAGACGGTTGCAAACGACTTGGAGGCCGCGTAACGAATGACGGAGTAAGGTGCTTCGAGTGCTTTGATGATGAGAGGAAACTGCTGAACGACGCTTCCACAAAGATCGGGATGGATCTTGGAGACGAGCGCTTTGAGGACAGAGAAACCGTCAACGACCTCCTGACCAAATGCAGACTGCGGGTCGGAGATTTCGGCGGGGAGCTGTGGTCCACTGAAAGCTTTGCTCAGAGGCTCGAACATGCAGTCACGCAACTTCTTTGCCTTCTCGAACAACTGCATACCAAAGCGCTCAGCCATCTCCTCCAAAGCAGCCTGAGCACCCCTGCGCTTCGTGCGTGCCTCGCGAGCTTCGCGTTCATGTTCACCAGTTTCGGGCATTGCAGCTTCGCGATCTTCCTTCTTGAGTGAGAAGATGACGTCCTGAAGCTTGATGTGACGCATGAACTCTGGAGTTTCAGAGGTATCGACACACAAGAACGCGCAAAGATTCTTGATCATCTTGTCTGAAGCAGCTCCCTTGCCGCCGGTAGCACAGAGCTCAACCAAAGTAGCAACAGCCGCCGCAGAACGGCGCTGAAGGACGGTGTTCTCCTCCTTCTTGATGCTGTCCATGATGCTCCTGATAACCGGGTTCAACTTGGCAGGAAGCTGTCCCATAGCGACATATGCGGCCGCAGCAGCAGCGAAGACCATAACGTCGTGCTTCTCCTTGGCTTCGCGGGCTTCAGCGATGGCGTTCAACGCACTTGCCTTTGCATCCGCCAATGGTTTCGCGGACATGATCTTGTCAGGACCCTTGATCATCTTCTTCAACTTGTCGAACTCAACACTGACGATCTTTTCGGCATCCTCAAGGCTGAAAGCATTGGGTCCAGCCTCAGGTTCACCCTGCACAACGACAGCAATGGTCGGCACAGACGATGGTTTGATCTTTCCGTCCTGAATGAAGGTGTTGTGCAATGCATGACACTGGCCACGGACGATCCGGAGGTAAGGGAACAAGTTGCTGTAAGCACCTGGTGCGGCCATGTTGAGCAAGTTACCCAAGGTAGGCCTGATACCCTCCTTGAACGTGTTCTCCTCCTTGGCGAGCTTAACGTACTCCTCGATGATGGTCATACTTAACAGCCTACCTGTGGAGTGCGGCGCAGTGATGCTTGCGTCCAAGTATGGCCCGAAGGAGGCCTGCACTGTGTCCTTTGGCCACGCGCCCATTGCCATACCCATAGCGATCGCAGCGGTAATTCGGGTACGGATGATGGTGTCCATACCGACCAGGTCGACATCTCCCGCCATCATCGGTCCATCGACGTTATGTGGAACCGGTGTAGAAGGGATGTCATCCACCAGCGGCTTCGTCGACATCTTTCGCTTCTTCTTGGCGGGCTCGTTTGGAGCTTGTGACTGTACAGCGGAATAGAACGCCTGTCCACTAGGCCTCATGAACAAGCTCGTCTCCATAGGAATTGGATGACGTGCAATACCGATTGGGGTCATGAGAAGTGTCATGAGCGGCATAAATTGTCCGCCCATGGCCTCCACCAGTCTGTTCTCCTTAGCCAGGATAGCAACCATCGGTTCCCATACTTGCAGCGTGAGAGCGAGGATCTGCTCGTTCTGTTCCACCAGCATGTTCTGGAAGATAAGCCTGACAGCCTTCGCATCAACCCATCCACGCGTCCCCTCGCCGTCGATACCCAAGAATGTCAGAAGAGCCCTGAGTACAGCCATTCTCACACTCGTAATCGTATGCCTAAGGAAGGGATACAACCTCGGTACCAAAACCCCGAACCCGCGTTCGACATCGGTGGCAGCTCTCGATTTCATGATATCCAAAACCTTCGGGAACGCGCACAATTTGGCCAGAAGATCCATAACGCTTCCGGTCGACGCTGACAGGTCATCCTTCAAATCCGCAAGACAGGACCATACGACATCGATCAACTCACCCACCGCATTCGGTCTCGCTTCGATGAAATCTTCTGCGATAGGGACGAGGGTCGCTGCACTCACCGCACGGACGTCGTCGTCGTGGTCGGCGAGACCGTGTACGACAGCACGAATGAGCCCATCCAACAATGCCGGTCGCGAGAAAATAATATCACGACGTACAGCAACGAGGTATTTCATCCCCAACATACCACCATGCGTAACCTCCCAAACCTTCGTTCCCATCCCCGGGTCATTCTGGAAAACGAGTTTCAACAGCACATCGAAACACGCTACCACTGATTCTTCCGGTAAATGCTGCAGCAGCGCTCCGAATGTTTGAGAAACGGATTCGCGGATCGGAGCGACGACTTGGTCGGAGATGTAATCACCGAATCTATCGAGTGCGAAGACGGCGCAGACACGACAGGCTAAATCTTCAAGCACCACTTTATTCCGTTCATTATTCTCTTTCCTGTTTAATCCCACCTTCCTCCCCGCTCCAGCCCCGTGTTTCCGCAAAACCTCGCGAAGACCCATGGAGGCACCATGTCTAACCTCCCACACCGGATCGAAAAGGTCCACGAGCAGAAGGTCCACGAGAGCCTCGAATGGCCATTGCCCATTCGACCCGATCAACGCAGCAGAGGGGTTCGGTGGCGGCGCCTTATGCTCAACAACGACCTTGTTCGACTGCGCCTGCGGCGTAATCGAGAAATAGTCACCCTTACTCTCCTGCTTCACCAACCCCTTCGGCGTCGGCTCCGCCAATCCCGCTGGTGTCTCCGCAGAGGGAGTAGTGAGTGGGTGCGCAGACGGACCCTGCAGGTCGACGACACGAATTTTGGAGGAAGAGGAGGCGTTTTTACCGGCGGCTTTGGCTTTGCGTTTTAGTGCGTTGCGTTGGCGGGCGGAGAGGCCGTCTTCGCCGATGGCGCTGCCGGGGGTTGGGGGTTGCATCGCTCCAGTTCCTGCACTCATCGTTGAGCTATCCTTCTGCAGTCTCGGTGTTTGCAGAGCGGATGGGTTGGCGGGGGAGGCCATTGGTGGTGGCATACGTCCCGAGGGAGGGAATGGTACCCGGGGTGTTTGTTGACCAGGAACTGGTGTGCTCAGGTCTTTATCACCGAATAACTCCTCCTGCTCTTCCTTTGACATGACCTCACTCCCCAATCCCAATCTCCCCATCAAATTCCTCTTCTGGAACGCGAGGCGTTCGGAGGGTGGGAGGTCGCCCCAGGATACCTCGTATTCACTACCGGCTGAGCCGAGGAGTTTGCGGCCGCGGGTGAGGATTTGGGGGAGGGAGAGGGTTGAGAGGTGGAGGGTTGTGTCGATGGCTTTGCGCGGCAGGGAAGGTGGGGGGAGGTCGATCTTTAGGTCGGAGGGGGTGCGTTTCGAGGGGGGTGGTTTGGGGAGGTCGAGGGGTTCCTGTTTGACTTTCGGTTCCGATGCGTCTTGGTAATCGTCTGCGTCGGCAGGTTTGATCACCCCGGTTACCTCTTCCTCCTTTACCTCCGTGATCTTTGCTGCGTCCTCCATTTCGACGTCCTCCTCATCCTCGCCATTGGGATCAAACCCCTCGACGTTATCGACGATCCCTCCCACCGCCTTCGCAGCCGCGACTCTTGTCTCCCATGTCTTTGCTCTCAAGTAGGGAACGACGCGCCCGAGCAGATTGTACAGCTCATGCGGATGCTGGCGCTGAATGTCGGCGAGTTGCGAGGCAGCGGTGTGTCGCACGAGCTGTGTCGACCCGGTGTCGAGGAGAAGGACGAGACGATCGAGACGAGTCGTCATTGTGACTTTCTGATTGTATTATAGGTGATTGACAGACTATAGGCGCCTTGTATGCTTGCGCTGGGTTTTTCGGTATTGGGTTGTATCCGTGACGCGGCACTTAGTACGACGGCATTGCGATGCTCTGTACAAGCAGGCAGGTCAGTCAATGCTCCGAAGTAATACTTTCGCCTCCATATACCAGATTATTCAAACAGAAAGGCAATTGGCCGTGTGATCGGTGTTTTCGCACGGGGACTTTGTATTTATTCGGTGGAGTTTCACGCGCGCGCGCTGGCGGCATCCGGGTTTTTGGTGGGGGATCAGTGGGTCTTGTATGACCACCCGTTTTTAAGTTGACGCGCACGAGGAGGGAAACCGGCAAAGACGCGTGAAAAGGGAGGGTAACCCTTGCCCAGCGATCAGCAGTGGGTGCAGAGCGCGATTGTCAAGGCTTATAGTTTGGAACGGTTGCTGAATCTAGAAAGATCACGGAGTTTCATCTGTCAGATCTTGTGCTGAGATCACGTGCACGCCTATGACGGCGTGTGTGGGGCCCGGGGCTGAGTACGGCTGAGTACCGACAACGCAACACTACACCAAGGAACCGATAAGCTCAAGCGCTGTGATCCTCGCTGGCCGACCAGATCACCCAAAGACAATGGCCTACGCCGCATACCCCCAACAGTCATACTACCCATCACAACAATATGCCGCAGCCCCACAACCGCAACCACAATCCGTCCCTGTCGCAGTAGCGAGACCACCACCCAACGCCTATACCCCCGGCACCAAACTAAAAGTCGGAAAACATCTAGTCGTGATTGAAAGGTATCTGTCCGAGGGTGGGTTCGCGCATGTCTATGTCGTACAGACTCGTGAGGCTGCGGCGCCGGCGGGGACGAGTTATCGTGCGGTGTTGAAGAGGGTTGCATGCGCCGACCGAGAGCATTTGGCGAATATGCAGGTAGAGGTGGACACGATGAAGAAACTGAAGGGGTTTACGCAGATCGTTACATATATTGACTCACATGCGTCTGCCCTACCAGCGGGCGGGTATGAGGTCTTTTTGTTGATGGAGTATTGTGAGGGAGGGGGGTTGATTGATTTGATGAATTCGAGACTCCAGACGAGGCTTGCGGAACCGGAGATTTTGAAGATCTTTTCTGATGCGGCACAGGGGATTGCGTGTATGCATTATCTCCGGCCACCACTGCTTCACCGCGACCTGAAGATCGAGAATATCCTCATCCACTCCGCATCCCTCTTCAAACTCGCCGATTTCGGGTCCGCTTCGTCACCCGCACGGAAACCCCCTGCGAGCGCAGCAGAAGCACAAAGAGTCCTGGAAGACGTCGAAAAACACACTACTCTCTTCTACCGCTCGCCCGAGATGCTCGACCCCTTCCGGCGCATCCCAATCGACGAAAAATCCGATATATGGGCCCTCGGCGTCCTCCTCTACAAACTCATGTACTACACAACCCCCTTCGAAGCCCCCAACGCCGGACCCGCCGAGATCGCGCTCGGTATATCCAATGTACGATACTCGTTCCCCAACTGGCCGGCGTATAGCCCAAGGTTGAAGGGGATTGTGAAGAAGTGTTTGAAGGAACGGAAGGAGGATAGGCCAACGATATATGAGGTTGTGAGGGAGGTATGTACAATTAGGGGGCGGCCGGTGCCGTTTGAGGATATTTATGCGGGGAGGGAGGAGGATGAAGAGGCACGGGAGGAGGAACGGAAGGCTAAGGAGGCGAGGGAGAAGGTTGAGGCTGCATTACTCGAACCCGAGCAGGAGAGGATCGTACCCATGCGGCGGGGACGACCATCGCGGACGCCGGATCCGCCTACGAAGAGTGCTGCATTGGAGCCGCCGACCAGTAACATTGGAAAGGCGCCTACACCGAGGTATACCAGTCCTGACACCGCAGCCCAGACGATGGGAAGTATCGATGATACCTTGGGAATGGACAAATTTCCTAGTATCCAGGAGTTTGCGTTGGGTGCTGACAGTGGGTTCGACTTTGGCAACGGCAAGAAAACACATGAAAGGAGGGAGAGTGTGAAGGAGAGATTGGTGGAGAAGTTGGCAGATGATGCGTTTGCGCTGCCACAGGAAGTGGATCAGGAGGTGAGGAACATGAAGCCAAGCGAGGTTGCGAAGAGGAATGGGGTGTACGTCAAGGGAGCGGATGTAGCTCCGAATGTGAGGCCGTTGCCAGCGAGGAGTATGAGTAAGAGTGCGCCACCTGTGCAGACGCCGGTGAGTGCGGCACCAACGCAGAGAGCCCCGCCGCCAATTGTGCAGACCCAAGTCCAGCGAGGAGCGGATAAACCGGAGTGGAATTTCAGTGTGGTACAGCCGAGCCCGAAGAGGCCACAGATGGTCACGATGGGAACACAGACGGGTGTTGGGCCAAGTCCTGCGCCGAGTCCTGGTGCGAGTCCGACGATTCCGGAGGAAAGCAGAGAGTGGGACTTCCCTGTCAAGGATGCGGACGGGTTCGTCAAGCCTACCCGACCTGCGAGTCGTGCAAGTCTCCAGGCTCCCTCGCCGAGGATGAGTACGGATGAATGGGGTAGCAGCGTCCCCACCGCTGTGACGAGACCGAGTGCGGCGAGTATGCAGCGCAAGGAGAGTTATTCTGGAAAGATTAGCCCAAGCCCACGGGTTAGTCTCGACGCTGGCGGGGGACGGAGACCGAGTATTCAGGAGCATCGACGTAAGAGCTCGTTTGGGATTAGTATGCCGAGTTTTCTGAGGCGGTCGAGTAGCAGTTCGCAGAAGGGGAAGGATAAGGATGGTGCTGAGGAGGCACAGAGGAGTAAGAGGAACTCGATGCACCGGGAGCAGCGGCCGGAGTTCGAGGCTTTACCTATTCAGCCAATGAGACCGACGTATAGTGGGAGGAGTAATGCGAGTGCGAGGAGTGAGCATATCAATAACGATGTTGGGTTCCTTGAGGCAATTGAGAGGGATAAGACGGGCGAGACCCGTGTGAGCAGGCAGAATACCGGAACATTCAAGCAACATCATCAGAAGCGGAGTAGCATGAGCATTATCGGTACCAAGTTCGGTGAGGCATTCAAGATGTTCGAAGGCAGCAAGAAGGAGAAGGAGAGGAGTCCTGAGCGGAAGAGGACCCCGTATTTGGATGAGGCGGCGTTGAGGCAGAGGGAGCTCGAGATGGAGGCGGATGAGTGGAGGGTGGAGAGTGTGGAGATTCCGGTTGAGGCGAAGGAGCAGTTGGAGAAGGTCAAGTCGCCGCCGGTGACAAAGCCGAAGCCACAGTCTCTGCCGCCAATTCAGACACAAACTCAGACTGTGGGTGCCGCTCCAAGTGGTGCTACGCTCCAGAGAGTGCCTACGCAGGCTGATCGAGAACGTGCGGCGTTGGTTGCGGGACAGCAGAGACGGATGCAGGTTGCTGCTGCGAGGTTGAGTTCGCCGCCGCAGCCGTTGCAATCTATGCAGCCTTTGGTGCATACGACTCAGCAGCCGGCCAAGCCCATGCAGACTGTCCATGCTCAAAGGCAGACTGTGACGGGACCTGTACGAACGGTACATCCAGTGCAGAATGCTCCCGCGCCCCGAGCGAAGCCAAATGACTTCTCTGAGGAACGTGTATATCAGTCTCAGTACAGAAATTCTACTGCGTCGCTACCTATGCCTCAGTCGCGAGGCCTGGCAACATCCCAGTCCATGTCGGCGATGTCAAACATCGTGCGCGACCCTGAACCATCCACCTCCGCACCCGCACCTACGGAAACCAAGAGGATGTCTATCAGGGAAAGGATGAACAGCTACCTGACTACTGCCACCACGGGAGGTCCTGTTCGCCGGACTGCAGAGGGGTATGGGCCTTCTGTGCCAGAACCATCGCCGCCTACTGCTTCATCGGGGGCTGGAGTGCAGCGTTCGCGGACGATCTCGGGCAAGCCGCGGGAACATGAGACGTCCCAAGAATCAAGGTCCGTATCGAGGAACCATGTTGCCGCGCTGCTTCGTATCGAAGATGAGATACCCTTGTCTCCTTCTGAGCCATGGCAAGCAACGCTATCGAAATCTAAACCTCCTCCACCCTCAAAGCCTACGGGATTGAAGGGCAAGTCAAGGACGTTCCCGATGGAGGACGATATGGAGGCAGACTTCAAGATGCGATACCCTAGCGTTTCGGGGTTGTGATGAGTTTTCACTCGTTAGACTGTTGGCGTTTTGGGGCATCATTTGGCGTACGCGTTGTTGAGCTCGTGGTACTCTATAGGATACGTGTACGAGTAGGTTCATCTAATGGAAACTGAATCTACATGAATACACACAGACAAAATTACGTGGGTGGCCTCTCCAATTTGCAATCGACCAAGTCTTCAGACTTCGCTCAGCTGCTGCTTCGCTATCGACCGCAACATGTATAGGGAGGAGCCCCATGCGCAGGCACAAATCGCACGGTAATTTCCTTGTGCTATAGTTCCCCATTCAGCACGCGCCTGTAACGATATTTGTCGGTGGGTAGTAATTACTACCTTAGACGTCTTAGGAGAGCAAGAGCGAACGAAATATCATGTACACCTCTATTTCCATCTATAGCAAATGATTTCTCACGTCGCTCGGGCCGATTTCTCAGTTGCTGATGAACGTGTTTTTTCACCGTGAGCGGCTGCGGCGAGCATTTTACGGTGAGGCCACCAAAATATCCAGCGCCCAGAATGAGGAACATGTTCTAACATCTTGCCGCCAGATGTCGAAAGAGAAGGCGGACAGGTAGTAGCTGCGATATTTCAGAATATGCTTTTCCAGGCTTCACGTTATAGCGTTAGGTGGCGAAGACTGCCGCAGGGTATTTTAGAATTGGTGTCAAGGTCTTGAGTGTTCGAGATGGGACCGTAGAATATTCATGTTCTTTAACAGACTCTGCGCTGCTGCAACTGAAGCTGGGCCGCTTCGTTAAAAATATCTCTATTGTGCATGAATTTATACAGCAACTTGAACTTGCACGTGGATAAGTGCATGTTTGGCCATTTACCCTTGCAACGGATGAAAGGCTATGTTGGTATCCTGCTGAGCTTCTCTTCTGATCCTGGGCAATCCAGCTACCCACAAGCGGCTCGCGGGTTGGCGTCCAGGCTCGTTCCCACGGGTGGGGCGACATGCTCCTTTACCAGAACGTGAACATACAAGGCAACTATTCAAAACGTAAATATGATGAGAATGTGAAGAAGAGTCGATAGAAAATACAGTTGCCTTCGAATCCGACGCCGTATACAAGTTGCGGTATAGGAGGCTATCGTGACCTCAGGTGCGGGTACCGGTGAGCTGGCACGCATGCGCGGGCACATAGGAAACAACTACGCCCGTACTCATTCCCCGACAACACCTCCATACAACATTAACAAATTCTCGCCAATGCATGTGCCACCATATCCGAGACCATAGTCATACAGTCGTTCATGTTACTATCTGAGCTCCCACCCGAGATTCTCCACAAGATTGTCGCCTACCTACCAGAAGCGTCAGACCAGGCATGCTTCGCTTTGTCGTGCAAGGCATGCTTCAACGTCTACAAGCCAGACTTCGATTACCAAACTCGAATGTCCATCGGGCAGATGTTCGTGCGGCAAGATATTACCGTGCGGCTTCGGGAAAGTATACACAGGACTCGGTGCTTGTCCCCTCAACCCGAAGGTCCGTGGAGGGGATGGTCTAGCACGTATGAGGCGGAAGCCTTCGCATATAATACATGAATGATGGAGGAGTGCGGGGTAAGTTATTATAGTCTGAAATCGCGATGAGTAATTTGATGTTCTGACGTTTGCACTTGCAGACCGCAGGCTGACCCGTTTGCCTATCGCTGCTGGCAACATTCGCTTCCAGATCGTTTGCGTCAAGTTTCTGAGGGGTGATGTGGTACGTGGAGTAAACTTTGTATAAAAGGTTGGCTCCTTCAGGAAAAAGTGGTTCCGATGTGCGGCTGTCAGAAAATCTAAAGTGACACTCGAACGTAACGGAGCATACTCCCAACTCGGGGGTGAGCCGAGATCCAAAGCTCAGCACACAAGTCGCGTCCTGGGCTACTGTATTCCCACGGGTGACAACTGGCTCCATGACCAGCTGGGATTAATTATACATAGTGACCTAGCAATATACTCTACAAGATCTTTCAAGCAGAGTGAACCCTGTGAAAGACACCATGCGGAATATTCATCTCCTAACCCGACGTCATAGCCCACTCAACACGGCACGCGCACAAAACCTTAACACCAGCCGGCGCAATCGCGGGTCGCGACGAACCACAACACCATCATTGGTCCAATCGTAATACAAATGCCTCGTCAATCAGGTCCGATATCAACCTTTGCCGACCGCCCCGCCGATGCGAAGTCTACCCAAGAAATCGCGAGCGAACCCGTTAACCCCGCCACAACCTCCACCACCACAACAAACGCGACATCACCTTACTCCCCTCCCTCAGGTTCAACGTCTGGTTCATACAAGCCGATCGCTGATACCGATGTTGAGATCTCCTTGAAGAGTCTTGGGTTGACTGGGGTTCCGAGGACGGTTATTGCGACAGTGTTGAGTGTGGGGTTGAGTGTGGTTGGGTATTGGTGTGCTGCGCCGTACCTCGTGCCGGGGTTGAGGGATGTTGCGACGGAGATTAAGGAGGTCCCTGGGTTTGCGCCGCTTGCGACGAGGTTTTTGGAGATTGCTGGGTTGGCATTGACTGAGCACACGAACTGTACGTCGCAATTAAGCAGCTTTCGATGCCTTTACGGTTTACTAATGATCAATTGATGTAGGGTACGACGCCGGTCTTCTTGCCTTCCTCGGAAAGATCCCCCATCTCCACCTCCTTCACTCCAACTTCAACGTTGACCTCCCAACTCTCGCCTTCTTCACCGTCCTCGACCTCGCCTGTCTCCTCATCCCAGTCTTCCTCTGCTTCCCTCAACGCTTCCCTGGCCGTTCCGTCATCGTCGAGGAAATCAGCCCTGCGCGTAAGGTCAAGGTTGAGAAGGACCACGTTCTCACCACTCTCCTCTCGCTCCTCGCGTCGACGATTCTTTCTATCACGATCTACACCGCTAGCAAGACCTTCTTCCCAGGCTTGTTGTTGACGCACCTCAAGACTGTCAGAACTCTTGTCGCTATCCCGCTTCCACTCTTGATCGCTGGTTTGCTTCCTGCTGGGTATGCGTTCCAGGAAATTGTTACGAAGCATGGTCTGGTTAGCGGGTGGTGGCATGTCATGGCTGCCATTGCCGTTGTGTCTGGCACTGGTATTTACTACGGCGTTAAGGGTGTAGATGGTTCTGGTGTCGTTGGCGTCTTGTCCAGCTGGGTGGCTGCTACGATCTTGGCTGCCTTGGGATTGTCATGGGCTGCTGAAGTCCCTGTGTTAGGGTAAGGCAAGTGCCCTTGACGGATTGAGGAGGTTGAGATGCTGAAGGAGCAGCGTGTATGTTACGACACGGAGAGGCGATGGATTCGATGTACTATAGTTTATCTTGGACGCTTGGAGGAATAAGTGTATGGTTGCTATTTGCAATGTTGTTCTAATGATATATCCTTTGCTTGATGATCGTGCGCTCACGTCCTGGAGGTAATCCTCGTCACCACTGCAATAGCAATGACTATGAGTCTATTCAACTCATCTTTCTAATCTCCATCGCAATTGCCATCTGAATTATGTCCTCTCTTTAACTTTTCGCTCAAGCTGAGCTGCACCCTTTAACACCCGCGCAGCACGCCAACCCCAATTGAGACTAGACTACCACCACACCAGAAGAAATCGGCTCACCCAGCGTAAAGACAGCTGTGAGTACACCCGCCGGATATACGCCAAATAGGTGAGTGAATTGCTGGGGAGATGCTCGATTTGTGGTCGCCGTTGTTCATTCTGTCGATTCTCGTTGGATTGGTACCGCGAGGAGGCCGTAGAATGGATGGATTGATGGACGGTCGTTGGAGGGCTGCGTGATGGGATGGGGACGAACGGACGATACGGCGGACCATTGGATCGAGCAGCTCGAGAGAATGCTTCAAAAACGGTATGCTGATATCGCTTTTATAGCCAACATGAGCAACTACGCCCAGATCTCCAAGAAGAAGAAGGTTCGTGATTTTTGTTGTGTGCGTCGTGATTGTTGCGACGCGGTCTCGAGCTACGACAAGGAAGGTGCGAAAACGACACATCGACAAACTACAATGATGATACTTCTTCTCTGGCACCTCTTGTTTGATGGCTTGCTGGCCGTAAAAACCCGGCTCGTCCGATGAACTCAACGAAGACTTTTTTTCTGAACACCGTTTTTGCGATTCCTTGTCGAACTATCGACGACCGCGTCGCGCATTACCACGTTACTCAATCACACCGCCAAAGATTGATGTACTGACTGTTATCTCATAGTTCGTCGCCGACGGTGTCTTCTACGCCGAACTCAACGAGTTCTTCACCCGTGAGCTCGCTGAGGAGGGTTACTCCGGTGTCGAGGTCCGTGTCACCCCCGCCCGTACCGAGATCATCATCCGCGCCACCCACACCCAGGAGGTCCTCGGTGAGAAGGGTCGCCGCATCCGCGAGTTGACTGCCCTCGTCACCAAGCGTTTCAAGTTCGCCGAGAACACCGTCGAGCTCTACGCCGAGAAGGTCCAGAACCGTGGTCTCTGTGCCGTCGCTCAGTGCGAGTCTCTCCGCTACAAGTTGTTGGCTGGTTTGGCCGTCCGTCGTGCTTGTTACGGTGTCCTCCGTTTCGTCATGGAGTCCGGTGCTAAGGGTTGCGAGGTCGTCGTTTCCGGTAAGCTCCGTGCCGCTCGTGCCAAGTCCATGAAGTTCACCGACGGTTTCATGATCCACTCTGGTCAGCCCGCTAAGGAGTTCATCGACTCCGCCACCCGTCACGTTTTGTTGCGTCAGGGTGTTTTGGGTCTTAAGGTTAAGATCATGAAGGGATCTGACCCTGAGGGTAAGCTCGGACCTAAGAAGTCCTTGCCTGATGCCGTCCAGATTCTTGAGCCCAAGGAGGAGCAAGTCGTTCTTGAGCCCACCTCCGAGGACTTCGGTGTTCGTCCGGCTGCGCCGGTTGAGGCTGCCCCTGCTGCCCAGGAGCAGGCTCAGGCTGAGGCTCCCGTTGAGGCTCAGTTCTAAGTATCTAGTGTAGATGCCTAGGATCTGGAGTTTGGAGTGATGGAAGGGCTGTTTGGCTATACTCAATAAAAATGTTGGCTTCCTTTCGTTCATATCTGTTCATCATGTCTTCTTGTGTCCCCTAACTTGTTCTCAGTGTTCGCGTTGTTTTTCCTTGCGATTCGCGTAAGATGACTTCGAATACCTACCGTATCGTAGTCGCGATCGTGCTTAAGCACCATGCATCCAATTTTTGTCACGTTAGCTTTGGCATCGTTCTCACGGCGGGTCTTCACAAGTCTTTCGGGGAAATTTTGCAATGCCTGTCTTGCTGCCATGATAGGACACGTACTCTGCTCGAACTCAAAGATCACAATGCAGCATAGGTATTGGCCCTCGTACGTGGGGGCACTGCTGACAGCAGGGGTTTCAAAAGCGGTTCGTAGGGCTTGCGGCTCCCAAGTCCTCCTCGTACGGTGCCTATACTGCTGTGTGCAGTGAAGATAAGATGAGCCATGATAGGACCCGAGACAAATCGAGTCTCGAGTAGATCGCGAAACTCGAAGTAGTTCTTCGGTTCATGACACGACGCCCCCTCCTAAAACCGAGCTCCAGCGAGGTGCGCAACCGAATTTCCTTTTCCTTTTCATGCTTCTAGGTGTAATTGGTGAAATAACCATGTTTCGTTTTCGAGATTTTCGACGAGGCTCATGTTGGTGCATCAAAATTTCAGAATGGGGTGTCTGAGCTCTTCTCCACCATCCCCCCCCCCTACCCCACCACAATGAGCAAGAGACAGGAGAGAGATGTTGTTATTGTGCACACACTTTTGGCCAAGCTGAGTGCACCTGGTGCACTTGTACTTGCCAGCATGACTGAAGTCCTTGCAATAGATGCCTCAGCTTGGCAGTGTGAGCACAATAACAACATCTCTCTCCTGTCTCTTGGTCATGTGGTCCCAGCTCAGGTCGAGGAAACCGAAGACAAGGAGTCCGACGAGGCCGAGTATTTCGACATTGAGGATGGAACCTGGACTGGATTTGCAGACGAAGCCGAGGACGCAGAGGATCTGGCGGTTTTTCGGAGGAGAACGAGGGGGAGACAGAGTACTCTCTCGGTGTCACCGAACGGTCGAGTTGTTGCTTTCATTCCAACCGATGATGATGATGAAGAAGTTGAGACTGAGGAGGAGAGTGGCTCTCATCGAAAAAACTCACTGGCCCAGAAACCTCAAAAACTGTTAGAATCAAAGGAACCACAGGCAGAATATGTTCATTGAAGCTCCCTCTATCTCATGACACCCGGAGCTGCATCCATAGCGGCTTCCAGGGTGCGTTTCTTTCTTATAACTGAAACCACCTTTTCAGCATGGAGCGACCGAGGGAGGCCTTGTGGCCCAAAACCGGTGGCACGAGGTCATTGCTAAGGATAGGTATGATCAGTTTGACCATACACTGCCCTTCCCGCGAAAGCTTCGAAACGCATTGACCATGCGCTCCGCGTTCAACTGGAAAGCAGGGAGAGGAATTTCGGTCCCGTTCTGAAGATACAAAGCTTCTAGTCTTCCACAATGCTTCGTAGAACCAAGAAGTACCTTCATGAACTCAGTATCATCAGACACGCGTGTGACCTTGAGGTTAATCAATCCAGTGAACCTCGGCAGATACCGCGACAAATTCAAAGGGAATATTAGTTCGGGATAACACAACCCAATAACGAGACTGCGTGCAAACGTGGCCGGGTACTTGGATTTTTGATAATTCGACGTTAAATACTTAGAAATCTTTGCGTCCCCGTTCATCCTCCTCCTCGCGAATGTCTCGGGCTTCCATATCAAGCCGAGTTTGAGATCACGCAAGCGTGCGACGACGACATGCGTTGCCAGGTCGCTGAAGGACTTGTAGACTGCAACCAGACGGGCAACCACACTGATGGAAAGCCCTTCAAAGATCTCGAAAAGGATTTCTGGAGGAAGATCAGTAAGCACAGCCATGGGAAAGTGATCACAGAGATATCGGGGTGTTTGACGTTCTCGTGGCGTTCGTCAGGCGGGTGGCCTTGAATCTGGACACCGAGCATCAAAAACAAATTCCGCCCCTTCCCCCCAAAGTAGTCAACTCTCCCGATTTCTCGGTGGAGGTTGTCGACGGCAGCTGGCCGGCTCACCTGATCATGAGCGTGCGCCGGCGGTTGCGCTTCGGCGTCGTACCCTTGCAATGGGCGGATCGGCACACCGGCGACGACTCGAGTAACATCCCACTTCAACTTCGGCGCAATGACATACCGAGAGCTGACCTGATCCTTCAGTGTCTTTAACCGGTATATCAAAGATCAGTTGACCCACGGTCGTTAGGAGAGCGGGGATCACCTACCCCAAACACCTAAAAAGCCCTCCAACCTCCTCCAGGTCCCCTTTCATCCTCACTACCATACTCATCACCCAATCCGAACAGACCAGATCAAAGATGACAACATTCACACCCTCTCGCCCAAACCTCGCCCTCCAAACCAACCCCGCCCACGAACTCAACCTCATCACCGATCCCCTCCCCGACCTCGCCCCCGGGCACTGTCTCGTCCATATCCGCGCAACAGGCGTCTGCGGCTCCGACGTCCATTTCTGGAAACATGGCCACATCGGCCCTACGATGGTCGTCCGTGCTCCGAACGGATTAGGTCACGAATCGGCTGGTGTGGTTGTTGCGGTGGGTGAGGGTGTCGAGAGGTGGAAGGTTGGGGATCGGGTCGCGGTTGAGCCGGGGGTGCCGTGTTCGAAGCCGGAGTGTCAGGCGTGTCGGACGGGGATGTATAACGCTTGTCCGGATGTGAAGTTTCACTCTACGCCGCCTTACCATGGGACGTTGAGGCGGTATCATGCGCATCCTGCCGCGTGGCTACACCCACTTCCTGACTCCCTCTCCTTCGAGGATGGAGCGCTACTCGAACCGCTGTCTGTCGTCCTCGCGGCTTTTGCGAGGTTGCCGCCGATGATTGGTCAACCCGTACTGATTGCCGGCGCTGGACCAATCGGCTTGATTAGTCTCTTGTGTGCGGAGGCGGCGGGTGCGTGGCCGCTCGTTGTCACAGACATGGACGCCGGTCGCCTCGAGTGGTGCAAGAAGCTCGTGTCCGGTGTACACACTGTCCAAGTCCAGAAAACATGGACCCCGGAGGAAACCGCCGAGCACATCGTCTCAGCAAACGGTGGACTCAGACCTGTCATTACATTAGAATGCACCGGCGCCGAACCCTCCATCGCCTCCGCAATCTACGCCTCCGCCCACGCCGCAAAGATCCACATCATCGGCGTCGGCCCATCCACCCAACGCATTCCCTTTATGCACCTCTCCACCAACGAAATCGATCTCCAGTACCAATACCGGTATCGGGAGACTTGGCCACGCGCGATTCGAGTTATGGAAAGTGGGAGGTTGGAGAAGATTAGGAATTTGGTTACGCATCGGTTTGGGTTGGAGGAGGCGAAGGAAGCCATGGAGCTTTCGGCGGATTATTCGAGGGGGGGGATTAAGGTGCAGATTGTGGATGAGGAGGAGCCGGGGACGGCTGCGAAGGCAGATTGATGAAGGTTGGCGTGATGTTGGGACACCCTTGATGCTCTAGCTTAGGTTCATATGGAAATGTACCTAGTTTCTGCTTGTCGAACAGATCAGTTAAATAAACAATACCCTGTCCTGTGTCTAAATCCCTCTCTCCTCAATGACGCAAACAATTGACGCTATGCCTATATTGTGCGCGAGATGCCCATCTTACCCCACATCTGCCTTTGCGCGCGCAAAAGCGAGGAAGACGGGTAATGTCACCCTCTTTGGCGATTGGAGCCCCACCGCGATCCCCCTCCCCCTCCTCGAGTGTTGTGCTTCCTTTGAGAGGAGGAGGATCATCTGACCACCTCGTCATTTCGTCATCGAGCTTGCAATTGAGAAGAAGAGCATTTAAGAGGTGGACAGGGACAGCAAATTGGAAGCAATTGGAAGCACTTGAGCAGCCCTACGCCATAGCCGCAACCTAAAGCTCCTTCGGGCACGATCGGCTAAAACGGCACGGCACACGCATCTCGAGCACGTTTTCACAATCGATTCACAATAGAGACAAACTTCTCCTCTTTCTCCTCCGCAAGGTTCAGCCAGGATCGAAGCCATACATAAGAGAGTGTGAAGTACGGAGCGAGTTTACATCACCGATCACAACGATCTCAGAGACGAACAACATCGAGGGAGGAGAATGGCACAGGCGATCCTCCCATTACATCAAACACCAACACATACGACTCTCGTCAACATACCCTGTCAAACCAGCATCTCACAACCCTCCTCTACCCCCAGCAACCCCAAACACGCCCCTTCTCCCACCACAACAGACACCACAATGACCAAACCCAAGCCAAACGCTGTTATCACATACTTTAAGAAGTGGAAAGGCAGCGGCACAGGCCTATATCCACCCGCTCCACCCCTCCCCTCAATCCTCTACGCCTGGCTCGCCTCCTTCATCGCCATCGCATCCCTCGCAGCGCTCCAATACGACACTGACGGTGAACACAACGACACAGTAACGATGCTCATCCCGTCCTTTGGAGCTACGGCCGCATTGGTGTATGGATGCTTAGACAGTCCGCTCTCAACCCCCCGCAACGTCTTTTTTGGGCATCTTATTAGTGCTGCGACGGGGCTTGTTTGTACGGGTATTGCGCAGGCTATTCTTCATGCCTCGAGTTCGTCTCCGGATCCGATGCATATGGTCGAGCTTGGTCGAGAATGGGTCTGGTTGGTGGCGGGACTGAGTGTGTCGACAAGTATCGCACTCATGCTCGCAACGAGGACGATGCACCCCCCCGGCGGCGCAACAGCCTGCGTCGTCGCCCTAACCCTGACCTCCACCCCCTCCGCTTCCAAAACCTTCTCCAACTGGCCCTGGACCGTCGGAAAAGCATTCCTCTTCCTCGCATGTCCGGTCATCACTGGAATCCTCATCCAGCTTTTCGTCGGGTTATTGGTTAATAATATCAGTACGAAGCGGACGAATAGGAGGTATCCGCCCTATTGGCTTTGTCCGAAGAAGAAGGGGGAGGATAAGGTTGTTTTGGCGGATAAGAAGGCGGAGGGGAGGGATGAGGAGGAGAGGGTTGGTGCGGGGGCGGGGATGGGTGGGTTGTTGGCGCAGGCTGGACGGACGGCGTCTCAACAGCGAGATGTGAGTACCAGTTCGAGTGAGACGGAGAGGGACCAGGAGAAAGACGACATGGAGGTACATGAGGAAGCGCAGACCGCTGAGTACTGGCGTAGACGGTGTGAAGATGCCGAGCGAAGGCTGGAGGAGTTGGAGAGGCGGTTGTCTGAGTAAATCGGCAACATTGACGAGGATATATGCGTTGCATGGAGCATAGATCTGGAGGGAAGCGACTTGGACGCTGCATTTGTATGGTTATTGGACGTGCACTTGGGGGAGAGGTGGGAAGGGGACTTTTGGCTTTGCGATTGGCTTCGGCGCATATTTTTTCTGTTTTGTTTTGTTTTGTTTTGTCCGTCGTTGCTGTTCTATTAGCACTTACGACTGGCTTGCGACTGGCTCGTTGATACCTTAATATACCGTGGACATTCTTATCTCGGGTCTTTTCATTGCATCTCATGATCATATCGTCGCGATACCGACAGCATATTAGAGCAATCTCCCACGGCTACAGTAGTAACGCATACACGCCTCTACAGTATGATTGAGTTATGAACGATAAAGGGAGGAGTTACGAAGGCACCGTCGCGCCGTATACCGGTATATTGCTCTATACATCCGCGTCCAACCTCAAGCCTTACCACCATCTCTCCTCGCATTTTCCTGCGCCAGGATTCCCTGCACGACCCCCTCCGCCCCTTCAACACACCCCTCCAAAAGCACCAAGCCCTTCCTCGTCCAACTCCCCACGAACCACACCCCATCCCATCCCTGCACGCCCTCCAACTCCCTTACCGCCTCCAACGACTCGAGTGTTTGTATACCACGGTAGAATTGGGCACGGCCAAGGAGGAGTGGGGAGGGGATAGTGTGGGTGTGGGTGGGGGTTGGGTTAGTTGTTTGGAGAAGGGTTGGGGCGAGGATATGGGTTGTTGAGGTTTGGTTGGTGGAGGAGTGGGAGGAGAGGTTGAGGGTGCGGAGGTGGGTGGGGGAGGCGGGGAGGATGGTTGTGTCGCGGTGGGTTATAACTTCGACTTTCTCACTCTCAAACGCGTCCAATAGCCGTACCAGATCTCCATGTTTATGTTCATGTGCGTCGTTGTCGGTGTCTGCGTCCTGTTTTGTGGAGGAGGAGGAGGAGGAAAGTATCCGCCGTGCCTGCGCAGCCCCGACGGCGAAAACAACATGGTCGAACTCCTCCTCATCGTCACACCCTTCCAGCTTGATCTTGACTTTTTCGTTCGCACGCCGTATCCGCTCGACCCCCCGTCCCAAATGTACATTCCCCTCTTCGATCCCCTCCATCAACCGTCTCCTCACGACCCGCACACCCCCCTCAACAACACAATGCTTCCCCCATAAACTCGCCGCAGCGTACCGTAGTACTTCTGACGCCGGAAGTCGGAGGGTTGTGGAGTGGGAGCAGGTACATATGGCGGAGAAGAGGGGAAAGAGGTAGTTCCGGGAGAACGAGGTAGGGAAGTGATGGGTTTGAAGAAAGGTGTCGAGGGTTGTGGTTGATAGGGCCATCGAGGGGGGTAGGAGGTAGGTGTATAACGTTGCGAGGATGGCGAAGTAGATGAACGTAAGTGAGGTTATCAGGGTTTCCCATATCGACGAAGCGCGAACCCCACGGCGGCCCGATCCACCCCCGTAGGTTAACCGCACCCCGTTCCCATCAGAAAACGAATAACTAAACCGCACCCGCCTCAATTTCACCCCCAAACTCCGATACAACCCCATCAAGCGCGGATAATAACCCGACGTTACGGCGCGCATGGGTACATCCACAACCCTCCCATCAACCACGAGGGAATGCGCGTCGAATCCGATCTTGGGGCCGGCTTCAAAGAGGTGGATGGAGTAATTGGAGGACCGAGAGGAACGGGAGAGGAGGTGCGCGGTTGTTAGGCCTGCGAGGCCGGTGCCGATTATGGCGATGCGGGTTTGTTTAAATTTGTGATCCCATGCTGGCGGTGGTCGGGGTGATCCGGCCATGGTCGTTGGTGGTAGCCAGACTGGACACGTGATGGGATCAATTGCAACGGGTATCAAACGAGGAGGAGTGCAGGGTCCATTCGACAGATTCCGAGATTTCGGAACCGGAAAATAAGGTATGGCGCCTTACTTGGTTGGGGAAGGGCTGGCCGTCGTGCGTGAAGGTGCAGCTCCTGGGGCATGTGAACCGTGACGTTGTTCAAAGTGGTGCAGGGGACTCGGCGGCTGATGTCTGCTGCAGTTGCATTCAATGAGTGTTCAATTGGTTGGAACCGCTGGGTATAGAGCGGCACGAAGAGGTCGAGATCACGTGAGCGCAGGGTTACGTACAAGCTTAAACTCAAGCCTGCGCAGCAATCCCAAGCGACATCAAATATGACATCATCGTCGATCCTCGCATACTTTCCCTATAAGAACCACCGTCCGTGCTCTCAAAGAGCATTGCCATCACCACGCAATTGAATAAACACAAACACAAAATGTCTGCCGCCGAATCCACCATGCCCACCGAGTCCGCCGCTCCCGCCGTTGATCCCACGGCCACTACCGCCTCCTCCGGCCAGCAGGATTACCTTGACAAGGGCGTTGCTTTCGCTGCTCAAAAGGCTGGACATTCCACCAGTACGTCGCGCACCCTAAGAAAAAGAATTTCTTGGGATGAATGCTAATCAGTGATGGGATAGACGCCTCAACCACCGAGAAGATTTCCGATGGTATCCGTTCCGGCTTCAAGAAGCTTACTGGAAAGGATGTTCCTATCGCCGACAAGCAGTAAGCCTTTGTGCCGACGGAGTGTACGAGTATGGTCAGGACTACGAATAGAGCACAGGCCAAGCGCCTGACGATGGAGGAGTTATTGTATACCTATTGAAGGAGTGGAACTCCATAATGATACTTCTTTGCCTACACTTCCCCTTCCATCTCCTTTCTCCGTTCCATTGCTTTCGTGTTTCCCGATCATCAATGAATTACAACGTACTAGCTCCAACCCTCGCCACCCTAACCCCCCTAACCTCCTCCAACACCTTCCCAAACTTATCAACACACTCCTCAACAACATCAACACCCCACATAAACTCCTGCCAAGCACGATCGCCCCACATATCCGGATTCTTCTTCGCTCCTCCTCCCGCGGCCGTGCTGTCCATGTGTGCTTGTGAGGAGGCTTCCCGGATTTGGGCGTCACGGAGGCGTTGTTCGGGACCGTCGGGGAGGTGGAGCGCAGCGCGGGTCGTTGCTGCCGAGCGTTGAATCGCGCTCGCTCTCGGTAACCTAAGTCTTTCATACACCTTGAGCGCATCCGGAATATCCACCTTCTTCTCGATCAAGTTCAGGCACGTGCTGAGAACGGCTGCATCCTCGACAGCCTGCGCAGCGCCTTGTGCGACGTAGGGAAGCATAGGATGGCATGCGTCACCCACCAATGCGGTATTATTGTATACCCAATGCGCGAGTTCGGCGTGCGAGTTGAGTGTCCACTCCATTACTTCGCCTTCCGGGACCATATTCAGTAATTTCGTGACGGTGGGATTCCAGGCTGCGTAGTGTGCCAACATCTCCGCTTTCGAACCACGTTGGGTCCAACTCTCTGCGGTCGGGGTACTTGATGTGTCGGGGTGGAGTAGTACCATGTTGTATACCTCTCCGCCTTTTATTGGGTACGCCATGATATGCCGCCCAGGGCCCATCCACCGGATCCCGACGTTCTGGTTAATCAAGACTGACAGCTCTGGGTCTTGGAGCATTTGGGTGCGGGGAATAAGGACGCGGTAGGCTGCGTCTCCGGTTGGGAGGGGACGGTCGGGGGTTGAGAGGAGGAGGGAGAGGGCGTGGCGGGTTGGAGAGCGGATGCCGTCTGCGGCGAGGATGGTATCGGCTGTTATCCATTCGCCCGTCGATAACTGAACCCGAGTACCGGCGAGGTCGATATCGGTGACGCGGTGGTCGGTCAAGAGTTCGCAGCCAGCACGGAGTGCACCATTCAACAGCACGCGCTGAAGATCAGCCCGATGCGCAACCATGAGCGGCGCTCCATACTTCTCCCCAACCCCCGGCATCAACTCCGCAGTCCCGAGTTCCTCACCACCCTCCCACCTCCTCAAACTATTCCTCTCCAACATCACCGCGCCACCTTTTGTTTTCAACTCCGATAATAATCCCCATCGATCCAGTATGCGGGAGAGGTTTGGGGCGACTTGGATCCCGGCACCGACTTCGCCGATTTCGGGGGCGGCTTCGAGGATGCGGACGGCGTGGCCGGAGAGGGAGAGGGAGGTGCCGAGGGCTAGGCCGCCGATACCGGCACCGATGATGAGGATGGTAAGAGGGACGTTGGCGTGGAGGGTGGTGTCGTTGCTCATGTTATGCGTAGTCATGGCTTTGTTAGAGGGTATAGCTGTTGACTGATGGCAGTGAGGGGAGAAGCCAACTTATATGTGCCCCTCCAGGCCTGTCGTCGGCAGTAACCACCTAGGCCATGGTGTAGCAGCCGTCCACGTCGTGACCAAACCTTCAGCTCAAGTGCCGTGCCCTGTCGGCAATCCTCCAGCCGTGGCTGATCAATCACATATATCGGCATGAAAGAGCAGCTGCCACTCGGCTATGATGGAAGAGTCAGGTTTGGGTGTGGGGGGCTCATGTCCCGAAGTCGGTTGGCGGTTAAGGCTGAGGAAGTGCCGAACCCCTGCACGATTTGCCGAAGTGCAGGATATCGCTTCGGCAGACATATCGCGTACCGCTATGCATGTAGGATGTCAATGGGCCCGCTTTTACTTCTAACCTCCGTGCATCTTCATAGCTTTGACAATTTTATCGTGGTGCCGATTGGCTCAGGCCGTGACCACGAATGTGAGCAAGCCCTGATCGAGGCATCACCTGGCATATATGGCGTATCCACATCATCGAGCAATATTGGAATAACTTCTGTCAGTGTGGGTTCCGCGTTGAATGTTAACAGTGTTGTTCGTCGCAACACAGTTGTACATGGAATCCAATGATACTCATCTCTCATTGTGAGTTCTTTCGAGCAAACCTTTGATGAGAATTGCATATGTTATGAGTGTAATCAAGATAATACTGCAAAACCGCCACACAAAACCAAACTGGGCCGCCTGAGGACCGTAAATATCCTAAGCGTCACACACAGCTTTGGTGGAGGACATTAAGTGTCGCCTCTCCCAATGTGTTAGCATGTCCTAATGCCCTGGCAGATGCCTCGACGGTTTCTTCCCACCCTTCGTCTGTTTCTTTTGACTAGCCGTCGGTTTCTTCGTATCCAAATCAGACTCGTCAATGTACTCACCACAGCCTTCATCATCTTTGTGGTCACCACTGGCGTTACCACCATCATCGTCATCATCACCGTTGTTCCCAGATCCAAGCTCTTCCGCATCCTCCGTATGGAGGTCCTCGAATGCATCGGGCGGCAGGGCGTCGTCCACATGAGGTTCGTACATCTCATAGACTTTTGGCATCAATCTCTTGAGGATAGGCCTGATCAGAGCAACGACGCGTTTCTCGAACGCCCTCCTCCCAGGCTTGCACTTGAGAACTTTCCCCTTACGCGTGACACGGTTAAGCAACCAACCGAGCCTCTCCATGATGCAAATATGGGCATACATGATGCCACGAGCTTCGTCGGGAGGATCCATCCCAGCTTTGCTGACTGAGTTTGTATGTAGTGAGAGTTTGATGCTGGTATACGTAGGGTTGCCTGCTGTAAACAAATGTATGGGTAAACGTAATCGAACTTAACAAGCCCTCATATGCATTGTGCGGCCCATGCATTTCCATCCTTTTGTGGCAGAATTTAGGTTCGTGGGAGTAGGGTTATTTCCCCCATACCTCACCCACCCGTCCTACCCGTTCCAACCGGCCAAGACCCCACGCGAGACGGCCTCCGGTAAAATGGATCGATTCGTAACACTGTACTTGTAATCACCTCTTCACCTCTGATTGGGATTGTACCGGGTGGTTCGTGATCGTGCTAACCGGATTCCCAAATCCGCCCGAGTCTCGACTCCAGATAGTCTCCAGCAAACTCCAATGCGCCAAGAATGTTATACTCGGGACATCGTAACTGTGATCCCCTCACCATTCAACCGGATCGTGGGCTTCGCCTGCCGTAAACAGACCTATAGCCATGTCCAGTGAAAGGCAAGCTCAATCGAACGTGACACGAGTTCTCCCCAACATCCTCGAGGTGATCACACACAAACAACATGCCTTACCCGGTCACGTACCATGTATCCCCGCTCTTCCCTCACCCCTCCTCCTCCGTCCCATTCACAACCCCAACAACATCCCCAACCCTCCAACTCCCCTCCAAGAACCTCGGTCCCATCACCTCCAAAAACCCCCTCCTCCACATCCTCACGAACCCCTCCACCCTCTCCCTCTCCTCTTCCGGATTAGCGCATCCTTCGAGGAGCTTGCGGACGATGGATTCGCCGTGTGAGGTGTAGGTGGGTGCACGCGTAAGTGGTTCGAGCGCGGTGAGGGGTTGTAGGAGTTCGGGGAGGAGCGGGTCAGTGGGTTCGAGATCGAGGTGTTCCCTCACAATGGCCTCCAACTCCCTCCTTCTCCCCTCCGGAATCTTCCCCACCTTAACCCCAAGCAAAGCCCTCGCAGCACTTCTCACCCTCCCAACCCTGTCGTCCCTAACCCACGGCCCCCCCTCCAACCCCACCCCAAATTCGTCCACGATTCGACGACGGAGGGGGAGTGAGACACGGGCTTCGTAGGTTAGGTGGCAGGGGATACACAGGGGTAGGATGTCGTGGGAGGAGTGGGATTTGTAGGGGAGGGGGAAATGGTGGGTGTAGGTGTGTGGGATGATGTGGTGGAGTGTTAAGCCTCCGGAGGCAACTGAGCTGTGGGCCGGGGTTGTTGTTGTTTGGAGTGGAGTGGTGGAGGTGGAGGAGGAAGGGGATGAGGGTGAGAAGCCGCAGACGACGCATACCTCCATGCGTTCTTCGAGATACCACTCCTCGCCTTCATTAACGCGACCTGATCCTTTTGGCGTAAACGTCAACATAATACTCCGCGGAACTCCTTCTTCCTCCTCACTCCCCGCCGAAGCCTTCTCGCTGTTCTGCATCGAGTCACTCGTCGGAGGAGTATACGGGCGTGCGAGATCCCTGTCAAGATACCACTTGATCTTCTTCGTCGAACAGCGGAACATCAACGTCCCTTCGGGGGAGTAGACGGAGCAATTGTTGTAGATAGGTTTCGAGCGAGTTTGGATGGGTATTGGCCGAGGCATGGTGTGCGGTTGGTTGAGGAAGGGTGTTCTAGGGCCGAGGCGAACGCGTGAGGTAACTGCCGGAGAACGTCTGAAAACCGCGACTTGTGACACTGTGTACTGGGAAGCTGTGATGTATGATATTCAGTGCCCAACGTTTGGGCGGATGTAGTAGTCTTGAGGGAACACAACTGTCGCTGCGCGTGCGCTTGGATGGCGATTCACACCTGCAGCTGAGGACACTTTGCGATGCAAGAATCTGTTCGTTCGACTCAGCAGACGTTCCCAGCGTTTCTCTGACGATCAAGGTATTTCGAGTGTTTCGAAGATTTTGGGTATGAGGTGCATGAGCTCACAGAAGCGAGGTTTTCGGCTCTAGGAATAATGTGCCGACGTGCAGCTCGCTTGTAACGTCGACATTCTTAGACAGAGGGTGCAACCCAACGAACCCTGACAAAACAAGAACGCCAAACCCAAACCGACCAAAATCCCATACCCGACGCAACCGTCAACCACAACCTCACCGCCAAATCAAACATCTAAGATAAACCCACCTCACTCAATCAACCCCAGCAAACTTTTACTAGCCTCCCTTTCCACGCCCCAAACCTCACTCTCTTTAAACCCCCTTGCAACAGCTCTAACCCACCTCGCAACATCATACTGCCCATCCGCCATCCACCCCGTCGTTCTCTGCTCCAGCTCTTCCCCGTCACCTTCAGCAGCTGGGGTAAGCGCCACGTACCCATCCAAACAATCAAACAATGCTTGTTCATCCATACCCAACCCCGCCCTTCCACCTCTCGCCGCACTGTGGCCATTGGCGGAGGAAGCAGAAGCGACAACTTGCCGATTCCGCGTAGTAACCAATTGCCAAATCACCAACACCGCCTTGAAACTCGCCCAAACAATATACGGCGGCCTCAACCCCGCCGTACCCTTCCCCTTCCCCGTCCCCTTCCTCCGATCCCGAAGCATCTGTCGCGCAAACCAAACCAAATTCCCCACAACCATGCTGAAATCAACACTCGGCCCCATCCGTCGCGTGAGGCCTCCAAATATCGAATACCCATCTCCGGACGCGGGAGGTGAAGCACCGATTTGGTTCTTGGCAGCACGTACAGCGAGCGCGACACAAGCCGGTAACGTCCCCTCCACGATCCCCCCCAAAATAACCGGATCGGGTAAATGCAACTGTACATACGCCAAATGCCACGCACTCCACACCGTCCTCCATAACGCAGGTCCACGCCCCGGATCCATCTCTCCTCCCCCAACCGCAGAGAGTACGCCCCCAAGTCCATGCGCGTCGTCTTGCTGATACTGCCAATACGCCGAATCGGCTTGAGAGGTCCATACCGTCCGCAAGGAATTGAGGGCAAACGACAACTGTGGTCTCCGTGAATAAATATCGACACCGCCTCCTGCCCCACCCATCGTCATGCCCAAGGAATCGGCGGAGGAGGAGGAGGAGTATGGGCCTAGTGGCGTGACGAACGAGCACCACAGCATATCGTTCAACACGAGCATGTGTAGCGTGACGACCAACACCCAACTACTGAACGCATTCAACACCCCCGGCGCTCTCAACTCCACCAACAAACACCTCACCGCTTCCCCGAAACCAGGTTGTTGGACGGACCACCGGCCGGAAGAGGTGGTGTGGGATGCATGTTGGGTGATTAGGGCGTGGAACGCAGAGGGTGAAGGAGCTTCGAAAAGATCTTCGTGGGAGGGAAGGGGGAGTGAGATCTCGGACGCCCAGAGTTGGGACGGAGAAGAGAAGAAGAGGGCAGAGTTGCAGTCCAGGAGGTAGAGTGCGAACAACGTCCGCTTCCGAGTTTCTTGCGCGATGAAACTCTCCCAGGAACGCTGCAACTCATCACCCGTCCCGGAATTCGTAGTGAAAACTGGCATAGACGTTGCGGAAGGTCGGGTGAGGTGTGTTTCGCGAGCGAGGGAGGTGATGAGGAGATGCATCTCCTTCGAGCTCCGAATCGAGAACTCCATCTCTGAACGATCCCACTTCTTCACGTCCCCAAACAGTGCATAAACCTCATAAAGCACAAGAGCCTGAATGACCCAAATCTTATGTCTCCTCCCTCCTCCTCCCGCACTCGTACCCCCATCGTCGGCGCCCCCAGCCGCTTCATCCTGCTGATCCTCCTCCAAATAATGCCTCAAAATCCTAACCCCACTCTCCGCCCACTCCCGCCCCAATCGCCTATCCCTCCCCGTCCCCCCATAAAGCGCCCCAACACACGCCACCGCTCTCAGAAAACTCGCGGGAACAGTGTGAGGATCGAATGTCGGACGATGGATAAGCGGGAAGTAAGGGTGGAAGTGATCGAAGTAGAGGTCGATGTAGTGGAGGAAAAATGTGGGGGGGAGGAAGGGGCGGGAGGAGTAGTAGTAGTGAAGAGCGGGGACGGGGTAGGGTGGGATGTCTTCTGCGATGATTACTGGTGGTAGAACTCCTGGGCCGGGAGCGGGAGCTTGCGACTGGGCCTGTGGCTGCTGGTGCTGGTGCTGTTGTTGCGTAGGCTGTGGAACGGGCACCACACCCCCCACACCACCCGGCGTCACCGGCGTAGCCAACGCACCCACACTCCCACTCGTCAAAGAATCACCAACAATAACATTCCCATCCATATCCTGCCGATGAATATTCTTCAAATGTCGTTTCATCAAATCTTTCCGCCCAAACCTCAACTCACATATCGGACACACGAAGGGTTTCTCAGACGTATGGGTTCGTGTATGTCGGATGAGATGTTCTGATCTCGTGAAGCCTTTTGAGCAGTGTGCGCAGCGGAAGGGATGGGCTGGGTCAGCGCCGGCTGTCCCTGTCGTGGGGGATGGGGAGGGGTATGGCCATTGCGCTCCTCCTGCTGCTGCTGCTCCTGCTGCTGCTGAGGGTGATTGGTGCGTGACTGAGGCAGCTGGTGATTGTGATGGAGCCATAACTGCGATTGTTATGGGCATAAGAGCATTGATCAGCAGCTGGGATGTATGCTGATGGTGTTGAGTTTCCCTTCGTTATCTCTCCCCCGCGCGTCTGTATTGGTCGTCGGTTATCAGCTTAGCGCGGAGGGTGTACGAGCGGGGCTCCTCCGGGTTGGCCCGACGTCAAGTGCGGTGAAGCTTAAGGGTCCGTGCGGAAGGTTATGATCACGAACATTTGACCGTTCAAAAGAATAATAATTCTCCTCTCCACTTACTTCTTCTTCCCCCCCAGATCCCTCAACACATCCTCCATCTTAACCGTCGCACTCCCCCTCTCCTTCGGCTTCGTCTGTCCACTCCCCGGCCTCCACCCAATCATCCACAACACACTAAACGTTGCCTCAATCCCCCCATCCTCCGTCTCCCCATGCAACCCCCGATAAATACTATCCGCACTCATCACAACATCCCTACCAATCCCCCCCGTAAGCCTCTGCAACGCCGCATTCGACTCCCCCATCCCGCGCAACTCAGACATGAGATGTGGCACGGATCGATAGGAGACGACGATATCCTCCACGTCGATTGTGGTTAGTGTTAGCCCGGCGCGGGTGAGGAGGTTTCCCATGTCTTTTACGTCGGTGAAGGGGGAGATGCGGGTTGAGATCCCGCCGAGACGTTCTTGTTCGGCGAGTTGGAGGGAGGTACGGAGTTCGAAGAGGGTGTCGCCGGCGAACATGGAGGCCAAAAAAAGACCATCTTCTTTTAGGGCGCGGCGGACTTGGATTAGGGTTCCGGGTAGGTCGTTGACCCAGTGGAGGGCGAGGTTTGAGATGACTGCGTCCAAGCTATTCTCTTCTACAGCTTCGAGGAGACGTTCTTCGTCCGCCACTTTTCGGGTGATGTTGAGGCCTGGGTAGGGCGTTGGTTCGAGATTTGCGTCACGGTGAAGGAGGAGAGGGGATCCGTCCATGGCGATGTAGTCCTTGATACGCGAGGCGGGTGCGACGCCATTGTCTTCTTCTCTGGGTCGACACAGCGATTTCGCGACGTGTCCGGCGCCTGAACCCAGATCCATAACCGTATCGAATTTGCGGTTGACGAACTAGACCCACACCCATCATCAGGACTTTTCATGAAAGAAGAGGAAGAGGGGAGAGGGGAGGCATACGAGTAACCGCTCAACCAACCGGTCCGCAACCTCATCCTTCAAATAATCATAGTTCCTCGACGCGGCAGGATCAGCCGCTGCACGGTCCCGCTGCAGGTGTTTTACAGCACGGTCGAATACGGCGAAGGACGGGATGTTTGAGCTGGGCTTCGTGGGTGGTGATGCCAGCCCTCTTCTCAAGCGCGGGAGGCGAGCTCGTTGCAGGCAGGGACGGATCATGGTGGGGGGAGGGGTCGACGAGTGCGGCGGGGGGACTTTTTGGTGCCTGGTGGGTGTCGGCCGGACCTGCGTGACCTGTTGCGTACCTGGGGTACCTGGGCAGCACACTACCCCAAACACCGTGCGAATCCTCGATCGGACGAGAGCATGGGCTCCGCATTCTTGCACATCCATTGCCCTTGCGCGGACTCAATCACCACCATCCCCCCTTTACCGCCGTCCTCCTCCACAGCATCCGCACACCCCGACACATCCACTCACCCCCCGGGGCCTCCATCTCTCGCCGCCGCCGCCGCCGAAGCCGAAGAAGAAGTGGAAGATTCGCTCTGGGATCCCAAAGCCCCTCGAAGCCAATTCAACACATTTCCTTTATCCAATTTATATTTCTGTGAGGAGTGCCAGAGTATACGATGTCCGAGATGTGTTCAGGAAGAAGTCGTGTGTTGGTTTTGTCCGTGGTGTATGTTTGAGGTGCCGGCTACTAACGTCCGGAGTGATCATAATCGGTAGGTTTTATGAATGTGAAGAGTGGTTGGATGAATACTGACGATGGAAGGCATAGGTGCGCCCGAAATTGTCTGGAATGCCCACGATGTAGCGCACCGCTCTCCCTGCACCCCCTCCCTACCACCACTACTCCCTCAGACCCAGCAACTGGAGGCCACCTGGTGTGCGACAACTGCGACTACACCTCCTCCTCCTCCCACGCCATCACCTTCCCAAAACCAACCCAACTTGTCCACCAACTCCACAAACTCCATCCCACACCCCCTGAAACCCGATTCGACGAGCTGCGCAAACACTGGATGTTGAAGGAAGCTAGTTCGGGAAGGGACGAGAAAGTTAGGATGGGGATGGAGAGGTTGATGGGGGTGTATGCGGCTCGGTTGGGCGGTGGGGTTGTAGGGAGGGCTACGGCGAGGATACGGAGTGGGAGTGTGGATGTTGGTGAGGGGAGGAGTGGACTAACCCCGCCCTCTACCGCTGTACCGGAGGTTGAGGCTGCACGTTATGTCGACACAGCCACCGAGTCCTCCCATCTCGAAGCTCTACAGCGGATGCGAACGCTGGATACCCACGACACGCTTCCAGGGCAAGAGCTCCGACCACAACCGCCGTTGTTGAGGACGAAGCGCGCGAAGAGGTGCCGAGAATGCCGTCACATCCTCGTCAGACCCGAATCCAAACCCGTCAGCATCCGCTGGCGAATGGGCCTCTTCGCTATGAACTACGTTCCCTCCATCTCCATCTCCCCCCTCTCCTCTTCCTCCAGCACGAAGAGGTTTCTGTTGAAAGTCACCAACCCCCTCTTCGACCCCATCCAAATCTTCCTCGCTACGCCCTCGACGACACACTCCGGCGGCCAGGTGACGCTGACTTGCCCAGAATTCACGGTGGGGGCGAATGAGGATGTCGTGTTGCCTTCACTTAGTGATCTGAGAGTTGGGAGTGGGAGCAAGCGGGAGGAGGGCGAGGAGGAGAAGAGGGGGAGGAGCGAGGGGGGTGGGGTTTGGGATGAGGGGATGAATTGGGGGAGGGTTTTGGTGGAGATGAGCGCAATGGTCGGTCAGGAGTTGGAGGGAGAGGGAGCGGGAGTGGAATTGCCGTTTTTTGTGAGAGTTAGGTATGCTACGGAGGAGGGGAAGGAGAAAGAGAAGGAGAGGGAGTTGGGGTTTTGGGCGGTTGTTGGGTGTTAAGTCGCACGCTTGGTTGGACGCGCCTACTCGAAAGTTCAGGGCTGCAGGGCACGCGCGCGCGCGTTACGCAACTTATAAAATATAAGCTTGGAAATTTGTCAGCGCTTTGCGAAAGGAACAGGTCAGCGAGTTCATCGGCGTTTAGCACACAAGCTCTTTCTGTTTTTCGAATCTCTATCACCCTCAATGAGCGTGCTGTCTGCCGTCCGGTCCTCGTACTCTCGACGTCTCGTCGGCACCGTCCGCGGCATGATCCCGTGCGCCTGCGGAAACGGGACCTTACTAGGCTCAAGGTCCGTCGTGCAAGTGGCTCGCCTGGCGCTACAGACACCGCAACACCGCAAAACTCAGCGAAGTCCAAGTTCTTTTTCATCCTTCCATACGGACATGTCTTCCTCTTCTCCCCCGTACACCAACCCCTCCGCTGAGCACGATGCTGGCGCGGACGACGTCACCGGTTACATGGAGTCGCTCTCGTTGAATGAGACTGGAAAGCAGCAGCAGGGCGAGGAGGCGACTGGTGAGGGGTACGGCCAGGTTACTTTCCGTGCTCTCATTACCTCCAAGGAAGCCGGTATCATCATTGGCAAGGCTGGTGCGGTCATGGCCGAGATGCGCGAAAAGACTGGTGTCAAAGCCGGTGTTTCGAAGAACACGGTTGGTGTGAACGACCGCGTTCTCACCATGACCGGTGAAATTGACGGCGTCGCGCGCTTTTTGAGTATGTGCGCAGACAGAATCGATGCGGAGGGTTTCCACGCTGAGGCCGGAGCTGCTGTAGCCAAGAGTGCTGAGATCAGGCTTTTGTGTCCGACGAGTTTGGTTGGGTATGTTATCGGCCGTGCAGGTGCTAGGATCAAGGAGATCCGTGAGACGTCCGGTGTCGATATCCACGTCGAGTCCAACGAGCTTCCCGGTTCCTCCGAGCGTATCGTCGAGGTGAGGGGAAGTGGCGAGGGCGTCCGTACCGCCGTCTCCAAGATCGGTGCCATCTTGGCGGAAAACTGGGAGAGGGGAATGGGAACGGTCTTGTATAACCCCCTTGGGCACGAGCAGAATGTGCAGAAGCGTAATGTTGGGAACTACTTGTGGTCGAGAGGAGGTGAACGTAGCACTAGGGGTCCATCGGATCGGAGGTCCCAGCAGCCCCGGGAGTCCGCTGCGTCGCTTACCACCTCCACCAACGACGCCGAAGAGCCCTCCTCCACCACCACCGGCGACGAAATCGTCCAAAACATCTCCATCCCCGGCGACATGGTCGGCTGCATCATCGGCCGCGGCGGCTCCAAAATCACTGAAATCCGCCGCCTCTCCGGAGCTAACATCAACATTGCGAAATTGCCCCACGAGGGTGGTGAGCGGATGTTTACGTTGAGAGGGAGTGCGGAGCAGAACGAGAAGGCGTTGTTTTTGTTGTATCAGCAGTTGGAGGGGGAGAAGGAGAGGAGGACTGAGGAGGCTGCTGCTCAGGCTGCGCAGGCTGAGCAGGAGTAGGAGTAGGAGAGTTTTTTTTTTCATACTGGAGGGGGGTCCGATATGTTTTAGGTTGCTGTTGCTGGTGCTGGTGCTACAAAAGTGGGATGTGTGCTATGTTATGGGTCGACGAGCCTCCCATTGTTGAGTCAATTTTGTACTGTATAATGCCATAATGGCTACGTTCGCTGTGGATTAGGTCGAAAGGATCGTTTTACTTCTTCATGTTACTATTCTTCCTATTGCGCACATGTTCCACCTTGATCCGCCAAGCATCTTCCGAGGCTCGAATGCCCTTTTCCGTCACGTATGTCTCATGGGCATACGATACGTCCCAAGGTTCACGGCAATCATGCAAATCCGCTCAAAAGGTACCAACCAAATCGCCCATCATCATTCAAAATCCTCGTCACACAGATGCAAACCACCCCCTCCACAAGCTTTACAAAGAAGCACCGCTCCAAGAAGCCTTGACACCATCCATTGGGTATAGAACACATCCTCATCTCCTGTACGCACCCGTCACGTCACGAGCGCACACCGACTGCAGCACACCCTCCTTCATTGAGAAGCACCGACGTGTCCCTTCACACCCTTCGTCGCGCTCGGCATCTGCACGGGCTTTGCGTTCACGCTCAAGTAGTGGTATAGCACGATCAAGACCATCATTCCTGTGCCGAGCCAGATTGCGATGGAGTTTAGTTGTTCGTCGGTCATCGTGTTGATATGGTATGGGCCTACAGGGTTCGTGTGTAGTTTCGGTTGCAATTAAGTGGCGGATACTTGCAATGGCTTTGAGACTGACTTCTGGAGACAGGTGCGATCGTGTGAGTGATTCGTCGTCAAATGTAGGCCTGTCAACACGTACTGTACACAAGCGTAGCCGTTACGCTCGGCGGTTCGGTATCGAACTGCCGCTGACGCAACGGAGGGAGCGACGTCGCACAAAACGCACACCATCACAAAATCATTATCGCACAAAAACATCGCAACCCAGACAGGGTTCATGATCATTCAGCATCTTTTTTACGGCTCATATGAACAAAAACCCAAGCACGGATAAGCCCGCTTCGGGGGGTGCTGAAGCTTCGAATGCCACGGTAGTCGCCAATAAAGCACTACGAGATCGAATCAAGCATTTTACTCCATCGTAAGCTGCTTCATCATTAAATCTTTGTTCCGGATAAAGCGTAACGGCGGCTCCAGATGGTTTAGTATAACGATGGGGACGGGGATCGTCTCTATCCTCCTTCATCAACTCCCGTACCAGTTCCCGGGTCTGCACGTCATCTCGACCGTTATTTATCTCGTCAATGTCATTTTGTTCGTGATTTTCTCGGTTATATCGATTGCGAGGTATACGATATATCCCTATATCGGGGTGTTGATGCTTAAGCACCCTGTGCAGAGTATGATCTTGGGGACGGTGCCGATGGGGTTGAGTACAATCGTGAACATGACAGTTTTCGTTGCCGTTCAGGATGCGGGGTTTGGAGCATGGTCGTGGAAGCTTGCATGGAGCTTGTGGTGGTTTGATGCCATATGGTCTCTGCTCACTTGTCTGGGCGTTCCGTTCTTGATGTACGTACAACTGGTAGGCAAATTGGGCATAGGGACCTTGCTAACACGCATCGAAGGATCTCCGTACACCAACAGTCACTTGAGAAAATGACCGCAGTCGTCCTCCTCCCCATTGTCTCCACCATCGTCGCCGCAGCCTCCGGCGGCGTAGTCGCTCAAATTCTCCCACGCCCTCACGCGGTAACGACCCTTGTCGCATCGTACATCCTATGGGGTACCGGCATCCCCCTCGCCCTTTCCGTGATCGTCCTCTACCTCCACAGGCTCACAATCTATAAACTCCCCAGTCGAGAGGTGATCGTGTCGACGTTCTTGCCGTTGGGTCCGTTGGGGCAGGGTGCGTTTGGGCTGATGAAGTTGGGAAGCGTCGCGAAGGGGATTGGCTGGCCGACACAGAGTGCAGGCGAGATTTATTACACGGCAGGGTTGTGGGTTGGGTTGATTATGTGGGGGTATGGGTTGGTGTGGTTGGTGTTTGCGTCGGGCGCGATTGTAGTTTCGCTGCCAAGATTTCCGTTCAATATGGGGTGGTGGGGGTTTACGTTTCCGCTCGGTGTATACACGCTTGCCACGACGACTTTAGGAAACGAGTTGGATTTAGGGTTCTTCAGGGTGTTGGGGACGATCTTTTCTTGCGTCGTGGTGTTGTTGTGGATCGTTGTGACATGGAAGACATTGTCGGATGGGGTCTTCGGCGGCAAGCTATTTGTGAGTCCGTGTGTTATGGAAGATGAGAAGGAAAGGTTGTCAAGAAGGCAGCTGAATGAATGTGGAAACGGTGTGGAGCGTGTAGTTGATGAGATCGAGATGACTAGGAGGGCTTGAAGTGTTTTTGTAGTTAAGCTTGATGCAGATATATTGACATAATCCGATATCCTGTCTCGGTGCATCTGCTTTACGCAGAGAACTGAACAACCTTGTTCTCCTTCGCAGCCTCTCTGCATGCCTCCAACACCTTCATCGTCAACAACCCCTGCTTCGCATCAACGGCCAACTTAGCCTTACCCACGATAGCATCCCCAACGTTCTTGTAAAACTCAAGATAAGCACCCTTCTCCCCCTCAACCTTACCCACAACATGAACACCGCCAACTTCAGTATCAACCTCCCCATGCTTCTCATCCACACCAAACTCCGGCGCAGAAGCCGGAGTCAGGCCAGCCTTGAGCTGATTTTCCTGGACGTCGAGACCGTATTTCGTCCATGAGCCGTTGGTGCCATGAACGACCCAACGAGCGGACTCGGCACGGACGAGCATACCTGCGGAAAGGTGTACCACGAGAGATGGCTTATCCTCCCAAGTGAGTCTCACGTCAAAGTAATCGTCCGTAGCGACCGTCTCCAAATTCCTCTGATTCAGGATCGTAGCGGCGATGGTCGACGGAGCACCGAAGAGGGCGAGAGCTTGATCGACAAGGTGAGATCCAAGATCGACGAAGACCCCGCCAGAGATGGCGTCAGTTTCGCGCCAGCCGCCTTTGCCCTTCGGACGGTATCGGTCGAAGCGGGAGGTGATGTTGACGACGTCGCCGAGGGTACCGGCTTCGATCAAGTTTTTGAGGGTGAGGAAGTCGCTGTCCCATCGTCTGTTCTGGAAGACGGCACAGACCAATCCTTTGCCTTCCGCCAATTTTGCCAATTCCTCGGCTTCGGCGAGGGTAGCGGTAAACGGTTTCTCGACCACGACGTTCTTCCCGGCCTCGAGTGCTTTCTTGGCATACTCGAAATGCGTCTTGTTCTCGGTGGTGATGACGGCGAGGTCGATATCCGTCGCGTACAATTCCTCCGCTGATCGAACAACGGGGATATCCTCGCCAGAAGCGATACGAATCGTCGAGGAAGGAGCGTGACGGGAGAGGATCTGGGTGATTTTAAACTGAGAGGGAAGGGAGACCAAGAGCGGGACGTGGAAAGCCTTGGAAGACATTCCATGTCCGATGATCCCGACTTTGCTGTAACAAGACCGAATTAGCACCTGATCCCTCTTGAGGCAGAGGACATGAGTACGCACATTGGAGAAGACATGACGATGGTCAATTGGTCTGTTGCTGGTTGCAATTGCTCTTGATGATGGGTGTAAAAAAAGCGTCGGGTGTACCTTCCTCATCTTCGTTCGTCCAGTCGTCGGCGGTCATACCGGGCCGGATGGCGCTAATGAGGTTAAATCGGATAAATGTGGAGCCGCTGTATGGGGAGGCCGAAATGAAGGGTGAATGAGATTTGTATGAAGCAAAGTTGCAGTTCGAACGTATAACTCTATGTACTGGAAAGGCCGAGGCGCCTGAGAAGCCTGGAATATTTGCAAGGAGAGTTGGATACCCGGCCACAAGGTCACGGAAAAAGGTTGTGTTGGTGTTGATTATGCATGCAATTGACAGAACTTTGTCAAAGTGATCAAAGCCCCGAAGCCACAGTAACAGTCCATACCCTTCCCTCCTCCTCTCACCCCCTCACCCCGCTCAGAAAGTTTCCAAATCCTCTTCCGCATACGCCGCCCCATTCTCATCAATCGCAACCCCTTCAACCCCCTCCACAAGCCCCTCCTCCTCCGTCTCCGGCGCCTCAAACCCCTCCTCCGTCTCATACAAAATCCCCTGTACCTTCCCCACCAACGTCGTCACTTCCGGCGCTTCCTCCGGCCGCACAGTCGCGGCGTATTCTTGCACGAGAACCTCGATATCCCGGAGTTTACCGAAATAGAAGTCGCGTTCGCGTTCGAGGGAGGCGATGAGGTCGTGGGATTCGGCAAGTTGGGATGTCAATGTCCTTACTTCTGATTGGGCTTTTTGGAGGGCGGCGGTGGAGGCGGCGGTGGTTGATGTCGCTGAAGGTGCGCGAGCGGTGGAGGTCGAGGATGGTGCGCGGGTGCCGCTCGCGGTAGGTCTAGACGCCGCAGACGACGGAACCCGTCTCGTTCCACCCCCAACCGAGCGCCCACCACCAACAGGAGCCAACACACCCCCAGGCTTCCCCGCTCTTCGTCCAACAGCGTCATACTCGCCCCCAGGATAATACGCATCCCAATACCGCTTAACCCACTGCAAAAACTCGAGGTTATCCTGGAACTTGCACTTGACGAGTCGCTCGACTGGGAGGCCTTGGGTGATGCCGTGTTTTGCAAAGGTGTTTTGGAGGATTTTGAAGTTTGCTAGGTACTGGTATTCGGCATTACAGTCGAACTATTCACAACTGTCAGCCACTACCCTCATCGGAGGAAAAGCAGGATGGGCACATACCTTCACTCTCGCCATCGGCACATCCCCATAAATCGAGTCGAAAACCTGACAAAGCGGCGCACCGGTACCGCACTGCTCGACCTTGGTCAGTTGGAGGTGGAGGAGCTGGTTAAGCCATCCGATGAGTTCTTGACGGGATTCTCCCATTGCTGGATTTTGGTGTTCGAGGGAGGAAGGTGGCCGGCCGCGGTATTGTTTGGGTGCTCGGGCATTTCAGGTCCCGCTTGGATGCCCGCCGACGTGCCCATTAAATCGGACCGAGTTAAACCTTAATTTAGGGTTGAGATATCGTGCGAGTGTCGGCTCAACCTTAATCGATCTCCACCTTCGGCTGTCGTCGCACATGTGATCTCCTCCCGTCGCGACTCTCGTTACGATGCGCACCATTCGCTTGTCAATTCGAACTCCATCGTCGTTTCGCTTAATCTCGACAACCTGAGACGTTCGATCCCTTGAACCTACAACAATCGTTACAGCAATCGTTCCAACCATGACCAAACACGACCCAGAATCCGCTCAAAGCGGATCAACCGCCGCAGAAGCCCGCCTCGCCGAACTCGGCTACAAACAAGAACTCCCCCGCTCCCTCTCCTACTTCTCCATCCTCGGCCTCTCCTTCGCAATCATGGCCGTCCCATTCGGGCTGAGCACGACCCTCTCCATCGGCCTCACCGACGGTGGGCCCGTGACGATTTTGTGGGGGTGGGTGTTGGTTACACTGATTTCCATCGCAATCGCTGCGAGTTTAGCGGAGATTTGTTCGACGTATCCGACGAGTGGGGGGGTGTATTATTGGAGTGCGATGTTGAGTACGCCCAAGTATGCGCCCATTGCGAGTTGGGTTACGGGGTGGCTGGGATTGGTTGGGAATTGGCTCATTACGACGAGTATCTGCTTCTCGGGGGGACAGCTAATCCTGAGCGCGATCTCGTTATGGGATGAGGAGTATGTGCCGAAGCCGTGGCAGATTGTGTTGATGTATTGGGCGGTGCTGCTCGTCGCTTTAGCCGTAAATATCTGGGGTGCGAAGTACTTGGATCAGCTCAATACTGCTTGTGTATACTGGACGGGGGCGTCAGTTATCATTCTACTCATCACGCTTCTCGTGATGGCACCGAATCGTCGATCTGCCTCCTTCGTATTCGGGCACTATGACGCGAGTCCATCGGGCTGGGCACCAGGATGGGCATTTTTCGTCGGCTTGTTACAAGCGGCGTATACATTGACAGGCTACGGCATGGTCGCAGCAATGTGCGAGGAAGTACAAAACCCAGAACGCGAGGTCCCACGAGCGATGGTCATGTCCGTCGTTGCGGCGGGCGTGACGGGGTTGTTTTACCTCATTCCCATACTGTTCGTTCTTCCGGATATTCAGGAGTTGTTGAGTGTTGCGACTGGACAACCTGCGCCGTTGCTGTTTAAGCTCGTTACGGGGAGCGCTGGAGGTGGGTTCGGGTTGTTGTTCCTCATCCTTGGGATTCTGTTTTTCGCTGGTGTCGGGGCACTTACCGCGTCCTCTCGCTGTGCGTGGGCGTTTGCCCGTGACGGTGCCATCCCCGGTTGGAAATGGTGGGCGAAAGCGAACAAGCGGTATGATATCCCACTCAACGCGCTCTTCCTCTCTACCGTCTTTTGTGGGCTATTAGGGTTGATCTACCTCGGTTCGAGCGCGGCGTTTAATGCGTTCACGGGTGTCGGGACGATTTGTCTCTCCGCCTCGTACGCATTCCCAATCTTCGTCTCCCTCCTCCGCGGTCGACAGGCCGTCCGCAACGCGTCCTTCTCTCTCGGCAACACGATGGGCACGATCCTCAACGTCATAACCTGCGTCTGGATCCTCCTCGCCATCGTACTCTTCACCATGCCGACCGCGATTCCGGTCACAAAGACGAGTATGAACTATGCGAGTGTGTTGTTTGCATTCTTTGGGGTGGTGAGTGCGGGGTGGTATGCGGTTTGGGGAAGGAAGTATTATGTCGGGCCGAGGAGTCATTTGGAGGGGGAGGCGGTGGGGAGTCTGGGGGTTGGGAGGGTTGAGAAGGGGGCGGAGGTGAGGGAGTTGGATTTGAGGGGGAAGAAGGAGGAGAGGATGGGAGCGGGGATGATGTAGGTGGACTCGAACGAATCTATTTGTGTAAGTGATAAGGTATGAATAGAGACGAGAAGAATGTTCCTTCAACATCTTTCTCCGACTTTGGTGGATCGTATCTGTACTGCAACTCACCGTCTGAGGTCAGGGACAGGTCTGGACGGGCGAACAAGCTCATCGAACTACTCCCCCGCCATGGCGTCCACGACCGACACCCTCAATTAGTGTTTGTAACAGAAATGCACCTCGGTCGATCTTTGAGTCACCTCCTTCGTCTATAAATGCTCACTGCCCGCCTCCGTGACAGGATCAACACCGAATTCCAAGTCACTGGTTGAGCTCAAAGATGTCCTCGAAACAGCTCTCGCTTTCTACACTTGCCATTCATGGCGATGACAAGGTGAACGTCGTAACGGATGTTGCACCGCCGATGCATGTGTCGACAACCTACCGCTACCCCCGGAACCCGGACGAACTTGTCCCAGTCTCCGGCGACGAGGTATACCACGTCCCTTCCACCTTTCCTTCCCTGATCCGTACTAATTCCCCTCATTACCACAGGTCCCCTCCACGACAGAACCCCATGTCTACTCCCGCGTAACCCACCCCAACACCACCCGCCTCGAATCCCTCCTCTCCTCCATCCTCAAAGGCCAGGTCCTGACTTACTCTTCCGGCCTCGCCGCATTCTACGCCATGCTCACATTCTTCCGTCCACGTGTCGTTGCAATCTCCGGTGGTTACCACGGGTGTCACGGAATCCTCCACATGCACCAAAAACTGTACGGATTGAAAATCGTTGATTTATTCAGTGTGGGGGAGTGGGATGAGGCGGGGTTGGGGGAGGGTGATGTCGTACATGTTGAGACACCTGTGAATCCGACGGGGGAGGCGAGGGATTTGGGGTATTTTTCGAGTTTGGCAAAGGAGAGGGGTGCGATATTGACGGTCGATGCGACGTTTGCGCCGCCGCCTCTGATGGATCCGTTTGCGTTGGGGGTGGATGTCGTGATGCACTCCGGCACCAAATACTTCGGTGGACACAGCGATATGCTCTGTGGTATCCTCGCGGTTCAACGAAATGATTGGTGGGAAGGATTGGGCGTCGAGCGGGTTTATCTGGGAAGCGTGTTGGGGAGTTTGGAGGGGTGGTTGGGGGTGAGGAGTGTACGGACGTTGGAGTTGAGGGTGAGGCAGCAGAGTTCTAGCGCGACGGCTTTGGTCAAGTGGTTGCACGACTGCCTCACTGACTCCCCAGACGTGCCGGAGGATGAGAGAGAGTTGATCCAAGCAACCATCCACTCCATCCAGCACACCTCCATCCAAGCCCTCGACCCCGCCAACAGCTGGCTCAAAACACAAATGCCAAACGGCCACACACCGGTGTTCGCCATCCACCTCCGCACACCCACCATGGCCAAGAATTTCCCGAGCCGATTGGAGTTGTTCCAGCATGCGACGAGTTTGGGGGGTGTGGAGAGTTTGGTTGAGTGGAGACGGATGAGTGATGAGGAGGTCGATGAGAGGTTGGTGAGGGTTAGTGTTGGGATTGAGGGGTGGGAGGATTTGAGGGAGGATTTTATGGGGGGGTTGAGGGGGGTTAAGGGGATGTGAAGGATGGGAAAGGCGAAGCGTGTGCCTCTAGAGAGCTCGATGAAGTAGCTATAGTGATATCATATCATGTTCCGAATGCGTCTTTTGCGAGTTGAGTCCGTTCTCACGGCAGAGGCAACCCGCCAAGACCGATAAGAGCCGCGCCACTCACCAGCCACGATGCCAAGACTTGGATATTTCCCTTGGCAGACGACTCGACTCAAAATGCGACGCATTCCCCCGTCGACAGTTCCCCCGTCGACAGTTCCCCCCGTCGACAAACAGCTTACACGACCATGCCCTCGACACTGACCTGTCTCTGGGGCGGCGCCAACTCGCCCTGCGCCCTAACCTTCGACACCCCCGAAGACCTCTACACACACCTCACAGAATCCCACGTCGGCCGCAAATCAACAAACAACCTCAATCTAACCTGCGCCTGGGACACCTGTTCCACGATCTGTGCGAAACGGGATCACATCACCTCGCACCTCCGCGTGCACGTTCCGTTGAAGCCGCATGGGTGTAGGCTGTGCGGGAAGAGTTTTAAGAGGCCGCAGGATTTGAAGAAGCATGTTAAGACGCATGCGGATGAGAGTGTGTTGTTGCCGAGTCCGAGTCCGGAGAGGGGTGTCAAGTACACGAATTACACCGAAGACAACGTCAACGTCACGCACCCCCAGGTCGGCCGCGTTCAGCACCTCTATCCCCCCGGCGTGAATGGCGTTAATGGCAACGGCACCCGCGCCTCCCGCTCCGAATCCATAAACTCCCAACACACCTACGCACCCGGCGCATTCTCCCCCGCCTCAATCCACTCCGCGATTTCCTACACCCCGAGCTACGCCACGCCCGACTCGACACCCGAACACCACGGGTTGGATGCTGATAATATCCCGGCATACACCTCTGCTGCGCTTTATCCTCAACTTGGAGGTGCAAGTCAAAGTCAAGTGGATTATGTCTCTCCCTCACTCTTACAAGGCAACAGCAGAAAGAGAAATGCGACAGAAACCTTCGACCCCTACGGCTTCTTCGAAGACGTTAAACGCCACCGAATCGAACCTGCATACAACACCGAGATGGCACATCGTCTTGATACGTTGGCTCCATTCCTCGACGAGAGTCTCGACCCGTATTACTTGACGCAACCCACTGGGCCTCAGGGGATGTTTGGCCATGGGATGGGCGGGTTTTCGGGTGGGGTCGGGGTCAAGCGGAATGAGTTGGAGGAAATGGATCGGTGGCTTGGGACACTTTCTCAGAGTGTCCATGAGGCGCCGCCGATCGTGCCGAGTCACTACGCTGCTGCGCATTCGATGAGGGCGTTTGCTTCACAGGGGAGGTACGTGCAACAGGGGATGTACGGGCAGCAGGCGATGTACCCGACGTTACCGGGACCGATGATGGGACAGCAACAGCAGGTCCAGGTTCAGAGGGAATTGCCGTCTATCAACATCTACCCCGACCTCCCCACCAGCACCTCGTCGATGGACGACGCCACCACAACCTGGGGTCTGGGTCCTAGCAACGATCCGATGTTGGGCGGGTCCGTCGGGATGGGTGATACGATTACGCCGCAGTTAGGCTCGAGGTGGGATGCTGGAGGCCTCACACACGGGGTTCGTGTCGATGTTGGGAGTCGACTTCGGAAGGCCGCTCCTAGTAGTGGGATGGATGCGTTATTGCGTGCGGCGGAGGAGATGGAGAAGAAGAGTAAGGCGGCGGCGGAGGAGGAGGGGAGTGATGAGGAGATTGTGCGTGGGCTCAAAGCTGTCTCTGTGCATGACGACGAAGGACAGGAGAAGACGGAGGAGGGACTGAAGAAGGACAGTGAGGATGAGGAGGAGGTTAGGAGAAAGCATGTTGACGTTATCAGGAGGTTGAGGGAGGTTGTTAGGAAGTTGATGGAGGCTGTCCCTGAGACGAACATGGAGAAGGTGAAGGTTGAGGTTGAGGTTTAATTATGTGGTCGTAGGGTTTGTGAGTGCTTCTTTCTTGTTATCGATTTGCTTTTTGGGTGGGATAGGGGATTGGGGTGGGTGGCGTACGTGTGTGATTTAGTTCGGTTTGTTTTTAGTAGCTGGTTACTTTGGTTTATAAGACGAGTGATTTTGTCATCCTACTTTGCGAGCTTGACATCGGCGCTGTTCCCACGCATCACCGTCGACGTCTCGTTTGTGCCCAAGTCACGGAAGTATGTAAAGTCGCTAATTGTGGTAAAGAGCGCTGATGAATCGGCTAGCTAATATTAGCAGTTGTATCGCGAGGGGATGGATATATGTGCATCCTGGTAAAACTTCTAATACATACAGCTCGGGGAATTGGCAGAATCCAAAAATAAATGATTTCAGGTATAACTAGTCCTACATACCACACTTACTCGAGCAATCACATGACGTACCTAAATCCTCTCGCCAAGTCGTGCATTCCCACGGTATCAACCCTCCCTTCATCCTCCTTCGGCAGAGGTCCCTCAATCCTGTCCCTTCTCTCGTTCTCCCTCTTTACGAGGAACATCAACGCCAACGCAGTCACCGCAGCCAACCCGTTGAACGCAATGTTCAATCCAAAACCCTTCCGATACTCCGGTCCCTCCGAGGACGGGAAGATGAATGAGGCGAGGATTGCGAAGCACTGTCCGATTCCGTTCATCATGGCAACTTCGACCGCACGCTGGGATTGAGAACCGCAGTTGTTCGAGCACCAGGAGAGCATGAGCGGGATACAGGTGAACGCGCCCGAGACGACGAGGAAGGTGGCAAAGTAGCGGACGTGTTGGTTATGCTGCACTCCCATGAGGATTCCGAAGCCGATGGCGGACAGGGCCATGTATCCTGCGACAAACGGACCACGGAGACGAGATTTGTCAGAGACCCAGGAGGTTGCGACGGTGAGGAAGGTTGCGACGGCGTAGGGCGGAACGGTGTAGAGTTGTGCTTCAGCGGCGGTGTATCCCATGTTCTTGATGATGGTGGGGAGGAAACCGGAGATGGATGCGAGGGTGATGTTGACGCCGAGGTAGATGATACCACATAGGTAGACTTTGTAGTCCGTCACCGCACGACGGAATCCCGACCAATCGAACTTGCCGGTGTCGACGAGTCCGTCGCGGGACAGGCGGTTGAGGAGGAGTTCGCGTTCGGAATCGGTGAGGTATTTCGATTTCTCGGGCGAGGAGGGGAGAACGAAGAAGATTGCGATCGCGAAGAGTATTGTGGGAAGACCTTCGATGAGGAAGAGGATTCGCCAGGTGGAGATGGAGGAGTGGATGTGTTGGACGCCGAAGGCGATGAGGCCGCCGAAGGTTCCGGCGAGGGCACCCATGCCGATGAAGAGGGCGTTGCGGAAGGCGATTTCGTCGCGTTTGTACCAGTAGGAGTAGTAGAGGGGTACGGAGGGACCGAAGAACGCTTCGCCGATACCGATGAAGAGGCGGCAGACGATGATACCGGCGTAGGATGTTGTGGCGGCTTGGAGAGAGGATGCGATTCCCCAGAGCATGGCACCCATTGCGATGGAGGTACTCGGCAGCAAGATCTTCGTCGCAACATTACCCGGGATGTTGAAGACGATATAAGCGACGTAGAAACATGCCAGGACGACACTGAACTCGGTGTCGGTCAGATGAAGGGAGGTTTCGAGGCCTTGGAGCTTTGCGTTTCCAGCATTTCCACGGTCGAGGTAGGCGAGGAGGTATAGGATGATAGTGAGTGGGATGATGACTCGGTCGAGCTTGAGGAGAAGTCGACGTTCGAGAACAGGGTCAGTCGGCGGGAGGGGTGGGAGGGCGGAGGTGGTGTCTTCGATGTATTGGACATCGTTCTTTTCGTTCGAGCTCACGAGTGCAGCGGAGGAGGACATGTTGACTGGGGCGGGAGGCACGAGTGCGCAGAACGGGGATGGAGGTCGAAGGCCTTATGTAGGAATATGGATGGAGGACCAGATCAGCTGTTGTGGGGCAGAGTTTCGGGCACACGCGCTCGGGCACCTCGTGGATCTAACAGTCAAATCAGCCGACGACTTGAAAAGCGGGGAAATACTAGGCGACGTCGCAACAACATTAGACCGAGCCGGCGGCTACTGAACTCAGGTCTATTCCTTCCAACTTTGAGCCCCCTCACACCTCAATTACGTGAGATATCCCCTACCCTAAGTCGACGTAGGGTTAACCCGAGCTGTAATGCGGTCAAGAAGACACCAGATACTGCAAGTACTTCGGGACGAGATCTGACGAGTGAGACGAGGTGTGACGAGATGACTTAGGGTTAGGGTTAGGGTTAGGGTTAGGGTTAGGGTTAGGGTTAGGGTTAGGGTTAGGGTTAGGGTTAGGGTTAGGGTTAGGGTTAGGGTTAGGGTTAGGGTTAGGGTTAGGGTTAGGGTTAGGG